CGCCCGCCGCAAAAGGTCAACATGAAATCGCGGGTAAATTGAGCCACGAACATCGAGCTCAACAACGTGCGAACTAATTACCTTCGTGACTGTGTACTTGTGATGCAGCCAGTCGAGCTTCTTGCACGGTCGTGGCGATCTGTAGTTTGCCATCGAGAGCCACACCTTGTCACCAACTTCAAATCGCTCCGCAGGCTGTCGCTTTGCGTTGGCAGCCTCTTCTTGTTGTTGCTGTGAGGAGGCCATCACTGCTTGCATGTACTCATTGACCTCCTGCAGGCGACTGAGTAGGCTATCAGCTCTGCTTTCCTCTCTATGCCTCGGTGGCTCTTCCGATTCCTCGACGCTGATGGGATCGACGTGGTAACCATGCTCAGCGAAAAAGGGGCTGATCTTGGTCGCTGCGGATTCACGATTGTTGAGTGCCAGCTGCGCGGCAGGGAGCAGTTCTCCCCAGTCGTCCTGCACGTACGACACGTAGGCTCTCAGGTAGGCCTCGATCTCCTGGTTCATTCTCTCTGGCCCTCCGTCCGTCTGAGGATGATAGGCCGTGCTCAATTTCTGCGTGACACCTGCAAGACGGCAGAACCTCTTCCAGAACCTACTTAGCCAGTTGCTCCCGCGGTCGCTGACGATGGACCGTGGCATTCCGTGAAATCGGTAATGACACTGGAGAAAACGGTTTGCACACGGCTCAGCTTCCATGTTGTCCATCACCTCGAGGGTCACAGCCTTTGTCAGTCTGTCCACAATCACCCACAGGTACCTTGCCTTGCTCGGTCCAGTAGGCGGCAGATCTGTGATGAAGTCCATGGACAAATGGCTTCGGGGTCGATCTGGAATCGGCAGAGGCTTGAGAAATCCCCTTTTCGACTGGCGCCAGATGTGTGCTCTGCCGCAGGTGTCGCAATTGGCTACGTACCGGCGAACCAGCTGGGACTGCCCAGGCCAGTAGAATCGCCGAGCCACAATAGCCAGCGTACCTTCCCTGCCGGGATGACCGGTCGCAACAGAGTCATGCGACTGCTGCACAATGCGGGTTCTCAACTGGTCTTTCTCAGCTTCCTCCTGGTTACCCTCCTCTCCGGATCCACCCGGCACCCAAATACGGTCTCTGAATGTCAGCCTTTTGCCTGCGTCGATCGCACATTCTGAAATCTGGATCTTCAGGCCCAGCGAGGGCGGGAAGGCACGCTCGCGATCGCGGACTGCCTTATAGGCTGCCCGGAATATCGAGTCCTTCGCCACCGTTTCGTCCCAGAGTTGCTGCAGGTCCGCTACCTCGAAGACCTTCATCTTCGGCAGGGTGGATGCCTCTGAACAGTCAGAACTCATCGCGTTGATACATGCTCTTGTCGATGATGGAATGGCACTATCCGGTATCAACTGTATCATTCTTCCTTGTTCCCGCTCGTCGTCAATGCCCTGTGGCTTGTCTTGTTCACGGCGGGACAACGCATCAGGCACGACAGCCTCGCTTCCCGGTCGATACTCGAGCTTGAAGTCGAACTGGGACAATTCGGCTGCCCAACGGCTCTGCCGTTCCGTGAGCTTCTGGCGTGTCATGAAATACTCCAGGTTGCGGTGATCGGTAAGGATTGTAAATGGGCCGCAGCTCCTAAGTTCGGCGTTCCAGTTGTCGAGACATCTCATGATGGCAAGCATCTCCTTGTCGTGAATGGGATAGTTGTACTCCGCTGGCGAAAGTCGCTTCGAGAAGAAGGCGCATGCGTGTCGACGTCCATCTGGGCCTTCCTGCGACAGGACGCCTCCCAATGCGTAGCCTGAGCAATCCGTCTCCAAAAGGTCAGGAGGCTCGGGTCCCACTGCTTGAGCACCGGTGACTCGCAAAATCGTCGCTTCAGCTCCTGAAACGCCTCGTTCTCCGCTCGTCCCCAACGAAAGGCAGTTCCTTTCTTAAGCAGGGCATCCAGAGACTGCGTGATCTTGGCATAGTCGGGGATGAAGATCCGGTAATAGTTGGCGAAGCCCAGAAAGCTTCTGACACCCTTCACCGTGGTCAGGGCCTCCCATTCGCGGATGGCGCGCTGCTTTTCGGGGTCGCAGGCGATTCCTTTCCTGCGTTGACGATGAACCCAAGGTACTTGACCTCTTGTACCGAAAACTCGCACTTCGCTGGGTCTAGGTGCAGCCCAGCGTCGGCGAGTGCTTGGAGAACTCGTCGCACCTTAGCCTCATGATCCGCCTTCGAACCGCTCGAGTAGATCAGTACATCATCCAGGTACGCGGTGACAAAGTCGTCCAGCCATTCGCGCAACACACTGTTCATGTATCGTTGGAATGATGCCGGGGCGCCGCTCAGGCCGAAAGGGCACACGAGCCACTCGTAGAGCCCAAACCTCGTGCGAAATGCGGTCTTTCCCGACCAACAGCTCTTCTCGTGACATGTTGTAGAGTGGGCCCCACGGTAGGGGTGGCTTGTTGCCGTTCTTGTCAGGCTGCAGGTTGACTTCATGATCCACACCCGGTCGATGTGGCGGCAGCTTCATTGCCTCTTCTGGTGAGAATAGGTCGCGGAATTCTTTCAGCACTTCTGCCGGGACCTTCTCGCTCGGATCGACTGGCGGCTTCGGCTGAAGCGCCCTCTCTATATCCGACAAACTGATTGCATGAATCGAGATCGCGTTGCACTTCTTGCGTCTCTTTGCGCGTCGACACTCCGCCGTGAATACGGCTGCCGACACGAGTCTTGCGCTTCGAATCGCGCGTATCATGGCGGGCTCTTCCTGCCCAATGAGGCGTATCGTCACACCTGCCCTCCCATGGTACATTCGCTGCTTGGCAGCATCGTACACGACGTGATTTCTCTCCATCCAAGGCCGGCCGAGGAACATGTCCTGGCCCAGGCTTGGGATCACGTATGCAAAGACACGTTCGTCAAATCCAGCTGTCTCGACCACAACAGCCACGACCCTGGGGATATGACACTCTTCGCTGACTCTGAGAATCCCCCAATTTCTCGTGGTTTCGAGTCGACGAAGGGTATCCGCAGCTTCCGAACAAGGGCTTCGTCGATCACGGCATAGCAGTCACATCCACAGTCGACAAGGGCGCGTATTCGATAGCCTCGGTTTACCCGCGCGTTGACTAATACAGTCCGACTATTCATTCGTGGCTTGAACGCTTCCCAGTCCCGGATGTCTGCCTTTGCAGGCCCCGGCGCCCGCTTTCGCCCGGGGCTAGTCTTTTCCCGCCGACTCGTCCTCACTGGATGCTGCGGTTGATTCCGAATCATCTGCGGCATCGGGCTTCTTCATGCGCGCAGCTTTAGGTCGCTGTTGCTTCCTTCGCCAGGAAAGACCACCTGGGCTGGGCAGTCCACGATAAGATGATCCGTCCGACCACAGCGATAGCAGCGGCGCTCATCCTTCGGCTTCTTATCGACATGTCGACGACCCTTCGACTCGTGGCCAATACGGTTGATGTCCGTCATCTTAACATCTCCGTCGGGGTCCTCCGGTTCCTCCTTGGGTCGTTGCCTTGGTAGCTGTTGAGGCGTCCGCTCAGTCGACGTCGGCTGCCTACCGGGTTTCAGTCTCTCCAATCTGCCCGCAATTTCCTGAACTCTCGCAAGCCATCCCTGGTAGTCGTCGGGTAGGACGGCTGTGACCAAACTCTCTTGGAGGCGTGCATTTATTGCGTTCTCTAGAAATACGATCTTTGCACTGTCCGGCCAGTCTGCTCCCCGGCTTCAGCCAATGCCTGTTCGAATCGGGAAGGAAGGACGCGAGAGGTTGGTCTTCGCGCTGCCGCATAGTTCTCAGCGTGGCAGCAGCGCGGGATTGGATGTTGCTGTCCTGGTAGGTTCGGTCGAGGTATCGCATGAACTCTTGGGGGTCGTAGCTACCCCCAGGGCCTCCCGCGGCGTAAAAGGTAGCGACCACTTGCTGTGGTCGCTCGTCCAAACATGAGTTGATGAGGTACCAAAGTTCGCGACTTCCACTGTAGTAGTGTGCATCAAGGTCCAGCTTGTCTCGCATCTGCCTGGCCCAGGCGGAGTAGCTCTTCCGTGAGCCGTCATACTTGGGTGGGTTGGGCAACGGTTTCCGCATTCCAGTACCGCAGGTTTTGGGAGGGCGTGCCCAAGCCAGGCGTGCTCGCCCAATCCTCGTGCCACTGGCGGCGATTGCAAGTCGGCGCTCTGCGGCTGCGCTCGCCCGAGTTGCTCCATCAGCAAGGAAAGTTGGTCCTGTAGAGGGCTGAGAGTCGCATTGACCGCTTCTTGAATGCGTTGGTCAATCCATTGCTGCTGGAGACTTGGGCTCACTCTGCTGGTCCATCCTGACGAGCAGTCTGCAGCTTGCGGTATTTAGAAGGAGCTCTAGATATGTGAAAGGCTGGCCCGGAGTTTATTCAACAAGCAGGTGCCTAGGTGTTGTCTATCTAGAGCTAAGGAGGAAAGAAGCTGAACTCGAGGCGTAGCCTCGAGTGCGAGCTATATTGCCCTTCTCGGAATGTTCTCGCAGCTTCTGGGTCCGCGGAGCGGGGCCGGTGTTGCCACCGGAGCACGACCCACCGGACCCGGTACAACCGGGTCCACCAGCCGGGCACAGCCCGTGACAGGTAATACAGCTTGAAACCAGGTAAGAAGGGAAGTCTGCAGACTGTTCTTTCTTCTTCCTAGACCACTGAGGGGTCCGGAGGATCTCCTATTCGAACGGGGACCTTTTGAGGAGTCCGGCATAACTATTACTGGCTCGGGGATCTCGAGAGACTGAACTATCTATCTAATAGCTAGAAGAGCTATTTGATCGGGGAGATGGAGCTGGTGTTGCTGACGTAGATGACTTACGTGGCCTTCAGTAAGTGGCAAGAAGTGCCCTCTTTCTGATAGAATGTATACTATACCTGAAAGCGGGATATCAACTTGGGAGAAGCTTGGAGGGATACAAAAGGGGCTGTTGGGACGGGAAAAGGGCAACCGGGGGGGGCGCAGAGAAAATTAGCAGTCAGATAGCGCCAAGAACTGGCACGCCGCTATGGCGGACGAAATCCAGTCCCTGCAGGTCAACAAGACCTGGGAGCTCACTGACCTCCCGCCAGGCAGGAAGGCCCTACGAGTGAAGTGGGTTTATAGGCTGAAAAGAGGGACCGACGGCCAAATCGTCCGCCATAAGGCCAGATTCGTTGCAAAGGGCTACGAGCAACAGGAAGGCATCGACTATAGCGAAACCTTCGCCTCAGTGGTCAGGCCAGAAAGCTACAGAACAATTTTCGCCATAGCCGCCGCTGAAGACCTAGCAGCGCTCCTAATAGTGCAGACCGTTTAGCGCACTATTAGTGCACACTGCAGTTTGGGAGCCAATAGGCTCACGGTACCCGCGAATCTAATATTTCGCGGGCACCGCGAAAATGACTAATCACAGTCCGTTGTCTGCGTAAAGCCATGATGCGGGTAGTCTGTCGGCACTGTGCTCGTCGTATGTGTGAGTCTACTGTCTACTAGAACTAAAGAGCTGCTAATATCAGTAGAGCCAACTACGGCTCGACGAAAATACAATCATCTGCCTCAACATGTGCAGAATACAGCGTTTCCTGCTCTCGGCTGTCCTTTTCTACCTGTCGCCAAATGTCGGCCACGCCCTCCGTGTGTTGGCTAACGGATTGTCTCCCATCTCCTTCATGATCTGGGCTTCAACACGCTGATCTTCTGCATGGCTCCAGTCAAGGTATGCCATCATTTCTTCTTTCGTCCATGCTCTCAACCCCGTTGTAGTGGCGCAATGCCTGGACATTTGTTTGTAGTCCATACACCATTCATAGCTTTGCTTGTCATACCTAGCTGGAAGCCTCATTGCCTTGCGGTATTGTTGGTTTGTCTTGATGCTGCCGGCCGGCTGCGCTGCATACCATGCGCTTCTTGCAGCGGTATAACTTTTGTGTATAGCTTCTGGTGAATCATATTTCGGCGGCGGTGGGGCTGGCAAGTCAGGTGAGATAGGTGGTGGCGATACCAGCAGCTCAGTGGCATCGCGGGGCGGACCCGGTACGGGCCGGAATCTTGGTCACCGGGAAAGGTCGTGGCAACTGAACCTATTTCGGCGTGAAAGGACTGACCCGACTGGGCAGGAGGATGGTCTGGAGCTGTAGTGGGCAGAATTGTAAGGGTTCCTGCGACACTCCCAAATCCGTCGCCAGGGACGCATCAGTTGGCGGCTCAGTTGCAAGCTCTGGCTCCTGTGCGTCCAAAGCGGCTTGCACGTACTGGGATGACGGTACGATCTCCGATGGTGACACCGATCGTGAATGCATCGACGACGTAGTCTCTTGAAGCAGCTCTCCAAAGCGCAGCGGGCAGGCTTTCGCGGTCATCCTATGACCAACCGTATGGCACCTGCTGCATGTGGGTGGCGCTTTACGAGCCTCCTCGATACTCTCAAATGCACTGGGTTCTCTCCGAGTGCTCTGCTTGGGAATAGCCGAACTTGCTAAGGTCGACTCGATTCGCTGGCGCGGCTCTAGCAGCGGCCGGGAGTTCCATCCCGCTGCAGGTGCCAGTGCGTATGGAAGTGCTCAAGTAAGAGTACTTGTCCTTGCTCTTGCAAAGATTTTAGAGTGTGAAGGCAAGGCAGCCCGTGGGACTTGGTGAAAGCCCCCGTGCAAGTTGGCGGTGGGGGAGGATCTCTCCTACCAAGCATCTTCCGCTGCTCCTCCACCTTTCTCAGCGCTTCATGGGAGACCCAACCGCGCACTGAAGCGTATAAGGGCCCAGAGAGCTCAATTGGGACCCGAATCTGCTGTCGGGCTTGATTCGATCTCAAGTCTGACAGTTGATTGAGTAACGCGTGCTTCATCGCCCTCCAAGCCTCGAAAAGATTTAGCGTGGACTTTTTGAGATGGGCCTTCAACAATGCATGTATGCCCTCCACGCGCGACGTGACTGTATTTCCAAAATGAGCATGTTGATCAACCCAAGCCTTAACAAGCTTTTCCTTATACCCTTCAAGCCAGAAAGTTTTGATGTATCCAACTTGTTTGAGGTGGTTGGGTAGGTACTTCTTCTCGAATTGCGTAGCTCGGTCCTTGAATGCTTCTTCGTTTGGTGCAGCCATGATCGAGTGCCAGAATTGGTAGAACTCAGACCAGCCGTTGCTCTCTGACGTATCAATTGTCTCTGCGTTTGTGGACTCCGGTTGGTCCTGGCGGACGAAGGCTGGCCGGCAATAGCGGAGGACGGCCTTGTTGGCATGCCACAGACAGAGTAGTGAGCAAGAAGTGGGAAAGGAAATGGCAACGGCGTTCATACAGGCGATGCAGCGGTCTGTTAGGACGACAGAGGGTAAGCGGGCGCTATGGTGTTCGTACAGTGACCTCAGGCGATCCAACGCCCACACGAAGTCAGCTTCGGTCTCCCCACCAAGGAATGCAAATGCTATGCAAAATGATCGCTGACAAGCATCTACTCCTATCATGTCGAGGAGCGGCATGCCGTGTTTGTTCGTCTTGTACGTGCAATCTAGCAACATGACATCTGGGTATGCCTGGAGATACGTCAAGGACTCTGGATGAGCGAACAGAACTGCGGTCACTCGGCCGTCTTGGCCGAATTGGATCCGACTCCAAAACCCCTCCTGGTCGAGCTGACTGGCCAAAGCGTGAATTGAACTTTGCCCTTCGCATACATCTCTCTTGGTAGCTGCAATTCCATTGTAAATGTCTTGTTGTGTGGCAAGAGAATCGCAGTTCTGTCGTATATAGGTCCGAATATCTTTTGGGACAATGCCGGCATTAGAAAGGCGCGATAACTTTTCAATATCTTTCTCCGTCAACCTACGATGAGCAGGATGAGCAGAAGGGTGGCGACTGGGCGCGTGATTATGCAGGAAAATCGTTTGTCTGGGCGGTGTCGCACAGCCCAAGATTGCCTGTCGGCTGATTCTTTGGCCAAAATCGAAAACTCACAGCCCGTCCCTCGGGTTGTTGTCTTTCGCTGACGTTCTATCGACGGATTTGGGGTCGACAAGACCGGTCGCACGCGAAGGTCACTGTCTGTCTGCCACCCTTGGCTCTGGTGGACTTTCCGTTGTGAAGGCATAGCCCCGCGTCGCAGCCCAAGCGTTGATCGAAATGAGGAGGTCATCGCGAGAGTCGTAGTCAAGTTCCGGTGGAAGACAGTCTTCGGCAAACGGTGCAGTCGGCCCGAGAGAAGGCGGACCCATTTTAACGGTCGCTACAGCATGTTTAAGCGGACGGGTGCTTTTGCTGAGGCGCGTTGTCGACCGTCAATAACACGCGCGGTCACCGGGCTCGCGTTCCCCTGCGACATCTGCTTAGTCATTGTCACGGTGCCCGCGAAATATTAGATTCGCGGGTACCGTGCGCCTATTGGCTCCCCTGCAGTTTGCACTGCTTAGTCAGCACACTGCCAGTGCAGTGTAACCGTTTGGCAACGCACTGCTGGTCCAGTGAGGCCTCCCCCTCCACACTGCTGGTTCAGTGAGGCTTCCCCCGCCACACTGCTGGTTCAGTGCGGCTCCCGTCAAACTGCCCCATAGTTCAGTGCGAGCGTCGCGCACTATCAGTGTCACCATCAGTGTGACGAGTGTGACTTGTGTGATAGAGCTAAACTTGGACGTTTGACCATTAACGTAATTCCTGGCCTACTTACAACGAGTCAATCGCTGATTAAACGGCGGGATGCGTTCTTGCTCAATTTTACAAACCATCTAGCTCTTACGAGATATCAAAGTGTTGCCAGGGCAGAACGAGCCTCTGCGTAGCTTTCATCTCATGTCTTTAGGGTAGCATCTGGTCACACTTCCCATACTCTCTGCTAGGCAGAACTTGACGTTGAAGCCTTTCCTCAGTTCACCTTGCCCCCCGCCGACAAACACGAAACAGACGCGACAGGGTAAAAGCAGATCAGATGTGCAATATTTATTGCGCTCTCCAATCGCCAGACCGCTTCACGATCACTGAACTTTACCGCTCGACTAGTCTTGATGAAGCAAGCCACCGGCTTCCAATCATCCAACCTTGAGGGATGTGATTGGACGTCAAGCTCATTCTGGGACGCCCGATTTTGGCCTTAATCTGACCAACTTGACCAATAGCGAGCCGGAACAAAGAGCTGCAGTCTCTTGAGCGCTTTACTGAACCGAATTCACGCTTGCATGCGTATGAATCGCGCCGTGACGCGCCAGACTATTTTATCAGGGCCTCGTCGCGCTTTGCAGTGTCCCAATTTCTACGGCAATGACTCCTGTTCCGTAGTTGCGGTCGTTCCCGTACCAAGATTGCCGACTTCGACACGCCCAAGACGTTTCTTCAGTATCTGATCGCCTCCAAGTTCGCGACATCATGGACAACTTCACTCAGGCGGATGCGGCCGACTGCGCAAGTGACACTGCCGCCTCATCATCGCCAACACCGTCCACTTTGTCCCCACTGAACAGTTGCCGCCAGCATATTTCGCCCGTTTGGCAATTTTGCCGAAGAGAGGAAGGGAAAATTATGCGGCAGCTTGGACCGACGCAAACGGGACGAAATGGTGGCACTGTCAACCCTGCTGGAATAAGAAAGAGCCAAAAAGTACAATTACTCTGGCGGTTCATCCGCCATTGTCAACCACTTGCGCAAGGAGCAGCGAATCATGCTTCCCGGAAGACAAGAAAACAGGCGAGAAGTGACGCAAACTCGACTTGGTGACATCACCGCATTTTCGGCCGATGAGGCCCAGGTTTCCGCTACGTTGTAGCCTGCAGTCTGCCATTCACTCATGTTGAGCAGCCAGCTTTTCGCGACTTGATACAATACATTTGTCCGGCTGCGAATGATCTTCTTCCGACATCTGGGGATACCATTAGAAGCGATTTGCAAAGAGGCTACGATGGCAAACGGGAGTTTGTCAGACGTGCACTACAAAATGCTCTCTCGTCGATACACATTGTTCCAGACAACTGGACATCGCCGAATCATTTGGGCGTGATAGGATTCACGGTTCAGTTCGTCACCGAGGATCATGGTCTGCTGTCCTTGGTGGTCAGGATCAAAGAACTTCAAGGACAGCACAGTGGTGAGAATATGGCGGAAGCCATCATGGAGTTTGTGCGAGTATGGAATATCCTCCAAGATTGGTTACTTCATGATGGATAACGCATCCAATATGAACACAATGATCGACAAAGTCAGCGACGACCTGGAACGTGAGTTCGACGTTTTCTACGACCCTCCAGCATCGACTTCGCTGTTTCGGCCACATCATCAATCTGGCGGTGATGGAATTCCTCATAGGTAAGCGTCCGCGCACGATCGAGTCCTATCACGGCCCATCCGAAGATGAGATCGAACAGTGGCGGACACGAGGGGCGATAGGAAAGTACATAACATCGTTGTCTTCATCACATGGACTCCTCAACGGCTCCAAAGTTCACAGGTCTCAGTGATGGTCTGCGGCTTCGGCGGGATAACGACACCCGTTGGAACTCGTGGTACAACATGGTCGAATTGGTTCTCAGACCAAAAATTCGTCAAGCCATTACTGTGTTCTGCTCCGAGGAGCCTGCGCTGCAAGAAGATGCCTTGCAACCGTGCGATTGGATTGTTTTGGCTGAGATCCATAAATTCCTCGAGCCCTTTCACGACGCTACTATTGCCAACGAAAGCTGGAAAAAGTCCATTTCCGATGTCCTACCTACCATGGACTACCTTTTGCACCATATCGAAGCAGCCAGAAATACGAGCGATATACCTCACCTAGCCACGATGATGGAGACAGCATGGGCAAAATTAGCCGACTACTACGAGCTCACAGAAGATTCACCTGTCTATTCGGCCGCGACAGTCTTGAATCCTTCTCTCAAGTGGACATACATGGAAAAGACCTGGGAAGACAGGCAAGAGTGGATTGAAAGAGCGAAGGCTCGCGTTGGGCAGTTGTGGAGAGATGAATACAAACCGGCCTCGCAGTGCTGCATTACCAGACCAATTCCTGAACAAAGACCAGATGCAAAACGGCCAAACGGATACAAAATATGGATGAAGAGCAGAAGGCTACGATTTTCAGCATGGATGATGACGAGTATGATGTGTACTGTCGCGAACCTGTAATCATGGTATCGGATCCGCTCAAATGGTGGCTGGATCCAGCGCAGCGGCGACGATTTCCCGCCTATCCTTGATGGCTATAGACATTCTGTCAATCGCGCCGATGTCGGCGGAAACGGAGCGACTCTTTCTAAGGCTAAGTTATCAGTGACCGATCAGCGAGGTTCTATCAACGTCGAAACACTCAATCTTCTGGAATGCCTCAGGTCTTGGGATAATAGCGCACTGATACTTCCGACAGAGGTAAGTTCCCAACCAACGAAATGGAGACCAGCTTCTTACGAGTGCATTTCAAGTGTCAATACATGGACGGCAGCCACGACACCATCGAACGCGTCAGCTTTGAAGCCTAAGATTCAGGTCTCGAGGACGAAAGTCAGCATCGGCTTGGTAGAACGTGATGCATTTGAAGCAATGAGGGATTCATGGGCACATGGGCGGCCTAAGGCGGAAATAACGTCTTGACTTCAATCGTGTGCGCCAAGCCTGTATTTTATATATCGCACTGATAGTGTAAACTGCAGTTCGCAGTGCAGTGCAGTTTGTCGCTGACGAACGGACGGACAGTTTGGTTTGGCCATCTGGTCTGCACTGCCAGTTTGATTTGACCATGTGGGCTTGCACTGCCAGTTCAGTGCGCCCTGGCCGAGTGCACTGGCAGTTTGGTCCAGTGGCGTCACACGCACAGAAGGGGCCGTTTGGGGTGTTCACACGCACTACTTGCACTACCCCATGCCCCACCCCCCTTTCGGTAACACCCACCTTTCGGTAGCGCAATTGAAAAATTCTCCACCAAAAGTCTACCATTTGAACTTACATGAAATATGATCAGAACTTAACATTATAAACACAAAAATTATATCATTCCGTAGAGAAATGGACGCTCTTATATGTACCGGCGCTTTTTTCCCATTCGCCCCGATCTGGTGGTGACTGGAAGGGCTTCGGGTGCCACCTTGACTTCGATCACTGAAGCTGTCTCCACCTCTGAGACCGCCTCCTCCTCTGTGTCAGAATTCAGCACAACGGCTATCTCTTGGCTTTTAATTTGGGGAATGGCTTCCTCAGCCACCAAAGCTTCACTGAGAGTCATGAACCGTCTGTTCGGGTTCGGAATTGCTCTCCTCTTCTTGCCTCTCTGCAGCCGGGCCACTTCTTCCTCTAGCTTCGCGATTCTGTTGCTGTGCTCGGCAAGCGTCTGTTCTTGGGCTTCAAAGCCTCTAGCTATCACGGCGTATCGTCTCCGGGTGCCAGGAGTCTTGTTCTTTCCGAAATCGCGAATCTGGCGGCTGTTTCTTGGCGTATCATCAGAACCCAAAAATGGCGCGGACTTTGGAGACGTCTCTACAATGTCCGCGTGAATTTCTGGATGCCGCAATGCCTTGGATCGTGAGATCGGCCAATTCCCAGTGACCCTCCAGCCGGACAATATATTCTTTGCCGTCATTCCAACCTCGCGCGCTTTAGCATATGCCCGTATAAAATTGACCTTATGAACAGGCGCAGAATCGGTCAAACAGGTCAATTTCTGAAGTTCTTTCCGGTAAGCTGCCTTGGAGGCATTGAATACACCGTTATCTAACGGCTGGAGGCCATGAGAGCAGTGGGCAGGAAGGTAACAGCAATAAACGTTGTTCAAAAGCATGTGGCCATCCATGCATCCTGGTCCCGGTTAACGGTAATTCCTACAGAGGTGGATAAAGAAACGCACCGTTGCATGACTTCCATGTCCATCTAATATGATCAGTCTAGCATCTGAGGCATCGGCTGGTCGCGTCTGGGGCAAATAGACCCTCTCAAGCCACTCAATAGCGATATGGTTGTCCGTCCATCCGTTGGGCGACGTTATGTAATGCCAGTCGGCTATTTTGCCGAATTCCGTCAAGAACCACTGTTTCTGAAGTTCTTTGCCCTTAAAGATAATGCCAGGGTAAGGACACGGCCGTCCGCGGTGATAGCTTCAATAAATGAGGTCCAGTTGCGGGACTGTGGCCCTTTCAGAAGGGCCTTCCGTTTTGGGTCTGCACTCCCAACCACAAGACTATCCAAACCTGGCAAAAAGAGTCTGGTTAGTAAAAGTAATGAAAGACAAGCCAAATACTCACCAAAGCCAGACATAATACCGCCTTCGTCAACATTCACGGTATTTTCTGGTTTAATCCATCCATACTCCTTTTCCTGATATCGAAGAACCAGTGAACCGCACGAGGCGTAAAAGCATTAAATCGGTTAGCTTCCTGACGTCTCCCACGCTTGTTCTTGATGTCCGGATGGCGATTGATGAATTTAGAGACCCAGTTGCGCCCCACTGTCCGCTCGTTGTTCAGTTGCTTCATAAGAGCCTCCACACATGCGCGGATCTGACTGTGGGAGGGAGCATAGCCGAGAGACTCTTGGCGGAGGATCCAAGAAACCAAGCGAGCTTCCTGAGACTTACTCAAGAGTTGACGAGGCTGGATCTGATCAGCCAGGGCTACCTGGCCTTTGAGTCTGTCGGAAATAGACTGCTGAGGTATGTCATACTTTGGGCGGCGCGGTACTGCGACAAGCCGTTTTTGTGACATCAATTATCGCATTAGCCATAATATCCTCCGTATAAATACCCGAGGCCGCTTTAAGGTCATTTTGGTCATGTGGTGGAGGAATAACGAGAAGAATCATCGTCAGGAGGCGGAAGGAGATTAGGGGTTGGATGGTAATTTCGCGTGCAAGGTACGCACAGGCCACAGACCCTGTACAAACATTCAACCATCGAAAAGTAGAATTCAATCAATCCTCTATCTACTCCAAGTGACGGCTTGTGAATATCTTCAAAGCTGGCTGGAATCGGTGTAAGTGAAATTGATGGGTTTTGGTGGGGATATTTCCTAATGCGCTACCGAAAGGTGGGTGTTACCGAAAGGGGGGTGGGGCATGTATTAGGAGCCCTGCGAAGAGAGGAACCGTCGACCATTGAGAAGACACAAACGGACCACATAGTCCCGGACACTGATCGAGGCTTGGAGGAAAGCAGCTTCAGAAGTATCGACGATCTTGTGAACTCGATCGATCCTCCTTTCGTCGCTGAGTGTTGCGATGAGGACTTTGCTCTGTCGACTGAGCAGACTCAACCCTCCCCTGGTGACCCGGCGACTCCTGTCCCCGACTCGGCTGCCGTCGGCCTGGAAGTTGACACCGTCTGTGAGACGTCTACATCCGGCATGTTTCCTCTCGATGGACCGGCTGCCTTCGCGGAGACCGATAAACTGTCGTTTTTGGCCGACATCGTCAACACCAATCCGGACCGACATGGCACATCTGTGCCGTGCGTTATGCAGGTCCAGACTACGGGAGACCAGCCGTTCGTCCGAGTGGAGCGTGGTGCGGATTTTGCAGACAACCTGCACGAAGATTTCTTCCCTCGAACATTTCCAAAGCTTTTTCCGTGGGGAAGGGGCGGCCCGAAATCGAAGGGCGACTCGAGTCGTAGCCGACAAAGCGACGCTGCCGACAGTCGTCCGAATCACTCTCTTCAGTACTGGACCAGATACGTATTGCAACGGCATGGTGGCCGATTCGCCACCCATCCTGTCTTTTGTTTCTTAGTATTCAACACCCTCCTTCGCTCCTCCAACCGCCGCATCAGCATGGTCCGTGTCGCTAAAGATTCCTTCCACAGGCTCGAGCAAGCGTATGCGAACTTGAACGAGGACCGACTGAAGAGAGCCGAGGCGGAGATGCGGGAGACAAGGACCACGTCGGACCCTGACATATCGGTCTTGCTTCGCGAGCTGTCGATTTTTGGCCACGCACAGCCGCTCTCGAACGAATCCCGTTTGCTTATGCGGAGGAAGATCCAAGCTGTTAACATTTGGGCCGGTATGCCTGCAGTTTGGATTACCATCAGTCCCAACGACATTAATAATCCGATAAAGATGAAGCTTGCCATTCATAGGCTGCACGATTATGACTCTGCAAAGGAGCTTTTGGCCGATCTCCGTGAAAAGTACGACAGAATCGCCCTCAGCACCATGGATCCGGTCAGCTCGGGCATCTTCTTCCACCGAGAAATATCCCTATTCTTTGACAAATACGTGAATACAGGCCGGGAATCGATCTTTGGGAAGATTAGCCACTACTACGCGACGGTGGAGACGAATGAGCGAGGCAGCCTCCACTTACATGGACTCCTCTGGCTGGAGGGCAACATGCGGTTACCGAACCTGATGGACGATATGGCCAATCCCGCGGAAGAAGCATACCGTGCCCAAGTGATCCGGTATGTAGACTCTGTCTTTCACGAGTGTTTAGACGAAGATGCCGGAAAAGCCGTGCGACAACAGAGGAAGCCCATCGATCCCGTGGAGGAGGTCATGACCAGCTCCTCGGCTCTCACTGCGGCCTTCGAAGACGAATCCAACTTCATCGCGTACTGTTGCCAAGTGCACTCCCACACGTACACCTGCCTCAAGTATTCTCTGAAGGGTATCGTCGAACAGGGTGCAGATCCACAGAGACGGACAGCCTGCCGCTTCAAGGCACCGTGGAAGATCGTCGAGGAGACAGGGTTCACAGAGGACGGTCTGCTTCAGATCCGGCGCAATCACCCACTCGTCAACCGGTATAACAAGTCATTGGCGGTCGGCCTTCGCCACAATCACGACGTCTCGATGATCTTGACCAAAACCAAGGGCCTGGCCATGGTGTACTACATCACGAACTACGCCACCAAACTGGATACGCCGATGTGGAAGCGCATTGCTCTCGCCGCCGAGGTTGCCCGCCAACTCCGCGAAGCCGGTCGTCCGACGTCTCGCGCACCAGATCCCGCCCTGCCCGACAACAGGCAGCAGGCAGTGTTGAACGAAAGCCGTCAATTCCTGATGAGAACGGCAAATCGGATCTTCTCCGAGCGACAACTCTCGGCCGTAGAGGTCTGTTACCACCTCCTTGGATATGATACCGACTTTACCAACGTGCCGCATTGGTCTTTCCTGAACATGACGGCGCTCTATTGGGCAATCTTTCGGCTATGGGCACATCTCCGCCATCAGGCCGGCGAGCTGACGGACGCTGAACAGCCCGCGGAGACAATCCGTCTGAGGCAAGGAGGGCGAACCCTTCTATACCTAGACGCGTACGCGTACCGGGGCCATGTTCTACGAGACTTATGCCTGTATGACTACATGTCAATGATTCATTTGGTGCGTCGAAAAGGTCGGAGTGAAGACGACTCACATTTTCTCGATGGCCAGGATTCCGACTGTGACGACTGGATCCAAAAGCTTCGACGGCCCGACCAGTACGCCACCCCGATCTTCCAAGGATACATCAGCGACGACCATGAGGACGATCACCCAGTCTATATTAAGCGGTACGCTCTAAACCCCCCGGCACCGTTTTGGCTCTATCTGATAGCCCGTGCAGAAATTCGGTCCTACACTTGGCGTTATTCGTCCCTTGGGAGAACTTTATTTCTGAGAGCCAAGGCGACATAACCGACATATGGACGACGCATCGATCGGGGCTTTGTCCCCGCCTCCGTTTCCATGTCTCCAACATTGGTCTTTTGAGAAAATCTGCCGAAGACGCGCGCAAGGACGCGAAGCTCTGGGCCAGTCGATCGGAAGGTGACGACACAATTGACGTCGAGTACCCGCTTGACGATGGCCGCTACGAGGAGGAGCCTCCAGCGATGGCTCATCGTCAGGCCTACAGAGCTCTACTCCAGATTTTGCGAAATGCCGTGCAGCAAACGGACGCCACGAAAGACTCACCCGTCCTTGGAGGCCTAATACGCGATCTGTGCGAAGAGAACCCGGCGGAAGATGAGCAACCTTTGGTGCAACGTCAGGAGGATTCGTACCGGAATATACCCCATGATCAAGGTGATGCCTTGTGCCAATTTCCAATATCTCGAGACGATGTCCAAGCAGCGGCCAAGGCCCAACAGCTAATGCATCTTCGGATGCTTGACGACATTGAGAGTGGTTCTCAGGGGACCATGCTTTCCGCGGATGGCGCCGACGTCGACGATACCCTAGCTCGCTACGGCGATACGGAGTCCGCTGCTGCGCTCCCGGGCAGCGACCTCAATGAACAAGGCCCTCGGATGCTTGTCGACGTCAGTCCGGCAACTAGCTTCGCGGAGATGGGACACACCACCGCAGCCAGCTTTACACTGAACTATCTACAGACCATGGCCCTTCAACTCGTTTGCCTGTTTCTGGACAAGTATACTGCCAATCCGGACTCAGCGGGTCAGCATCTTCAATACACCGGCGGGCCGGGTGGCACGGGAAAGTCGAGGATTATCGATGCCCTGAAGGACGTGTTCGCGGCGAGGAACCAGCCGCATCTTCTGCAGATAACCGGCACATCGGGCAGTTCGGCGGCCCAGATTGGCGGCACGACGATCCACTCGGCCTGTGGGTTAGATTCCCATCGCGATCCAAACAAACCGCCTCCCCCCTTCTCGGAGGCGAAGAAGTGGATCTGGAAACAGAAGCTGGTACTCGTGATTGACGAGGTCAGTATGCTTGGAGGAGCCACTCTGCACAACGTCAGTCGTCACCTGCAGGCACTCCGTGACTGCCCGGACGAACCATTTGGCGGGATGCCCGTCGTTCTACTGATGGGAGACTTCTACCAGTTCGCCCCCGTGCGGGAAACAAGCCTACTAATCATCACACCGCCGGACCGAACAGAGACCCCCCTGCGACAAGCGACCATCTCTCACCACAGCGGCTGCAGATTGTGGCATCTGTTCAAAACCGTGGTGCTCCTCGAAGACCAAGTCCGCGCACGCAACGATCCCCAACTCCGTGCACTCCTGGATCGAGTTCGTAACGGGCGCCAGACCCATGAAGATCTGATCTTGCTCAATGCCAACATTGTAGGACGCTCGCAAATCACCTTCCACGATGGTTTGCGTGCTATAACGCCGCTGAACCGCACCCGGTGGGCCCTCAACATGGAAGCTGTCGTTGGCTGGGCGCGCTTCAACCAGCGGCATATCCGTATCTTTGTCTCGACTCACACCTGGCGTAGCGGCGCGCTTTCTCCAGACATCGTGGCGCGAACCATCGGACAAGGCGACGACTCTGCCTGCAAAGTCCCCGGCGTCTTATTCTACGCCCAGGGCATGCCCGTGGTTGTGAACAAGAACATCTACATTGGCCTGAAGGTTGTGAATGGGGCCGACTTTACTGCCGTGGATGTAATAATCGATCCCAATCACCCGGGATACTGCTTGGCAGATGACGTGACCATCCACTTCGGGCCACCGCTCGGCATTCTTCTGCAGTCCGAGGAGACGAAGGCCTTGGCGATACCGTCCTCCCGGTGGGGACGGTACTCATCCGACCCATGTCGCATACGCTCGATTCGACTAACTCTCACTTCAAATTCTTGTCGGCAAGATGCACGCGACGTGGATTACCCGTTGCGCCAGCGTTCGTCCTCACTGACGATAAATCCCAGGGTAAAACGTTCGTGGAGGTACTCTTGGAGCTGCGTGGAAATCGTGTGACCAATGGTGAACCCTCCAAATGCGATTTCACGAGCCTCTATGTTCAACTGTCCAGGTGTACTACGCTCCATGGCATCAAACTCCTCAGTCCCGTGAGATACCAGGATTTTATTGACAATACGCTAGATCGAGCCATGCTTGATGGAATGCGCAAAATCACAAACTTGGCGGCGCAAACGAGACGGGCATATGAGGGTGGCGGTTCAGAAAAGCAGTGACAGTGGTCAATCCGATCGTTCATGTCGCCTTTTCGTGCGTACAAGAGTCACACCTGATAAGGTGACCGGGCCGCACGCCAATCGTCTGGATCTCGCTCCCCTCCCTTCCCAGGACGTAAGCGCTTTTGCTCCTCACAATAATTTACCCACCATTTCTCGAACGCCTGGCGGCTGTAAAGCCATCTCGGCGGCCCGTCTCCTTCCCCGAACAGGTCCAAGATGTGGTCGCAGAACATCCACACTCCTTCAAGATGCTGCGGATAAAATGGCCTCCTGTCCTTGCGCGCGACCACGACGGTGCCAACTTGTGACTGCCATTCTGAGGTGCAAACCCGGAGTCGGCATCAATATTGAGGTACGTAGCAATCTGGTTGTCGAGGTCTGCCTCGTTGACGGACTGAGTCCCCGTCCGATAGAGGACCAGCGGGACCTCGATGAGCGCTGGGACGGAGGGCACCGACTGCGAAAACATATCATGATTCGCAGGGATTGTAGTGGCAGACCAGAGGGGAAACTTGCGTTTCTCGGCCTCGCATCGGACAATGACAGCTTCGACATGCCCCGACTTGCTGTGCGTTTCCTCAAACCTGACGTACCCATCGGCGGCGAGGCATGCGTGGGCGGCGGGTGGTTTTGCCGCTGGCGCTTGCTGGGGCGATGTCTCTGGCTCCGAATCGGTGTCGATGTTGTCCCACTTTGAGTAATCAATCGGAGGCATTGGGTCGATTCTTGACAAATTGTTACCCTTTACTGCATAATTCGCAACGGTTCGGACTCCTTCGACCTTCAAGATGATGGCTCCTGAAAAGGCTCCATTACGTCCTTACCCCGCCCTAAGCCTATCGTGTTGTGGCGGGGTAAAACGGCGTCCAAGCAGCCACACTAACGTACCCCACTGCGTCATGCAACGCACTAGGTCATGCAACAATTTTCAACACCTGACGCGTCTTCTTCAAATTGACGCGATATGGATCACAACCCTCGTATTGCAGAGGCAATTATAGAACTGCAATCCCAAGATCGCCCTAAATATGCAGAGACCGCGAGGAGATACAATATCGACAAATCCACGCTGTGGCGCCGCTTCAAAGGCAAAACAGCCTCAAATCACGACGCGAACTCTTACTCGCGACAGAAACTCACCAGCGCGCAGGAGGAGATTCTTATTGGGCACGTCAATAAGCTGACCGACCGTGGTATCCCGCCTACCCCCTCAGATGTTGAAGAATATCGCCGAGGAAATCGCAGGGACAGAGCTTGGTGTCAACTGGGTGAGCCGCTTCCGCAAGCGACACCATGACCGTCTTTCGAGCTTGTATTTGCGCACCATAGATCATCAGCGGAAGGCTGCTGATAATTCCAGGCATTTCCAAAACTTCTTCAATCTAGTAAGACTGCTTTTTATCGTCATTTCAAGGGGTATACTGCCGACAATACTCGGTCAAATGCCGTAAAGTCGCCATTTCTGACCGAATCCAACTAGCTCCGCGAAAAGATCGAAAAGTACAACATCAGTCCCTCAAATGTTTATAATTTTGACGAGAAGGGATTCCAAATTGGTCTCTCTCGCTCCACCAAGCGAGTTGTCCCCCGAGAAGCCCTCAGGCGCGGAAAACTGGTCGGGGCAAGCCAAGACGGGAACCGGGAGTTCATCACGCTGATCGCTGCCATATGTGCAGATTATTCGTACCGCCACCGGCCCTCATTTACAAAGGGGGAGTCAAAAGACTTTCAAGATACTTGGCTTGAGGATTTTGACCATTCCAGCGAAGTAGCCTTCTTCGCCAGTACGGAAAACGGCTGGAGCTGTGATGCACTGGGTTTACACTGGCTTCAGCGCATATTTGACTGCCATACGAAGCAAAAGGCTGGTCGTGCCTACCGTCTCTTAATTTTAGACGGTCACAATAGTCACATTAACCTGAAATTCATTGACTATGCCGATCGGAATCGAATTCTCATTGCTGTGTTGCCATCGCACTCAACTCATCGGCTTCAACCACTCGATGTTGGCCTGTTTTCCGCACTCTCCACCTATTATGCTCAAGGTTCCGACCAGCTGATGTCCATTGGATGGGGGTTAATTCGCCTTACCAAACGGAATTTTTGGCCACTCTTTCGTGATGCGTGGAACCAGGCATTTACGGCCAAAAATATCGAGGCTGGTTGGCGGGCCACAGGAATCCATCCACTCGACCCCGGCAAAGTATTGTCCAAGATTAGCCACAGCAGTGATGTGACACCCCCACAAACTGCATCTGAGGAAAGGGCGATGAAGACTCCAGGCTCTCTTCGGGCTATTCGGCGCATTACCCGCCGTCTCCGCAAGGAAGGGCTGATGGACTCCGAGTCACAGCGCTCTCCCGAGCATCAGAGAAACTGGCGACACAATATGAGCTCGTACAACACGAAAATCGAGATCTACAGGAAGCGCTCAAACTTGCACACAAAAGGAAACGCAGAAAGGCCTTGGGCCTTTTCAATCCGGAAGAAAGTGGTGGCCAGCCGGTCTTTTTCAGTCCAGCCAAGGTGGAACTGGCGCGGCGACGTCAGACGGACAAGGCACAGGCCGACGAGCAGCGCAAGCAAGCCATTGAAGATCGTCGACTCCAGGTAGCCATATCACGTGAAGAAAAGGCTCGAGAATCTGCCGAGAAGAAAAACAGCGGGCTGCAATGCGTCAGGCCTTGCGAGAGCAGCGTTCTCGAGAGAAGACAGAGCGTGCTGCGGAGCGCGAGGCAAAGCGAGCTGAGAAACGGGAGGCCGCAGCAAAATTAAAAGCAGAGAGGTCTGCACGCGAGGCTGAACGCCAGGCTATTCGGGAAGTCAAGTTTGAGGTAGCTGCTACGTCAAAGCCTGGTGTAAGAGGGCACAAAAGACATGGTAGCGGTGAGAAAACGAGGGCGTTGGAAGCGGGTTTGCGCGACGGGCATTCAACCACGCAACAACTCGGAGGAAGAAAGGGTAAAGATTGGTTCTGAAGCTTCAGTGGCTCGAGACCACAGTCCCGGAGCTTTAGGGTAAAGACATACCTCCCGTTCGACGGAAGCGCAGGGAAGTATGGAGGCCGGTTTCTCAGTCTCTCAGGTCTGGGCGGACCACAAGACCGCCTGCTCATATTTCCTAAGAAAACCATCATATAGATAGACTCTGTATGAAGTGTTTCACATATTGTAATGTTTAATAGTATTTTAAATGGTTTGTGTCGGTTGCAGGATTAATTTTCGCTCTGGCTTGCCGGTCGGGCAATTTGTTGCATGACGTGGTGCGTTGCATGACTCAGTGAGGTACGTTAAACTAAACTAAACTAAACTAAACGGACGAATATACAAAGCTCGAGATCCAACAACCATGACGCGCAGACGATCGATCTCACTTCCGACGATAGTCAAACAGAACGACAGATAGCTCCTACGATGACAGTCCCAGCTATAAAGTCTACAAATGGATTACGTCAACTCGTTACGGCCACGAACGAGGGCAACACCCATCGCTCTGAGAGTGCGCAGGCAACAAGAAAGCGATCAATGCTCCAGCCCTTCGATCTAACGGTGAACTTTTATTGTGCGTCCTTTAGAATCATCGATAATAAAGGATTGCCTGTAAAGAAGTATCACGTAGGATATCCTAGTCTTGTACGGAAGGTTACACACTGTTTCTTTTCCGAACCAGCCAAGCAATTCCCGTCACATTCCGACATGATTCAACAGATTATTCGCAGAGCCATTAACGACGAGACTTTAATCGATCGCGACTGGAAGCTCCTATCAGCTTGCTTAGCAAACAATCCAGGCTCGATCTCGTATTATCCATCACAAGCATACGAGACGACATCCCTGCTTGACCTTTTCGCTCGATTTCCCAAACAAGGCGATTGCATCACTTTTAAGTACTCTTTAATCTTTTTGTTCTCTTACGAGAGCGACAACAACCCAGACGACCTCTTCGAACCCGCACATATTCTTAGCGCCAAGAACGAACCTTTAGTTAAAAAAGAGAGTGCGTCTTCGAAGAAACGCAAGCAACTCCCTAAGACTAAACCGACGCCGAAGAATACAAGCAAGAAGTTTAAGGTAGAGGCTATCAAGGAGGAGGCCGAGAATAAATCTACGATACAAGTAGCATCTGAGGCGGATTTTGACTTTTCACAGGACTTTAAGTCAGATTTAGGGAGCCCAGGTCAGGTCTTAGAGGATATCAAGGAAGGCGAGACTCAAGAAGATGGTATCTCTAACGCGGACGGGACTATAGGGAGCAAATGGTTACACGTCGTCAAGCTCATGTAAAATCGCAATCTTAACCGTTCACTTGCTTTTTTCTTTAATTACCATCGTCACTCCTAAAACTCAACTGTTCAAGATCGTCTAGGCTAATATTAGACTGTGATAAGACTTGTTGTAGTCGGTCCCGACCATTTTCTGGGCGACTAAGTAACGTGACTTCCGGTTGCTTCTGATCAGTACCTAATATACTGATGCAGATGTGTCCGGAGCGAGTTGTACTCGTCAAGCCATGGATATTCCGGGTTCGGAGGACTTGAAGATATAGTTCCAATGCTTAATTGAACCAAATAATCGCATATCTCTTTAGTTTTAAGCGGTAGGTAGTCGTCTAGGTTCGTGGTATCCTCATCGAAAAGCTCGGTGCATATGCGAAGCCGATCCGGTGGGATCTCCTCGGCATAATTCTGTTCACCAGCAGAATCAAGCTGATGATATAAGACCGTAGGTTGCCCGCTTCGAACGTGTGGACGATTTGGCTGATGTCGAATAGTATGACTGTTCCACATATGAACGAATTGGACTAGCTCTTGACGGATAGTATCCATATAGATATAGAGAATTGCCACTCGATCCGCCCTGAGCTACTGTCAAATAAGCCATGTTCGGTGAGCCATTGAAAGTATTGCTAATGGAGAGTTAGTATAACTAGGGTAGATGATGGATAAAATTATACTTACTCGCCAGAACCCAGCACGATTACTGCCTAACCGATGCCACCAGCTCTCAATCCGGGTGTTATGAATGCTTCGGCCAAAGTACCAGCAGTCTCCAAATGCAATTGGGACGAGATAAGAGACCTGTTCCTTCGTTCGCATGCCGGATAGGTAATAATGTATCCCGCATAAGAGGGATGTCTCATTACCATGGTCCGATCGCAAGATACGAGGCATAGCGTGCCGCTGGTTTAGTACGTGGAGGTACTGTTTTGCAACGTTCCAGCTCGTACTGGATGAAAACCCACAGTAAAACCACGTAATATACCGTGAGTACGCGTCAATACCAGCATAGATCTCAAAACCCCAATTCTTAAGTTTGTCGTAGCCATCAATAGACCAGACCCAGTCTGGGCCATGGATAGAGAAGTCACGTCGTTTGTAACGTGTTCGTCCCCATCGTTCCCTAACGTTCTCAGGCGTGAAGTCTCGATACTCTGCGTATAGGGCATCACGACTAATAATATGATGTTGCTGGCGCATATACGTAGGTATAGAGATAGTTCCGGCCATGTCCTTGTAGAGTTGTAGAGATCTGTGCCTGGCTGTTAAAAAAGGACCGGGCGCGTTCTCTTGCGACTTGGAGCGCTTCAGGGATTGGCGGCGGTAGAGCCCTCTTCAAGCCGAATTCTTTCAAGACGGAACTTTGAGATCGTAAACCCTCGTCTCTAAGTCGTTTAAGCATGAAATCATCCTTAAGACATTCATCAAAGAATAGCGACCTAATTCGGTCCCGTAAGGTATCTGAAGTGATCGTACGTGCTTGACGAAGAAGTCCCCAGTCTTTGATCGATCGATAGAGACTGGCGCGGCTTACTTGAAGCTGATGATGCTCGAGAAGATGCGTACGGATTGTATTAATAGAGGATCCATCTCGATGCAAGCCGGTGATTTCCTCCTGAACTGTGGAAAGATCAATTTGTGGTCGAGGCATATTTGTTTAACTGAGTAAAGCGCTATTCGGGCTCAATGATATCGTAGAAGGAGAAAAGCACTGAAAATGTGTACCAATGCGCAGAGCGAACGCTTACTTTCATTTCTTTCAATATACAAGTTACCCAGTTGCACTTAGACCCGATCGGGTAATCTAACCCCGGGGTGCCCACAGCCCAAAATGCGTTTTGATACAGTCTGGCCTACAGTCGCCCGTAACGGTGGTTCTGTGGCGTGCCTAATGGGGAAAGTGCATTGTGGAATCTATTGGTATGATGGGGGTCAAAGCAGCTCGTTTCTGTTGCGAAGACCATTGCGCCATGCAGGCAAAAGTGGAACGCGCTCCTACAGGTGCGCTGCAATTGACACATATCTGATGTCTGTCTTTCTTCCCGATAGTTTCTTGATGTGTACGTGTGTGTCTGCTCCGAAAGAAAAGGGAGGCCCTTGGTGGGTGGCTTTGGGCATTAGCCTTTTCCTCCCCTGCATGCCCCCTTGGCTGGCAGCTGCGAAGCGGGGTGATCCTTTTTTTTCACCATATATTTCGACCATATCGCCATTCATTCAAGATTTTGATGAATGAATTGAATAAAGACTCCTGATTTTCGATTCGTCGAATTTGAAGACCTTACCCGATTCCGCTTCATTCAATTCAAGGGTCCTGAGGCCAATTCGACTTCAAAATCTTCAAATATCAGCCCTAGACTCACTCTTGAGCGCTGTTTGCCTTGATGGCGGCGGCGCAACGTGGTCTCATCGCAGCCAAATTGGCGAGCTGTTTCAGCGTAATTGACCGATTCTGAGGACTTCAGGAAAGCAAGCGCTTCGTCAATAGCCGCCATGGTTGTTGAGATGTTCCAGATTGATGTTGAGACAGAATGTCGGTAGGTAGGTAGGTAGGATGTCGCATATCAAGCCTGTCTAGGATGATTATTCATGAAGTGACGATGTTACTCGCAACGCCACTGTTGCCTGCTAGGCAACCACTACTGCGTAATCACGCGACGGACCTTTCATTTGCGTATAAAGAGCTGCACAGCTCCGTGCGTTCGTTCGTTCACTTCTTGTTCTTTAGATAATTCTCATCAATTGCCTGATGCCATCTCTGACCCGTGTGGAGCCAAATGTCTGACAGTTATGAGCCCGGTAGCACTTAGGCGCTCATCATAGCTGATTCCGACCATCGTGCAAGATCGCTCGCACGGTGCCTATCGCCACACGCACACATCACTCAGGGGATACAAACCCTGCCGCTTTTGTCTGCTTGCTTACGCCAATCGTTCTATCCCTCCTTGCTGCCCATTTCCCAACACCAAAGGCTTTCCGAAGATGACAGCCAAGTCTGAGGTTACGCTCTCCAGACCGTCCGAATGGGCTTCCTGGTACGACGATTTCGTCTCAAGGGCTGAGACTTCCAAGGTCTTTGGCTTTGTCGATATCGACAAGGATGCTCCGATCCTGGAGGAACCAAAGGAGCCTATGACTTCCGAGGAAATGCTTGAGTCACTCAACAAGTCTGCCTTTAACGCTTGGGCACGCGCATACCAGCAGAACGCTGCATCTGCCGGACCAAGACCAGACCCGGCCACTGACCTCAACGATGGTCAGTGGACCCGACTCACACGTCTTCAGTCCGAATATAAAGTCAAGCTAGCGACCTTCGCCAACCGGCAGCGCGCCTATGCTGAACTCGCTGTTTGGGTCCGATCAACTGTCGATAAAACCTATCTTGGCAACACGACTTCCAAGTCTGACCTTCGCGTTATTGTCCGCGACCTGAAATCAAGCCTTGCGCCCTCTGAAGACGAACAGAAAGAGGAAGCACGCTTAAGATACCGTCAGGTCCTCACCCAGACAAAGAGAGTCAAGCCGGAGGACTGGCTCGTGGCTTGAATAAAGCCAAGTTAGAAGGCGAACGACACAAGATCGCCGAGCTTGAAGGACAGTCTGCCCTCAATGACTTTCTCACAGCGACTTCTGCCTTTGATGCGACATGGGCAAGCCAGCAGAAGGTCCACATCATGAACAGCAAAAAGTTCGGCCTCAAGATTGATGTCACACTACGCGCATTGGGCGAACTGTTCCACGAGCAGGTCCGAAGCACCAGAATGAGCAGCAAGCTGTCTGACAGCGTGTTTGCCGCCTCTGATGCAGCTCAAAGCCACTGTCCATGCGGAGTGCCGTCGTCTAAGCACCGATGGAAGTCCCTTGACTGCGCTGCTGTACAAATTGCAATCAATGGCGAGTCCAAGGATGGACGACAAGTCAAGTCCAGCCGCGTCAAGACCTGCAAGGAAGCTCTCAAGCAAGCCAAGTGGAAGAGTCTTGTAGACACGGTCAAGGCCTCGGCAGCCACTGCCAAGACAGATCAAGCAGGAGATAAAGGAAACCCACGCAAACATGGCGACTTTGCCGGACTGACAATCGATGCAAAAGGCCTCACAAGTGGAACCACCGACTCGGTCTTTTCAGCTCTACGCGAGAAGCATCCTCTTTACAATTCGACGATCTATGACGGTGGAGCAACTACCCATATCGTCAATGACAAGAGTCTGCTGACCGACATCCGCGAAGCTGAGGAAACCGACTACGTTATGATCGGAGAAGGTTCCTTGAAGGTCGAAGCACGGGGCACTCGAAGGGTGGAAAATGTTCTGGATGGCGAAAACGGAAGAAACACACGCGCCCTTGTTCTTCTCGACGTTGCGCATGTGCCACGATTCCACACGAACATTGTCAGCGCGAAGAAGCTTGCAAGGAAGGGTCTATGGCACTGTGGGGTCGACAACACGCTTCGAATGGGAACCTATGACGACAATGATATCCTTTGTCGGCTTACAGACCAGTACGATCTCGACGTAGTCGAATACAAGCCAGTTTCCCGCTCTTACTTCAAGCTTCCACAATCACTGATCTCCGTGTTCAACGCCTTCCAAGGCGTATTTTCTTCCTTTCAGACAGACAACACTAGGCCAAGACGGCAGAGAATGGCGATTTCAAGGGTTCCGCCTCCACCACGATTGATTCGTCCGAAACCTGGCATCACCGATCCTGCCACGCTGGGCCACAAGCACTTGAACAACTTGTCTTACAGACAAAGGGCATCCGGATCAAGGGCCCAACCACCGTTCAGTGCACGGCCTGTGGCACCGGCAAGGCAACCGAGATTATCTCCCGCAGGGAATCCCCGAACAAATCAAGGCAACCGTTCTTTCGGGTCTTTATCGACATTTACCAGATCGCGGGCACGCCGTAGCGGACGATGAGCGCCAGGATCTTGTGCCGCATGCTGAGACGGAGCTCAGTTCTTATCAACACCTTCATTCTTCAGTCTCGTGGCCGGCCTCAGTGGAAGCCCTACCTCTCACAGGGCCAGTGGCGGCAGCAGCTTGTTGACGAGATTATCGCAAGATACGGAAAAAGCGGCAGCTCGAGGCAACGATATAACGCCGGCAACGAATTCGTGCCAATATCACAGCATCAACATATCAACAGGGGAAAATGCTCTCGCTGCTTGGCCTGCCAAGGATTCAAGCTGGGCCAAACACGGTCTCAAAGCCAGCAAAAAAGGGGCCAGAGGGCGGCTCTGGCTGACTTGACTGGCAATGCCCTCAACCGCCGGCAGGCGCGGCAGACACGTTGGGGATGTAATGCATGCGGTAGCTTTGTGTAAAGACGGAAGTAACTATTAATGTGTGAGTTTTTATTGGCTGTAATCCCTGTAAGGTACACGCTTGCAGCCTTCGTACACTCAATGGGATAGGGGCACGATTTTGAGGCTTAGTCAGAAAGCGCGCCCCGGGCGCCAGTGTAAGTTATCAGCCGCCGACGCAGTGGGGAGCCAATGTATGTATGTATGTGTATTTCACCCGGAGGATTTCTCCTATAGGGCCTAGACGTAAAAGCTACTGACATTTCAATACATTAATGCGTAACACCTTAAGCCCCACGGATGTGGGGAGCCAATGCAATGCAATGCAATTTATTCCGCCCGGAGGGACCAACCCTAGAGGGCCGCGACACTCAGCTATTTACAGATCCTCCACTTTCGACTGCAACACCCAGAAGCCCCACATTTTGCTCCTATCCGTACATTTCAGCCTCCAATTTCGCCGTTGACAGGCCTGCTTGAAGGCCCATTTCTCCAAGTGTTCAGCATCCTATTCTCAGCAGCTGAAGCCCGGTCTGTCAATGAGAGGCTGTATGGTGCTAGTACTGTGCACTCTGGTTTGCCAGTACTGTCATCGTTGGTCCGTGTCTAGTCTCCCGGTTGCCATCGCGAATTTGATCGTAGCGCGTACTGCTGGTAGGTTCGGCTTCCATTTGTCGCCATCGGACATCGACTTCCTCCTAGGAAGAAAGACAGATTTCCATCTTGGTTCGATTGCATTTCATCATGCTTTTCTTTCAGAGATCCATGCCTTACATCGAAAGAGGAAGTGCTCCACTGTCTCGATTGCTTGACCACAGCCACATAGGTCGCTTTCTGCCGCCTGTATTCCATGAAGGTAACTATTGAGTCTCGATTTGCCTGTGCGAAGTTGCGCAAGTACTCTCGCTTCTTTCCCACTAACGTACCTCACTGAGTCATGCAACGCACCACGTCATGCAACAAATTGCCCGACCGGCAAGCCAGAGCGAAAATTAATCCTGCAACCGACACAACCATTTAAAATACTATTAAACATTACAATATGTGAAACACTTCATACAGAGTCTATCTATATGATGGTTTTCTTAGGAAATATGAGCAGGCGGTCTTGTGGTCCGCCCAGACCTGAGAGACTGAGAAACCGGCCTCCATACTTCCCTGCGCTTCCGTCGAACGGGAGGTATGTCTTTTACCCCTAAAGCTCCGGGACTGTGGTCTCGAGCCACTGAAGCTTCAGAACCAATCTTTACCCTTTCTTCCTCCGAGTTGTTGCGTGGTTGAATGCCCGTCGCGCAAACCCGCTTCCAACGCCCCTCGTTTTTCTCACCGCTACCATGTCTTTTGTGCCCTCTTACACCAGGCTTTGACGTAGCAGCTACCTCAAACTTGACTTCCCGAATAGCCTGGCGTTCAGCCTCGCGTGCAGACCTCTGCTTTTAATTTTGCTGCGGCCTCCCGTTTCTCAGCTCGCTTTGCCTCGCGCTCCGCAGCACGCTCTGTCTTCTCTCGAGAACGCTGCTCTCGCAAGGCCTGACGCATTGCAGCCCGCTGTTTTTCTTCTCGGCAGATTCTCGAGCCTTTTCTTCACGTGATATGGCTACCTGGAGTCGACGATCTTCAATGGCTTGCTTGCGCTGCTCGTCGGCCTGTGCCTTGTCCGTCTGACGTCGCCGCGCCAGTTCCACCTTGGCTGGACTGAAAAAGACCGGCTGGCCACCACTTTCTTCCGGATTGAAAAGGCCCAAGGCCTTTCTGCGTTTCCTTTATGTGCAAGTTTGAGCGCTTCCTGTAGATCTCGATTTTCGTGTTGTACGAGCTCATATTGTGTCGCCAGTTTCTCTGATGCTCGGGAGAGCGCTGTGACTCGGGAGTCCATCAGCCCTTCCTTGCGGAGACGGCGGGTAATGCGCCGAATAGCCCGAAGAGAGCCTGGAGTCTTCATCGCCCTTTCCTCAGATGCAGTTTGTGGGGGTGTCACATCACTGCTGTGGCTAATCTTGGACAATACTTTGCCGGGGTCGAGTGGATGGATTCCTGTGGCCCGCCAACCAGCCTCGATATTTTTGGCCGTAAATGCCTGGTTCCACGCATCACGAAAGAGTGGCCAAAAATTCCGTTTGGTAGGCGAATTAACCCCATCCAATGGACATCAGCTGGTCGGAACCTTGAGCATAATAGGTGGAGAGTGCGGAAAACAGGCCAACATCGAGTGGTTGAAGCCGATGAGTTGAGTGCGATGGCAACACAGCAATGAGAATTCGATTCCGATCGGCATAGTCAATGAATTTCAGGTTAATGTGACTATTGTGACCGTCTAAAATTAAGAGACGGTAGGCACGACCAGCCTTTTGCTTCGTATGGCAGTCAAATATGCGCTGAAGCCAGTGTAAACCCAGTGCATCACAGCTCCAGCCGTTTTCCGTACTGGCGAAGAAGGCTACTTCGCTGGAATGGTCAAAATCCTCAAGCCAAGTATCTTGAAAGTCTTTTGACTCCCCTTTGTAAATGAGGGCCGGTGGCAGGTACGAATAATCTGCACATATGGCAGCGATCAGCGTGATGAACTCCCGGTTCCCGTCTTGGCTTGCCCCGACCAGTTTTCCGCGCCTGAGGGCTTCTCGGGGGACAACTCGCTTGGTGGAGCGAGAGAGACCAATTTGGAATCCCTTCTCGTCAAAATTATAAACATTTGAGGACTGATGTTGTACTTTTCGATCTTTTCGCGGAGCTAGTTGGATTCGGTCAGAAATGGCGACTTTACGGCATTTGACCGAGTATTGTCGGCAGTATACCCTTGAAATGACGATAAAAGCAGTCTTACTAGATTGAAGAAGTTTTGGAAATGCCTGAATTATCAGCAGCCTTCCGCTGATGATCTATGGTGCGCAAATACAAGCTCGAAAGACGGTCATGGTGTCGCTTGCGGAAGCGGCTCACCCAGTTGACACCAAGCTCTGTCCCTGCGATTTCCTCGGCGATATTCTTCAACATCTGAGGGTAGGCGGGATACCACGGTCGGTCAGCTTATTGACGTGCCCAATAAGAATCTCCTCCTGCGCGCTGGTGAGTTTCTGTCGCGAGTAAGAGTTCGCGTCGTGATTTGAGGCTGTTTTGCCTTTGAAGCGGCGCCACAGCGTGGATTTGTCGATATTGTATCTCCTCGCGGTCTCTGCATATTTAGGGCGATCTTGGGATTGCAGTTCTATAATTGCCTCTGCAATACGAGGGTTGTGATCCATATCGCGTCAATTTGAAGAAGACGCGTCAGGTGTTGAAAATTGTTGCATGACCTAGTGCGTTGCATGACGCAGTGGGGTACGTTAAGTGAGTCGTAGATCGTTCGCGTATGAGAGGCGCGGACCCCCGCGCCTTTAAAGTCGGCGCGGACGTCCGCGCCTGTTATGTAAGCCCAGGCGGAAGATAGTCGGGCCGCCCCCTGACCTGTACTCTCCTTTTCTATTGCATGTGGCAAACTGTCGCACAGAGAGCCAGCCTCATATAGCATACCATCTGCGCTCAGAGTAGTTGTCCGCGGAAGCGATGCTATAATCCGCATATTAAGGTCGAGCGCCTGCATGCGTGGTGCTTGGACCCCATTGAGGCCAAAGCTCAAACGCAGGCTGCATTAAACCTCGCAGGCGGCCTCGGTTACAAGGGTTCTGCACCACGTCCACAAAGCAGGAGTTTCCTTTCCTTTGTGTATAAAGAGCTGCTCACTGTCGTGCACTACAGCTAGCTCTTCAAGATAATTCCAATATGGGGCTTACTGAATTCCCTGACGATTGCCTTCCTCCTGAGGGCCAGTTCGACTCGCGAGAGTCTCTTCTTGCCTCAATTAATGCGTGGGCGGCTCCAAGAGGCTATGCCTTCACCACAGGCAAGTCCACGAGAGACCCGCGGTCCGGAAGACGCACAGTCATATTTGCCTGCGATCGTGGAGGTAGACTTGGGGCTCATACAAGCAAGGACCAGAAGCCAGCTGATCGGCAACGGTCTACAAGCTCCCGTATCACTGGATGCCAGTTTTCCATCAATGCGAAAGAGAGCCTTGATAAGTCGTACTGGTATGTCAGGCATCGCCCAGGCGAGGAGAAGTCGGTCCACAACCATGAGCCCAGTCTGCATATTACAGCACATCCAGCTCATCGTGCCTCTCCTCAACTGACCAGTCAGCTATTGGGAACCTCTCAAGCGCTGGCATAGCACCAAAGGATATCCGGACATATATGCGCCAGAGCTCTCAGACTGCCCAAGGAGCGACACAGCAAGACATATATAACTGTATCGCACAGCGCAGACGAGAGCTCCTTGCTGGCCAGAGCACAATGCATGCCCTTGCCAATGAGCTTGACAACGAGGGGTTCCAGAGCCGCATACAGCTTGATCATGATGGCCGAGTCACAGCAGTCTTATTCGCACACCCAGCGTCTCTAGGATACCTCAACGCATACCCAGAATTACTACTGCTAGACTGCACATACAAGACGAACAAATATAAGATGCCACTGCTCGATATGATCGGCGTTGATGCCTGTCAGCGGTCATTCTGTATTGCCTTTGCCTTCCTCAGTGGTGAAGACGAAAATGACTATATCTGGGCACTGGACCAACTCCAATCGATATACGAGTTATATGACATTCGCCAGCCATCGGTTATCCTGACAGATCGCTGCCTCGCCTGCATAAACGCAATTTCCGGTGCTTTCCTGCGTCCAAGTCTCTGCTTTGCATCTGGCATGCGAATAAGGCGGTGCTTAGCTATTGCAAACCAGCTTTCGACCGTGACGATGAGGACTCTAATAGTGATGAGAGGTGGGCTGAGTTCTTTGGGTATTGGCACTCAATCGTGGGCTCGAAAGATGAGGAGACATTTGATCAACAAGTTGAAGAGCTCGAGAAGCGCTTTGTGCCACGATACGTCAAGGAGGTTAGCTACATACGGAAACCTGGTTGGACCCGTATAAGGAAAAGCTCGTCAAGGCCTGGGTCGATCAATATGCTCACTTCGGCAATGTGGCTACTTCCCGGGTGGAAGGCATCCACGCATTATTGAAGAGTCACCTTAAGAAGTCAACATTAGACCTCTTCGAGGCAACGAGGGCAATCAAGCAAGCTCTCCTCAACCAACTGGCCGAGCTACAAGCCAACCAAGCCAGGCAGCATATACGGATGCCAATTGAGCTCTCTGGAACCGTATATAGCACGGTACGTGGCTGGGTATCACACGAAGCCTTGCGACAGGTTGCAAAGCAACACAAGCGCCTCAACGAGAAAAACACCCCATCTTGCACAGGCAGCTTCACCAAGTCTCGCGGTCTCCCTTGTGCGCACGCATTACAGTCTCTCATAGTGGAAGATCTGCCCTCCGGCTACAACATTTTCATACACATTGGCGCCTTCGACGGGATAACAAAGAGATTGGTCAGGTCCTCATAGAGCCTCGTCGGCGACTAGACCAACTTGTCGCCGCATCAAGGATATCACAGTCATCCACACAGCGCGAGCCAAGTGCATTTGAAGCCATAGAGTCAGATCTACGGCCAAAGGCGCCGCCTACATGCAGCAAATGCCACCAGCAAGGGCACATCATGACATCTCGCAATTGTCCTTTACGCTATAGCGACATACTGCAGCGGGCAGAGGCACGGGCGGCACAGACTGCAGAGACTGCAGCAATTGCAGGGACTGCACAGACTGCACAGACTGTACAGACGGTAGCAGTTCCAGAGACTGCGCAGACTGCAGCAGTCATGGAGAAAATGACAGTTGCAGTCACTACGGTCTCTACAGTCTCTACAGCAATTGCAGAGACTACAGAGACTACAGAGAATCTATTATATGATGACCCACGAGCCATCTATCAGAGGTATGTCAGGAAAGAGACTCTTGGTATAGAGCACAGCCTCGCGGCAGTCTCAAGACCAACCAGGCATACCGAAAGGCAATGGGCTTGCCATTGCGCTACAGCAAGACTGAATATGACTGGTGCCTCGACTGGAAGCAAATGTCAAGGAGCTGCGGCTCGAGGCAATGGACCAAGGTAGAGATGATGGCATACCTTGATTGGGATAAGGCAGAAGAAGAGCGATTAGATGCCCGGGTGGCCGAGGAAATTCAGGTGCAGCCTTTCTCACGAGAAAGAGGTACTGCAGGTATATGGGCTGACTGCGAGAGAGACTCAGAGGAACAGCAGGCATTTTATTCACATATATAAGTGGTGATGATGCCGGCGATGCGAAAATGTGAGGCAGATCGTGAGATCACCGACATGCACCGGCGTGTAGCACTGTAGCTGGCCAATTTTAAGGCGGTGAACTTCCCGCACCCTCCCTTGCCACGCAACAGCGGCGCCCTTTGCGTCACGTCAATCTACCAAATAGGGAAGGCTATGGGTTCGAACCCTAAGGGATATCCTCCTTTGCAATTAATTGAAGCTATATGTATGCAGCAAGCATGCTGTATCGGTGAGGCCGACTGCGAGCGCAGTTGGCGGCGGCCCAAATGGCCTGCCAGGCTTACATAACAGGCGCGGACGTCCGCGCCGACTTTAAAGGCGCGGGGGTCCGCGCCTCTATTGGCTCCCGCCGACTTTGAGATCTCAATTGAGGTCTCCTTTTTTGTAAAGACTTTTATCCCGGCTTTTAGTTCGTGGTGGTGGGTTCGGCCCATACGCCATGGCGGGGGGTAGCGCAGGCCAGGTCGCGGTGGGGTTGGGTAGCCCGTCAGCATCGCCGACGCGGTCGACGCGTGGAGTGACGCCCAGCGGAAGGGTCCAAGACACACTTCGATCGCTCGAAAACGCGACATCGAAGACGTCAAAAAGACCGGCGACTCGAGCGACGCGGATATCGCCAGCCGAAACCGAAATTGAACGCGTAATCGAAGAGAAGAAGGCTCGCAGCAATGGCGAGACCGGCAAGGCGATGCTCCAGAGGGTGCTGGAGGTGTTGGGGAGAATGGGAGGTGAAATGGGAAGATTGAAGGATGCGATACACGAACAGAGCGACACCATCCGTGCCCAGGAGAGCCTGATCCGAGAGCTCCAGTCTCAAGTCAAGGAATCACGCAGAGAGTCTGATCGCGAGAACAAGGAGTTGCGAGAGGAACTCCAAAATACGAAGAAGGACCTGAGACAGATTCGGGAGCAGCTTGAAGCGTTCAATGCCGCAACGAACTCGGAGAGGAACAGCCCTCAAGCCTCGTATGCGGACGTTGCCCGAATAACGCCGTCGAATATATCAACGAACCTGAGCAGCCCATCAACGCGCATGACACCATCGTCGTTCAGCGACACGCTCTATTGCACAATCGACCTATCACGAGTCGAAGATCAGAACAGAGGCAGAGCGCAGGTGGGAGAAATCCGGCAAGCCGTCGAGGCCGAGATGAGGGCGAAGGAGGGTCATGAAGGGTGGCGATGCGCGGCAGTCGTGAAAGACGCGCGGAACGCAGAACGTGTTAAGATCATGTGCAGGAATGAAACAGAACTTCAGAGAGTCAAAGACGCTGCGCAGAAGACGGCGGTCATAGGAGCGCGGGTCATGAGGGATCAACTCTACCCAGTCAAGGTCGACAATGCCAATCGCACGGCAGTGTTGGACGCAGAAGGCTACGTCTTGACGGGTGCAGCCGAGGCACTTGGCGTGGAGAACAACGTCACCATTGCCAAGATTTCGTGGTTGAGCAATAAAGAGATAGGAAAAGCGTATGGGTCAATGGCTGTTTACGTTACAAAGGGGAGCGATGCGAAGAAACTACTGGATGGCCAATACTTTGACCTGGCTGGGAATCGGCGTGCACGAGTGTCTTCGAGCCGCGCAAAGGACCAGTGCAATGCTACAACTGCCAAGAAATCGGTCACAAGGCCTTCTCATGCAAGAAACCGCAGACCTGCGGTAGATGCGCGAAGCCGGGGCACCACCATAGGGAGTGCATTGCGGCGGAGCCAAAGTGCGTGCCCTGCGGAGGACCGCACGAGTCGCTCAGCCAGAATTGTCGATTGCGCAACCCACCACGCCATGCATAGAAAGCTAGGTATCTTCCAGCTTAACGTACGCAAGCGAGACACGGTACAGCTCAGTGTTATGAACGACGAGGAATTGAAGGACTGCGCGGTGCTGGCGATTGCAGAGCCCTACGCGCGCAAGAAGGACGGGATGATCGTGACGGCCCCGATGGGCCATAGCAGTTGGTCAAGGATACTTCCGACGCAGACCAACGAGGCGGGATGGCCGGTCAGGAGCATGCTTTGGATACGGAAGGACATCGACTCGGAGCAGGTCCCGATACCGTCGTCAGACCTGACAGCGGCTGTGCTGCATCTGCCAGATAGAGATGTCTTGGTGATGTCGGTGTATGTACAAGGGAAGGACGAGGAGGCCCTGATTCTCACAACGACGGAACTGGGCGGTCTAATCACCCGTTTCCGTAACGGCACTGGCAAGCGAACCGATGTGGTGTTGGCAGGGGACTTCAATCGGCACGACCTACTCTGGGGAGGCGATTGTGTCACGTCCAGGAGACAAGGTGAGGGTCAACCAATCATCGACCTTATGAACGAACATGGCCTTTGCAGCCTGCTCCCCCGCGGCACGAAGACTTGGCAGGGTCCAGATAAGGAAAGCACGATTGATCTGATGTTGGTGTCGACGGAACTGGCGGACGACATGGTGAAATGCGCCATTCACCCAGCGGAATATGGATCGGACCACCGGGCCATTCATACAGCCTTTGACATCGACCTACCAGAAAGAGACCTCACACCGAGGCTTCTACTTAGGAACGCGCCCTGGACAGCAATCAGGAACAGGGTCGAGCAGGAGCTGCGACCAATATCTTGGGACGGCAGTTTACAAGACCAGACCGACCGCTTCATGGAAGTAGTGCTTAGTGCGATCAATGACCTGACGCCACGGGCGAAGCCATCCCCGTATGCAAAGAGATGGTGGACGACCGACCTCACCCGACTGCGACAGGTCTACACCTTCTGGAGAAATCAAGCTAGGTCAAGAAGGCGAGTGGGACAGCCAGTGGTGGACCTGGAAAGGCGGGCGAAAGAAGCAGCGAAAGAATTCCATGACGCCATTCGCAAACAAAAACGGCAGCATTGGGATGACTTTCTGGCCGATGACGGCAACATTTGGAGGGCCGCTAAATACCTCAAGGCGGGAATGGACTGTGTGGACAACAAGGTACCACAGTTGAAGAGGGAAAATGGAACGGTGACGAAAGACAAGCAGGAACAGGCGGAGGAGCTGCTCAGTGCCTTTTTTCCGCCACTACCGGACGCTATCGAGCCTGAACATGAAGGACCGCAACGGGCGCCGGTGCCCATGCCAGAACTGACCATGGAGGAGATTGAAAGGAAAGTCATGACAGCCAAACCCTGGAAGGCGCCTGGAGACGACGGCCTGCCAGCCATGGTCTGAGACAGCTATGGCCGGTGGTCAGAGGGCGAGTGGTGCATCTGTTCCGGCTATCAGTGGAACATGGAGTCCTGCCGAAGCAATGGCGAATGGCAAAGATCATCCCACTGAAGAAGCCGGGAAAAGATGATTACACTGCGGCGAGGGCCTGGCGACCAATATCGTTGCTGTCGACACTGGGCAAGATCCTGGAGGCGGTGATGGCCGAGCGGATTTCCTTTGCGGTGGAAACGTTTGGGCTGTTGCCAACTAACCACTTTGGAGCCAGGAAGAGGCGTTCCGCGGAGCAGGCTCTCGTGCTCCTGCAAGAGAAAATCTACAAAGCATGGCGAATGGGCAAGGTGCTTAGTCTTGTGAACTTCGACGTCAAGGGTGCTTATAACGGAGTGTTCAAGGATAGGCTTCTACAACGGCTCGCAGCGAGGGGTTTGCCCGCGAGCTGGTCAGGTGGGTAGACGCATTCTGCTCTGAGCGGACGGCCAGCATCACGGTCAATGGACACTGTACCGCACAGCAAGAGCTCCCACAAGCAGGTCTTCCCAGGGATCGCCGCTTTCGCCGATTCTCTTTCTTTCTTCAACGCAGACCTAGTGCAGACCAAAATCAGCACCTCCGGAGGATCAATCGCATTCGTGGACGATTACTCGGCTTGGGTCACAGGCTCGACTGCAGAGTCGAACCGGGACGGAATCCAGTCCATCATCGACCGTGCCCTAGAGTGGGAAAAGCGGAGCGGGGCGACGTTCGAGGGCGACAAGACGACCATCATTCACTTTACACGAATGGCCGAGCGCTCTAGCTCAAGTCCATTTGTTATCAAAGGAAGAACGATCTGGCCACAGGAAAACGCCAAGGTGCTGGGAGTGGTCATGGATGCAAAACTACGATATAAGGAGCATATGGCACGAGCGGCATCGAAGGGACTGGAAACCGCGATGCAGCTGAAAAGACTGCGTGGATTGTCGCCCCGGGTGGCCAGGCAGTTGTTCACGGCTGCGGTTGCGCCTGCTATGGATTATGCCTCCACTGTCTGGGCTCATGCATGCGGAGTGAGGAGGGCTACTGGTTGAATCGAGCACAGATGGTAGGGGCGCAGGCGGTGACCGGAGCGTTCCGTACCGTGTCGACGGCAGTCGCGGAAGCAGAGGCAAGCATTCGGCCGGTGGTAAATCGGCACACTCAAGCAGCGGCGAGGTTTTGGATCAGCGTTCGTACTCTCCCGAGGGCGCATCCTCTCGCCCGGCTGGGCATCAGAGTGTGCCGAAGATTCACGTCCCCACTGCAAACGATGGCTCAAGAGCATGGAGAGTCAGCAGGTCAAAGCTTGAAGTCATCAGAGAATACGCGGTGGCCCCGTGGAAGACCGCATTCGTGTTCTCTGTGACCTCGATGATGACCAGGCAGCTGAGTTGGTTGCGAAAGCGCAAGGCATTGTCGTCGCGACGAGCTCATCCGAAAGGCGAGGCGTAGTCGGCATGGGAGGCTGTGTTCGAGATACGAGAGTCAACAACGAGCAAGAAGCACTGGCGAGCTATTCCATCACTCTGGGGCCGCGAGAAGATCAAAACCCATATGTCGCGGAGCTGGAGGCGATTGCCACGGCTCTGCGATGTATGCCAGCGCGACTCGAGCAAAGAGAGCTAGTCTTTGTCACAAGCAACAGATCGGCCATGCAGGCGATTGGCCAACCGCGCCAGCAGTCGGGCCAATACATCATCCAAGAAATTTACAAGCATGTCAGGCTCTTCCGGCAACGGGGTGTTTCGATTCGTATGATATGGGCCCCGGCAGGAGCTGAAGGGTTTGCGTTGGGGGCAAAAGCAAAGGCAGCAGCGCGGAAAGCGACACGCGAGGGGCGCATCCAGGAGAACTCGCCATTTCAAGCCCGCTCGACAAGAACAAGACTAGTGCTCTCTGGACTGCAACAGCAAAGACTGGAAATTCCTGCGAGAGTGGGAAGATACTCGAAAAGAATTGACACGGCGTTACCAGGCAGACATACGCGAACGATCTACGACTCACTTAGTGGGAAAGAAGCGAGAGTACTTGCGCAACTTCGCACAGGCAAATCGAGACTCAATAGTTACCTTCATGGAATACAGGCGGCAGAAAGCGACCTATGTGGCTGTGGTCAAGCAATCGAGACAGTGGAGCACTTCCTCTTTCGATGTAAGGCATGGATCTCTGAAAGAGAAAGCATGATGAAATGCAATCGAACCAAGATGGAAATCTGTCTTTCTTCCTAGGAGGAAGTCGATGTCCGATGGCGACAAATGGAAGCCGAACCTACCAGCAGTACGCGCTACGATCAAATTCGCGATGGCAACCGGGAGACTAGACACGGACCAACGATGACAGTACTGGCAAACCAGAGTGCACAGTACTAGCACCATACAGCCTCTCATTGACAGACCGGGCTTCAGCTGCTGAGAATAGGATGCTGAACACTTGGAGAAATGGGCCTTCAAGCAGGCCTGTCAACGGCGAAATTGGAGGCTGAAATGTACGGATAGGAGCAAAATGTGGGGCTTCTGGGTGTTGCAGTCGAAAGTGGAGGATCTGTAAATAGCTGAGTGTCGCGGCCCTCTAGGGTTGGTCCCTCCGGGCGGAATAAATTGCATTGCATTGGCTCCCGCCAGTGCAGTGTAACCGTTTGGCAACGCACTGCTGGTCCAGTGAGGCCTCCCCCTCCACACTGCTGGTTCAGTGAGGCTTCCCCCGCCACACTGCTGGTTCAGTGCGGCTCCCGTCAAACTGCCCCATAGTTCAGTGCGAGCGTCGCGCACTATCAGTGTCACCATCAGTGTGACGAGTGTGACTTGTGTGATAGAGCTAAACTTGGACGTTTGACCATTAACGTAATTCCTGGCCTACTTACAACGAGTCAATCGCTGATTAAACGGCGGGATGCGTTCTTGCTCAATTTTACAAACCATCTAGCTCTTACGAGATATCAAAGTGTTGCCAGGGCAGAACGAGCCTCTGCGTAGCTTTCATCTCATGTCTGTAGGGTAGCATCTGGTCACACTTCCCATACTCTCTGCTAGGCAGAACTTGACGTTGAAGCCTTTCCTCAGTTCACCTTGCCCCCCGCCGACAAACACGAAACAGACGCGACAGGGTAAAAGCAGATCAGATGTGCAATATTTATTGCGCTCTCCAATCGCCAGACCGCTTCACGATCACTGAACTTTACCGCTCGACTAGTCTTGATGAAGCAAGCCACCGGCTTCCAATCATCCAACCTTGAGGGATGTGATTGGACGTCAAGCTCATTCTGGGACGCCCGATTTTGGCCTTAATCTGACCAACTTGACCAATAGCGAGCCGGAACAAAGAGCTGCAGTCTCTTGAGCGCTTTACTGAACCGAATTCACGCTTGCATGCGTATGAATCGCGCCGTGACGCGCCAGACTATTTTATCAGGTTTTATCAGGGCCTCGTCGCGCTTTGCAGTGTCCCAATTTCTACGGCAATGACTCCCTGTTCCGTAGTTGCGGTCGTTCCCGTACCAAGATTGCCGACTTCGACACGCCCAAGACGTTTCTTCAGTATCTGATCGCCTCCAAGTTCGCGACATCATGGACAACTTCACTCAGGCGGATGCGGCCGACTGCGCAAGTGACACTGCCGCCTCATCATCGCCAACACCGTCCACTTTGTCCCCACTGAACAGTTGCCGCCAGCATATTTCGCCCGTTTGGCAATTTTGCCGAAGAGAGGAAGGGAAAAATTATGCGGCAGCTTGGACCGACGCAAACGGGACGAAATGGTGGCACTGTCAACCCTGCTGGAATAAGAAAAGAGCCAAAAAGTACAATTACTCTGGCGGTTCATCCGCCATTGTCAACCACTTGCGCAAGGAGCACCGAATCATGCTTCCCGGAAGACAAGAAAACAGGCGAGAAGTGACGCAAACTCGACTTGGTGACATCACCGCATTTTTGGCCGATGAGGCCCAGGTTTCCAAGAAACGCAAGGCGACAGTGGCTGAAAATGCCCTTGACCAGCCCATGTTTCGCGAGCTTTACTGTCTCTACGTTGTAGCCTGCAGTCTGCCATTCACTCATGTTGAGCAGCCAGCTTTTCGCGACTTGATACAGTACATTTGTCCGGCTGCGAATGATCTTCTTCCGACATCTGGGGATACCATTAGAAGCGATTTGCAAAGAGGCTACGATGGCAAACGGGAGTTTGTCAGACGTGCACTACAAAATGCTCTCGTCGATACACATTGTTCCAGACAACTGGACATCGCCGAATCATTTGGGCGTGATAGGATTCACGGTTCAGTTCGTCACCGAGGATCATGGTCTGCTGTCCTTGGTGGTCAGGATCAAAGAACTTCAAGGACAGCACAGTGGTGAGAATATGGCGGAAGCCATCATGGAGTTTGTGCGAGAGTATGGAATAGCCTCCAAGATTGGTTACTTCATGATGGATAACGCATCCAATATGAACACAATGATCGACAAAGTCAGCGACGACCTGGAACGTGAGTTCGACGTTTTCTACGACCCTCCAGCATCGACTTCGCTGTTTCGGCCACATCATCAATCTGGCGGTGATGGAATTCCTCATAGGTAAGCGTCCGCGCACGATCGAGTCCTATCACGGCCCATCCGAAGATGAGATCGAACAGTGGCGGACACGAGGGGCGATAGGGAAAGTACATAACATCGTTGTCTTCATCACATGGACTCCTCAACGGCTCCAAAAGTTCACAGGTCTCAGTGATGGTCTGCGGCTTCGGCGGGATAACGACACCCGTTGGAACTCGTGGTACAACATGGTCGAATGGGTTCTCAGACCAAAAATTCGTCAAGCCATTACTGTGTTCTGCTCCGAGGAGCCTGCGCTGCAAGAAGATGCCTTGCACCCGTGCGATTGGATTGTTTTGGCCGAGATCCATAAATTCCTCGAGCCCTTTCACGACGCTACTATTGCCAACGAAAGCTGGAAAAAGTCCATTTCCGATGTCCTACCTACCATGGACTACCTTTTGCACCATATCGAAGCAGCCAGAAATACGACCGATATACCTCACCTAGCCACGATGATGGAGACAGCATGGGCAAAATTAGCCGACTACTACGAGCTCACAGAAGATTCACCTGTCTATTCGGCCGCGACAGTCTTGAATCCTTCTCTCAAGTGGACATACATGGAAAAGACCTGGGAAGACAGGCAAGAGTGGATTGAAAGAGCGAAGGCTCGCGTTGGGCAGTTGTGGAGAGATGAATACAAACCGGCCTCGCAGTGCTGCATTACCAGACCAATTCCTGAACAAAGACCAGATGCAAAACGGCCAAACGGATACAAAATATGGATGAAAGAGCAGAAGGCTACGATTTTCAGCATGGATGATGACGAGTATGATGTGTACTGTCGCGAACCTGTAATCATGGTATCGGATCCGCTCAAATGGTGGCTGGATCCAGCGCAGCGGCGACGATTTCCGGCCTATCCTTGATGGCTATAGACATTCTGTCAATCGCGCCGATGTCGGCGGAAACGGAGCGACTCTTCTCTAAGGCTAAGTTATCAGTGACCGATCAGCGAGGTTCTATCAACGTCGAAACACTCAATCTTCTGGAATGCCTCAGGTCTTGGGATAATAGCGCACTGATACTTCCGACAGAGGTAAGTTCCTAACCAACGAAATGGAGACCAGCTTCTTACGAGTGCATTTCAAGTGTCGATACATGGACGGCAGCCACGACACCATCGAACGCGTCAGCTCTGAAGCCTAAGATTCAGGTCTCGAGGACGAAAGTCAGCATCGGCTTGGTAGAACGTGATGCATTTGAAGCAATGAGGGATTCATGGGCACATGGGCGGCCTAAGGCGGAAATAACGTCTTGACTTCAATCGTGTGCGCCAAGCCTGTATTTTATATATCGCACTGATAGTGTAAACTGCAGTTCGCAGTGCAGTGCAGTTTGTCGCTGACGAACGGACGGACAGTTTGGTTTGGCCATCTGGTCTGCACTGCCAGTTTGGTTTGACCATGTGGGCTTGCACTGCCAGTTCAGTGCGCCCTGGCCGAGTGCACTGGCAGTTTGGTCCAGTGGCGTCACACGCACAGAAGGGGCCGTTTGGGGTGTTCACACGCACTACTTGCACTATTAGGAGCCCTGAAGAAGGGGCTGTGGTGTGAGATTTCGTGTAAATTCCCCGTCTGATTTCCCTCCTCTTTTTGGAATAAAACACGCAAGATTTGCCTACCCCTTCTTTTTTGACATTATCATTAAGCTCAATAAATTACTTCGTATTTTTAATTCACTATATGGTGTGAATTTGTCCATCTTGTCGGAGGCGTCGTCAGTGACATTTTGTCGTCGTGCACGGACCAAGTATGGAAAGGTGTATTGCAATACTTGCAATAAATGTGGGGCCGATACCGATTATCGATTGCAGGCCTTTCATGTATGGAAAACCACCCTGGGCGGAAGAAGGATCCTTTCGTCTCTTCGTTCCTCAAGTTCCTCAAGGCACTCTCATTGGCAGAGCTCCCTTGAGACGATGTTGCAGTGATGTCACAGTTATGTGGATGCGCACATTAGGAGTCTTGTGGTGTATATTGAAAGCTCTGCCCCATCCATCTAAGGAGGGGTGCAGCCGGGACCTTAAGTAGGTACCGGCGCAGGCTAGGAAAACTCTTTTGTTTACAAAACGCGTAGGGGTCTGTTACGCGTCACGGTAAAGTGACTTGTGCCGCGTTGTGACCGTTCCTAGCGTACGTAGACTCCGCACCCCTTGTGACAAGTGACCCTCTTGGAATTCCCCACATCCGACTAGCCTGGGTTTGTGCCATGCATGCCCTTTCTGACCGCATCCACTGCACATTGCATGGAAGACTCGGTATATTTAGATTGCCGAGGCATTGGCGAGTGGAATGATATTTATTTTATGATTTTATCGCAAAAATTGCACGAAGAAACGCGGTCACAGTACAATATGTAAAGTCGACGCGTCGGTGGGGTAGAGGGTGCCCAAAGTGGGGGGTGTGCCTGAAGTTGGGGAGGCTGACTTAAGACCTGCTCTCTCTCCTAGTGACTCTGCACTTAAAGGTATGTCTTCGAGATACATACATATGTATGTATGTATGTGTATTTCACCCGGAGGATTTCTCCTATAGGGCCTAGACGTAAAAGCTACTGACATTTCAATACATTAATGCGTAACACCTTAAGCCCCACGGGTCAGCATACGCTACACCAACCTCGCCGCTACTCGCTCCGTGACAGGCCTGCTTGAAGGCCAATTTCTCCAAGTGTTCAGCGTCCTACCTTCAGCAGCTGAAGCGCGGTCTGTCGAAATCCGAAGTCGAATACCTGTGTGTTAGTATTGTTGAAGGTTAGTGCCATAATCGATCCTAAGTGGATTCTCACTTCCGCTGCTTAGCCCGAAGGGCCAGACGCTGCCTGCGTCTCATCCCCAGGGTTCCGCGCCCGACAGTTCCGGCTGTACGATTCGTGTGGTCCACCGCAGGGCACGCACTTTGGCACTGTCTCCTTGCATTCTCTGTGGTGATGTTCTGCTTTCGCGCTGCTGCGCGCATCTGCCACACCTTTGCGGCTTCTTGCATGAAAACGCCTTGTGTCCCATCTCTTGACAGTTGAAGCACTGAATCGGTCCTACGCGGCGTTCAAAAACATTGGTGCAGGCGGACTCTCCCGCAACATCGAACCACACGCCGTCCAGAAGTCTTTGCGCGTCACTCTCTTTAGTGACATAGATCACCATTGACCCGTACGCTTTGGCTTTCTCTGTTGCTAAGCCAGGTGATCTTGGCAATCGTGACGTAATTCTCGGCTCCGAGCGCCTCAGCTGCGCCCGGCAGAACGTTGCCTTCGGCGTCCAGCACTGCGGTACGCTTGGTGTTGTCGACTTTGACAGGGTAAAGCTGATCTCTCAGTACCCTGGCTCCCGAAGTTACCGTCTTCTGCGCTGCTTCCTTGACCTGCTTCAACTCGGTTTGGTCTCTGCATAAAATTTTGATCCGGTCGGGGTTTCGAGCGTCTGTCACGACCGCTGCGCATTTCCAAGTCTCCTGCCTCTGACTCTTTCTCATGTCGCTCTCTATGGCCTTTCGGATGTTGCCGATCTGCGTCTGGCACCTGTTCGCTTCTTCGACTCGTGATGTGTCCACCGTACAGTAGAGACTATCGCTGACGGCTGTTCGTGCCGATTTAGCTGCTGGTACGGTGCCCCGGTTCATTGTCTGGATCGTCGGCGATGACCCTGCAGCGCTCGCATACGACATCTGCGGACTGCTCTGCAGAGAAGATGCGTGCGTAGCCAGGGTCTCTAACTGCGCTCGGATGTGACGAAGCTCATCTCTCATCTCTTTCCCTTGTTGATCCATTTCCTGGATCATCTGCTGTTGCTTGATATGATCTCGTTTTGCGCATCTATCGCTCGGCTGAGCTTTTGCGTTTCTTGACGTGACTCGCTCAAGAGTTCGAGAACTTTCTGGAGCATGGCTCGGCCTTCGTTCGCGCCACCGCTGCTGCTGGCAACTTTGCGCCGCTCAGTCGCGTCACTGATGGCGACATCGTCCGAGGCAATGCGCGTTGCAAGCCTAGTTGCGCGTGTTGTCTTCTCCGCCAGATCGTCGGGCTGTCGCGCGGCTTCTCGAATTTTGGTGCTTGGCCTCACGACGCGTGTCGATCTTTTCGCGGGTGTCGACGCAGGCGACGCGCTTCGCCCCACCATATTCACGGCCTCAGCCGGCGTCTCCATGATGAGGCCCCTCAATGCCTAGCTGGCGTTCGCTTCAGGCTTCTTGTCGAGTTCGTCGGATCCCCGGTTTCCGCGTCAAGGATCCTTTTTCACACTTCTCAGCACCAGCTTCTTTCCTAGTCCTCTACATACATATCATATATAGGTAAGGTATATGTTGCGTCACAAAGTGGGTGCCGGCAAAAGACGTGTTCTTAGGTTACAAAGGAGAAATCTGTGTAGGTACAGTTGTGTAAGGGGCGAGGGGACTTGCGTCCACTGTGCCCGCTGAAATAGGTGACCGTGTGGACACGGTCTCCCAAAGTACCACCCTCAAGTACCCCCCTAGGCTTTGTTGGGTTTCGCCGCGACAGTATAGTAGGCTTTGGCTATTTTGCGAGCTGAGATTTCAAAATTCCTCTGGCATGGGAAAGAATGCTCTCCCCCTCTTCGCCGGACGAAAGGTATTGAAGCACCTCCTGGATAGTGTCCTCCAACTTGGCGCAGATATAAGATGTTAGACTCGCCTTACCTCTTTTCTATTTTGCTCATCAGTCCTCCATCATAAGCACCGCTTGTTCCTATTCTCCAAAGACCAACTTCCGACTCCTATCGACAAGATGAAGATCGTTGTTTTGGCGGCAGCACTCTCCATTGCGGCTGGCACTGTTGCCTCGCCCCGCAACTCGAACGGGCACGCTAATACTAAGTCTGCTACCGCGGAACAGCTTGGGGCCATGTCGGAGCAAGACGCCCACTCCCTGCCCGTCCCCACCGACTTGCTCTACCCACCAAGCTCCCTTGAAGATTCCGGCGACGACGGCGACGACGGCGACAACGGCGACACCCACCAACCCCCCCTGAAGATTCCGGCCACGACGGCCACGACGGCGACAACGGCCACGACGGCGACAACGGCCGACAACGGCGACAACGGCGACAACGACGACAACGGCGACCACGGCGACCACGGCGACCACGGCGACAACGGCGACAACGGCGACAACGGCGACAACGGTCCTCCCGGTCCTACCGCTCCTACCGCCCCTACCGCCCCTCCGCCCCCACCCCCTCCCGGCCCGGTGGGCAGGGATGGTACCGTCCCCATCCAACGCTGTTATGCCCCGTCGCTTCATGATCACATGACTACCGACGAACAAGGCGGCCCGGGCAGCCGCTGCGAGAACCACCCTCTATACAACCACGAGGGCCCCCTCGGCTTTGTATACTCCAGCCAGCGCCCGGGCACTAGTCCCATTTACCGCTGCTATGCCGCGCAGCTTCATGATCATATGACTACCAGGGAGCCGGGCGAGCCGGGCACCCCCTGCGAGGGTAGTCCTTTTTATCAGCACGAAGGGATCCTCGGCTACGTATTCAACAACCAGGCCGATGGCACCATTCCCCTGACTCGCTGCTATGCCCCGTCGCTTACAGATCATATGGACACCCTCCAGCCGGGCGAGCCGGGCAGCCACTGCGAGAATCATCCTTTATACGTACACGAAGGGGTCCTCGGATACGTAGTCGCTTAAGAAGCTATGCACGCCTGCAGGATTACTACTCGACAATGCATATATCACACGGAGGATGAGCAAGTGAGCATAAAGATCAGGGACTGGAAGACTCTTGATTCTGCTATCTAAGGTGGGAAAGTGTCGAGAAGAAGGTCTGAACGAAGTGAGGCCTCTAGGTAAGAAGGGAAGTCTGCAGACTGTTATTTCTTCTTCCTAGACCACTGAGGGGTCCGGAGGATCTCCTATTCGAACGGGGACCCTTTGAGGAGTCCGGCATAACTATTACTGGCTCGGGGACCTCGAGAGACTGAACTATCGATCTAATAGCTAGAAGAGCTAGTTGATCGGGGAGATGGAGCTGATGTTGCTGACGTAGATGACTTACGTGGCCTTCAGTAATTGGCAAGAAGTGCCCTCTTCCTGATAGAATGTATACTATACCTGAAAACGGGATATCAACTTGGGAGAAGCTTGGGGGGATACAAAAGGGGCTGTTTGGACGGAAAAATGGCAACTAGGGAGCAGAGCAATAAACACATGCACATCACCGACTATCAGATCATCTGAGAATCTACCTACGAAAAGTCCCTTTATTCACTTTTATGCCCACTTTTGATCTCTCCTTCGCGAGATCTTTCGCTTTCCTCTCTCACCAATCTTCCACCACCTCTTACAATGTCTCTAAAAAAGGGGACTGGATATTTCCTACCCCAAGTCGGCTAATTCCTACCCCAAAGTGGCGCAAACGCCACGACTTGCAGTGCCCACATAAATTGGCTGGTACCAACAGGTACCCATGTCTCAATTCCTACCTGACATTTCACTCCATCTTTGAGGGTATTCGCACGCACGCAGCGTACCATTTTCTTGCCTACTGTTCTTCGTTGTCAATCCCCTCATCATGCAATCGATCATCGGCCAGACCTTCGACGACTTTGCCTCGTGCGAGGCTGCGATACACCGTGCCGCGAGGTCCGACTCTGTCAGCCTCGCCTTAAAGTCGAAGAAGCGGCGACCCGGAGCTGCAGAGACTACTGCGGCGGATACGGCAGGGCGTGCAGGACCGCACGGACCTAGACCTCCTCAACTCGAGGTGCCACCGGGAAGGCAGGCGGATCCCGTGGGAAACGGGCATCACCGTGGTAACGCCGCTGAACAGGAACCGGTGGAACCTCAACATGGAGGCGAGCTTGGCGTTCCGGATTCTGCAGCAAACGACGATGCGTGTCTTCATCTCCGAGCACAAGTGGAAGGACGGCCTGCCGACCGAGGAAGAGGCCATCATGATGCTGAACCAGGGCGACGACAGCGCGATCCCGGTGCCGGCCATCTTCATGTTCGTGGCCGGGATGCCGGCCGTCGTGAATCACAATACCCATCAGGGGCTCAAGTTGGTGAATGGTGCCAGCTACACGGCGGTGGAGGTAATCGTCGACAAGGCGTACCCGGGGCATCGGATCTCGGCCGACACGACGATCCACTTCGGGCCGCCGGCGGCGATTATACTGGGGTCGGAGACGACGAAGGATTTCCACTTCGTCGGGATGCCGCCCGGCACGATCCTCCTGACGCCCATGAGCGTCAGGATCCAGCGGAAGCGGAAGCGACCGTGGCAGCAGAACGACGTCAGCCGCAAGGGCCTGCCGTGCGCCGCCGCTTTCGTGTGCACGGATTACAAGGTGCAGGGGGGGACTCTGGAGCGCGTCGCGCTCGAGCTGCGAGGGACGAGGACGACAAACGTCGGCGGACGCGCCGTCCCCTCGCAGTGCGACCCGTACAGCCTGTACGTGCAGCTGTCTGTCACACATAGGATATCAGCCTCCAACAGTCTGACCCCCTATTCGCACAGTCCGTTTCCACATTTCCCCACAGAAACTTCTAGGAGGCATCATCAACGCATCAGTGGCTTCCAGATGATCCGATCAGATGCTTCCATTCACTACCATTCCCTTCCATTCTCATATTCAGGCAGTCTATAAAGATCTCGCCTCTTTCCCACCTTAGATAGCAGAATCAAGAGTCTTCCAGTCCCTGATCTTTATGCCCACTTGCTCATCCTCCGTGCGATATGTCCACTTGAGAGAAGGATTCAAGACTGTCGCGGCCGAATAGACAGGTGAATCTTCTGTGAGCTCGTAGTAGTCGGCTAATTTTGCCCATGCTGTCTCCATCATCGTGGCTAGGTGAGGTATATCGGTCGTATTTCTGGCTGCTTCGATATGGTGCAAAAGGTAGTCCATGGTAGGTAGGACATCGGAAATGGACTTTTTCCAGCTTTCGTTGGCAATAGTAGCGTCGTGAAAGGGCTCGAGGAATTTATGGATCTCGGCCAAAACAATCCAATCGCACGGGTGCAAGGCATCTTCTTGCAGCGCAGGCTCCTCGGAGCAGAACACAGTAATGGCTTGACGAATTTTTGGTCTGAGAACCCATTCGACCATGTTGTACCACGAGTTCCAACGGGTGTCGTTATCCCGCCGAAGCCGCAGACCATCACTGAGACCTGTGAACTTTTGGAGCCGTTGAGGAGTCCATGTGATGAAGACAACGATGTTATGTACTTTCCCTATCGCCCCTCGTGTCCGCCACTGTTCGATCTCATCTTCGGATGGGCCGTGATAGGACTCGATCGTGCGCGGACGCTTACCTATGAGGAATTCCATCACCGCCAGATTGATGATGTGGCCGAAACAGCGAAGTCGATGCTGGAGGGGGTCGTAGAAAACGTCGAACTCACGTTCCAGGTCGTCGCTGACTTTGTCGATCATTGTGTTCATATTGGATGCGTTATCCATCATGAAGTAACCAATCTTGGAGGCTATTCCATACTCTCGCACAAACTCCATGATGGCTTCCGCCATATTCTCACCACTGTGCTGTCCTTGAAGTTCTTTGATCCTGACCACCAAGGACAGCAGACCATGATCCTCGGTGACGAACTGAACCGTGAATCCTATCACGCCCAAATGATTCGGCGATGTCCAGTTGTCTGGAACAATGTGTATCGACGAGAGAGCATTTTGTAGTGCACGTCTGACAAACTCCCGTTTGCCATCGTAGCCTCTTTGCAAATCGCTTCTAATGGTATCCCCAGATGTCGGAAGAAGATCATTCGCAGCCGGACAAATGTACTGTATCAAGTCGCGAAAAGCTGGCTGCTCAACATGAGTGAATGGCAGACTGCAGGCTACAACGTAGAGACAGTAAAGCTCGCGAAACATGGGCTGGTCAAGGGCATTTTCAGCCACTGTCGCCTTGCGTTTCTTGGAAACCTGGGCCTCATCGGCCAAAAATGCGGTGATGTCACCAAGTCGAGTTTGCGTCACTTCTCGCCTGTTTTCTTGTCTTCCGGGAAGCATGATTCGGTGCTCCTTGCGCAAGTGGTTGACAATGGCGGATGAACCGCCAGAGTAATTGTACTTTTTGGCTCTTTTCTTATTCCAGCAGGGTTGACAGTGCCACCATTTCGTCCCGTTTGCGTCGGTCCAAGCTGCCGCATAATTTTTCCCTTCCTCTCTTCGGCAAAATTGCCAAACGGGCGAAATATGCTGGCGGCAACTGTTCAGTGGGGACAAAGTGGACGGTGTTGGCGATGATGAGGCGGCAGTGTCACTTGCGCAGTCGGCCGCATCCGCCTGAGTGAAGTTGTCCATGATGTCGCGAACTTGGAGGCGATCAGATACTGAAGAAACGTCTTGGGCGTGTCGAAGTCGGCAATCTTGGTACGGGAACGACCGCAACTACGGAACAGGAGTCATTGCCGTAGAAATTGGGACACTGCAAAGCGCGACGAGGCCCTGATAAAACCTGATAAAATAGTCTGGCGCGTCACGGCGCGATTCATACGCATGCAAGCGTGAATTCGGTTCAGTAAAGCGCTCAAGAGACTGCAGCTCTTTGTTCCGGCTCGCTATGCCTTGAGGAACGAAAGGATTGGGGGTGATTATCGATCCACCACTTTCTACTAAAAATCCACCATAGTGGGTCAATCTGTGGCTGGTTCGCGCCAGAGCCCGGGCCCTGCCAATTGTGCGCGATCCCGACCACCAACTTGGAGGCGCGAGCAACGCAATTGATGCCGTAATTGATGCCGTAATTGATGCCGCAAAGTGATGCCGGCCGTGGTGCATCAATACGTGTGTAGGAAGGAAGGTCATTTTTAGAGTCATAGGAGGCGCAATTCTGCCAATTCAAAGGCAAAGGCGAAGGCAGTAGTAACTACAGCTCGTCATCGGCCAATTCTTGCTGCAAACGCTCCTCTGCATCTATCTCCTTTTCCATTATATTAAAATCGGCCAAACGGTCATCTTCGTCCTCGGTATCTTCCCTCTTCCTCTTGACGGCAAGGAACCCCTGCAAGGTCCACTGTGTGGCCGGCTGCGTGGCCTGATAACAGAGGATTGTGTCCTGGGTCTCGCCAGCAAGCTCATATTGAGAGTCGTCAGCAGCAGCGGCGCGCTGATACGCCCGTGGCATCTCTGTACCCGGCTCGTAGGAATCCCCGTGTGTTTGAAGGTATTCCAACCTGCTTCGTCATATTAGCAGCGGCAGCAGTGGCCGCCTTCGGCGCCTTGGCCCTCCCCTTGGCTCTTCTCTCAACCTTGCCGTCAGCCTTGCGCTTTCTTGTGCCTGTGCCAGTGAGTGCTACCGGCGCTGTTGACGGCGGTGGCCTGGTGGCCTCGTCACGCTCGGCTCTCTCAGTGATCTCGAATGCCGAGGAATTGCGGCGTGTGCTTTTCTCGAGGTTCAATGAGCCCTGGGTCGGCCTTTGCCGCGCACAGGCTGAACGTCGTTAGAGTTCGTGGCCTGAGGGTTTTCGCGATGCCAGAATTCGTCCACGTGACTCATTTCGAAGGGAACAGCGCCGGCGGCGCCAACGCCGGCGACAGCGGCATCTTTAAGTCGATTGAAGATATCGTGCCGGCAGGGAAGGCCGAGTGTGGCCTTAATGCTGCAGTGGTGCTGAAGATCACAGCGGCCGGGCGGTGGCTTTGACTTGTCAGTGACTTCCTAGGCACAGCGCGGAATTCCTTTCCTATCGTCTTGAGCGCCCAAGACGAGAGATTTGGCCTGATTTTGACGAAAATCGGGCTAATAGTAGACGTAGATGTCTTATGTATGCCAATCTGCTGCGAATTGAGTATCTCGTCCGACTGGTGCCTCCAGAAGGCCTTAAAACGCTGGAAAACAGAGGTCAAATCGCCCGTCGAGGTCCACAGGAACCGCTTCATCGAGGCATGCATGCCCTCAACGATAGAGGTTGTTGTATGGCCTAGGTGCCGCACCCGGTTAACGAAGCACAGCACGATCTTCTCCTTCCAGCGGTCTAGCCACGTATTCACAGCGTATGCTATAGCGGCCTCTGGGTGACGGCCGGGTTCCTTGAACGTCTGTAGCCGTTGCTCGTAAGCGGCTTCATCAGGGCGTTGACGAGAGAATGCCATTCTTTCAGGAAGGTGGTGAACTTAGGGTCGCGAATAACCCGATTTTTATCGTCCCTCTTCGCCTTAGGGAAGTACGCCTTGCAATTCGCAAGAACGTTCTTGTTGACGTGCCAGCGGCAGAGCAGGCAGATTACTAGCCGAAGCGCTGGGAAGGAAACGATGGCTTTCATTAAGGCAAGCTCTCGATCCGTGACGATGACCCGTGGCATCGGAATCCCCTCTTCTTCGGCTAGCTCTAGCAGGCACTGTAGTGACCACCTGTAATGTGGCTCTGCCTCGCCGCTTAGGAAGACAGCGGCTATAGAGAAGGTCATCTTCTCTGCCGTAGAGCCACACACGTTCAAAAGAGGCATCCTGACCGGTTGGTCTTGTACGTACAGTCCAAAAGGAGGACATTCGGATAACGCTTCCAAAGCTCGATGCCGGTGCGCGGTGCGATGAAAAGGCCGGTCAGCCGGCCTTCCTGGTCACGTGTATCCCGGAAGAAGAAGCCGAGAGACGGGTCTTTGAGCTGATCATAAAGAAACTGCAGAGGCGTGCGGCCCGCGAGTTCTTGGGTGCGATATAGGGCGATGGCGTTGCGAATGTGCTGTGCAAGGAGGAATTTGAGATCCGGGTCATGCTCTGGGTTCTGGCAGAGCCCACGGAGCTGGCAGGTTATCAGGGCCGGCTTAAGGCCACCGTTGTACAAGTGGATGATGTGATCGAGGTTATCCGCAATAAGCTGGGCGCGATATTTGCTGTGGGTGATGGCCGGCGTCATGGGGTGGTTATGTGGCTTGGAAGATTGGGTTGGAGACGCCCTCCAGCTTTCGCCGCCGTAGGAAGGCTGGAGGCGAATCTTGAAGTGGCAGTCGGTCTTTTGCGTGCTCGTATTAGGCCGAGCCCTCGATTCGTGGGCGGAAGGATCGTGCTTATCGCGATACTCGCCAGCCTTCGAGCATATCAGCATCTGATACGTGATGACGCCGGCTTTCCCACCTCCGCGTGGTCTTCTTGATCGCAAGGAGAAACCTTCGTCTTCGGCAGCAGCATCACAGGCGGCTTTGATAGCCTCGTGAGAGTCGAATTGGCTTGCGAAAACGGCATCCATTGCGGTGGCGGTGTTGTAGAGATATCACGAGAAGCTTCACTTTTGGTACTACTGTGTTATGCGGTGTGTTGCGCAGTGTGTTGTGCGTTGTGTTGTGCAGTCAAGCTTGCGAAAATCCGATTGTACGATGTGTACTTCGTAGGGAAGGTACGGAGTACACATAAATAAATTTTGCGGGGGCCGGTCCTCGCCACAGCCGTAGCCACAGATTGACCCACTATGGTGGATTTTTAGTAGAAAGTGGTGGATCGATAATCACCCCCAAGACATATGTCACAGTGGTAGATGCTCCAAGGTCAGGGGTATTCTCCCGCCTAAAGCGCGGTCGGTCTTGGTGCAAGCCTCCCAACAAACTTGCGTGATCATGGAGTTAGTCAGGGGGGCTCTCGGCTGCCGTGTGCCTGAACATGCTAAAATGCCACCACCACCGCGGACGGCAAGACCAGCTGTGCATAGCGACAGTGGCACAAGCCATAATGAGGCCTTCCGGGCGTCAATGGTGTTGAGACCGATCCAAGCATTTAGCCAGTGGACACCCTGGCGTGTTTGCCTGAGGCATGATATATCCATTCCTGACCGGATGAATCTCGGCCCGATGTCCAACTACGCCATGCGCTCTTCCGCCTAGCTCCCTCCACGCTTTTCGACCATTCCTACTTCGGGCCCCCGAATCCCCATTCTTGCAGCATCCCCGTGATATCTTACCTCACTGGTGATGTCTGCTGAGCCTGTCGACCACACCTCAGTGCAGCATCGTTGCGCTTTCTACGTATTACCGGATTGAATGGCTACTCTATCGGAACACGATCGCGACATAATCGCACGCCATCCCCTGGGCAGCTCTCTGTGCCACCTGAGGAAGTCACTTCAGGATGCAGAGCAGTCCTATGTATCAATCTCTGGTCCTCATGGTGACGCCATCGATGACTCCGAAGAAGGCTGCAAAAAGGCGATATGGCGACTACTGACTGCTTTGATGGGGCAAGAGACAGCCCTTGATCTCCATTCGCCCCTCAACAATCGAAACGTGGCATCCGAACTGGCGACTATTTTAGGGCATCTTCGTCAAGGCCACTACGACTACGGCCACTTCTTTCCGCTGGTTAAACTCGTCACTCAAAAGGCGTCCGACGCCAAGATCTGGAACGCCGTGCTTGATCTTGTCGCCGCTCTTACCCGAGTAACGCCTCCTGCAAGCGTTCCTGCGACATTCGACAGCACGCCTATTACCCATTCCTCCGCTTCCCAGCAAGGTACCGAACAGACACGAGAGGTGGTGGAAAGAAAGGTCTTTGAGGAGATCAGATTTTGCACATACCGCGACGTGGAAGGATTCTTTGAGAAATACTTCGAGGGGAAAACCTGGACAAGCCGTGCCTTGGGCATCTATGAGGCGATAAAGGACCAACACGTCGATGGCGCGTGGACCGGCCTTCCGAATCCGCCCGTGCAGGACGGAGTTCTGGATTGGTGGTTCCGATTCCAGGATGACTTCCTCTCGGAGGAACGACGCCGCTACTATTCGACCACGAACCCGAAGGATCTTGTCGGTGCCGAAGCTCAGCGACAGATCGATCTCTTTGTCAAGCGAAAGAATGGGCAGCCGCCAGATGCCGCGCACGACTGGAGGGATGTCGAAGTGATTGGCGAGCTCAAGGCGTCCAATAACAACAAAAAGGCGACGCTTCTCCAGATCGGCCGATACGTGCGAGATGTTTTCTCCTGCCAGCCGACACGTCGGTACGTTCACGCGTTTACAATCTGCGGGCGCGAGATGGAGGTTTGGGTATTTGACCGCTCGGGATGTTACAGTCCTGGCGCGTTCGATATCCATGACAAGCCCAAACGGTTCATACAGGTGATCGCCGGTTACGCAATGATGAATGATGAAGAACTGGGGTTGGACACGTTTACAGAGCTGGATGGCAACAGTCGCTTGATACACGTTGACCAAGACGGGACTTCAGGCAGGAAGAGGCTGCGGTTGGAGTCGCAGCCTTTCACCCGTCAACGGGCAGTCGTCTGCCGTGGGACGTCTTGCTATCTCACGAAGCCTCCGGACTTCGAGGATTGGAGTTATGTCGTCAAGTTCTCCTGGACGTCCGACAGGCGAAAGCCAGAGGCAGACCTTCTCAGATTGGCCCGTCAGAGAGGAGTTGAGGGCATTGCCGACTTGATCGGCCATCGTCGCATAACCAGCATCAATGAGATGCGATCAGGCCTGATATTCACAAAACCTTACACCTTTCGAGGTGCTCCAAGCTCTGCGTCGGCTTTTTCGCAGTCTTTCTCCCGGTCTCAGCCTGCCAGTGCCCTCTCTCGGTCATTCAGCGAGCTTCCAGGCTTAAGCATCGCTGACAGGCCGTTAAGAAAGCGCAAGTCGGCTGATGTCAGCCTGAAACCCTCTAAGCGATCAAGGTCCAACAGTCAAAAGTCGAGCCAAAAACAAAACGAGGTCACGTACGATGTGGAAGGAGCCCAAGGAACGAGTCTGCTCGCTCCCAACAGCGGACCGTATGATAATCGAGTCTTTCGATGTCTCGTAATCTCCCCAGCTGGCCGGGCGATCCACAAGTACGAAACGAAATCGGAGCTTCTAGGGGCGCTTTGCGATGCCATCAAGGCACACAGGTTCCTACACCTCAAAGGCAACATCCTGCACCGGGACATTTCCGAGAACAACATAATCATAACCGACCGCAAAACGACTGGCCACATGGGCATGCTGATCGACCTGGACCTTGCCAAGGAGCTGGGCAGCGGGCGCAGCGGGGCGCGCTGTCGCACTGGGACGATGGAGTTCATGGCAGTTGAGGTCCTGCAAGGGATCTCTCACACTTACCGGCATGATCTAGAGTCGTTCTTCTATGTGCTCCTCTGGCTGTGTGGTCGTCGTGGTTGGGAATTACTGCTCAACCAGAAGGAGCGGCCTACGCCAAGTCTGTTGACGAAGTGGTACACAGGCAGCTATCGAGAGATTGCGAGCGCCAAACGAGGGCATATGCACGTTGATGGATTTGAGGACATCTTGGAGGAATTTCCGCAACCCAAGTTCGACTGTATCAAGCCCCTTTGCAGGGAATTGCGGGGGATCTTGTTCCCTTACAGGGGACGGGCTCTTTGTCGGGACACCGAAGGATCCGGAGATTCTCTATGGGCCAATCATCAAAGCATTTGACAAGGCTATTGATGAGATCAAGGCGATGGAAGGATAAGGTGGTGTCTACTGTTCAGTATATTGCGATACACCTACTATGCTAATACATAATGGCTCCTCGATTTTAGAGGTTTGAGGATCAAGCAAGTGGTGCTCTTCACATCTCTGCATCTATCCCTAGGTCGAGGGTCTTAGCTACATGGGCTCTCAAGGCATGTCCCTGGTAGTCCCATGCTGGGGACTGGTCGTTGAGCCGCACGAAGACACGTAATGGCGAGACGGGAAAAGCGATGCTCCAGAGGGCGGGATGGCTCCGGACAGTCAGGTTCGGACAGTCAGATTACAGGGATTACTGCGCTAAGCAAGGTTTAACAGTCATCGCGCCTTGACTAGAGCCTGAACGGGAAATAAGTGCCCATTTTCAGTCTAGTCTAAAGTGTAAGATATCCACCGGGCGTTTGGTGGCTGATTCAGCGGCTGAGCGCCAAAACCCGCCATTTACGTAATGAGGCAAAAATCCAAGAAACATACGATGAGGTACATGGAGCACACTAACCTGATTTGTCTAGTCGGAGCCGGCTTTGGTTGTTTTGCAACAGTGACCCCTGCCGTACATTATCGGCTCGCCACATGATTGTCAGCAGTCGGTTGCAGGCTACAATAGCGCGGACAAGGGGCATGAAGTGAGCCGGGACAGCTGGTACCGCCACGTCGGCCGACGGCGGTCGAGCGACGGCTGCTAGGCTTGCCACAATCCGGGTATTCTTGACGAGCAGGCCGGAATGCTCTGTGCTGACAGATTGTTGGTGCGACAAGACGGTGCGCCTTGTAAGTAAGTTATGTCGTACGAGCCGGCAGCGGCCACCTCTTGGCAAGGGAGAGCGCAACAGGACCTTGTTGCCTTCTGCGTTGTGGACCTGCCAAGCACTTTAGCCGCAGTTTCCATGCTTTGGGCGTCGTAGAACCTCCTGGATAATTCATGCATCTCGAAGCCGGTGGTTCAATCAAATCCCCCAGGGGCTTTTCAAACCCGTCAATCAGAACGTTGTGGGCTGATCGTCCATAATCCGCGCAAGCTAAATGTCTACCGTGCCCACTGGTCAACCTCGGCATCTAGCAGTGCCGGTGCATGTACGCTTGTGTAGATATAATTCGCTTTTTTAGGCACGCCGATTCATGTAGGTTGCTAAGCATCCCGTCATTGGTGAATCGACAGTTCGTCATCAACGAGGCTGCACTTCCATCAACCTCGCCTGACCCTGAGACTCAATCAGAGGGTCGAGTTCCTCCTCTCCAGCTCTCGCTCCCCATGTATAGACAAGACACGGGAGACGGCGCCATGATGACGCAGAAAGTGCCTCCAGCGCCGTCGACTGAGAGGCAGGCGCAGAACCTTGCTGCCACCAGTGCCACCGTGAGCACCCCGACGTTCCAGTGGCGAAGGGACAGATACCTAGTGGCCCTCTCTTTCAACATCGCTGCCTTCCTGCTTCCAGCCCTGTACAGTACCCTGACCAAGCTTTGGGTTGCCAGGATTGACTCCAGCATGGTCGTCACGACAGAGTCAGCAGCATTTCCCTCTACCCACCAACAATGGCTCCCTTCCGCGACTGACATGCTCAATCCCCAGCGTCTACACGTACATGGCCACCATCGCCGAGGTCATCAACGAGGGTCTCCCCCGCGTTTCGTGGACCACCATTGGTGACAAGCACTCACGCAAACGCAGCCAACGTCTAGCCTTGACGCATACTCTCTTACTCGCGCAGTCCTTCCTAGGGCTCGTCCTTTCGCTCATACTGCTCGGCGCCGCAGAGGCTTTCGCCAGGGGGTTCGTGCCTCTCGAGGTGCGCCAGCAGAGCATCACTTATGTGCGCATCGGCAGCTTCTCGGTGTGCAGCGGTGCCATCGAGGCTGCCATTGGCGCTGCGACGAGGGCCCTCGACGAACCCGACGTCGCCCTGGTCTTGAGCTGTATCAAGTTTGCCGTAAACATTGTCCTCGACTTGCTGCTGATCTCAACCTTCAAAGTTGGGAGCTTCGAGCCGACGGCGAATCTACAGGCGGGCATCCATCTAGCCTGCAGTCTCGCAGCCGCTTTCGGCGCCCTCGCTTACTTTTTGTTCAAAAACTCGGTCCAGGAAAGTGGGAGAGAGCGGGTAGCGCCCAGTCTCTGGGCCCTCAAGATCCTCCTTTGGCCGGCCATTCCAACCTTTGTCGAGTCGGCCATCCGAAACTCCTTTTATCTGTGGCTCGTCACCACCATCGTCTCCATGGGAACCACCTACGCCACGGCTTGGGGCGTCTTCAACACCATCCGCTGGGGCTTCGTCATGGTCCCCGTGTCCGCCTTGGAAGCCACGACCCTGGCCTTTGTGGGACACAACTGGAGCCGCTGGCGGAGCGACATTGGCATCACCACGCTCCAGCCCCGGCCGAGTCTGGCGTCTTTGGGTCGAATCACCCGTCCGGCATTCGTCTCCGCCGTCCTGGCCCTCGCTTTCGAAGTGCCGCTTTGCATCTCCATGTATTTTGTGGGTGCACACTCCTTCGCACGGTATCTGAGCGGCAGCGATGAAGTGGCTGAAGTGACCGCACGTATGTGGAGAACGTTGGACTGGTGCTATATCGTGTACGCCGTGTCGACGCAAATGAGTGCCATCTTACTCGCGACGCGGCCTAAGTGGTATCTGTGGCAGAGCTTGGCCAGCACGCTTTTATACATCCTGCCCTGGACCATCGTCTGCCAGGTCGCCAAGCCGGATCGGAACAGTGCCTGGACGTACCACGCGCTGACATTTGGAGGGAGTCTGGTGTTTAGCTTCATCTGCATAATGGCTGTCCTAGGACTATGGGCGTGGACTTTAAGGACGGGGAGGGCGCACTTGGAGCAGGTCAGACTCCCGCCCGACAGTGCTTGACAAGGCCCTCAAGTCATCAAGCTTCGCGGCTATCGCTGCCACCAACTCTAATTGGAGGAAGAAGGGGTATGCAAGGCGAAGGCGAGGGCCTTGAGAGGGTAGTAAGGTGTGTGTACAAAGGGCTCGAGAGGTGAGCCTTGAGCTCGCACCTAGGCCTTGATCCCGCGCAGCACTGCAGCAGCTTTTCCATTTTGAGCATGGAATAATTTTGGCTCAGTGCTCGGTGGCACTCAATGGTCAGGACCGAGAGTGGACTCGATGCCTTCCACCACAGTCATAGTGATTCCACAGTGGTTTTTTTTTTCTAAAGTCTACCGGTATGTACTGCAATAGATGCACGATACCGTCGCCTAACGTCCTTCTTAGTCAGAGCAGTTGCCCGCCGCCCCCGCGAGCACACAGCTCGGCGGCCATATTACAATTATCTGGACACACAGTAACCAGTGTTGAGGGAGCTGGAGGGTCAGGTTTATTTGTTATTTGTATTACGCCCGGAGGGATCCCCCTATAGGGCCACTACGCTAATACGTAATCTACGGTTTCAGCACGATGCTGCATGCCATCCAGAGCTGCATGCCACCCATAGACCACGCTTCTTTTCGCATGCTGCCTGGCGTCGGTCGACGCTTCCATCCATGACAGGCCTGCTTGAAGGCCAATTTCTCCAAGTGTTCAGCGTCCTACCCTCGGAGCTGTCGAGCCGGCTGCTAGTCACGGCGACGTCGGAGGCGGCGGCGGCGCGGATTGGCGGCATCACCCTGCACTTGGCCTGCGGCCTCTCGGTCGTGCAGTGCGGCCAGGCTAGGGGGGCGACGAGAGAGGTCGACGGGGTGCGGCTATCGGGCCAGGGCGAGAACAAGCCACCCATAGCTACCCTAATTTTTCCCTCAACCGGATCGCTTGACCTAAGCGCATACATTGAATGGGGCATGAGTCTGACCGAGAACTTCCGCAACCGCCCTTGTGATCATGATTTGTGAGGGTTTCGTATCGAGGTCAAGCTGAGTAATTTGAGTGGACGGGTGGAGCCTAGGAGAGAAGAATGCCGTCACCCGACGAACCTTGCATTTAATAGCGCACCATCCGCTTCACGCCCGCCGCACAGAAACTATCAGACATCAACCCCGCAGTCACTCTTCTCGCGACCACAACCGGAATCAGCAACGCACCATGGCGGCAAAAGTCCAAATCCCCGGCCTCAACAGCGGCCTTACAGATGCAGATATGGAATGGAGCCGTCAGCTGTACGTCACACGCCTTGTCCCATGCACCACGCAGACTGCCACGCACACTGACCTCGTTCCGCAGGTACAACGGCCTTCCCTCCGATGAAGCCCAGCCCGAAGTTGAGCACCTTCTCCAACAGCTCGCCGAGATTTTTGTCCGAAACAACGCCCACAAGGTTTTCGGCGTCCACTTGGTCCATGGTCACCTCCAGATCCCGGAAAAGAAAGTCCTGTTCGGAGACAGGACTGGCCCACGTTGCCGCTGGACAAAGCCTACCAAGGTGGACTCATTGAACCTCGACAGCTTGCGCGGGCACACTTTTATTCTCACAGACAAGGGCTTCCACCCGTACGAATACCACTCCGGCAAACATCCCGAATTAGCCCAAATCGAGGATAACTTCGTTTCTGAGCTGGCCGACTTCCTCAGGACAAACCAACTAAGCAGAATAATTGCACTTGAGGTTCTAGACAGCCCGTTGCCGGAAACCATGATGGAGCTTGTCCTGGGGGATCATGGAACCATGATGATGGAACCGGAACGCCTGAGAGGCTGCAGACCGTTCCGGCAAACTGGCTGGGCTTTCGTAGAAGAAAACGGCGAGCCACGCGTGTGTAAAGATGGGAAGCAGCATCATGTCACAGGTCCCAACGGCCACATCATCATCGTTGAACCGCCGAAAAACAATGAGATTGAGACTTGTTCTGATGCTTTGCATTTCTTGAGGGAGCATGGCCTTCTCAACTAGGTGCACAGGACATTAACGAAATTTTCCCCCACATCCAATGTAGTCCACACCGTGATGAATGGTTGATTGGGACTTCTGGGGATGTTCAGAAAGTAAGATGACCCGTTCAGCAGAGCTGAATGAGCCCCACTTTCGGTGACATCAGCAAGATGACCCAGCACTACCGGTGTTACAGAACTCTGCTCCGGAAGTTCACCAGGCCGATTTGTTAGTTTATGGGCTATTGGTTCGGGAACGGTAAATGTGACACAAGACCCCATCCTGCCATCTTGGTCGAATGCCGTCTGGAGGAGTATCAATGTGAATTTTTGAGCATTGTGGTTTCGTAAAGCCCATATTGCCTGCTCTTTGCCAAGCATGAACGAGCTAGCTTGGAAGCTAGGGGAGGCTGCATATCGTCAACCCTGCATAATTTGATTGTAAAATGGGAGCATAACTCACTTGAATCAAAGGCGGCAATTGCACCTGCGTGCGGCATGAGATGCTCTTGTCCAATATGTCTCTGTATCGGCGGGCCAAGCGCGCCGGTTCGCGCGGCTCTGGCTTGCTCGCGTTTCGCGTGCACTGCAGCGTCGTCATCCAGGCCATGTTGGGCAGGGTCGGACATAGTCGCACCTGATGTGCCGTTGAAGACTAGATCGGGCGAGGAGGACGCTCGTGCAGCTAACTTGAGCCGTTAGCACCCTGATGTGGCAACGTATCTAGAAGCACTCACTCTCTTGAAATGACCCCTGCACCCCCGGCTGCGGGGAAAGGGACGGTACCAGATCACATGCAGCATGTTGTGATGAATGAGTAGCGGGGTGTTTGGCAGGAGTGGGCAAAAGGACTCGGTCAAGGAAAGACGGCGCCGGGCGGTGGGTGACGGTAGCGGCGTCTGAAGGGCTTGCGGCAGAATGGGAAAGATGAGAGGCGGCCGTGCTGGTATCTCGGTAGGATCTCTCACCCTTCTTGGACTCTTCTCTGGCCCACTCTAACGATTGCGAAAACTGCGGTTGGTTGGCCAGAGGCGAGCCCTGGGCCTGGAGCTCGGCCAATAAGTCTGGGTCAGGCCAGTTAGCAGCGGCTTCCCAGTGACAACGGAGCCTTTGACTCACCGTAAATTTTCCCGGCATCAGCGGCAGCACTAACGGTGGGGAGACGAGTCCTCTGCCTCTTGGTCGCTCGATCCGAGGGTGTCGGAGCTGTTCTTTTGCCGTGGGAACCGCTCGAGGGTAGGGCTTGTTCAGACTCTGCAGTCGACGACAAAGTTGGAGTCGTCCCAGCGTCAGGTGACGACGGCGGCGATGGCGGGAACGGGCAAGAATTTCCACCAGCAGCCCTGATGTCGGCAGGCAATGGGGCTGGCAACGGGCAAGCCGCTTCGGTCTGCAAGAGTCCACTGTAGCCGATGGGCGGTGGACGATCGGGGGCGATGCTGCTCGCTGCTGATGGTGCGGGGTTTGCTCGATTGCCATCTTGGCCGTCGGTCTCGAGACTTGTTGGCTGATCGTCAAATTCCTCCCTCACCACAACGCCGAAACGGTCCAACCCAAGACTGGCAGGCAACCTATTGGCGGCACGGTAAAAATATTCAGACTCATGCTTGGCTGCCTTATAAGCGGCTTCCCGGTCTTTCTCGGTGGCCAGACCCTTGGCTTTGGCGCGCTGGATTTTGCCGCGTTGGTCCTGCCTTCTCGCTTTCTCAATGTCGGGCTGCGTGATCGGGTTCATGGAAGCTGGGATGGGATGCACATTGAGAGATTTGGCCCAATGTCGATCCAACAGAACTTGGTTCAACCTCCTCACGAACGTTGGCCAGTCTATCTCCCTCGCTGCAGCGTGTAGCTGTTGGCAGTAGGTGTGCGATATGGTCCCCCAGCCATAGTGGCGTGCGACCTGGGCACCCCAATGATCAGCCACCGTTTGGAGAGCCTTGGCACGGGCCGCCCGTAGCTTCGCTCCCTTCGCGGCTAGCTGCGTGAATTGTCGCCACGATCCATCAAGCTCGCCAGAAGTGCAATTTTGCTCAGAAGCTTCCATGACATCTCGGCAGATCGCGGACAAGATCTCCAAATTCTCGTGGTCGCCCAGAAGGCTGTCTCGTGTTTGGCGGCATACCATGGCCTTCTCTGCATCGGATTTGCAGGAAGCGAGCTCGCGCTGGAGTTTGTTGACCTGCTCCAGTTGATGGCCGACGAGCACGACAGCGGGATCGCTCCAGGGCGAACCTGGAGACGATGGAGCTCTCGCCATGGTGTGCAAGGAATACGGTGAAGGCTGGGCTAAGGGGGGGGAGAAGGAGACGGTCCGTATGGCCCTCCCAAAGGCAGGACTTGGACATGTTAATAACAATGCCGAGACTCGAGGCTTGTTGCGATTTGCTAATCCCTGTCTACCTTGCTATTGGTAGGTACTGCCCCATATTTGGTCATTCGAAATGGGACGAAGTGGAGCATACTGTAATCCCAGCCACCAGCTGGGGTGTCTGCGCGCCGCCTGCATATACGAACGACCTTCCTCCAATTACAGTTCTCCTATAACCTTTCACGCCTAGTCTTGCGACGCGTAAGGTTTACTATCCCTTTGAATGTGCGAAGGTAGCCCCCAGGTCACAGACAGGGATCTCAGCCAATAAGACCACTAGCTGATAAAGAGTACACGACATAACCAGCGAATTGGGCTATGATTTAAGTCCCAGCAATCTGGCCGAGTAGCCACGTACTGTGGGTTTTGTGACCTGGGGCTGCCTTCGCACACTCAAAGAGATGAGGCCGGTGCGCCAGCCAGTAGCGAGCATGGTACATGGCAGGCGAGAACGCGCACCCCCTTTGGCAATTCAAGGTGAGGGGCAGGCAGTGAAGCTGTCCCAGTTCTCGTGTTGTGTGCTAACTGACGGTGCAAGAGAAGCCTTGCTCAGGTCCTGCGAAACGAGAGTTCGCAAGGACCCTCCGGGCCATGGAGACCACGGAACAGCTGAGAGGGAGTGCTAACCTGCAACGTGGTGTACGCGCCATGGAACACCTAGGTGCGACGACAGCCAAGCAGCATCCCGAGGCAAGAAAACGACGCTAATGAGTCGAGGGGAAGCATAGGGACAATCGCCGGGATGCTCCAACGGCCCTATTAGCGTATGTGTGACCCCGGTAAACACACCTGAGTAACATCTTGTAGCTGCGGGGCCATTGCAATCCCAGAGTGGTGCAGGGGTCACCTTGGGTCGTCCCTGATTCACACCTTCCACTTCATTTGCACTACATATCTGCAATAAGATGCCCCGGCACCACGGGCCGCCAACGCACGAGAACGGGTGGCGTCGTGTTGTCACGGCCTTGCTCCACCCGGTAGCGGTACAAGTCAGCCAATACGACTGAAAAACGAATACCTGCGATCGCCCACCCACATTTCAAATCTGCACAAGGGTCACAGTGCAACCGCCCAGCTGAAGTGGAACGAGATAACCAGCACGAGGCATGATCGGCTGCTGGCCACTGTACCTAGGCATTTGTTGTGGGCGTCCTCGTCCGCCGTTATACTATCGCATGAGGACCTTCTCCGCAAAGTTGCATTTCAGCATGTGCGGCTCATGCAACTACCACTGCGCGCCACAACTAGACCAACTGAAGGCTTTCCAGTTAGCCCACCCATAGATAAGCTAATACCTGGTTCCCAAACATGCCTTTTACATAAGAGCCGGTGTTCCACCCCAAGGTAGCCGCTTAGGACCAAACCTCTCAAGGCCCTGATCTATAAAAGTGCCGAACGGTCCACCTCGCGTCTGCAGTCTGACAGTTCGAACCCACCAAGCTACAAGTCGCACCCACGGAATCATTGCAATGGCGAGGTATGTCATTCTTTCGGCGACTATTTAACTTACTAACAACGAAAGTAGCACGGCATACGATCCAGAAGCATACCGCTCGCTCCCAAGTTTGCACCGGGCAAACCAGTTACTCCAAGAAAATGGTGGCGAAAGTATCATCACCGGCCCCATTCGGGAGCTCTTTCTTCGCCATAAAGTTCAAAAGCATCTTGGACTGGCCTTGCTACACAAGCATTTTGACATCCAGCCACAGGAGCGCCTCGTGGATCTTCGCAGCGTGTCCACGCCTTGGCAAACCGGGAACGACACGGATGCTGTCATTTCAAAGTATAACGGCCACGTCGTCCCACGGGCAACGAGATCCTGGAAGGGGGGCTGGGGTCCCTACGAGTTTGAGTTTACGGAGAGTGGATCATCTGACGTCGCGGAAGGCAGTGCGCTTTTCCTACAGGAGCTGTCCACATTCCTGCACCAGTCCAATCTAGATCAAATCCTGGGAGTCAGGATGCTGGATTCGCGAGATACTAACGCGTCGGTTGAGGTTACCGAGGGTCGCTCAAACATCATGCTCGCCAAGGGGTCTGTTGACGAAGAGAGTCTCATCTCTGCAATGTGGGTCTTTGGCATGGATGAGGATGACCGATGCAATTGTAGGGAATACTGTTATAAAGACCGGGGAGGAGCACATACTGGGAGCAACCATGGGTGTGGCTGACTGATACCCGTGCCACGCCCCACTTAATCTCGCGTTCGTTCCTCACCAGCTATGGAGCTGGTGAGGAACGAACGCGAGATTAAGTGGGGCGTGGCACGGGTACAGGGCAACCGGGGTAGTGGGGACTATGGGCATGTACTTTCCTTAGTCACTCGGCGCTGGTTTTCGCCCAACGGGTTTTTCCAGCGCTATTTATTACCTTGCAAATGCAGAGTGACTCATCTTTTCGGTCTTTATCAGCCGTCTTTATCTGCCGTACCCAATCCTGTATTCCCGCACACACACACATCCACGAACTTATCGCCATTCCTTTCACCATCATGTATCCCATCCTCAATATGCAGTTGCACATCGCGCCTCTCGATATTGAAGGTGCGGACGACGTCGTGCGCAAGGTAGATCTGCCTGCTATGAAAGATGGCCCTTTATACCGCTTGATGTTTCCCTTGAAGGAGGTCACAGAAGAGCAACAAACCGAAATCATCCACTGGTACGTACGAGGATCATCGATGCTTTAAATCGTACCACCGACACACTCATTCGAATTTGCGACGCTGAAGGCACACCACTTGGATTCTGCGGGTGGACCGTAGAGGATAGACCTCTCGCGAGGAGGGAGAACGGACCAGCAAGGCACCTGTTGATACCTGAGATGCTCGATATATCAGCATGGTCCAGCGTCTCGAGCAACTTGAGAAAGGAGAGAGAACGCGCTCTCAATGGTCGCAAGCACGTTTGCCGTAAGCGTGGAATCTTGGCAAAATCAATCTGGAACTGGCTGACCTATGCCGCTCAGGCTTAACCTTCATGTCGGTCCATCCTCGTCGTCAGCGTCAGGGCTTAGGTTCTCGACTACTACAGCATGCCTGCAATCGGTTTGATCAATTGCACTGCCCTGCTTTCGTCATGGCATCACCTCCGGTGTTCCACTGTACCGAAAATTTGGGTTCCTCATCGTCGGGAAGGTAGAGACTTCGAAAGGGATTTTCTCTAGCATGATCAGGGAACCCCAGAGCGGATGCCCTTAGCAAGACTTCCTAATCCGACTGCTAATTGCCATTCAAGCTGCGGCAGGGTTGAAACCCTTTGCCCGCAACCCATTTCAACTGCGGGTGATCGATCGCTAACCTTATCCACCGGTTGTCTTTGAGGATAGATATTTTTGGGGGCCGTCCAGGTTGGGTGTGAGAGTGGGCATTCCGGTTTTCAGGAGCATCAGCGCCGAAATGGAAGTAAGTATGCGCGAAGCATGGCAGGAAGAGCCCAGAAGATTTGACAAATTGGCGAGTTGCGGTGCGAGCGCGGTTTTTATGGATGGTCAAGAACCGTGTTCTATTGATGAGTTGGACAGCGATAAGGGTAAAGCACTTTTAGCAAGGGCGATGGAGATGATTCTTGAGGAGACGAAAACGCCAAAGGAATTGCCCAGTATCTAATTATCTTTTCCCGTCTCAGAGATCTATTCTCTGTTCCTTCCCTTCCCGCCTGACAATCCTGCCTTTTCTTGACACTCACGACCAATGGCCCCGGTAAGGCCGACCAGGAGACAGCCAAGTTCTTGGCTCTGTGCGCCAGTACGAAACCCATCTTGCGGAATTGTCACAGCTGAGAGTCACGATTCCTGCAGCCGCGCTGTTGCCCCACAAATCCCAATGTGGAATGTAGCAACGACACACACCTTTTGCCGTGTCTTTGGCCATCCTTGTTTGGTCCATCTCCACCAGAGAGCTCATGGTGTCGTCACGGCCCCTGGGCAAGTTGCCCTCTGTGCCGTTCCATGGCGTTCCGACCCCTAGTCAAGGATTGATTAGACGCATGCAAGTTAGAGTGCATGAACCAGGTTGTATGCACTGCTGGTGATGCCGAGATACTGGATGGCCTCGTAACTGTGAGCCAACCACATTGACCAGCTGAAGTCGTGCAATTCCACCCACCCTACTCTGACCAGGGCCGTTTTAATGTGGAGGAAGCTCATATGCCTCATATATGTAAATCATCATATCAACAATAGCCCAACCCCAAGGCAATGATAGTGTAACCTTCCTATGCACAGAACACCCAATCACCATCTTACTCTAGGTACATCGTCCCGTTTGTAAAGCGACTGGACAATGTGCTGTGGCTCTCTTTACCTGAGCGTTACTTGCTATGTACTAACATTCGCTGTTATGACTTAACGTCTATATAAAGCACGTCTCTCGTTCTGGGCGAATCCGATGCTCATATGCCTTCTCATCACTCTAAGTCCCAAATCCACTCTCCACCATTCCAGGTTGCCGGATGCCGACATGCATGACGAGATTACCATCAAGGAGGTTACCGAGGCTGGTGTCGTGTTTTCCGTGACGACGGTCTTTCTGGCGCCCTACCTGTACTGGATGATCAGAGTCAAGCCACGAGAAGCTTCGCGTAGGCGAACTTGGGCGTTAATTTCTACGGCCTCTGTCTTCTTGGGAACCGGACTAATATTTGCCTCTTTGTTCGGCAGTGCGAGAAATGCACTCTTACCAAGCGTCCTTGCCTACCCCTTCTTCACAGCCTGGAAAGGAGTCACAATATTATGCGTCGACATCATCGAGGTACTCCTATTTAAGCCCGTCTAGTTATCTCCCTATATACTCATTGTTTACAGCTTATTCAAGTTGTCGATCCCTTGATTTACGCCTATTTTTCTCGCGCCGTCGAGCCTGACCCATCCATTAAGGCGAGAATCATCATTTTTGGACTAGCATTAGTCTTTCACCTTCCCTTTATTGGGGCGACCGTCTGGCATATCAGGCTATCTGGCATCGAATACTGGTGGGCTGCTCCATTGGTATCTCACTTGACTACCGTTATTATGGTTATGGCGATATGGAGGAAGACACAGCGTTTCCGTCGTTTTGACCGGTGCTCGAACCAGCCGACGTCAAACCAAGGGATGCCGTGGCTTGGAGCAGTAAGCGGACTGGTGTTCCTAGCATCATCTGGGCTCCTAGTATGTTCTATGACTGGTTGGGTGAGACACCAGTTTGGAGGTCAATGTGGACTTTGTCTGGCGATTTTAGTTATGCCGGCAGTACCTCTTGACAATATGATAAGAGAGCACCAGAGGAAACGGGTAGATAGAGAGATGCAGCTGTCTGTGGTGACAGAACCCGGTACTGAACGGTCGGCGGAGCACTGGTATCATTCTGAGGGCATTGATTCAGAGTGACGGTAATTTTACATCACTGTCCTCGGTCTGCCTACGGCTACTTCCTTCAATTTAAACGTTCCAAATTAGGTCACCCGCAGATGCCGCGTTCAGGTCGATGCAAACGCTCCAAATAATTCTTTCATAGCTGCAAGCGCGACGCAAAGGTGCCCTCCAAAGCATTAAAGGAAGCCATGCCTTCCGCGTACATCATCTTGCATGTATGATCTTCAGTTTAGTCACACTCTTCACTCGAACTCCTACGTTAGTTCACGAAAATTTCCACCAGTCGTCTAAATGACAAGAAGGTTTTCCTCGGACTCGCAGAAGGGCTCGCTAGTTAAGGATTACCGGCTCGTCCCGCCCTACCCGTCACGCTGTAGGGAGTGTCCAGACGTCTATATATGCTCTACTTACGTCTACAACCGAAGCTTCAATCGGATTCCAAACTCTGGGGGCCGAAGAGCTCAACGCAGACGACTAGGTACAGTTCAGATGGCAGTGACCGCAGCGAGCCGAGCATGCAGCGGCAGCTATTCCAGCGCACGACACCCAAACCTAGGGGAAAGCAGCGGCAATCACTCATCACACTTGTGGTGGAGAGTGCCAAAAAGCAACAGTCAACCTCAGACAAGGGATTTGGCGAGGAGCCTGGATTCAATTTCAACATGCTCAAGTCACATGCGACTGCGGGAAGCCCCGGGCAGTTCTATCGCCACAAACGACTCGCCGCAGTGTGCTCACGACCGAGTTGACGCTGTTGACCGACTCACTTAGACTTGGACTCGTGCTGGAAAGGCGGCAGGGGGCGGTCACAACCGACGCCGTTTTGGATCATCGATACGCCTCGCATGATTCGGTGACCCGAGGGCAATTCCCCGACAAGTCTCGCATGAAGGCGAGCGAGGATGCAAATGCCAGCTTGTGGAACCAGCGTTTCTTAGAGGAGATATCTAAGGACTACTACCATTATAAGGACTGGTGAAGATATAACAATTCAACACTCCTCCACGGCTGGTTGCTTGCTCCTCCGGATTTTGTGAATCCGCTGTCGCTTATGCCCTTGCCCATGGCTTTGCCATATTCTTTCAGGCGCTCGACATTCTGTACTCACACCCCCGTATATCCCGCCATGGTCTCTCCGCTCGCATTTCCTGGTGTGTCGTGACGAGTCCGAAGGAGAAGACTGAGAAATGCTGATAGTAATTCTAACAGGCTTGCAGAGAGGGAGGTCAAGTTCCATCTCAACCTGTTTGCCTTGTCCGTTCTCGACTGTACCGCTGGCCTCTACTCGATGGCAAGTATCGGATACAGTGACTCGAAAAACGAGCCCAGTAGGAGGACGATTCTCCTTGTCATCGCCCCAAAATGAAGAGTAATCACTCTCTTCAAGATCGCTAGGTGCAAACGAGGGCTGTATATTTTGTGTAGGTGACACTTCAATCTCGTCTTGTGGATATCTGTCACGGCAGTTTGTGCTGTTGAATTGGCTTTCGGTATCCGAGAATTCTGATGTGGGCGAGGTAGGACAAAGAAGCATATCGAGAGCACGAAGATGACCAGTTTGTCCACAGGCAATCGATTCAGTGGAACTCATATTCCCCTGCATAGTCGAGGTAGTGTCAGTCGACATGGCGGGAAGGAGGGCTTCGTTGGCTTTCGGAGAGTTGCAAGAAAATGGGAGATATGGAAACTGGGACAAAAGGGGGGTGGTGCCTACCTCCTTCACTATCTAAACGAGTATGAGACGGGCTGCCTGGCCGGGACGAGAGCTCCAGCGAATCATCCCGAGAATCCCCAAGGCGCAGCTTTGGCCATCTCATTGCACATATCGTCGGGTGGGATCATGCGCCTTCCTCCACTTCCGGGCTGTGGTCCGTTGTTGCTTGGCTGACGCCTGCCGGCCACCCCTGAGATGGTTTATGCGTCTTTGACCAGGTTCAGCTTCTGCATCTATGCGCCGATCACATCCGCTAATGCTGCAAAATTACGAGTAGCCAAATTCTCTGTAGGCGCAGGGGGGCGAACCGAATCGTGCAGACTAGTCCGCAGCCTCCCCTGCGACGGGGTTCAGGGAGGGAACGCGAGGCAGGACTTGTCCGTTAATTTCTCTTCCCTCGCCGTTGACCCAATGTATGACAATGTACATGTGCATGCCTGGGAAGTGTCGGGGGTGGCGAAGCTTGCAGCGGAGGGAGCCTCGCGACAAGGGAGGGCTGCCCACGTCGGCATCAACTTTGGGAAGACGCCGTGGCTGACGTTTGCGTTGAGCAGAAGCCGGCCGGTGCCTAGGCGGGCCGACTGGAAGAAACCCCGGGCGGCGATGAGCTGGTGAAAGTCCTGGAACAGGTTGGTGGCGGCCTCGTCTTTGCCAAGGGAAGAAGCGGGCGCTGCCGACGGCCGAGATGTCGTGCAGCTTGGAGCGCGGGCCGTGGCCGAGAATGACGTTGAGGGCGTCGACGACGTCCGGGTACTTGGGAAGAGGCCGTCGACGGGGCCCTCGCTCATGGTGCCGACGTACTTGAGCAGGGCGTCGAGGGCGCCTCTGTCGGGCCGTGGATGGTGGCCTCGATGACGTCCCACTTGTCGCCGCTGGTCTCGACGGCCAGCCGGAACCGCACCGGGTTCTCGGCCAGCTTGAGCTTCTGGAGCGAGACGAGCTGGCTCTTGTACTCGGTGGCGAGCACGAGCGTCTTGTCGGCGGCCTTGAGGGTGGCGAGCAGCTCGCGGACGGCAAAGTAGAGCTTGCGGCCCTTGACCTCGCGGCTGGCGGCCTTGGACGACTTGGACGGCTCGCCCGACGACGTCTCGGAGCCGACCTGGACAAACTCAAAGGTGTACTTGTACAGCACCATGGGTTTGAAGGTGACGTTGAAGTAGTTGGACCACAGCGTGACGGGCTGGCCGCTTGTGCCAAAGGCCGGCCTCAGGGGAAACACGTCAGTGGACCGGGCCTGGAGGGGCGGCGCCTGGATGTTGGTCTTGGCCATCTGCGCCGCGAGGCCGGCGGCCGAGGATCTCTGCGTCTTGATGAGGCGGTCCTCGAGGGCCGTCACGGCAGCGTCGGGCTGCGGGAAAGATCCATTGACGCTGCGGGCCTTGTCAGCGGGCCGGGTGTCGAGCACGGCAGACGGGGGCAATATACACACCTATACGCCAGCTCGATCGTCGTGTCGCGCGGCCGGCCCCCACGACCACCGCGGAAGCCGCCTCCGCGACCGCCCCGGTCACCGCCGTCGCCACGGCCGCCGCGATAGCCACCGCGTCCGCCGCGATAGCCACCGCGTCCGCTCCGGTCCGAGAAGCCGCCGCGGCCGCGGGCAGAGGAGCCGCCGCCGCCCCGGTCTCCGCCGCGGTCTGACATCGCAACAGCCAAGTCTATCTCCAGGGACGTGTCAAAAAAAATTAACGCGGACCGGGCAAGGGATGTCGCGACAGGCCAGGGTCTTGCTCGGAGCACGGCCGCGGCGGCTTACATGTTATATATACGTGCACGCCGAGGCGGTGAGCAAGCAAGCAGCGCAGTCGCCGTTTGCGCGGGGCGGCAGAGGCCGTGAAGAGGAATGTGTGCGAGGCAGGCGCAGGCGCAGGGCAGGCCGTTTGCTGCCTGTGAGCAAGAGCACGGGCTCGCACGAAGTGAATGGCGAGATGGGCCGGTGCTGGGTGACGGGCGGCGGGCGGGAGAGCGCCTTGCAAGAGCTGTGTCCCGTCCTTTATCCTCTTTAGCCAGGGCCTGTTCCCGCAGTCTTTGCACCTCGATGCGCCCGCTGTTCACGACACACTAGAGAACAGGGCCGGAGAGGATGCTGGCTGGCCTGGCATCGTCGTGGAGGAGGCGAAAAATGCAGACGAGACGAGGGTGAGGTGGTAGTTCAAACCGTCCCCGCTTTTTTGGTGGATGGATAGTCGCATATCAAGCCTGGGGAGCCAATAGAGGCGCGGACCCCCGCGCCTTTAAAGTCGGCGCGGACGTCCGCGCCTGTTATGTAAGCCCAGGCGGAAGATAGTCGGGCCGCCCCCTGACCTGTACTCTCCTTTTCTATTGCATGTGGCAAACTGTCGCACAGAGAGCCAGCCTCATATAGCATACCATCTGCGCTCAGAGTAGTTGTCCGCGGAAGCGATGCTATAATCCGCATATTAAGGTCGAGCGCCTGCATGCGTGGTGCTTGGACCCCATTGAGGCCAAAGCTCAAACGCAGGCTGCATTAAACCTCGCAGGCGGCCTCGGTTACAAGGGTTCTGCACCACGTCCACAAAGCAGGAGTTTCCTTTCCTTTGTGTATAAAGAGCTGCTCACTGTCGTGCACTACAGCTAGCTCTTCAAGATAATTCCAATATGGGGCTTACTGAATTCCCTGACGATTGCCTTCCTCCTGAGGGCCAGTTCGACTCGCGAGAGTCTCTTCTTGCCTCAATTAATGCGTGGGCGGCTCCAAGAGGCTATGCCTTCACCACAGGCAAGTCCACGAGAGACCCGCGGTCCGGAAGACGCACAGTCATATTTGCCTGCGATCGTGGAGGTAGACTTGGGGCTCATACAAGCAAGGACCAGAAGCCAGCTGATCGGCAACGGTCTACAAGCTCCCGTATCACTGGATGCCAGTTTTCCATCAATGCGAAAGAGAGCCTTGATAAGTCGTACTGGTATGTCAGGCATCGCCCAGGCGAGGAGAAGTCGGTCCACAACCATGAGCCCAGTCTGCATATTACAGCACATCCAGCTCATCGTGCCCTCTCCTCAACTGACCAGTCAGCTATTGGGAACCTCTCAAGCGCTGGCATAGCACCAAAGGATATCCGGACATATATGCGCCAGAGCTCTCAGACTGCCCAAGGAGCGACACAGCAAGACATATATAACTGTATCGCACAGCGCAGACGAGAGCTCCTTGCTGGCCAGAGCACAATGCATGCCCTTGCCAATGAGCTTGACAACGAGGGGTTCCAGAGCCGCATACAGCTTGATCATGATGGCCGAGTCACAGCAGTCTTATTCGCACACCCAGCGTCTCTAGGATACCTCAACGCATACCCAGAATTACTACTGCTAGACTGCACATACAAGACGAACAAATATAAGATGCCACTGCTCGATATGATCGGCGTTGATGCCTGTCAGCGGTCATTCTGTATTGCCTTTGCCTTCCTCAGTGGTGAAGACGAAAATGACTATATCTGGGCACTGGACCAACTCCAATCGATATACGAGTTATATGACATTCGCCAGCCATCGGTTATCCTGACAGATCGCTGCCTCGCCTGCATAAACGCAATTTCCCGGTGCTTTCCTGCGTCCAAGTCTCTGCTTTGCATCTGGCATGCGAATAAGGCGGTGCTTAGCTATTGCAAACCAGCTTTCGACCGTGACGATGAGGACTCTAATAGTGATGAGAGGTGGGCTGAGTTCTTTGGGTATTGGCACTCAATCGTGGGCTCGAAAGATGAGGAGACATTTGATCAACAAGTTGAAGAGCTCGAGAAGCGCTTTGTGCCACGATACGTCAAGGAGGTTAGCTACATACGGGAAACCTGGTTGGACCCGTATAAGGAAAAGCTCGTCAAGGCCTGGGTCGATCAATATGCTCACTTCGGCAATGTGGCTACTTCCCGGGTGGAAGGCATCCACGCATTATTGAAGAGTCACCTTAAGAAGTCAACATTAGACCTCTTCGAGGCAACGAGGGCAATCAAGCAAGCTCTCCTCAACCAACTGGCCGAGCTACAAGCCAACCAAGCCAGGCAGCATATACGGATGCCAATTGAGCTCTCTGGAACCGTATATAGCACGGTACGTGGCTGGGTATCACACGAAGCCTTGCGACAGGTTGCAAAGCAACACAAGCGCCTCAACGAGAAAAACACCCCATCTTGCACAGGCAGCTTCACCAAGTCTCGCGGTCTCCCTTGTGCGCACGCATTACAGTCTCTCATAGTGGAAGATCTGCCTCCGGCTACAACATTTTCATACACATTGGCGCCTTCGACGGGATAACAAAGAGATTGGTCAGGTCCTCATAGAGCCTCGTCGGCGACTAGACCAACTTGTCGCCGCATCAAGGATATCACAGTCATCCACACAGCGCGAGCCAAGTGCATTTGAAGCCATAGAGTCAGATCTACGGCCAAAGGCGCCGCCTACATGCAGCAAATGCCACCAGCAAGGGCACATCATGACATCTCGCAATTGTCCTTTACGCTATAGCGACATACTGCAGCGGGCAGAGGCACGGGCGGCACAGACTGCAGAGACTGCAGCAATTGCAGGGACTGCACAGACTGCACAGACTGTACAGACGGTAGCAGTTCCAGAGACTGCGCAGACTGCAGCAGTCATGGAGAAAATGACAGTTGCAGTCACTACGGTCTCTACAGTCTCTACAGCAATTGCAGAGACTACAGAGACTACAGAGAATCTATTATATGATGACCCACGAGCCATCTATCAGAGGTATGTCAGGGAAAGAGACTCTTGGTATAGAGCACAGCCTCGCGGCAGTCTCAAGACCAACCAGGCATACCGAAAGGCAATGGGCTTGCCATTGCGCTACAGCAAGACTGAATATGACTGGTGCCTCGACTGGAAGCAAATGTCAAGGAGCTGCGGCTCGAGGCAATGGACCAAGGTAGAGATGATGGCATACCTTGATTGGGATAAGGCAGAAGAAGAGCGATTAGATGCCCGGGTGGCCGAGGAAATTCAGGTGCAGCCTTTCTCACGAGAAAGAGGTACTGCAGGTATATGGGCTGACTGCGAGAGAGACTCAGAGGAACAGCAGGCATTTTATTCACATATATAAGTGGTGATGATGCCGGCGATGCGAAAATGTGAGGCAGATCGTGAGATCACCGACATGCACCGGCGTGTAGCACTGTAGCTGGCCAATTTTAAGGCGGTGAACTTCCCGCGCACCCTCCCTTGCCACGCAACAGCGGCGCCCTTTGCGTCACGTCAATCTACCAAATAGGAAGGCTATGGGTTCGAACCCTAAGGGATATCCTCCTTTGCAATTAATTGAAGCTATATGTATGCAGCAAGCATGCTGTATCGGTGAGGCCGACTGCGAGCGCAGTTGGCGGCGGCCCAAATGGCCTGCCAGGCTTACATAACAGGCGCGGACGTCCGCGCCGACTTTAAAGGCGCGGGGGTCCGCGCCTCTATTGGCTCCCGCCGACTTTGAGATCTCAATTGAGGTCTCCTTTGTAAAGACTTTTATCCCGGCTTTTAGTTCGTGGTGGTGGGTTCGGCCCATACGCCATGGCGGGGGGTAGCGCAGGCCAGGTCGCGGTGGGGTTGGGTAGCCCGTCAGCATCGCCGACGCGGTCGACGCGTGGAGTGACGCCCAGCGGAAGGGTCCAAGACACACTTCGATCGCTCGAAAACGCGACATCGAAGACGTCAAAAAGACCGGCGACTCGAGCGACGCGGATATCGCCAGCCGAAACCGAAATTGAACGCGTAATCGAAGAGAAGAAGGCTCGCAGCAATGGCGAGACCGGCAAGGCGATGCTCCAGAGGGTGCTGGAGGTGTTGGGGAGAATGGGAGGTGAAATGGGAAGATTGAAGGATGCGATACACGAACAGAGCGACACCATCCGTGCCCAGGAGAGCCTGATCCGAGAGCTCCAGTCTCAAGTCAAGGAATCACGCAGAGAGTCTGATCGCGAGAACAAGGAGTTGCGAGAGGAACTCCAAAATACGAAGAAGGACCTGAGACAGATTCGGGAGCAGCTTGAAGCGTTCAATGCCGCAACGAACTCGGAGAGGAACAGCCCTCAAGCCTCGTATGCGGACGTTGCCCGAATAACGCCGTCGAATATATCAACGAACCTGAGCAGCCCATCAACGCGCATGACACCATCGTCGTTCAGCGACACGCTCTATTGCACAATCGACCTATCACGAGTCGAAGATCAGAACAGAGGCAGAGCGCAGGTGGGAGAAATCCGGCAAGCCGTCGAGGCCGAGATGAGGGCGAAGGAGGGTCATGAAGGGTGGCGATGCGCGGCAGTCGTGAAAGACGCGCGGAACGCAGAACGTGTTAAGATCATGTGCAGGAATGAAACAGAACTTCAGAGAGTCAAAGACGCTGCGCAGAAGACGGCGGTCATAGGAGCGCGGGTCATGAGGGATCAACTCTACCCAGTCAAGGTCGACAATGCCAATCGCACGGCAGTGTTGGACGCAGAAGGCTACGTCTTGACGGGTGCAGCCGAGGCACTTGGCGTGGAGAACAACGTCACCATTGCCAAGATTTCGTGGTTGAGCAATAAAGAGATAGGAAAAGCGTATGGGTCAATGGCTGTTTACGTTACAAAGGGGAGCGATGCGAAGAAACTACTGGATGGCCAATACTTTGACCTGGCTGGGGAATCGGCGTGCACGAGTGTCTTCGAGCCGCGCAAAGGACCAGTGCAATGCTACAACTGCCAAGAAATCGGTCACAAGGCCTTCTCATGCAAGAAACCGCAGACCTGCGGTAGATGCGCGAAGCCGGGGCACCACCATAGGGAGTGCATTGCGGCGGAGCCAAAGTGCGTGCCCTGCGGAGGACCGCACGAGTCGCTCAGCCAGAATTGTCGATTGCGCAACCCACCACGCCATGCATAGAAAGCTAGGTATCTTCCAGCTTAACGTACGCAAGCGAGACACGGTACAGCTCAGTGTTATGAACGACGAGGAATTGAAGGACTGCGCGGTGCTGGCGATTGCAGAGCCCTACGCGCGCAAGAAGGACGGGATGATCGTGACGGCCCCGATGGGCCATAGCAGTTGGTCAAGGATACTTCCGACGCAGACCAACGAGGCGGGATGGCCGGTCAGGAGCATGCTTTGGATACGGAAGGACATCGACTCGGAGCAGGTCCCGATACCGTCGTCAGACCTGACAGCGGCTGTGCTGCATCTGCCAGATAGAGATGTCTTGGTGATGTCGGTGTATGTACAAGGGAAGGACGAGGAGGCCCTGATTCTCACAACGACGGAACTGGGCGGTCTAATCACCCGTTTCCGTAACGGCACTGGCAAGCGAACCGATGTGGTGTTGGCAGGGGACTTCAATCGGCACGACCTACTCTGGGAGGCGATTGTGTCACGTCCAGGAGACAAGGAGGGTCAACCAATCATCGACCTTATGAACGAACATGGCCTTTGCAGCCTGCTCCCCCGCGGCACGAAGACTTGGCAGGGTCCAGATAAGGAAAGCACGATTGATCTGATGTTGGTGTCGACGGAACTGGCGGACGACATGGTGAAATGCGCCATTCACCCAGCGGAATATGGATCGGACCACCGGGCCATTCATACAGCCTTTGACATCGACCTACCAGAAAGAGACCTCACACCGAGGCTTCTACTTAGGAACGCGCCCTGGACAGCAATCAGGAACAGGGTCGAGCAGGAGCTGCGACCAATATCTTGGGACGGCAGTTTACAAGACCAGACCGACCGCTTCATGGAAGTAGTGCTTAGTGCGATCAATGACCTGACGCCACGGGCGAAGCCATCCCCGTATGCAAAGAGATGGTGGACGACCGACCTCACCCGACTGCGACAGGTCTACACCTTCTGGAGAAATCAAGCTAGGTCAAGAAGGCGAGTGGGACAGCCAGTGGTGGACCTGGAAAGGCGGGCGAAAGAAGCAGCGAAAGAATTCCATGACGCCATTCGCAAACAAAAACGGCAGCATTGGGATGACTTTCTGGCCGATGACGGCAACATTTGGAGGGCCGCTAAATACCTCAAGGCGGAATGGACTGTGTGGACAACAAGGTACCACAGTTGAAGAGGAAAATGGAACGGTGACGAAAGACAAGCAGGAACAGGCGGAGGAGCTGCTCAGTGCCTTTTTTCCGCCACTACCGGACGCTATCGAGCCTGAACATGAAGGACCGCAACGGGCGCCGGTGCCCATGCCAGAACTGACCATGGAGGAGATTGAAAGGAAAGTCATGACAGCCAAACCCTGGAAGGCGCCTGGAGACGACGGCCTGCCAGCCATGGTCTGGAGACAGCTATGGCCGGTGGTCAGAGGGCGAGTGGTGCATCTGTTCCGGCTATCAGTGGAACATGGAGTCCTGCCGAAGCAATGGCGAATGGCAAAGATCATCCCACTGAAGAAGCCGGGAAAGATGATTACACTGCGGCGAGGGCCTGGCGACCAATATCGTTGCTGTCGACACTGGGCAAGATCCTGGAGGCGGTGATGGCCGAGCGGATTTCCTTTGCGGTGGAAACGTTTGGGCTGTTGCCAACTAACCACTTTGGAGCCAGGAAGAGGCGTTCCGCGGAGCAGGCTCTCGTGCTCCTGCAAGAGAAAATCTACAAAGCATGGCGAATGGGCAAGGTGCTTAGTCTTGTGAACTTCGACGTCAAGGGTGCTTATAACGGAGTGTTCAAGGATAGGCTTCTACAACGGCTCGCAGCGAGGGGTTTGCCCGCGAGCTGGTCAGGTGGGTAGACGCATTCTGCTCTGAGCGGACGGCCAGCATCACGGTCAATGGACACTGTACCGCACAGCAAGAGCTCCCACAAGCAGGTCTTCCCCAGGGATCGCCGCTTTCGCCGATTCTCTTTCTTTTCTTCAACGCAGACCTAGTGCAGACCAAAATCAGCACCTCCGGAGGATCAATCGCATTCGTGGACGATTACTCGGCTTGGGTCACAGGCTCGACTGCAGAGTCGAACCGGGACGGAATCCAGTCCATCATCGACCGTGCCCTAGAGTGGGAAAAGCGGAGCGGGGCGACGTTCGAGGGCGACAAGACGACCATCATTCACTTTACACGAATGGCCGAGCGCTCTAGCTCAAGTCCATTTGTTATCAAAGGAAGAACGATCTGGCCACAGGAAAACGCCAAGGTGCTGGGAGTGGTCATGGATGCAAAACTACGATATAAGGAGCATATGGCACGAGCGGCATCGAAGGGACTGGAAACCGCGATGCAGCTGAAAAGACTGCGTGGATTGTCGCCCCGGGTGGCCAGGCAGTTGTTCACGGCTGCGGTTGCGCCTGCTATGGATTATGCCTCCACTGTCTGGGCTCATGCATGCGGAGTGAGGGAGGGCTACTGGTTGAATCGAGCACAGATGGTAGGGGCGCAGGCGGTGACCGGAGCGTTCCGTACCGTGTCGACGGCAGTCGCGGAAGCAGAGGCAAGCATTCGGCCGGTGGTAAATCGGCACACTCAAGCAGCGGCGAGGTTTTGGATCAGCGTTCGTACTCTCCCGAGGGCGCATCCTCTCGCCCGGCTGGGCATCAGAGTGTGCCGAAGATTCACGTCCCCACTGCAAACGATGGCTCAAGAGCATGGAGAGTCAGCAGGTCAAAGATTGGAAGTCATCAGAGAATACGCGGTGGCCCCGTGGGAAGACCGCATTCGTGTTCTCTGTGACCTCGATGATGACCAGGCAGCTGAGTTGGTTGCGAAAGCGCAAGGCATTGTCGTCGCGACGAGCTCATCCGAAAGGCGAGGCGTAGTCGGCATGGGAGGCTGTGTTCGAGATACGAGAGTCAACAACGAGCAAGAAGCACTGGCGAGCTATTCCATCACTCTGGGGCCGCGAGAAGATCAAAACCCATATGTCGCGGAGCTGGAGGCGATTGCCACGGCTCTGCGATGTATGCCAGCGCGACTCGAGCAAAGAGAGCTAGTCTTTGTCACAAGCAACAGATCGGCCATGCAGGCGATTGGCCAACCGCGCCAGCAGTCGGGCCAATACATCATCCAAGAAATTTACAAGCATGTCAGGCTCTTCCGGCAACGGGGTGTTTCGATTCGTATGATATGGCCCCGGCAGGAGCTGAAGGGTTTGCGTTGGGGCAAAAGCAAAGGCAGCAGCGCGGAAAGCGACACGCGAGGGGCGCATCCAGGAGAACTCGCCATTTCAAGCCCGCTCGACAAGAACAAGACTAGTGCTCTCTGGACTGCAACAGCAAAGACTGGAAATTCCTGCGAGTGGGAAGATACTCGAAAAGAATTGACACGGCGTTACCAGGCAGACATACGCGAACGATCTACGACTCACTTAGTGGGAAAGAAGCGAGAGTACTTGCGCAACTTCGCACAGGCAAATCGAGACTCAATAGTTACCTTCATGGAATACAGGCGGCAGAAAGCGACCTATGTGGCTGTGGTCAAGCAATCGAGACAGTGGAGCACTTCCTCTTTCGATGTAAGGCATGGATCTCTGAAAGAAAGCATGATGAAATGCAATCGAACCAAGATGGAAATCTGTCTTTCTTCCTAGGAGGAAGTCGATGTCCGATGGCGACAAATGGAAGCCGAACCTACCAGCAGTACGCGCTACGATCAAATTCGCGATGGCAACCGGGAGACTAGACACGGACCAACGATGACAGTACTGGCAAACCAGAGTGCACAGTACTAGCACCATACAGCCTCTCATTGACAGACCGGGCTTCAGCTGCTGAGAATAGGATGCTGAACACTTGGAGAAATGGGCCTTCAAGCAGGCCTGTCAACGGCGAAATTGGAGGCTGAAATGTACGGATAGGAGCAAAATGTGGGGCTTCTGGGTGTTGCAGTCGAAAGTGGAGGATCTGTAAATAGCTGAGTGTCGCGGCCCTCTAGGGTTGGTCCCTCCGGGCGGAATAAATTGCATTGCATTGCATTGGCTCCCGAGAGGGTGCCTATGTATTAGTAAGTCAGCAAGGAAGGAGATGGAAGACTGAAGAAGAGAGAGAAAAGGGCATAAATGGGAGAATGGTACAGCAGACAGGGAGGAAAAATGGAAGAAAACACATGCACCCTAAAAACATTATGCCCCTTGCCCTGCTCTCTTCGCGAGAGAAGCGCGGCGCCATCGGCAGGCTTCATAATATCAATAGGATATCCACAGCGGGGTTTTGGTGGCTGATTCAGCGGCTGAGCGCCACAACACCCCTCGGATACCACAGTGTCTTATAACGTAATCCACCCCCTTCCCGGTCAGACCCCCTACTCGGTCAAAAATTCCCCACCGACTAGACCCGCACCTTACGCGAGACAAACGGAGCACAATACCACGACATATTTACTCCAAGAGACAAGTAACTCGATTAGGACTATCTATTACACGTACGGGCAGTGTGTTCAAAAGACCTGCACTTACTACACCGTGGTGGTGCACGCTGTCTTGGGACACTCAGCTCTTCTATAAGTCGTTGGTCCCGCCCTTCTTCCCGCCGTCGCTTGGCCCGCTCATCTTCCTTTGCTCTCTGTTTCTTGACCCGCTCCTCTTCCTTTTCTCGCCGTAGCTTGAACCATTCCTCGTTCTCTTGTCGCCGTCGCTCGGCCCGCTCTTCTCCTTCTTGTCGTCGCTTGGCCCGCTCCTCGTCCTTCTCTCGCCGGCGCTTAGTCCTCTCCTCTTCTTCCACTCTCCGTCGCTTAACCCGCTCTTCTTCTTCTTCTCTCCGTTGCTTTATCCTAACCGTGCCCTCTGCAACCGATAGAGTACCGCCGTCGCCAATGTATTCACGGCGCTGTTCTTTCTCTGCTTTCGCCGCTGGTTTTCTGACCGAAGTTGCCGGTTTTCGTCGGCAAGGAGGGCGGCGCTGTGCATGGCCATTTGACATCCTTTGATAAGCTGGTTGATAGCTTGTGAAACTGGCGAGTCTGTATTTTGTGGCCGGCGTTGAAGAAGCCTTTCGGCGTGAGTGGTAAGCTGGTTGACGTTATGCGGAGTCTTGGCTGCTTCCAGGCTCTTGTTGGGACTTGGAGTATTCTTGTCGCCGTGATCGTTACCGACTTTGTCAACCTGAACTTGTAACCGCGATAATACTCTGTTTGGGTCAAACGGAAAAAGGCCTGTTGCCATAAATCCGCTTCGGATATTCGACGGCGAAAGTGCTTGTCGGCGAGCGTCTAAGTACATGGGAAGGAAGTCCTGCTTGTCGATATGATGGATCCCAGCGAGCATTTTCTCTTGAACCTTTCGGCCGTATATGGTTTTCAACGGCGAAAAGCACCCGACATCAAGAGGCTGCAAGAGATGTGAGGAATGTGCAGGCATTTGGAGTACTACGATGGAATTGGCCGTACAGTACTTGTCAAATTCCGGCGTGACGTGACTGCCGTGCCCGTCGAGAATAAGAAGTCGATGCGTACCAACCGTACGGCGCCGTGTATTCGGATCAAAGACTTCCTTTAACCAATTCAAAGCAAGGTCGTCGGAAGTCCAGCCATTCTCACTAACGGCGATATGCCAGTCATCGGGCACTCCTGATTCGTACCAGCTTGCTTGGTGTAACTTGCCCTGGAAGATAACCTTCGCCGGTAAAGCCCAACCTTGGCAGTTGATAGACTCGATCACAGTAACCCATTCTCGATTTCCAGGCTGCGTGAGTACTGCCCGACCTCGCCGGTCAGACCGGGTAAGGACTCTCGCCGTTGCAGCGACTCCCATTTGAAACCCCGTCTCATCAAAGTTATAGACATCCTCGTCAAGAATCCCCCATTTCTGTTTCGTCGCCGCGACTCGATCGTACCATCCTTGGATCTTTTGGGGGTCTTCGCATTTGGCTCGTTGGTAGTCGTATCGGCGAGAGTACTTTGCCTTGATTTCGCCGTGGCGGCCAACAAACTTCCGCACCCAGTTTTCCCCGACAGGATCTTTGCCTCGCTCGGAAAGCAATAAGTTGGCCATCCGACGAGTGTAAGCCACTGTCGGCGGCATCCTCGCTCGTCCATCGACAAGATCCATTGTACCAGGGCAGTCTCTTCCGTCGCCGTCAACTTCAGGTTGTTCATCTGAGCGTCGCGTCGGCGAATGACACCGCGCAGTCGATCAGATACTGTCGATTGAGGACGTCGTATGCGGCCGCAGCCTTGCGGGTACTTTTGAATTGGCCCTGCTGATAGGCCCTGACGGCGAGCAGGACCCGTTCTTCGCGTGGAACCGATTGGTCTCCCGTTGCCGTCATAGTGCTCGGTTTGTCTTGCCATAAGTGTGGGTCGCCGCGTGGAGACTTTTTCTGACCGAGTAGGGGGTCTGACCGGGAAGGGGGTGGATTACGTTAGCTGGGTATGGGGGGAATGGTATTAGTTAGTCTATTGCACTCACCTAGCTAGCTTACGTACACAGTCACGTGTACGGCTGAGTACGGCTGAGGCCACAAAGCTAGCTTCGTGACTTCCTCTCCCTTGTAGATAGACAATCCTCATAGCATAATACGACACACCGGTTGAACGACGTTCCCAGTTTGTCTCATGCTCGAGCCCTGCCAACAGGTTGAGATAATGGTACACAACTCATAGCCTAGACGGCCACATACGCGTAATGAATTAAAAAAAAAAGCCTTTCCTTTGAGTTTTAGGTCATTTGAGATATGATTCGTTGAGCTTTTCTCAATTCTTTACTGGAATGCAAGGTGGCAGAAATCCGGCGAATCACCCGATCCGGCGGATCACCAGGAAATCCCTTCCCAGTCTTCGCTTCTTTGGAAGAGGGAAACTTTTCCGCCTTTTCTACCTGCCAACGCCAGAAAAGCCAGAACGCGAGGGCGCCGATGAGACAAGACCTGGGATCTCGATGCCGCAAAGCAGATCCATACTCCATGCGGCCGTGCTGGTTGGTCTTCGGTGCCGTCGTCTCCAATCAGGAGCCAGTACAAGGTGCTCGGCCCAGCATCCCCGGGTGGCCCGGGGTGAACAATTAAGGTCAGGTATTGGCTGTAAACGTGGTGTGGCACTCTTGTGGTGAGGAAGGGACAGATGTCAGGATGCGGCTTGAACAGGCCGGCCGCCTCGACCATTGCCGCGTCAGAGAGTGCATACTCGACAGTGACTGAGTGATTCCGAGAGAGGACCAAGAACAGGTTGCTGTGAAAGCGAGTTGTGCGCCGTGCAGAGGAAGAGGATGCGCAAGTCTGTTTGCTTGTTTCTTTTTAGCGAGCCCAGAACGCGGTCCGAGGAGTACAAGGTGCCAGGAAAAAGCAGGCAAAGGCCACAGACACGAGACGCACGGCCTTGAATCTTTCGATCGCCGCCGTGCCCTTCAACTTCACTGGAGATACTGCTGCACATGGTCGATGATTCGATTATGTCGAGCTCAACTGCCAGCCGAGCCTTTGGGCTCGTCCTGGGGAACATAGCGACGGGGGCCACGAGATTGCCACGAGCTGAGGCACCGATCAATGAGCTTACTGTAGCTCGGGGAAAAGAAAGGTTGTCAGAAACCGCGTAGCCCAGTCCGGCATGGTCATGTCTTGGACCGCAAGCTGACCATCATCCGGGCTGTATCCCATCATCGACAAGCAGTTGCGCTCGTCTCAGCAAAGATGAGGCATGTCGAGTGCCACTCTGCCGGGGCCTTGGGGCACGTCGACAAGCCTCCCGAAGCCGTACCGACCCCTGTCTGGCTGGATTTTGCTTTTTGATTCACGTCCCAAAAAGCTCAAGATCGGTCGATAGCATTGGCAAGCAACGTCCACTGGGCCCCGTCCCCGTTCCTCGCGGCACCCGTGTCGGCGAGGCCGGCTTCCACTTCCCGGCTGCTAAGCGGATAGACTAGCCAGACCTCAATGGTGGCGCTGCGCTGCCTCTCCAGCCGCTTGGTCCGCCCTCCATGTTGCAAGCCGTGCGCCTGCCGGTAGAGCGACACTATTGAACCCAATGTGTATTTTGACAAGCCGCGCTGGCCTGGAGGTCATATGTGGCGAGCGGCTCGACTCCTCCTCTTCTGCCGTGACGAGATCCAGGGCGCCAACCATCTCTCACCACCAGCGCAAACATGTCGACGACTCAGGAACTGCTCCAACAGTACGCGGGCCGCCTGTTACCGCTCTCCTTCAGCCCCGGCTTCGTCTGTCTGAGCTATGCCATCAGCCTTGTCGGTACGGGCTCGACGCTCGAGCTGATGCGCCGACGCACGTCACACAGGGGCCTCCATAACCTGTAAGTGCGCGGCTGGCTGGCACCCCGAGCTCGTTGGCGTTTGCTGAGCAGGTCGCAACTAGGATGCTCTTGGCAGGCGCAGCCATATCCATGGGAGGCATCGCCATCTGGTCCATGGTGAGCGGCCCGATGCCGACGCCCAAAGGCCTACCTGCTGACCCTCGTCGCCGCAGCACTTTATTGGCAACAGGGCGATATACATACTCGACGGCCGCGAAGACGTACAGATCTCCTACTCGACGGGCATGACCATCTTGTCCTTGCTGGTGCCCATCTTTGTGCTTCTCCTGGCTTATCTCGCCGTCAGCGTCAACGGTCGGATCCGGTGGTGGCGGATAGGTCTTGCCGGCTTGCTGTCCGGCGGTGCCATATGCGGCATGCACTACCTGGCCGACGCGTCGATCAGCAACTACCAGACATCGTACCAGGTCGGCTACGTTGTCGGCGCCGCCCTCATTGCCGTGTCGGCCAGCACGGCGGCCCTGGCCCTCTTCTTCGTCTTCGAGACGGCATGGAAGGTCGTCTGGTGGAAGAGGATAGGGTGCGCAATGGTGCTCGCCGGCGCCGTATCTGGGATGCATTGGTGCGCCGCCGTCGGCACGAGCTACCGGCTGCTCCACGTCCACGTCGTCAACCAGGGAATGTCGCGGCGCGAGACCTTGATCATGGTCATATGCCTGGTAAGGACCCACCCCGTCCAGGCCGAGACGCTCGCTCGCGTCGACTAACGGCATGCAGTCTGTCGCCGCCTGTGTCGTCCTCACAATAAGCGCCATCTACTCCAGCTGGATCAGGAGAGACTATGCCAGCAAGTCACAGCAGGTTGTCCTGGCGGCAGCCGTCTTCGACGAGCACGGCAGGATCATGGTCAACCAGGAAGGCTTCCTTCCCAGCGAAGTCGTGACGGATACGTTTATTCCAAGGGTGAGTCGACGCCATCCTCGTCGCAGAGCTCCAGAGCTGACCACGGCGGCAGTCTCACAACGAAGTCTTCGACACGACGCATTCGCTCTTCCAGTGGATGTATCGCGCCTCTCGCAACTGGGGCAGCATCGCCACCCTAACAGACAAGATGACGAGCCACATCAGCCATCTGGCGCAAGACAGGCACAACAGCAGGGCACGAGTCAAGCTCGTCGAAGAGGACGGCTCGTTGGTCCCCGACTACGATGGTCTGATTTGCGAGCTCTTTAGCCTCGCGGCCCTTGCTCTGGCATCCAGGATGAAGGACACCCTCATAAATGCCGGCACGTTGTGGGAGGAAATCTTTGTCACGGGCAACAACTCGGGCCGCGCCGCCTCGTCGCCGCTGGATCGCACCATTCCGGGGCGCTCATCCTCGCCCAAGGACATGGTCAAGGACAGATCCATCCTCGAGGAGCTGGCCGAGAAGGGGCTTGCTCCGACGAATCAACAGTACGGCCGTGGCTGTCTGATGTTGCTCATTCGGCACGTCAACTCCCGGAGAGACCTGGACAGGTTGGAGGCGGCCGGATATCGATTCGCAGAGGTCCATCAAGTCGTCGGCGTCATTCAGTCCAGCATGCAGATCATAAGCCTGAATTTCGCGTCGAGGCTGCACAGCATGTCGGCGGATGGCAACCGGGGCGCGACCCTACCCGCTGGGGTCCATCTCGGCATATTCGCAATCCGAGCCCGGCTGGACCACTGCGGGTTCGACGTGCTCGTCCAGAAGGAGGCCAAGAATCTCTTGCCCGCCACGGCGCTCCCATTTCAGCGTCTGGAACCATGGCAGGCAGAGTTCATCGGCCGCTTCCGGGGTCTGACGCCGACGGCCATCGCCACCTGGCTCGACAAGGACGAGGGCCTCTCTCCGCGCCAGGCCCGCCTGGCCTGCCATCTGCGAGCCGCCATGGCAACGCTCCGGGAGTCGTTGGGCGAAATGGCCTTTGGAGAGGCCACGCTCATGTCCCAGGTGGTGCAGGCCCCCTGCACCACTCGCCCGGACAGCCAGCTGTCGACGTGCTCCCTCATCACATTTCGGATGGTCCTCCCCATCCACACAATCGCTCGCGTCCCGCAGTGCGAATTCATCCCTCTGAGCTTTTTCCGCGTGCAGCAGCTGGTTTACCGAAACTCGCCTCATCACGTTGAGTTCTCGCACATGGTGCACCGCGAGCTCTCGTCCATCCTGCACAACGTTCCCAGTGCACTCACACACAAGAGTCAGGGAAGACCTCCCTCGAGCCGCACCCGTGCCTGGATGCAAAGATTCCGAGTCGACCGTGGCCAAGGACCAGACGTCAGTCTCCAGCTGGCGGCCAGAAGTCAAGAGCAGCTGTCGACGACGTTGGGCTCCAGCTCGCCGGGAACTCCCTGCGCCAAGATGAGCTTCGATGAGTATCGTAAAAGCCGCTCCGACAGCATTTCATCGCCCGCCAGCCGCATGTCGCCTACGCCAACCATAGACACGCACGGCCACGACAACAAGCAGCTGTTTGGCGGCATCATGGTCTCTCAACAGATTATGGTTGACGTCCAGGAGGTAAAGTCGCCGAAACTCCGTCAAACGCTCTCAAAACTAACGGCAACGCTCTAGCTCCCCGACAACGAGGCTTCCCCGCGCATTCCGCACGGCGAGCACGTCAAGAACGATACGGAGTCTTTGAAACGGGACGGGAAAGAAGGCTCTGCCTTTTCGACCATAGCGGTCGGCGAATCCAGCGCCACCATGGCCAGGGAACAAGGTGGATCGGCTTTTATCGACCAGCTGCTCGCACTATGCTTGGAGAGACCTGGTACTTAGAGGCTTGAACCGGCCGTCGACGTCATCCAGGACGAGAGGATTCCATATTTTGCACAACACCGACGAGGGCAGACGAGACTTTGGGTGTACGAGGCGCAAGGGCGTCGGGCCGTCGTAAGGGGAAAGGAGTTCACGGTGATACCAGGTGTGATTTGTGCTTTGGGAATTGGCAGGCCAAATTCGAAAGGGCCTCGACCCTGGGAGATGGTACTGGTTATCGTGAAGCTCGTCTTGCATATGGATAGGATGGTATCCGCCAGGGCGGTAGCCGTGAAGGTTTTCCAGGTCGTCGTCTACTCCGCGAATGTAGAGCCTCCTCCATAGATGATCAGCGGCATGGGGCAAGTCTGGACCACCCGCTCTGGGCCGAATGCGCCCAAATCGAGGCGCGTCAATTAAGGGATTTTCCGATGATCTGCCGGATCCCGTGACCCGCCGGAGCTTACACGCGACTGCAGCCTCCATGGCGTAGTGGTGACACGTCTGGAGCCTCTGCGTCGCAGAGGGGTCGGTTCGAAGCCGGCTGGAGGCACCCCTGAGCGAACAGGGTACACCCGGGTTCCCGCCCGTCAACAGGGAACAGCGTCATGAGAGAACACAATCGGCGTACCAACCACCATCAATGACTAACACAACCACGCTTCAACTTCGACACATCGCGCTTCAGTTGCTGGGAATAGGATGCTGAACACTTGGAGAGGTTGACCTTCAAGCGGGTCTGTCATGGAGCGGGCAGTGGAGTGGTTGGCGCAGCGTAAGATGATATGTGGGGCTTGGGGTGTCATGCATCAGTGTATCGAACCGTCAATAGCCAGAACGTCTAGGCCCTATAGGGACCTCCCTCCGGGCGAAATAAATCCATACCATACGCGACTGCAAGTGCCTCCATGGCGTAGTGGTGACACGTCTGGAGCCTCTGCGTCGCAGAGGGGGCCGGCTGGAGGCACCCCTGGGCGAACAGGGTACACCCGGGTTCCCGCCCGTCAACAGGGAACAGCGTCATGAGAGAACACAATCGGCGTACCAACCACCATCAATGACTAACACAACCACGCTTCAACTTCGACACATCGCGCTTCAGTTGCTGGGAATAGGATGCTGAACACTTGGAGAAATTGACCTTCAAGCAGGTCTGTCATGGAGCAAAACAGTGGTACGGTTGGCGCAGCGTAAGATGATCTGTGGGGCTTGGGGAGTCAAGGAACAAACGTGTTGAACTGTACTCTAGACAGTGTAAAGGCCTTATAGGGACCTCCCTCCGGGCGAAATAAATCCTACCTACCTACCGCGACTGCAAGTTAGACATCAATCCACAATAACTCCACAGCAACGGGGCCAAATTTTCTCCAACTTAAAATGTGATAAAAAAGCGACTGCGAGATGTTGCATCATCGGGGCCCAATGTATGTGTATTTCACCCGGAGGATTTCTCCTATAGGGCCTAGACGTAAAAGCTACTGACATTTCAATACATTAATGCGTAACACCTTAAGCCCCACGGGATCGGGGCTCAATGCAATGCAATGCAATTTATTCCGCCCGGAGGGACCAACCCTAGAGGGCCGCGACACTAAGCTATTTACAGATCCTGTTGGAATACTAACCTGCTGAGTAACCCGTGCAATCGGGATACCATCACGGTTCATGCACGACTCCCACGTGACACCCTACCCCGCGATCAGGGCACGCAGCCCCGGCTGCATGCCCCCATTACCGGGTGCACATTCCGTTTCTTGTGAATAGCTTCTTCCCTAGTTAGTTACAATTGAAGTCATCACCGGTTACCCTACCTGTCGTGACTGTGACTCAGCCTACAGCTTGTGCGCATGCGTATCTGTAGGCACATAGGTGCCTACCATCAGATTCAACATTTCGATAAGCATGCAAAGAGCAAAGGTGCTTGGAGGCTATTGCTCCTTGACGGCCACGGCTCCCACCATACCCTTGACCTTATCGAGTACGCTGAAGCCCATAATATTGTGCTCTTTGCATTGCCTCCGCATCTTACGCATCTCCTTCAACCGCTTGACGTCGTGGTATTTCAGCCGTATAAACATTACCACAGTCGGGCAGTCGATTTTGCTATTCGCAGTGGTGCGAGTAAAATCACCAAGCTGGAGTTCCTCGCTATGATCCAATCAATCCGCGTCAAAGCTTTCAAGGAGTCTACAATCCTCTCTGCATTCAAAAAAAAACAGGAATCCACCCATTCAATCCAAAGCCAATCCTCGAGAGACTCAAAGAGAGGGTACGGGACCAGACGCCGCCGACAGAGCTACCTGCAGAGCCGTATTCATCCCCTTTTGGTACCCCCCATACCGTACGGAAGTTTGAATCAGTTGGCCAACGTCTCCTTGAGTTTGACCCAATTGATGATATTGAGAAGGAGGTCTTCGTACATAACCTTCAACGCTACGTTAAAGGTGCAATCTCCCAAGGCCACGAGTTAAAGCAAACGATGGTCGATCTGTACAATACCAAGCTTGCCGAGCAGCGACGCCAAGGCCGGAAGAAATACAAGAACCGCCACCTTCAAACTTACGATAGGGGGCCACAGACTCGGATTTGTGTGATTGCGGCCAGGCAGCAGAAACAGTTGATCACTTTCTCTTTCGATGCACAAAGTGGATTGCGCAACGGGGTGTCCTATTCGAATGCGCAAGAGCCAAGATTGGGAATTTGTCTTTCTTCTTGGGAGGAAAAGCTGCATCGGATGGCGATAAGTGGAAGCCAGACATGCAGGCGGTTCATGCGGCGATCAAATTCGCGATTGAGACGGAACGGCTCGACAGAAAGCCGCAACCATCAGAAGACAACTGAGCTCTAACAAGCAACTGCACTAAGTTACTAACACATCTCAGCTTCGGAACTGGCAGACCGCGCTTCAGCTGCTGTGAATAGGATGCTGAACACTTGGAGAATTAGGCCTTCAAGCAGGCCTGTCATGGGACCAATGATAACGAGGCTGACCAGCAAACGATAAGACGACAATCTGTTGGGCTTGGGGAGTCAAGGAACAAACGTGCTGAACTGTACTCTAGACTGTGTAAAGGCCTTATAGGGACCTCCCTCCGGGCGAAATAAATCCTACCTACGCCGCCACGAGCTCGACATCAATCCACAATAACTCCACAGCAACGGGGCTCGATTTTCCCAAATTTAAAATGCGACGAAAAAATGCAATTGTAATATATACATCATCCTGTTTCACAGTCCTTAAGCCACTGTGGTCGCTTGCTATTCCGCTGCGGGCGTCCCGAGCTCCGATATGCCACTACCATCTCCCGATCACTCTCAACAGCTAGAGAAGGTCGTTGGGCACGAGCTGTCTGGTCTGGCGGAATCCTTACCTTCTTTACTAACCCGTCCTTTGGCTGATCTGGCGGCTGCGATGTTACCGGAAGCTCTGGGGTTGGTGGAAGAGCGACGACTATTTCGTCTAGAGTCCCTGGACTCTTCTCTCGAGCTTTAGAAGGCACCCGCTGGGGCCGCGGCTTCTGTTGCGCACTTTCCCGGCTTAGACCTTTGAGATCGTCTCGAAGTTGTCGACTGGCCGCTTTCTCTTGCTTCTTCGCTTCTTCCTGCAATTTCCGCCTTTTCTCCTCTCGCTGCTTCTTTCTTTCCAACGCCTGCTCTTTTGCTCCTCCGCCTTTTCTGTCGCTGAACCCTCTGGAATTCCTCTGGATTGCTTCCTCTTTCTTCTGGACCTCCATCGCCGCTTTCTTCACTCGAGCTTGAGCCACTTTTTGCGGGCTGAAGACCTGAGCACAGTTAGGATCCGTACGGTCAAAGAGATAATCTTTCAGAGCTGTACCACCCTGCCTGCGCTGTTTCTCATGAATTATAGTCTCACGGAGTCCCTTGTTCTCATATCTAAGCAGCTCAACCTCGGATTGAAGGCTTTCAAGAGTGCTCTTCAGCTTCTGAGCACTGACTTCAGCATTGGCGGTGGATTTATCGACCACTTTGTCGACAAGCCGTCGTAATTCTCGAGCGGTAGGTTGCTGCAATGCTAGGGAGTCTTCCGAATCGCTGCCTACATCGGAATCGTCGTATTCCTTCTTCACAATCTGTGACAAGACGACTTCGGAGTCCAAAGGCAGGAGGCCGGTCCGCATCCACCCGCTTGCAATGTTCTCCGGGGAGAAGGACGCCTCCAATGCGTTCCAAAACAAGGTCCAGAATTCGCGTTTGGACAGCCCAACAAGTCCTTGTGTTTTTTCCATCCACCGGATAAGCTGATTTGTATATGCCGTCGACAAGGGACCGAATAGAGATACGTCCAGGGGCTGGAGCCGATGAGTAGAATGGGGGGGAAACACCGCAACGATGATCCGATGCTGGTCACACCACTCCAGAAAGTCCATATTAATATGGCTCGAGTGGCCATCGGTAATGAGAAGGCGATAATCGCGGCCGTTTCGCGCCTTTGCCTTAGTAAACCGATCAAAAACGCCGACAAGCCACTCTTTTCCAAGCTCGTGGTTGGTCCAGCCTGTATCTGAGGTCGTAAAGAAGGCTGATTGATGCTCTGGGTCAAATTCCGTAAGCCAAGCATCCTGAACTTGTCCTGGCTTGCCTTGGTAGATGAGAAAAGGAGGCAGCGATGTCATGTCCTGGCAGATGCAAGCTACGAACGTGATCCAGGATCGATTGCCGTCTTGCGATGCACCGAGCAATTTGCCTTGCTTTTTCTGATTGAGAGAGAACACTCTCTTAGTTCGGTTGATGACACCCAAGAGAAAGCCTTTTTCGTCCATGCTATACGTGTTGCAAGAGGCGATGTCGTATTCCTCAATTTTTGAGCGTATCTTCTACCGTCAGCAACGGAAATGAGATGCTGTGCATCAACTTACCAGCTCAAAATAATCTTTATACCTTGAAGCACTGTCGGCTCTCTTTCGCGCCACATCAAATCCATCGAACCAGGTACAACCAAGCTCGTTACGATGACGGTTGACGAAGCTATACGGCCAGTTCTTTCCGACCTCCATTTTCGCCATATCCTGAGCGAAGTTCTTGATCATAGACAGCGTAGGCGGGATGCCACGTGACGAAAGCTTATGAATATAAGCAACAAGATCTAGTTCCTGCTGGTTTGACAGTCGAGATTTATAGAGGGGAGTCCGCATCGCGTCTTGAGCGCTGTTTGCCTTGATGGCGGCGGCGCAACGTGGTCTCATCGCAGCCAAATTGGCGAGCTGTTTCAGCGTAATTGACCGATTCTGAGGACTTCAGGAAAGCAAGCGCTTCGTCAATAGCCGCCATGGTTGTTGAGATGTTCCAGATTGATGTTGAGACAGAATGTCGGTAGGTAGAATTTATTTCGCCCGGAGGGAGGTCCCTATAAGGCCTTTACACTGTCTAGAGTACAGTTCAACACGTTTGTTCCTTGACTCCCCCAAGCCCCACAGATCATCTTACGCTGCGCCAACCATACCACTGTTTCGCTCCATGACAGACCTGCTTGAAGGTCAATTTCTCCAAGTGTTCAGCATCCTATTCCCAGCAACTGAAGCGCGATGTGTCGAAGTTGAAGCGTGGTTGTGTTAGTCATTGATGGTGGTTGGTACGCCGATTGTGTCCTCTCATGTGCCCTGTTTCATCAGCGGGTGCCTCCAGCCGGCTTCGAACCGACTCCTCTGCGACGCAGAGGCTCTAGACGTGTCACTACTACGCCATGGAGGCCAGTCGAGGAGTGTCCCGACCCATCCCGCCCGACCCGGGATAGCTCCGGACAGACAGGTTCGGACAGACATATTGCAGGGATTAACGCGCTAAGCATGGGTTAAAAGCCATCGCGCCTCGACTACAGCCTGAACGGGCATAAGTGCCATTTTTCAGTCTGAAGGGAAATCCACTAGTATACAATCCTGGGGGGTATGCATGGTCTTGGAACCAGCAAAGGGCTTCTTCGGGGCTGTTCACTTCGTCCCCGGTAACAGAGGCGCGTAGATGCTCTTGTGGCAAGGCTTCTACGGCTTTCTCGAAGGCGGAGCGGACGTCTTCAGGGAGGCTGTCGCGGTACTGGACCTCCATCGGGTTTGCTTTCGTGTCGGACGTGATGCTGGATCTCCATTGAGCTTGATCAATTGAAGGACGCGATTTTTATTGCGACGCGCACCTGGCAAGGGGTAATTGACGATTATTGTTGGAATAGTCAATTGCTCACCTCCTGCACGGAAGAATGTTGGCCCTAGCCCGAGATGCTTGCTTTGTATGCTCTCTATCTCCTCTTTCTCTTTCACCCTCTACAGAAGAGAGAGAAGACAAGTCATGATCATAGCTATAATAGAGCTTCTGTCGGGAGGTCTGTACTGCAGTAACGCAATGGGTTGTATTCAAGATGTCTTGCTAGGAAGGGAGGAAAGGGAATGAGGGGGCACACTACGTGCCCTTTATACACGGATCCCCGAGGTCCATACACGTGACGCTAAGGGTCACGTGTGCGTGTGCGCACCTCCTTACAATCCTACTATAGCTATATGCTACATTCCCACACTGGCAAATCTTCTTTATCGCTGCAATCGCAGCAGCAGCAGGTGCGGGAGCGTAGCAGCAACCGCAAGGGTGCGAAAGAGTGACGGTTCGAGCGGCAGCTGGGGAGGGCGTTCGACTGATCCTTCTATCCTAATCGTAAGGCTATTCGTATCGACGAGGCGTTCGAGGGCGCGGTTAGGCGATGCCTTGTCATAGCATCTGCTGGGTTGTCTGCGCCGTTAATCCAGCGGATTTCTGTGATCTCACGCCTTTCGTAGGATTGACGTAGGGCCATGATATCTATCATCAATCGCTTCTCCTTCGTTGTGCCTAGCTTAACGAGGCACTCGTAGAGGAAAAGAGTCGGTGCAAACGATTAGGGATAGGGGAAGATTGAGGCGGTCTGTGATCTTCCGTATCGTCGTTGCTAGTGATATCCCAATATCGAATCCGTTGACCATGCCGTAGATCTCTGATGCTAGCACGCTTCGGGTGACCCTCTTACACTTCGTTGAGCTCCAATGGAGGACATTGCCCTTGATCCCGAATTGGTCTTTGGTACGTGCGGTCTCGGTCTCATTGACTAGGGCAATGACGAAGCCTAGCTGTGACGATAGGTCCTTATTGTTCGCAAAGGAACCGTCGGTAAAGATGATAAGCTTGGCATTGGCGAGGTCAATAGGGATATACGTTAGGCCTCGCTGCTGGTGGTCTTTCTGCCATTGAAGCCGCTTGTTGAGGGTCGTGCAATCCTCTTCCGTAGGGGTTTGGACCTGGGCAGCAATAGAGATGTCGAATGAGGCCTCTGGTTGACAGATTGAAGCCACATACGCGCCACGGGCACGCTGTTCCACGTACTGTTGGGCTCGATCGTATGCCTTGATGTCGATGGGTTCGATCTTGGCTGCTTGACCCTTTGTTGAAGCAGTAGAGCGTTGTGGAAAGTGGTGTCTTGGAGGGTTATCTTTGCACCGTTGGAGTCAATGCTAGTACCGGGGTCATCGTTGTCTTCGGCTTTGCCCGAAATTGTGCCTTTACGAGTTCCGCTTCCTCTAGCGCGGAAAAACGTTGTGTGCCAAGCATAAGGGTATCGTCAGTCTGCATTCCCACAATCCCAAAGTTATCAGGTCCCTTATTCGTAATTAGGAAGCATAGGTCGTAGGTTGATGTGGACATGTCGAGGTTATCGACATGATGCCCGTGATAGGTTCGAAACCAATGGACTCCGGCCTCCGCAATTCCGTATAGGGGCTTAATAACGCGAATGATTGTTCCTTCCGGTATCTTCCTTCTAATTCGGCGGGAAGATGCGTGAGAATGGTGCGGAATAGTTCGGTCTGCGCCTGGGGATACGCTTGTGTGATGTCACGAAGAGAGGGTCATGCCGTGAGAAAGGAGGTCTGGGGAGATAGCAGAAATAAGCCGTTGACTGACGCGTTGAATTGTCGGGGATTGCGTCAAGGGTGGTTTCTCTTGGTCGTTGTGCCCTTGGACCACGAGCCTTGACTTCTCGTATGGTTTGGTTTCTTTGCCTTTAACCTCGCGGACCATGCGGAGCGGAAGATATGATGGTTCCCGTGCTTTGCTTCATTGTAGCGTTCGAAGCTAAACACTCCTCGTACCAATAGATCATCGATCTCCGTGCTATCGGATTCCTCAAAGGGGGTGCCTGGCGTTGTGATAATGCCTTCGTCCCGTAGCTTGATGGCTAGTTGGTAGGCATCTTCTTCCTTCTTGACTAGGAACGTCGTCTTTGGCTTGTTCTTCGAACCAGGCGGCCTCGCTTGCGCGGCGCCGGGGATTAGGAGCAGGAACAGGGGCAGGGGCAGGGGCAGAAACAGGAACAGAATCGCTCGCAGGATCAGAAACAGGAATGTCAGAATCATCCGCAGCAGCAGCAGCGGGGGCAGGGATCGTCGTCTCGTCGCGGAAATAAGGCTGCACAAGGGTGGAACGGAAGGTCTGGGGTCCGTTGATAGTATCAATTGTGACATTGGAGCCATCAATTGCACTAATCTTAAAAGGGCCTTGCCAGCCGAGCTTTTCTCTCCACACTCGGACCTCGCTTTGCAGTGGGAGCGATAGTATAACGCCTGTTGATGATGGTCCGTTCTTTGTGTGTAAGGCGCCCTGCACTTGCCGCTCTGCTGAGAGCTGACGAAGCATTTTCATCGCCTTCTGGGCTGCGGCAGCCCTTTTCAGGGTCGTAGCAGAAGGGGCGAATCTAACGCCATTCGAGGGTAGGCGCCAAAGACTAGGAGCGTAGGGACAATGCCATTTGGCCCTGTGTCGTTGATGGCTTTGATAGCCATTTGAAGGATCGATTCGGGGGATGTGAAGGTCCCGATTTCTGCGTGGAGGATCTCAAACGCACGGCGGAGAGGGGCATGATATCTTTCAACCTTTCCAACGGACCAATGTGCTTCCACAGGGACTTGCTTGCAGGTTATCCCCATAAGCTTTGCCTCGTTACGGAACTCTAGGAGGCAAAATTGGTCCCTGCGTCGTGCTTGATAGTATCAGGGGGTCCGAGATATGTGTCTATCCAGAGGGCTCGGAGGGCTTCCCACGTATCCTTTGCTGACATCGATAGGAGGAACCTGGCTGCTTGGAACGCTGTTGCTGTATCTACCACGTGCAAGACGGGGCGTTGAGGGGTTCCAAGGTAGAGCACATCAGCGACGATTTCGTAGTTGAATTCCTGGTCATCCTTTAGGGTGAATTTGAAGCGTCTTGGAGCTTGAGAGTGCATTTGACAGTGATGACAGAATCTCGAGATGTTCTCTAGGATATCTATCGTCACATCGTTGTGGCCAGCTTGCCGTAGGAGGTTGTGAAGTCTTGGGACCGCTGGGTGCCCGAATCGACGATGAAGAGTGCGGATCTCGCTCTCCGTGAGGAATGCGATAGCGGCCTCGTTGGTCTTAGGTAGGAGGAACCAAGGATGTCCCCATTTGCGGATAACCGGGAGGGTTGTTCGTCCGACAATGGTGTCTGTAAGGTTGTTGAAATAGATGCCTAGGCGATCCATATCAGCGAGAGAGAGGAGGAAGGAGTAGGGTCTTGAGGATATGGAATGTGATCCTTCCGAGAGGTGTTTTAAGGGCGATAGAGCCGAGGGATAGAATGGCTTCGCCGTTGCCGAATTTGATAGAAGCTTGGCCTGCTGTAGTCTTATCGAGCGTTATAGCAGGGTCTTCTCGTTGTAGAGCGATGCATTGGTCGTAGCCAGCTGTGGAAACCTTCGCGGCGCCTGTGTCAATTATGATGCCCTGGAATCGAGTCTTGAGTAGCGCTCCTCTATCATGAATTGGGAAGCAGGTGTAGCGTTGTTTTGAGAGGTGCTATACACGTCTTCCCTGTGATCAGATGGTTGAAGGCTTGCTGGCAGAGCATTTGGCTTGTGTGCCACTGTTCTGGGTTGTTGTCATTATCTTCATTGTCGTCCTCGTCCCAGGGGTCGTCAGCATCATCGTGGGCATCCATCTCGTGACCTTCAAAGTCAAGAACGTAGGCTTTAATGTCCTGGGAGGGTAATCCCTATGAAGTGACAGTGGGCGACGTATTGGTCTCGGATCTTTGACGTTCCTCGGCAGTGTGCTTTGTAGACCAACATCCTTCCTTATTGCAGACGAAGCACTTCTTATTCCACGGGTGGTTGTGGCCGTAACGGCCTTGTGGCCGGTTAAAGCGTTGACTATTGAAGCTTCCCGTGGAGCGTTGTAGCTGCCTCGTTGAGCGTTGCCTCTATACCTTCTATACCCCTTCTGACCAAATCTTCCGCGATTGTTGTTGTATCTTCGATCGAGATAGTAGTGGTCATTGGGATCCATATGATCAGATGGTTCCTCGAGGTCTTGATGGTATTGAGGGCCTCCTTGAAGATAACGAGGCGCTATTCCGCGTGCAAGATGGGTCTCAACGGAAGAGCGAAGATCTGCAAAAGGGCTCGATTCCTTCGGCGGGCTTGAATAAAGCGTATTCAAGTTCAGGAACACCGCGGCATGCATTAATAAGCGTTGTACGCAGTGGAACGTTTCCTGCATACGCGTTGCCAAGAGCTCGTTGGCATAACTGTAGCTTATCAAGGAGTAGCTGAAGAACCTCGTGTAGGGATTTCGTAGCATTATCGGCACGGAGCTTGTTAAAGGAAATAGTCGTCCATTCAGTATAGTAGTGAACGTGGTTAACTTCCGTATCGAAATGTTGCTTGATGCTATCGTATGCCTTGCGGAACGTTGAGGTCCAGTTAATGTGGTCAATGTAGTACGTTTGGGCTCGGCCAGTAAGGATTCGAGGGAAAGAGCGTGGAATTGGTCCGGCTTGACCTGAATGTTATAACAGATACTCATAAAGATGCGTAGCTTATCATCGAGAAGGTCATAGGGTTCCCCCGTATAGTTCTTCTCTTTGTCCCAGATCTTGGTGAATTTCTGTTGTGTGTTGGCATCGACGATGCCGTTCGGGATGTCGGCCGGGGGAAGCGTTGTGTACGCTTCGAGGGATGTGGGAGAAGAGGGTTCTGCTAGAACGATGCTCTGTTGCTGGAACTGATAGCTTGTAGGATGTATTGTTCGTTGGGAAGCGTAGCAGTCGTTGTGGGCGGTTCCGCAATTGTCGTAGCGGGAGGAGCAGGGAGCGTCGGAATAGGGGCTAACGGCATGGATGGCTCCGCCGTGTTGGAGGTGGGAGGGTTCTGCGTTAGTCGTCTCTCTTTTCTTGTATAGGCCTCCGTTCCTTTATCGAATTGGGTTACCATGAATTCGTTGTCGGGCCAGGCTGGTGGGTTATCGATCGTCTGTAGGAAGACGAGCTGTGGGATGATGTGGTCACCCTTTTCTCCTGTATAGATACCACGTCTCTTTAAAAGGTAACGTAGCTCCTTCGAAATTCCTTTGGCATCTTTCTCCACGTTGCCTCGGTCCACTGTTGGAAGTGATCCTGGAAGAATTCAAGGATATTAGTGCCATGAAGGTGTACGTTCTCCTCGCATTCTGACATAAATCGTGCGGTATATGTCATAACAGCTATTCTATCTTCCTCTTGGGGCGTGATCTCATCCTCCCATCGGGTCGGATCGATATCCTGATATTGGGTCTTTGGGATCGTGAGATTTTGGACCAATTCCCTTACTTGGTCGAGGAAGGCGTCGTTCCTCGTAGAGGCGGGGTTCGGGGTTGGGGTCGTGCTTGTCATCGTGAGGGTTGTCACGTAGTTGTCGAATCGTGAGGGCTGTCACGTAGTTGTCGAATCGGCGTTGTGGACGCACTTACACTTAATGTAACCGTTAAGTGAAGTTGGAAGGATCTATCAATGGCCTACCGGGAGCTAGTTGGTTGCCGGGTCCGGGTAATCGTAGAGTCCTTGATCTTAGCATAGAAACCTCCTCTAGGTCCAACCAGGGCAATATCGCTAGGAATATGGTAGTTGGGCTTTCGAAGGTTGCGTTCTATCTCTTCTTCCTTGCCAATCTGTGATCGACCAAATCGATCACTGATCAGTGTCGGGAGGTCTGTACTGCAGTAACGCAATGGGTTGTATTCAAGATGTCTTGCTAGGAAGGGAGGAAAGGGAATGAGGGGCACACTACGTGCCCTTTATACACGGATCCCCGAGGTCCATACACGTGACGCTAAGGGTCACGTGTGCGTGTGTGCGCACCTCCCTTACAATCCTACTATAGCTATATGCTACATTCCCACAGCTTCTTTGTGACTCGTCTGTGTATCGATACACGGTGACCTACCTTCAATTATCCTATTTGGGCTGTAGTCGAGACGCGATGGCTTTTAACCCATGCTTAGCGCGATAATCCCTGCAATAATGTCTGTCCGAACCCGTTCTTGTGTATGTAACTGGGACCTTCGTCCCCTTGACTTAGGCAGTGGTTAAGGCCAATAGACTCTCTATAACCGTCATATGCATGGCATCTCTCATTTCCTTTTGACATCCTGGAACCTTGTCGTTAATGCCCGATAAGCTTACGCGCCGGAGTTGAGGCCCCATCTATCGTCCTTGGGGTACTAAATCAAATGGTTTGTGCATTAACCCCGTGATTATTAAGGTGTATAAAACCGTCCCGCCATCGGTTGAGCCTACAAAGGATCGCAGAACCCACTTAGCTGCGACGTTTGTCTCTATCCCCGCCCAATCGGCGGCACACTCATGACTCCTCCAGTGATCGATAAATCGTCTAATTTTCTTCCTTGCTGTCGCGATGCACCCCGCGCATGTTTAGGCTAAGAGGACATGACTTTTTAGTCAAGTCTCTGCAAGGAGCAACCTATCGCCTCGCATAATTATCACTAAATGAAACGTCCGACTTATGTGTAAGTGAATTGCAGGAGGATCTCTCATGTGTTGACAAACAAATCGTGTAGCCTTATATGCCCTTGACAGCTAGGCATCCATCATCTCTGCGACATTCCCCGGGGGAACCGGCCAGTCCTCCTTTTATTTCCGTGGCCCCCTGCTTAATTTACTTATGTGGTGGACCCGGTTCCACCCCCCGAACTCCCCCACCGGTCCTCGGCACCTGTCGGGCTGCAACTCCAGAACGCATTGAATCATAATGATGATGATGATTTATTTCGCCCGGAGGATATTTCCTATAGGGCCTAGACGTTTTCAGCTATTGACAATTCAAGACATTGATGCATAACACCCCAAGCCCCACGGATCATCTTGCATTGCGCCTACTGTTTTCCAGTCCATAACAAGCCGCTGTAGTCTCTGCCGTTGTGGACCCTGTCGTTTTGGTCTCTGTCGTTGTGCTCTCTGTCGTTGTGAATTTTTGCCCCTCGCTTCCGAGAATTCCTTCTCTCGGTAGTCTTTTATCCTTGTGACGCTAGTGCGTTGCATGACGCAGTGGGGTACGTTAAGTCACATGCGCTCCTCGACCAAATGGCCTGAGGATTCTGTCCAACACTCGCACTGACTATTCGACAATTTTCGCGACTCTGGAGTATCCCTTTTTCACATATCCATCAATGGTCACATCAACGTGTTTTACATATGCTCCTAATTTCACTGGGCTGTTCATTAAGGCACTCCCTATCCGAGAATATATTTTTTTAACACTCAGATGCGTGTATCTTGTGGAAAACTCTGGTATGTGGAGAGCTAAGACTTTGGCGAAATCATCATCCCAGCCACTCTTCCACCCTATAGCCTACGAACCGTAGAGAAATTCCGTTCAAATTGTGTATGATTCTATTGAGCGTGGCGTAATGCTTTCCTCGGCCAGGTTTTATCTTTCTATCATGTTGTAGGACACGCGTTGTGTTCATCTTGACTCACGCCCAAAATCATTGACACGGACCTCAGGCCATTTGTTCGAGGACATCACATGACCTTACTAATGGCCTGAGCTTGCTGAGGTAAGCGGATCCGGCGCTGGCGGCACGTGGCGGCCGGCGACCGACTGACGTTTGCCACGACTCGTGTTGGATGCATGTTGTTTTGTTGTTGTTGGGATTTCGAAGCCGTGGCGGGTGCCTTGCCTTGCCTTGCCGTTGCTTGCCTTGCCGTTGCTTGCCTTGCCGTTGCTTGCACGTCGTCGCTTGCACGTCGTTGCTTGTCTTGCACGTCGTTGCTGCACGCCAAGGGATCTGTCTGCCTGCCGCAGAGAGGTCACGTGAGCGGGCCGATTTCCCCTTGGGCGGGACAACGTCTCTCCGTGCTCGGCGATGGCTTCAACCACTTCAACTTCCCTTCCCTACCCTTGTCCACATGCAATGCAACAAACACAAAAGAGCTTCACGGCAAAAGATTCTCAACAACGTGCGCTTTAAATTAGCATCGGTGCATATCTCACGCGAGGTACTTCGGTACGAAACAAAAGAAGGATGGTCGCTCCGCCTTGCAAGGCCCCGGCCGGCTCCAGGGGAAATAATGCATTGCCCGCAATCTGTGCTCCTCCCCTCCCTCCCCTCCCCTCTCGGCTCGAGAGGCCGGCCTCGGCGCCATGCCCAGCCCAGACAGTGCCTAGGTACCGAGTACATGCCCTCGTGTTGTTTGTTTGGATCCTCTCTTTGCCGGCAGCTGTCAAGCGACGTTATGGGCGCAGGCGCATCGGAGTATCTTGTCCCTGGCCGACGCAGGCATCACCCTGGGAACCAGGGCTCCCGAGATGCCCCATCCGAACTCGAGTCCGCCACCCTGGGTAAGCACAGCTAGAATGGCTCCCGGAAGCTATGGGGGAAAGACTTTGATCATGTATGAATATGGGCACTCGACGTATGGCCAACAACATCTTATAAGACAGGCTCACCATCTCCTTCCAACTGCTCTCCCTCACCCCATCAGCCACCGCCCAGCTTACCCCTCACCCTCACTCACCCCCCTTCTTTAATCCCGACATTAGGTTGACTCATTACACTCGTTAATACTCTTAATTCCGAGCAACTTTGCCCTCACTCATCATGCGCGTGTCCAGCACCATCGCTGCCGTCGCGGTGGCGGCTCCGGCTGCGGTCTCTGCCGTACCTAACCCTCCTGCTCCAGTGCCCCAGCCGATCCCCGAAACATTCCAGGGTCTGGACACGGAAATATATGAGAGGAAACGCCGATGCGAGATCCAGGTGGGAAATATTAAGCGACACTGCATTTGGGACCAGTGCGGCTCCGTTCATGATCCTCCTGAAGGATACGAGGTTTACACTTCGACTAAAGAATTTGGCATCGACAAGCTCAATACACCTGACAATTGGAAACAAGACATGTACCCCTTACCTGGGAAAGACTGCGAAACCTCGTACTTGGCTGGCGATTGGAAAGGCTGTTGGATAGGCCACAGGGCCCTTGTGTGCAAGAAGGTTGCCGAGTCCAAGCCCAAGCCTGAGAGAAGCACTTCGACGACTCAGACGTCGACGACGCAGTTGAGCACACCCACGAGCGCCACCCACACGGAGAGCAAGATGGAGGCCAAGACGGAATCGACGACTGCTACTCCTTCGGCCCATAACGACTCCAAGACGGAGTCGAAGACTGGTACTCCTTCGGCCCATACCGACTCCAAGACGGAGTCGACGACTGCTACTCCTTCGGCCCATACCGACACCAAGACTGGGTCCAAGACTGGGTCCAAGACACATGCTATGTCCTCTTCCGCCTCTGCCTCCGGCTCGGCCTCTACTGGCAGCTCGGCTGCTCAGGCTACCTCTAGCTCTGCCAGCTCTGCCAGCGCCTTCGCTTCCAACACCCCTGACGGCAAAGACGGCAAGGGCACCTCTGTTACTTCCAGCTCTTCCAGCGCTTCCGCTTCCCAGGTTCCTGGTGGCAAAGGCACCACTGTCACCTCGAGCTTTGCTACTTCTGTCAGCGCTTCCACGTCCATTGGCGGCAACAGCGGCAATGCAACCCATGCTCCCTCAGGACCTGCCGGCGTTGCCAGCTCTCATGCCGCGAGCTCGTCGACCAAGATCGGCGCTTCCACCTCCATTGCCACGGCCACTGGTATTGCCCCTGCTGCTGCGACTGGCAGCGTCATCTCGAAGCTTCACGTGGAAGCTCTGTACAAGTTGAGCCTCGAATTCGAGTTCACCATCCGGGGCGGTCTCTGTGCCATCACCTACATGCCCCCTGGGGCCGATGTCGTCAGCTGGCGCGCTGTCTACCACATCGAGGCGAGCGCCGAGGTTAAGTTCAGCTTCGAAATCTGCGAGCCCAGCCAGGCCGGCCTTGTCGTCACCAAGGTCCAGGGACAGTACGTCTATGGTCTCCCCGTCAGCCACACTGAGGTTGCCCCTGGTGTCTATGAGCTCGTCTGCGACACTGGCAGTCTCAACCGCGTCACGGTCCAGAACGGTCATGTCTCCGTCAAGGCCGAAGCTTCCGCCAAGGCCGACGTCACCATCTACGAGTGCGCCAGCGTCTCCAGCTGCAAGAAGTCTACCTGCTCCGGCAGCAACTGCGGCTACAACCTCGTCGCCAATGCACAGCCTGCCGCCCCCGCCAGCGGCTCCGTCTCAACTTCTGCCTCCGCTTCTGCCGTTGCCTCCGTCACTTGGGCTTTTAAGCAGTGCGAGACCGAGGCCAAATGCTCCTGCGTCCAGACTTGCGTCGCCGAGAAGTGCGGACCTGTTCAGAAGCCCGTCCCAGGCGTTGCCCCGGCCCCTGTCGCCGAAGACAAGGTCCGCACCGTCACTGTTGCTGCCATTGCCCACGCTGTTGCCGAGGTCAAGACTACTGTCACCGAGGGCACGAAGAACATTCACGTCGAGCCCATGGTCAACGGCGAGGCCCCCAGCCAGCCGAAGGTCAACGGCGAGACCACCAGCCAGCCGAAGGTCAACGGCGAGGCCCCCAGCCAGCCGAAGGTCAACGGCGAGACCCCCAGCCAACCGAAGGTCAACGGCGAGACCACCAGCCAGCCGAAGGTCAACGGCGAGGCCCCCAGCCAGCCGAAGGTCAACGGCGAGGCCCCCAGCCAACCGAAGGTCAACGGCGAGACCACCAGCCAACCGAAGGTCAACGGCGAGGCCCCCAGCCAGCCGAAGGTCACTGGCGAGGCCACCAGCGGGTCCAAGGTCAACGTCGAGGTCCTCAGCCCTGCTGAGCACCACGTCGAGGACTTCAGCCAGCCCCAGAAGGTCGCCCCAGGCAAGCCCTCATGCATCCCGCGCCCTTCGAAGGACGCTCCCGCCGTCAATATGGCTCCCGTCGCTTCCGCCCCTGTCCCTGATTCCGCTTCTCACCAGGTGCCGGAGACCGCTTGCCCTGCTTCTGTCGCCGAAGTCCCTGCTTCCGCTCCGTACCAGGCCCCTGCCCCCGGCGCTGCCTCCGGCCCTGCTTCCGGCCCTGCTTCCGCTCCCAAGCAAGTCTCTGTTTCCGGTTCTGCTCCTGTCGCCGGCGGCTCTGGTTCCGCTCCTGATCGGACCCCCAAGACCAACGCCGTCCCCTCCGGCGTCGCCCCGGTCAACAGAGTCCCTGAGGTCAAGGGCCACGTCCAGACCCCGGCCACCGTCCAGATCGCCAAGCAGCCCAACAATGGCACCACCCCCCCGGCCACCAGCCGCGCTGGCTCCGCGCCTGCTGCTGGCCCCGGCGCCCCCGGCGCTGCTGCCCCTGCGCCTGCCGCCCCCGCGCCTGCCGCTCCCGCCGCCGGTAACCAGGGCCGCCCTACCAACGGCACCGTCGCTGGTACCAGCTCCAGCAAAGTCACCGGCTCTTCGGGCCGTGTTACTGTTGCCTTCAACGTCCTTGCCGGTGTTGTCGCCTTCCTTTTCTTGTAGCGAGGTGTGGCTACGATGTAGAGTTCGATCCCTTTTTGACTTCAACATGGTCTGTGCGACCATAAGCCATCGATCATGATCGGTATTCTGGGCGTGATACCAATAATTCGCGCCGCCCTCCATTTTGGTTTGTTTCTCGGGACGCGGCAGTTGAACATAGGGTTTAATAGGTCATCCAACATATCACATATTGACGCATAAATCTATTTCTTTTGTTCGATCCTGGCCTGCGTATCTGGTGCATGTTGCGTCCCTTGGGTGCCTTGGTCTAAGCATTGCACGCGGCGCACCCTGGTCGACAGATATGAAAGATATCGTGCCCTAGATTCAGGCCCGATGCCTAAATGACGATTCAGACATCTTGCACGTTCGGCGTCCACGATCCCTTTGTGCCCATCGCACAGGGGCTGCCTTCCCTGTCGCTATACTGCATATTTGCCCCTCGCTTAAGCTGGGAGGCCCTCACTGGAGTTGGGTTGTTCTTGTAGTATTATAACAGTTCGAACCTAACCCTCTGCGACTCTCTCATCGTCACGATTGCCTTGACTCGTTGGTACTATGGCAGCTGGGCCCCCGCACGCACGGCTGGTCAAAGCACGTATTCCGCGGATGCCCGTATCGCAGGGGTATATACTAGCTGCCTTTTGTCTTATAATACCGGCGCTCCAGGTTATCATGTTCGACATTGCCAAGTTTTGATAACTATTCATCATAAGACTCATGCAAATCGGCAGACCGGTCATTGCTACCCTGGTCGTTTAACCTTCTGGTCAACCAACCAGCGTCTGCCAACATGCGCCTGACGTCGCTTGCTTCATCCCGGATGGGTTCCTACTCTTGGCCACCGCCTCAAGATGCGCGGCATTTCTGATGGCCAAGTAAGCGCGATGGCTTCTTTAGACGAGCTAGTCAGGCGCGTTGCATTTCCGTCCAGTGCTAAAGGGGTCAGGTGGGTTAATCAATAGCACTGGACTTGGATGCCCGGCTTTGGCCCCCACGAGCGCCGCCCTGTCCCAGGCTGCTTCAGGATGTGCCACCATTTTCAGCCCCGGATCCTACATACAGTATATACAGACATCTGTACATACATACAGATACTTACTTTACAACTACGAGGTCTTCTTTTTTTGAGGAGCAAACGATAAGGCTTGACGCTTTGCGGGTGAGCCCCCCCCCCCTCCCCCCGGCTTGACCGTCCACAAGCTGGATTATCAGGTGCTGTGTGACACAGGTCCCAGCACCCTCTTGTTGATGTGCCGCTGTTCTCACAGTGCCGGGGCGTAAGGGTGTATTTATTGCTGATCCTGGAAGGATCGCTAGCTAACACCCGACGACATCTTCTTTGTTTCCCTCACCGATCCAGGCCCGCGCGCACCCCCGGCCAGCTGGCCTGCAGACTCATGTTGATCGGTTTATCCCTCTTCAGCAGCCCGCATGCTAGCATTTGATCTTTCGGCAGACGCAACTCTATTCTTCTGCGCCTGTCCGGCCCCCCCCCCTTCCCCGAGCCCTTGCGTTCAGCTGTGCTTGAGCACCAAATACATGGGATTCGTCCAATACGCCTAAATAGACATTGTTTACAGAGTACGACTTGCGAAGCACAGACATGCTTGCTCGACTCGGTCTCTCCATGGTGCCCAGTCACTCTTCAACCTCCTCAGATAGCATCATGAGCAGGAACAGTTCGGTGCCTGTGCTTTGACTACCCCGGGGGGCTGCGTTCTCACATCAGCCGGCAACTCGCAGAGCACATGCCGTATACGGGATTTCACTGGCCCGGCTTCAAGGCCCGACTCCGTCCAAGGCTCTAATCACATAGCAGGGCCGATACCGTCCCCCTCCGGCGGCGTTGTACAATCTCCAAGCCGGTACATGTGTGGAAATATGGGAGGCCGTGGAGAAAGGGGGGGGGGCGAGAATAGGTATCATCACACATCCATTCGTCGCTAACCGGCATGGCTTTCTCAGGGGGCCAATAAGCACCCCGGACACGCCGCTGCTGTCCTGCAGCCTCATCCCTGCTTGAGTCTGCTGCTCACGCAGCTGGGCCTGGGCCCGGGCCCTCGCTCGCAGGCTGCAGCGGAAGGCAATCAGGCGCAGCCAAACGGAGGAGTCGGTCGGACCAGAGAAGCAACCAGGCCTCTGAAGCCGTCACTCACTGTGCGCGGCGACATCTCTTCACATGGACGCCGGCGGCCTGGCGTCTCGAGGTGCGAGAATATGGCCTCCGTCCTGCCGACTTCTACGCCTACACCGACGAGGGCCGAGACGAGTCGGTCCACGATAACGCGCAAGAACGCGGGCCCGCTGACGACGGCCTTTGGCGCGCCCTCGCGATGCTTCGACCGGACGCTGGACTCGGCCGTGTTCGGCACGCTGGACCAAGGGGGATTCGACTATGCCCAGGACCTGAGCATCTTCGTCACCGACTTCAGGAGCGCCCACTCCATCTGCCCGTCGGCGTCTTTCGTTCCGTGCTTGCCTCACTACAGTAGGTATAGAAAGTTCCAAGGTCGAGGCATCTTCTTCTCGCCGGGGCTCGAGTGTCCGACGAGCTGGCGGACGGTGGCGAGCGCGACGGCATCCAATACATCGAGCAACTACCTCTACATCAACGGCATCGTCGTGTCGACGCTTCTGCCCGATGAGAGCGCCTATGTATGCTGTCCCATGTAAGCATGATCGACTCCTCGGGCATGAGCGGTTCCTCGGGCATGAGCTGTTCCCGGGCATGAGCGGTTCCCGGGCGCCTATGCCCGCCTTTGGCTCGGGTCGCACATGTAGTAACTGACACTCCTGCTGTTAGTGGCTTCGACTACATGGTGAATATCCCTCCGTCTCCTCCCGTCGTCTACTGCACCTCCGCCGTCAGCAAGTTCGATGCCATGCACAAACAGTGGTCCTGCTCGGGCAACTCGACGCTCGAGGAGATGACCGGGACCGACGCCGGCTATGTCATCACGCTCACCTCTACCTTGAGCGGGCGGACGAGCATAATGCCCGTCTCTTTCATGACCGTCAAGCTGTACGCGCCGACCATTCAGCTCAACCGCCGCCCCCATGATGTTCCAGCCTCCTTGACGATGACGACGACGACAGGATCACAGAACGGTGGCCCACGGGGCGGAAGCGCGCAGGATTCAGGGCAAGCCCGAGCCACAGTCCCTCACGGAGGCGCGATTGCGGGCATCGCGGTTGGCGCCGTCGGCTTGATGGCACTCCTGGGCGTGGCCGTCGCCTTGCTCTGGAATCGGCGGAGGAAACGTCACGAAGCGGATGCGGCGGCAGCAGGCTGGACCAAGCCGGAGCTGGACGGCGCGGCGCGGCCTGATCCTAGACACGGCAGGTCAGAGCTGGAGGCCAGTGAGCGCCACGAGCTCGATGCCGGGACCGCGGACCAAGTATTTGAGCTTCAGGAGAGCCGTACGGGTGCCGGCGGCGGGCTGCCTGGCAACGCCAACGAGACTCAAACGAGGCGGTGGTCAGGCTTGCGCTTTGGTCGGGGATAGCGAGGGACTTGACGAGCTTCATGGTCCTTGATTGGGTTGGAAGATCTCGACTCATCAGGTGGGAAGGCCTCTGTTGGGTCTGGAGAGGGCGAAGACTGAGGTTTTACGGCGACGCAGGGGGCGAACATACACGGCGAAGGAAACATTCAGCGCCATGCCATCAAGGCCTCGGGAAAAAGCCTCCACGACCAGGACTGGTCTGTACAAGAACCCCTTGTTAGTTATATATATAGGCGTGAAGTGCGGAGGCTGTGTGTGATACCCGAGCCACCGATGCGGCTTGTCGAGAACTGCAGCTCGCAGTCCACGACAGGATCGTCTCGACTTCACAATCCCAGAGCGAGGCAGAGGGGCTAAAAGTCGACAATGGAGGCCAGTGTCATGGGCTGACGTATAGAGCATCGAAACGCGCACAATGATCGGGAAGAAATGACGACAGCTGCGCGTTTCGAGTGGCCATTCACGGTTGAAGCGGTGCTCGCCCATCCCGGAGCCGGTGTGGGATCTATAATGCACACGGCTCTTACATGCAGGCCGTGTCTGCGAACGCCGGCTGACCTGTGCTCAGGTAAAAGCTGCCCATCGACGGTCCAACCCCCGTCGCGATCCCTTGCGCAGCCGGGGATGAACATGCGGCCCTGCTTGTTCGACCAGTCCTGGCACCAGTGAGTGCTGGCCCGGCGCACACGGTATGTTGACCGTGAATAATTGGTGTATCCCCAGCCAATCCAGCGTTTACACGACGGCTGCACGTACGAAGTAAGCGGTCCCTGCCATGAGCCGGGACGGAGGGGCCGGGGCCGCTTCATCTGCTCCGCACATTCATGTTACTCTGCATGCGGGAATTGCTTACGTCGGTTCACAGGCGCCGAGATTTCTCACGCAGCAGCAGCAGAGTAATCAAACATGCACTCCTGATTTTCAAACATGCACTCCGACTTAAACCCCATTTGGAAGGAGTAATCAAGCATGCACTCCTGATTTTCAAACATGCACTCCGACTTAAACCCCATTTGGAAGAGAGCCCCACCAAAATTTGGCGCGGCGCGTTCCCAACGCCGTGGCCGCCGCGGCTTGCCGCCGGCGCCCGAGGCCACCTCTGCACACACGTTCGTTCGTTTTGAAGCCATCGTTTTGAAGCTATCACCAACTATTCAGCACACCACACCAACGCCGCCACCGCCGCCGCCGCCTACCGCACAACCGTCACGATGAATTCGACCGATCGCAACATGAATACAAACAGACGATGCCCTCACTTCCACAGGCGCCGCCGGGCTCACAGGGGTACTACGTAATGCCACCGCCTACAACACATGTGCCTGTATACACACAGGCGCCGCCGGCGGCATCGTACGTCTACCCGATGCCACCTACGCCCTCACAGTGGCAGCAGGGGCCGCCCCCCTCGGCACAGGGACATCACGATAGCTGCCTGTGGGCACAGCCGCCGGTACAGTCGCAAGGGACGGCAAGGAGCCTGCCCGACAGCCAGGGGATCAGAGGACACGGCGCCATACAATTTTGGTAGGCAGGCCGGGCATACGTTCGTCCCTTACGTGCCTCGTCCTCCGCCGCGTCAGACGGATCAGACGGATCCTACGGATCCTCCGGCACCGTCACAGTCATAGTCACGGCGTTGATTGATCTCACGGGCGGTAGTCAAAGGTGTGCACATTGTATATATATCGGAAAATAGGTCGGGCCGGGCGTATTGATATATTTGAACGACTCCAAGGAACGCAGCTTCCAGCGTTGGTGATAATTAAATGCTGATTGAATGCGACCGGGCGGCAGCCGCGGCGGCCACGGCGTTGGGAACGCGCCGCGCCAAATTTTGGTGGGGCTCTCTTCCAAATGGGGTTTAAGTCGGAGTGCATGTTTGAAAATCAGGAGTGCATGTTTGATTACTCGCAGCAGCAGCATGCCCGAGTCCCTTTGGGGGTGGGAGCGGCGAGGCGGTGACTGCTGGCGCACATATGTTCACATAAAGGGGGTGGTGAGGGGGGACGGAGGGAGACGGAGGAGACAAGAAGGTGACTCGCGACTGGACACGAGCAGCTGGCGTCTGCCGAGTGGCGTCATAGAGCTGCATCGCGCGCCCAGTCCCGCGGCCCGGAGTGAGACAGGCCGTCGGGGAGGTCAGCAAGCACGACATTGGACGCCATTGTGCATCTCCTCCCCCATCTCCTCCCCCTCACGCGGCGCCCAGCCGCTGGAATGGACCAACAATAGCCGTCGGCTTCCTCTCGGCCCACCGGGAGGGAGTCTCGGGCCAAGGGTTGTGTGTCGCCGCTGCCTCCAAGAAGGGCCTCACTCCCGCTCTCGACCGTCGACACATCGACACACACACACACACACACACACACACACACACAACACACACAACACGCTCTGTCGACTCTGCCCATCTCTCCCTCCTCCGCCGAGTCTTGGACGGGCCGTCGTCCTCGCCAATCAACACCTCCATCATGCGTTGGACACCGGGCCTGGTGCTGCTGGGCCTCGACGGGCTGGCCGCGGCGCACCGGCCCCCAAAGCCAGAGGGCGTCAGGAAGATCCCCTCGACCCTGCTCAAGGGCGCCGACGTGTCCTACAAAGAAGTTCCGGTGCGCTCCAGGGAACCCGTCCTGTCCCCGCGTAGACCCTCCCCGCGTAGACCCCCTCCGGGCAGCTGGCGGCTTCTAACCCTCGCAACACGGGGTGCGTCCGCGTAGGCAGAGATATGTGGCAACGCAAAGTCGTATGCCGGCTACGTCAACTTCCCGCCAAACACGATGCGCGAGTTTCGGCACGACTACCCCGTCCACACCTTCTTCTGGTACTTCGAGGCCCAGACGAAGCCGCAGGACTCGCCGCTGGTCCTCTGGGTCAACGGCGGGCCCGGCGGGTCGTCCATGTTTGGCCTCTTCACCGAGCACGGGCCGTGCCAGGTGGACGGCAACCTCAAGACGAGCCCGAGGGAGTGGTCGTGGAACAGAGAGTTCAACATGCTCTACGTCGACCAGCCGCTCCACACCGGCTTCAGCTACGACTTCCCTACGCCGGGAGTCTTCCACCCCAAGAACGGCAGCATCACCGGCCTCGGGCCCGGGGCCGGGGATCCTCGGGCGGACCGCACCGTGTTCCCCGGCGTCTTCAGCAGCCAGGACACGGCGTCGACGGCCAACACGACCGAGAACGCGGCCCGGCAGTACTGGAACTTTCTCCAGGTGTGGACGCACGACTTCCTGGCGCACCGGCCCACCGACGGCTCCATCAGCATCTTCACCGAGTCGTACGGCGGGAGGTACGGGCCCAGCTTCTCGGCCTACATCCAGGAGCAGAACGCGCGGGTCCGAAAGGGGGCCCTGCGCGGCGCCAAGACGCTCAACCTCACCAACCTCGGCATCGTCAACGGCTGCATCGACCTGCTCGTCCAGGAACAGTCGTATCCCGAGTACGCCTACGACAGGAACCCGTTCGGCATCGCCGGCATCACGCGCGACGAGTACGCCAAGGCCTTGGTTGCGCACTCCCGCAAGGGCGGCTGCTGCCACCGAACCAGGGATAGGATCAATACTGCTCGTTCGGGAAGGTATTACTCCTGAGAGTGCCGCCAGTGAATTAGGATAATTTTCCTTTCGTAGTACAACAATATTGACAGAGACTGTTCTCTTTCAATTTTAGTTCTTTATTTCCTCCCACCCGATCCCGTCCCCGCGTCACACGAGGCATTAAAGGCCCTGGGAATGAATGTGCCCAAGTTAAATTTCGTCAAAAGTGTATACCTGTTTCGCTTACGCGCAAGGAACAGTACTGGCGCTGCGTGTTGGGACTGCGCAAAGGGTGAAGGATTTTCTGCCTGCTAAGAGTGACGAGCCATTGATCAATTTGAATCTGTAGGTCTCTCTATTGATGCTGTACGTGTCTTTTAGGGGCTGAATCGGCACCTTACCTGGTGTACTGCTGCGCATCACAACAACTACGAGCTTGCTGCCGCTCCAGGACCAGCTCCCGTGTCGAATGGATCATCCAGCCAAAAGTGAGATGCACATCCCAACAGCACTTCTGCTAGAATAACTGATATGGCCTGTCGCTGATTGCAACATCCCGCTTGGCCTCTTTCGACGAGACAGCTGAGAAGAGCCCTGGGAAGCGAAAGACCATGGCGCTGGACCATCGCCGCCTCCGGAGGGTAGTGAACGGACTCAAGGAGCGTCAACGTGCGGGCCCGCTGCTAGTCCGCGGTACATTTTCCACACCAACCCGAGGTACTCATATGACCGGGGCCAGGGAGCCTAGACCCAAAAGTGAGTTTTGCAACAGTGTCCCCTATCGTCCTCCGTAATTGACGGAGGTGTGAGGCAGACGGAGAAGATCGAGATTGTGGCCAGGAATAAAAGGCGAGGAAGGAAGGAAGGAACAGACACAGCGGACACAAGGAAAAATGGAGCAGCACCGGACGATTCTGAAATACTAACTTTATGCCTATTTGGCCCTACTCTTCGTGACAAGCTCTGCTTGTTATATCTTTGCGGAAGCCTCATGGCTTTGCGATATTGCTGGTTGGTCTTGATGCTGCCAACCAGTTGCATCACCCAATCCGCCACGGTATATTTTTCTCCAGCGTCAAGAACTCCGTCATAGGCATAGCACCCAGCCTAGGCAGCGTTTCGTCCGTACTTCGCCCCTCAGGCACGCGCTCTAGGTCTAGAAGTGCTTCATGACGGCCCATCATCCTGCTTTTATCGTGATAATCTGCAAGCGCGTTGCGACCACGCGTTAACAACCCAGCCGTAACTCCCGAGCTCCTCCTTTGGCGAATAGGCAGGTTCGCGTTCAGGATAGATACGAGCGCGGCGACACACTTCCAGGGACCGGCGATTATGGAACGCGGCACGACGAGGGCGAGGTTGGACGACAAAGGGCCAGGTGCATTCTGTGAGCCTGCTTCGTGGACAAAACCCAGGTAAAGATTTCCCGCTAGATGAAGCCGGACAGTTTGGCTGCCGTTCGAGGGGCTCCAGCCCGGAGGCAAGGTCAGGCGGAAGGAAGGGTACTCTGCCGTGATGCCGCGGGGGGACGGCCAGGAGAACTCATCTGAGATGATGGCGTGCTCGTAGGGGAGCGGGTTGGTTCCCTCACTGGACTGGGCAAGTAGAGACTTCGGAATCCAACGTGCGCCAGTGTCCTCGTAGCGTTTCTGGTCGAGGAAGATAAGCTGGCTGGGCACAAGGGCGAACGTCTTAAAACAGACTCGCATGCGCTCCTCCGCTGGCACTTCGATCAGAGGCTCGACGGAGCCGGCACGCCAGTTGGTGAGGCTAGCGAGAATAAGGCTTTCATCCTCGCTGCGGCTGGTAGTGCGGTATGCGATTGTCCGCATTGCACGTGGGACTAAAACGGTCATGCCAGGAACGAGCTGCATGCCTGGGAACCATTTAGGGTCTGGCTGGCTGTACTTGATGTCCAGTTCCTTGAAGAAGGACGAGATGCGGGTCCAACAACAGCTCAGCGCCTTGTGCGCGAAGCATGCCAGTGGCTCGTAGTCAGCCGCACACTGTGGCGGGTTAGCAAGGCGTTTGCGCAGCAAATGGGTCTCCGGAATAGTCACACTGCGGGCGGGAAAGGCGTGTGTCTGGCGCACAGCCTTGTTTAGATTGTTAAAGGTGTAGGTGGTGTCTGCAAACTGGTAGTGAACCTGGGCCTGATAGAGCCCTTCTTGGAGCGTCCACAGGCGACGCGCCCAGCCGGAACACATGATTCGGAGCCCGATCTCTTCCTTGGACATGTCATGAGAGAGCACACCGGCCAGGGTACGATCCAGGACAAGGACCTTGGTTGAGGATTTGTAAACGCCCTCCATGTTTTTGATTGCACTCTTCTTTGCCTCCCCGTACACTGATGGCTTACCCTTGGTCACTGGGATGCAAAGCGTGTCCATCCAAAACGGAACCGGGCCTTTTTTATTAGGAAATTGTTTGTCCACTAGATTCTACGTTGGGGCAGTCAGCGCGGCTGTTCACCAGTTGCTGCACTAATACATTCGCCACCGATTGAGTTATTGGTACAATAGAACCCTCAATGTGACCATCTCTTGATGACTCTTATGGATATTCCAGACTCTAGTCCTTAGCACGGATCTAGATTAAAATACCACTGAGGCAGAGCATTTATCTTTTGGATTTACGTTGGGTCACTTACTTGTATACGCTCAAGTTGGCACCGGGGGAGCGCATTCGCATCTGAATTCCCCAGTCCGTCCGCCCAGACGTGGCTGATAGCCACAAACGGGTGACCGAGCAGCTGCCGGACGGACACGGGGACAAGCCGCAGTTGTCCCTCACAATACGCTGCCATGGGAGTTGGGCGGGACGGCGACAGCCGGGATTGATCGCACATGATAGTCTCAAGCAGCTTGCTCCTCGCTGGGTCGGCGGAGTCGAACCCGTCGAAGCCAAGAAAGTCGCAACCGTGGCAGTCTTGATGGTGCTGGGTCTGGTACGTCGCCAGGTCCACTTTGTACGCCTCGCACTTGCCCGCGCTGCACTTGCTGTGGTCGAGGTTGTGACGGCGGTCGAGCTGGGCACAGAGAAGGAGGGCGCAATGGTCGCCTTCCACGAGGTCGGAAATTATTTTCAGTTCACGCGGGCACCAGCCATTCTCAAGGAAAATTTGAGGGCTGAGCCGCGCCGGTAGTTTGTTGAAGGGGACTGTGAACGACGCATCTAGTGGAATGGCACGGTAGATAAAGAATGCTGCTGTCTGCAGAGTAGTACAGAGAACGAGGACCGAGTCCCACACAGCGGCGTCAATGCCACGACTGAGCGGACCAAAGTTGCGCAATTCAGTAGCTGCAGTATCCAGCACGCGCCAGATACTAGCCGCCCTCACTTTTGCACTTTCCATGCCCTCGCTCCATAACTGCCGCTTGTTGTGTAGCACTGCCATCGCACTGGGTATGGGAGTAGGGTCACGACGAGCGACGCGGATGAGAGAGGCGACCGCTTGGCCAGCGACGGAGCCGATGTAGTCCCCGACCTCTCTTGCAGTAGAGTGGAGCTTGGAACTGTCGAGGCAGCCGGGATATTCGCGGCTGGCAGAGACAATCCATGCCGCGATGTAGTCTTGGAGGCACTTCGTCGTGATGGTGGCGTGGCCATTCTCAGCGCGACTCACAAAGTCGTCCCGCTGGATCGTAATGTTGTACACCTTGAAGATCTCGTCCAGAGTGCCAAAGAAGAGCCAAGACTGGAAGAATTTCGACGACTCCCAGCATGTTTGGAGGTCGTGAGGCTTTGCGAATGTGAATTTGCATCGCCTGGGAAAGCCTTCAAGGCCGTTGCGATCATAGGCAAAACGGGCATCTTCAAGAAAACGGACTTCAACGCGGAAGCTAGATCTCTTTTGGAGCTGTGGTAGATGGTCCATGGCTTAAAGGCTTTTACTGCGCTTTGAATGATGGCGATCTAGCGGCGCTTGCAGAGAGAACGGATGCCTGCCATGAGACTAGTAATCATATGTCAGATATTTGGCTCCACACGGATCAGAGATGGCATCAGGCAATTGATGAGAATTATCTAAAGAACAAGAAGCGAGTGAATGAACGCACGGAATTGTGCAGCTCTTTATACACAAATGAAGACAGTCTCTATTCGTACGCACCCAAATCTCAATCCGTACGCACCCCCCCACTTTCAGCCACAAGCCAGCCACAGGGCGGCCGACATCGCAGATCTGTAAGCTCAACTTGACCGTTATCGATGAAGTAGTGCTCACAAACTCTTGGAGCTAGCTCTTCGGAATGAACCTCTAAAAAGGGAGAACTTGGTTCCATTTTAGCATATAAAAAGACCATGAAATATAGATGATCCGCTCCTCCAAATACAGCCTCCCCCGATGGGGATGGCTCAGGGTCGTCCACAGAACAGTGGACCATTGGGCAACGAGCGCGCAGCGCTGGAACAACAGAGCGCTCCGCAGGCCTCAACGAAAAGTGGCGTTCAAAGATCAGCGCGGCGAAATTTCTCAGAGTTCGAGCTAGGTCCCAATCTCGAGGAACAAGACGTGGCGGACTCTCAGCAGCAACAGCCACGATTGAAACCGAGAAGAAGTGTTGTTTCGGCTCGATCTCGAGTTATCCGTCAACAGGGAAAGTGGTGTAGTATACCTACACGAGTCAGTTCAAATTCGGGGGTTCGGACGAGCAGAACAAAGATGAAAGGGCTTCGAAATCGTCATTTTTAAAAGGAAAGGGAAACGAGAAGGTTCAGGATAGTATAATTGTCGCAACGGATTAGGAGAGTTGCAGCAATGACATTATGTCAATTCACCCGCACAGTGGTTCTCAGATTACCAGGCCCGGCATTTTCTTTGCATCGAAAAGTCTCAGCCCTTAAGTCGATAACGCTTTCATGCATAACGGGATATTCTCACGGACCGTGAGTGCATTTTGGACCATTGGGGCGAGCCATACATGGCGTACATGCTAGAAAAAGTAGAGGCCATCTTGTCGGGAAGAAAGACAGACATCAGATATGTGTCAATTGCAGCGCACCTGTTGGAGCGCGTTCCACTTTTGCCTGCATGGCGCAATGGTCTTCGCAACAGTTATGAGCCCGGTGTTGCGAAGACCATTGCGCCATGCAGGCAAAAGTGGAACGCGCTCCAACAGGTGCCCGGTGTTGCGAAGACCATTGCGCCATGCAGGCAAAAGTGGAACGCGCTCCAACAGGTGCGCTGCAATTGACACATATCTGATGTCTGTGTTTCTTCCGACAACAAATGGTGCGATGTCGGCCGCTCTGCGGCTAACTCGTGGCTGAAAGTGGGGGGGTGCGTACGGATTGAGATTTGGGTGCGTACGAATAGAGACTGTCTATAATATACGCGGAGTCAATTGGGACTAAAGTGTGACGGCATGAAGCGGCACTACCCGAACAACCGGAACCGACCGGGAAGCTAGCCAATCACTGATCAAGGGACTTTTGACTATCGGTCGGGGCGTGGGCTGGAATTTTGTCTCACCCGCTTGGAGGCCTCCCAACTTTCGCAAAACCGGTGTTGCGAGACGATCTAGTAGATTGGTATTCAGCTCTGATTAATCCAAATTCAAACTATTTCTGTGTGGCGCCTCGACCTAGTCGCATCTTGTCATCTGCCTTTCCCAGTCCACGCGATTGCAGATAGTCACCGACTTTTCTTGCCAATTGACTGCCTCGGACATACTCTCCACTCGAAAAGCCAGCCAGGATCCACGTGTACTTCTATGTCCGGGGCTATCTGCAATAAACCCGTTCGACAGATCTAACCAGCCCGTCTGTCGGTCTAGGTCTGTCTGGGTTAGGCGGTCAGTCTGAAGGTCTGATAATCTTGCCCCGAAGTACTCCGTAATACCGTGGAGCGATTGACCGATCAGCAGTAGGGGTGCCCTTGCTCTTCCCACGGCAAATTAGCTAAGCAGAAGGGGAGTGGGCCCATATCAGGCTAGACTGACCAATTACGGTCCTGGAAACAAGCCTTACCCAGACCACCCAGACTACCCAGACCGACCGGCTGCTGTCGAGAAGAAGGTCCGAACGAAGTGAGGCCTCTAGGTCTCTCTAGGTAATACAGCTCGAAACCAGGTAAGGAGGGAGGTTTGTGGTCCACTGAGGGGTCCGGAGGATCTCCTATTCGATCGGGATCCTCCAAGGAGTCCGGTATATCTTTTACTGGCTCGGGGACCTCAAGAGATTGAACTATCGACCTAATAGCTTGGAAAGCTATTGATCGGGGAGATCGAGCTGAATGTGCTGACGTAGATGGCTTACGCGGCCTTCAGTGAGGGGCAAGGAGTGCACTCTTCCTGATAGAATGTATATTATTCAGCCGTAGGCTGACTTATGGGAGCCAATAAGTTAACGTGACTTGTTCTAAAAACGGCTAGACTCCTCTTGGAAAGGCCTGAGCTAGCTGAGGTAATGCATCTTGTAGCCAATTCCCTTGATCTAGGGAGGAACGAGGCCTTAAACCTACACATCAACACATCAATACAACCTCTTTTTGCGGCTACACACAAGCTGCTGCATTAAGCATTGATCCATCGTGCATACCCACCTATTTCCTCATTAAGACTAAGCCTCAGAACCACCGTTCTGACACATCCTCGCTTTTTCCCGCCACAGACATAACATAATCTCGGAAGCCCTGCTCTGCTGGTCGCAAAATCATCGCCTAAGTCATTACTATCCGAAGGGCAGTCTTGAGGTGTGCCGGGGTGCAGCTAACACTTGCATTGCTCGCCTCGATTTAGTCGAAGCCTCTCGCCGCCCACGAGACGATGCTCAGCGACCACGAGATCGAACGAGCCGCGAGCCAACTCGCCGACTACCGCAGCAATGATGCCCTCTCAGAGATACTGGACAAGTATTCGGCCTTGATTCAGGACTGCAGGCGCCTGAAGAGCGACTACGAGGAGGAACGGGACGCCAGAGAAAAATACAAGCAGTTGGCGAGGGGCCAGGAGCGCAATCCATTCGTGCTCGTACTAGTCGATGGCGATGGCTACATTTTTCACGATAGCCTACTTGGCAAGGGCTCCGATGGCGGCAAAAATGCTGCACAGCTGCTTAATGAAGCTGTAAAGGCCAGTCTTCAAAGCAAGGGCCTAGAGCATTGCCAAGTAATGGCGCGCATTTACGCCAATGTCGCTGGCTTATCCAAGGCGCTCTCCAAAGCCGGTCTAGCCGGAAGTAATAGGCGCTCCTTGGCCCCGTTCATCGCCAGCTTCAACAGATCATACGGCCTCGCCGAGTTTATTGATGCCGGCGAGTTGAAGGAGAGTGCCGACTTTAAGCTGCGTGCTCTACTGCATCTTTATGCCGAGAACACTCAGTGTAAGCACATTTACTTTGCGGCTTGCCATGATGCTGGATACATCTCCGACTTGACGCCATACTTAGGAAATCACGCGAGGTTCACCTTGATCAATACCACGGGCATTAGGTTCTATAACGAATTCAACAAGCTTGGCATGGGAATCGAGGAGCTCCCTGGTGTGTTTCGGTCGACGCCACTGCTTAAAGACGCGGCTGCCCCTCATCGGCCTACCCATTCTGCCTTCGGAACCGCAAAGGCTGTCACAGGACTCACAGCATCGTCGTCAGCAAATCAAGCCCCCGTCATAACGGCCATGGACGGGCAGAGGACCGATTGCCGAATGTATCCATATGGAAAATTCAAGTACGGCAAAGCTTACAAGAATCTTCACCTCGAAGACCCCGCAAATACCTTTTCAACGTGGAGGTCGTCAAGTCATGACCCTCAGTCGGATGCAACTGGCTCCCTGCAAGAACCCGGAAGCAGACCAACGCCATTGTTAAACATACGCCAAGCTGCGGATGCTTTCCTCGACAACCTTGAATTGCCCCAGGACAACATACTCGAAGGCTACGTCGCAGTCAACAGGAGCAATTTCCGTCTCGATCCCTACATACCGCCTTCTAGCCCCGAGACGATCGGTCGATTCAAGTCACGCATAAACAAGCGGCGGATTTGCAACAGGTTCCATCTGAGTGGGTTCTGCGAGGCCGGTGACCGTTGCGAATACGACCACAGCGTGATTGATGCCGAGTTTAAGCGAGTACTCCAGTCGCTCGCCCGCTCAATGCCATGCCCGAAGCGTGGTGCCTGTAGAAAGGGGGCTTGCATTTATGGCCACATATGTCAGAACCCGGATTGCAAGCACCGCGGCGGCAGAGCCTCCTGCAGGCTACCCTCTCGCTCACACGCTGAAGATTTAGCAGTGGCTAGATATGTCCCTGCCGAACTAATGACAGCGCTATCGTCAAGGGCGGGGAGAATATTATCTCATTCAGTAGGACATGTTGCTGCTCAAGATAGAGTCATCTCGAGAGTGTAAGCCGAGGTTCCTGCGGGCGCAGCCCGTCACAATACCCCCCTCCTAAGGCAGATCGTTGTGATCAGTGGGTTTCACGCCTTGGGGCCTTCCTCGGGCTCCTGCGGCGGTCTCCGACCTTCCCATGTGCTTTCTCATATCGCTCCAGAGCCACTGTGTCTTGGAATTTGCTCACTGGCTCCCGTGTGGGCTTCTCTCGCGAAGGAGAGATCAAAAGTGGGCATAAAAGTGAATAAAGGGACTTTTCGTAGGTAGATTCTCAGACGATCTGAGTCTGTGATGTGCCAGTGTTGATTGCTCTGCTCCCCGGTTGCCCTTTTCCCGTCCAAAACAGCCCCTTTTGTATCCTTCCAAGCTTCTCCCAAGTGGATATCCCGTTTTCAGGTATAGTATACATTCTGTTGACATGTTCCCACATCAGCTGAAAGCTCTGCATTTGCAATACAGCCCCCTTCCCCACTCGTGAAATTGAATGGACCTGCCCTGATTGCCTGTTACGATTTGACTCTATTCGCCTCCACTGTACCTGCATTGATCCAGGTTTGAGCTTGATTAGGCGTCTAATTAACAAGCAACAGGAGAAGGCTCGCCGGTCATGGCTCGCGGAAAACGCCTTGAGGAACGAAAGTTTGAGGTTTGAGTTAATATAATGTTGGAGGGGGATTTATCTGTCTATATATTTGAAGGTTTGTGGTGGTTGCGTCACTACCCGAGAATTCCTTCCCGCAGTAGCTTGCATCGTGCGAAGGGTGATTGGGGGCGAATCTTAGGAGAGCGGGCACCAACGTGTCATGTCGTGCAGCACTACGTGTCAATAAAAAGCAAGAAGGTGAGAAATGACGGAGGAAGAGCAGATAAAATGTAACCCGTAGAATCCAGTCTTGAGGCTGGCCTGTTTACCGTTCTTCGCATCATATTCGTTAATTACACAGATCATCCAAAGCTCTGGAAACCAAATTATGGCGACGTCCACGGTCCGAGTCGAGTTCATATGCGAATTCGGCGCCAGGCAACTCATACACAACCACAGCATCCCCGGAGCCTTGTCACCGAGGCAACTCGGGCCGGAGGGGATGCTGAATACAACGAGCGGTTTGTACAGGCCATGATACCTCTTATGAAGGAGCACGAATCAGCATGTTGCGGTGCGTCGGGGGCTTTCTGTGAATGGTGCAGGAGGAGGAAACGCGGGATGAGTTTTTGGGACGCAATAGTTGCATGGAGGTCAGGCTGTGCAAAATATGCGGGACGACGGTGGGAGGATGACCAAGTATAGGATAGGAAAAACGAATCTGACCAGTGCAGATCCAGCTTTTACTCCGCGATTGACTCTTGTACGAATGAAGAAGCATCAATGCGAATGATCCTGTGCACTTGGTCCGACGGGGTCGCGCTGGAGGGTGACCCTTGGCTGGCTCCAACCCTTGGTCCTCGAAGATTCTCCCAAGTCTGTGCGTGCCAACAACTCCTCTGCTGGCAACCAGTGCAATTCGAGGTTTCGCGCTAAAGTTCCCAGGCTCTGTCAGATATGTTCCCTGTTTCCCTGGCTCTAAGATCTCCTATTGGCTATGGCCTATGTACAGCCCATCAAGGCGCCAATCGGGGAAGCTGGAATTGCTTCCTGTTCCACGGAGGAAATCTTTTGAACGTTGTGTGCCGCGCTAAAGCAGCCCCTATAAGAAAAAGAAAGAACGTACCGAATTTCTGTTGCCGTAGAAACTGAAGAAATTTTGCCTGGATTTGCGCGTTTGGCGGCGGCTCCCTGTTTCGAAGCTCTTGCGAGACTCAAGAACAGGCTTTACAGCCCTTGCAATAGCGATTTGGGAATACATTGCGCGTTGGCGACGTAGAAATTGTCGCGAAGAATGGCCCATGGTCGAGTCAACCAGGTCACCCATGGGTAGCTAGGGCAGCAAGGGAGCTGATAACCAGGTCTGAACGAGGAGGCTGGAAAGCTCCTCTTAAAAGACTGGAACGTCTCCAGTCAAGAGGCTGGGGACCTGAGGGTCCCCAGCCTCCCTGAACCCATTACCTTTACTACGAAAGAGGGATATAAATAGGGCTTAGGTTTAAGCCAGAAAGGGAGGAGGAGAGGGAGACAAGGAATACAAAAAGAAACCTACACAATATGCCCTTTCTGCTGACTTTCTTCGTGAGAGAAATACGTCATGAGTATCATGCGGTCGCGAGTTTTGGTGGGAAGATGCACTAAAAACGCGGTGCTTACGATAGTGGGCCTGTGCGCGGCTAGTTTAGTCTAGTTTAGTGTATTTTCCGTCCAGCAACTTTTGGTCGCTCAGGTCTCCGCAGGGGAGCACAGGACGTGCTGAGCTAGCAGGTGTCTACATGCTACATATCGTACACTTCACCCACTATCCAGCATTTCATCGGCTCAACGGCGCTCATGACAAACCTGTTGCCCGTCAGCGGGACGTCCAGGCATGAAGAGAAAGCTGTCCCGTGGTCAGGTCAGCCAATTTGCTTCTGGGGTCTTGCAGCCCTTGATAACCTCGGCGATCGCATGGTCGCGAGACCTTGACGCCGCCCGAGATCGGAGCAGGTAACAGAAAGAATTGAGAGGAAAAGGTAGGGTGAGAGAGGAGAATGATGACCGTCTAGTGGCGTGGGCAGATCCCTCCGAAGAAGGAGCTCGCTTTCGCCAGCCTGACGAATTTGTCAAAGTCCTTGCCGATTGCGCGGTTGATGGCTGCAGGCGGCGAAGGTGCAAGCCGCATATGATGCCGTGGCGCAACCTTTCTGCAGTAAAAGATGTGTGCCGGCTCTTTTCGTCGTCCGCACGAGCATGTCAGTCGCGCATCGTCGTGATCAAACCTTTCGTGGTAGTCAGCAAAATCCCCATGGTGGGTTCTTGATGCAAGCAAGTGATGAAGCAGGGGCCGAGAAAGCGCCAATTCTGACGGACAGCTGGTTGTGGCTTTAAGCCTCAGGTCTCTGTATCGCTCCGGCGCAGAGGTTTCCCACCAGACCTTGAAAGCCTCTTCCGGCTGCTGTCGGGCAATCTTTCGCAGGTGCGCTAGCGTCGGGACGTTATCAGCGGGTTCTGGAAGGCTCACCGCAGCCTTCAACCCCTCCAACGCGCCTTTCGCCTCAGCGTCGAAAACCTCAGCGGGCCCGAGACGGCTGATGTCTGGGGCAATTTTTTATATTACGGATAGCGGTCTCTCGCGTCATCGGGCTACTCAGAAATGGGGAGTCCCCAGAGGGCTATTTCTAGCAGAATGCAAGGCCAGTCTGCATTAGCTGAGCGGAACCAGCCTCAAAGACACATATACAGAGACCAGGAGGGTAGATTAGTTGTCTGGACTCTTCGTTGAGAGCCTCTGGGCTACGCTCCGTCGCAGAGTCAGACCCGCACCTTTCCACGTAGCTGTTTCAAGCAACATGGTTGTGAGTCAAAGTGGGAACATCGTTGGGTAGAGGGAGCTCACTGGACGCATCCAGAGCTTATATAAAAGACTGAAAGGCGTCAAAAGGCCAACAGATTTGACTCATTTACTCCGAAAGCGATGCATTGGTACTTCGATATCGGGGAGAATGAATACGGGCGGATCACGCCGGAGAATCAGGCGAATGTTGATGAAGGCAGTATTATGTCAAGTTTGGTAAACATTCGACTCAATATGCACGAATTTAGCCAACTGGGGTTATTTTACTAGGTTTAGATAGTCTGGTGGTTGGAAGTTCAGACCTTAAACGGAAAGCTCTCCTCAAGCACCCAGTCCCGTAGTTAAGCCACGTTTATAGAGGCCGTTACCGCTGATGGGCGTGTCTTGACCCCCGGCACACTAATTAAGACTAAAGAGCTCCGAAAAGAGTGATTGAAGGAGGAAATTTGCATATTTACGGGCTGGCACTATATAATGTCACCTAACGTGTGGACGGATAAATGCATCGCTGTTGGATGGCTCAAGGGCGCTTATTTGCCTCATTTGCAACCCGCCAACAAGGCTGTTGCCTTAATATCGTCCTAAAAAATCATTTCAGAGCATCTGGATGGTGTTACATGACTCTCTATGCTTTACGGCGTCCCCACTTTGACTCACAGCCTTGTTGCTTAAAGCAGCCGCGTGGGATCGCGTGGGTCTGACTCTGCGACGGAGCGTAGCCCAGAGGCTCTCAACGAAGAGTCCAGACAACTAATCTACCCTCCTGGTCTCTGTATATGTGTCTTTGAGGCTGGTTTGGAGGGATACAAAAGGGGCTGTTTGGACGGGAAAAGGGCAACCGGGGAGAGAGCGATTAACACACATGCACATCACAGACTATCAGATCATCTGGGAATCTACCTACGAAAAGTTTCTTTATTCACTTTTATGCCCACTTTTGATCTCTCCTTCGCGAGAAACGAGCCGTGCTGTTGGGTGGGAGTGGAGGACGGACACCCTCTGCCCACCCCACCCCCTTTTTGGGGGGGAATTCGCTCCAGCTCTACCCGTGCCACGCCCCACTTATTTCGCGTTCGTTCCTCACCAGCTCCATAAGCTGGTGCTGGATTCCCAAATCCCAACCGCAGGCTAGGCCCACGAGGATTGCGTCAGTTCCTCGTCGTAGATAGTTCTTCATCCTTCTTTACTCTGGGATAGGTGTGGCTCTTGCTTGCCATCATGGCAGAGCCTGAAGTGGCGGTCCTGGCGGACGTGGGGCGGGGCTAGATCCAACCAGCCCGACGCCATCGACGCGTCCGACGCGAGGATGACGCCCAGCGGACGCGTGCAAGATACGTTGCGATCACTGGAAAATGCATCCGCAAGGGCTCCGAAGCGAGTCACGGCCCGAACGACGCGGGTCTCATCGGTCGGCAATGAAGGCGAAAGAGTTGACGAGGTGAAGTCACGCAGCAGTGTGGAGACCGCCAAATCGATGATGCAGAGGGTTCTAGAGATGCTGGCGAAGATGGGGAACGAGATGGTGGACCTGAAACATAGAGTATCCGAGCAAAGCGACACGATCAGGAAGCTGAGCGCCACGGTTTACAAGCAAAGCACCATCATTCAAGGACAGGAAGATCTGATCCGAGGCTTGGAGGTCCAAGTCCAGGAATCCAAGGAAGAGTTTCGACGCAAGCGCGATGAGCATGACGCGGAATTAAAACGGGGACACCAGGATCTTCAGAGAGAAGTCGCCGCTTTGAAAGAGCAATTGGCCCAGCTTACGCAGAAGCTGAATGCTTCGGGTGAGGTGACTCTGTCAAGCGGCGCTCGAGCAACGTTTGCCGATATTGCGCGCACACTGCCAGCGAGCCCGCCGACGAGTCTATCCAGCGTAGCTGTCCCAAGAAAGCAGCAGACAGCCAGCGATCCTCTCCATTGTACCATCGACACATCTCGCGTCAGCGAGTCGAACAAGAACAAAGCGCAAATCGGATCAATTCGCCAGGCCATCGAGACTGAGATGAGAGCGATGAACGGACAAGAGACCTGGAGGTGCGCAGCAGTCGTGAGAGTCCCGGAATGCCGACCGAGTCAAGATCGTCTGCAGAGACGAAGCCGAGCTTCAGATGGTCAAAGAGGCTGCGCAGAAGACAGCCGTGGAAGGTTCACGAGTTATGCGAGACCAGCTGTACCCGGTCCGAGTCGACAACGCCAACCGCACAGCAATCCTTGACGCGGAAGGCAACGTTCTGCCTGGAGCGATCGAGGCCTTGAGTGCCGAAAACAGAGTGACCATTGGCAAGATTTCCTGGTTGAGCAAACGAGAGTCTGGCAAAGCGTACGGGTCCATGGTGGTGTATGTCACCAAGAAAAGCGACGCAGAAAGGCTTCTAGAAGGGCACTACTTTGACCTAGCGGGAGAGTCAGCCACCACCTATGTATTCGAGCCAAGAACGGGACCAATCCAATGCTTCAACTGCCAGGAGATCGGTCACAAAGCATATGCATGCAAGAAGCAGCGGACATGCGGCAAGTGCGCAAAGGTTGGGCATCACCACAGAGAGTGCACAGCAATTGAGCCAAAATGCGTCCCGTGTGGCGGACCGCACGAGTCGTTCAGCTGGAAGTGTAGGATGAGGAACCCGAACAGTGATGCTTGAGTCCTCCGCATCCTACAGCTGAATGCGCACAAGAGTGATGTGGTGCAGCAAAGCCTGATGAACGACGCAGGCCTCAAGGACTTTGCTGTGCTGGCTCTTTCTGAGCCGTATGCGCGTGTTATCGACGGAGAGGTGGTGACGAGCCCTATGGGACACCATAACTGGACAAAGATGATACCGACGTGTGCTCGTGACGGCCTGTGGCCGATCCGTAGCATGCTTTGGATCCGAAGTGACCTTGAGGCGGAGCAAGTGCCTGTGCCGTCGGCCGATCTCACAGCAGTGGTGCTCCGACTCGAGGGGAGGGAAGTGATGGTGGTATCAGTGTACGTGCAAGGAAAGAACGACGAGGCGCTGACGAGCGCGATGGAGCTGCTGCGCGGAACATTCGCTGCCTGCCAACGATGGAAATCGCGACACTACCTTCAACAGCGCCGCTTGAAGCCTTGCAATCAGAAGAAGAAGATTTGTCCCCGACTTTCCAGGATGGCGCTCGATTTTTTGACAATCCAGCCGATGTCTGCGGAGTGCGAGAGACTATTTTCAGCGGCCGGGCGTATGGTGACGCCTCTGCGCAGTCGGCTCGATGCAGAGCTTATAGGGATGTGCCAGGTCTTGCGATCGTGGCTACGGGCAGGAGTCGTTGATGATATAGATGCACTATTTCTCCCTGCTGGGGAGAACATTGGGGATGGAGAGACGGACGACGTATCATCGTGGATAATTGCGCGGATTCAACAGATGGAGGCAGAGGAACGAGGATGGGAATAGGTCCAGTGGGAGTGCACTGTTCAACGCAGTTCAATCCACGTCAACTCAACTCAATCTGCCCAAGGATTGATCAACTCCACCAGACTCGGCCGTTGATCATGTCAATTCCACTCAATGAAGGCCTTCAGTTGAGTGGATTGAATGGTTCGCATCCTTGGCTAGAGATCATCAACGAATACAACCACACCAGTTTCCCGCAATTGCAATTGCAAAGGCCTGCCAACATAGGGCTTACCAGGAGGGAAGGCGGACAGGGCGCTCTAGGCTTCCATCGCACGCATCGCACGCCTCTAACACCATATGAGCACAACACCATAGGAATCGCTATTCTACGGGTTTTTTTGCATTGTTATAGCTTCAATCAATCGCCTGTTTTATTTGCAGTAGTCTAGACCGACATCAGAATATCGAGATTTCGGCTCTTCCTAGCATTTGCACTGCTTAGGGCTGTCCCCTCGATTCGACCCTGTCCCTCCATTTTGACGCCTACTACGCGAGGAACTGTCAGAACCTTGATGAGGTTCTCGTCGGATAGGTCACGGACACAGCAAGAATGGTACGATCGGATGAAGTGAGGTATGATGTGTGTGTCTGTCTGTGTCCCCCATTTGGGGGTGCTCTGCCCAAGCCCTATATCAAAGGGCGATGGCCTCAATCCTATGACATGCCATCACGTCATATCTCTGTAACTGTCTCATAGATGTCCTCGTGGCCTCATCGGCTGCGCTACCTGGTGCGCTATCGTCTGCGCTACCGTTGGCGCTGCCACTAGTAGCCTGACGCTATCGTACCTGCATCTACCCGAATTCTACCGGATCTAACAGGAACGAGCGTAGGCTAGGCAGGGCATCGGTGCGTAGGCTAGGCAGGGCATCGGTGCGTACCCTCGCCTACGGGTAATGTAAAGTCAGCCTTCGGCTGAATGAAGAATAAGCAGCTGCAGTCTGGAGGGATGCTTACAGTGGCCGAAGCGCGTGGCATGGTGCGAGAAATGAAGAATGACGAGTTGGCGAAGGCTCGGCGGGTGGTTGAAAGGGCCGAAAAACAGCACCATAACGGGTACAAGAGGTGGTTTATGGAGGCCACAAAATTTTCCAGAAAATGGCGAATTGAAGGAAGACTGCAGCCAATATACGTGATTGACCAACCTGGCTCTGGGCGGTTGTTACGCCGAGCTTGAAGATCGAAAGGTCGATATTCTGTTCATTCGGGTGATCTGTTCATTTGGGTGTCCAGCACCCCACTTTTCTTTTTTGGTTGTATTACGCCCGGAGGGTTCCCCCATAGAGCCACTACGCTAGCCTGTCTACCTTCTGTACATTGTTCCATCTCACCCAAAGCCCCACGCTTCTTTTCATCTGTTTCCAGCCTCGTTCGCTATGACATGACAGGCCTGCTTGAAGGTCAGTTTCTCCAAGTGTTCAGCGTCCTACCTTCAGCGACTGAAGCGCGGTCTGCCGTTGAAGGCTGTTGTGTTAGTACGATTGTCCTTGATCAGCACATGGCCCGTTGCCGGTCCATGCTAAAACGTTTCGTTGCCAATGCGAACTGTATTGTCGCCCGCACAGCCCCATATCAGGCTGCCACTTGTCGTCGTCTGACTCTGCCTTGCCACCTAGGAAGAAGGACAAGTCTCCCATCTTCCCGCCTGCATATCGACTCATGATTTCTCGTTGTACCGTCCATTTTCTGCATCGAAAGAGGAAATGTTCCACCGTTTCCGCCGACTGTCCACACGTGCATTCATCCGATTCTACTGCCCCGATTTTGCAAAGATAGCTATTCAGCCGCGATTTGCCAGTTCGAAGCTGTACCAACACTTCCGATTCCTTTCTTTTCAGCTGAAAAATTCTCCACCAAAAGTCTACCATTTGAACTACATGAAATATGATCAGAACTTAACATTATAAACACAAAAAAATATCATTCCGTAGAGAAATGGACGCTCTTATATGTACCGGCGCTTTTTTCCCATTCGCCCCGATCTGGTGGTGACTGGAAGGGCTTCGGGTGCCACCTTGACTTCGATCACTGAAGCTGTCTCCACCTCTGAGACCGCCTCCTCCTCTGTGTCAGAATTCAGCACAACGGCTATCTCTTGGCTTTTAATTTGGGAATGGCTTCCTCAGCCACCAAAGCTTCACTGAGAGTCATGAACCGTCTGTTCGGGTTCGGAATTGCTCTCCTCTTCTTGCCTCTCTGCAGCCGGGCCACTTCTTCCTCTAGCTTCGCGATTCTGTTGCTGTGCTCGGCAAGCGTCTGTTCTTGGGCTTCAAAGCCTCTAGCTATCACGGCGTATCGTCTCCGGGTGCCAGGAGTCTTGTTCTTTCCGAAATCGCGAATCTGGCGGCTGTTTCTTGGCGTATCATCAGAACCCAAAATGGCGCGGACTTTGGAGACGTCTCTACAATGTCCGCGTGAATTTCTGGATGCCGCAATGCCTTGGATCGTGAGATCGGCCAATTCCCAGTGACCCTCCAGCCGGACAATATATTCTTTGCCGTCATTCCAACCTCGCGCGCTTTAGCATATGCCCGTATAAAATTGACCTTATGAACAGGCGCAGAATCGGTCAAACAGGTCAATTTCTGAAGTTCTTTCCGGTAAGCTGCCTTGGAGGCATTGAATACACCGTTATCTAACGGCTGGAGGCCATGAGAGCAGTGGGCAGGAAGGTAACAGCAATAAACGTTGTTCAAAAAGCATGTGGCCATCCATGCATCCTGGTCCCGGTTAACAGTAATTCCTACAGAGGTGGATAAAGAAACGCACCGTCGCATGACTTCCATGTCCATCTAATATGATCAGTCTAGCATCTGAGGCATCGGCTGGTCGCGTCTGGGGCAAATAGACCTCTCAAGCCACTCAATAGCGATATGGTTGTCCGTCCATCCGTTGGGCGACGTTATGTAATGCCAGTCGGCTATTTTGCCGAATTCCGTCAAGAACCACTGTTTCTGAAGTTCTTTGCCCTTAAAGATAATGCCAGGGTAAGGACACGGCCGTCCGCGGTGATAGCTTCAATAAATGAGGTCCAGTTGCGGGACTGTGGCCCTTTCAGAAGGGCCTTCCGTTTTGGGTCTGCACTCCCAACCACAAGACTATCCAAACCTGGCAAAAAGAGTCTGGTTAGTAAAAGTAATGAAAGACAAGCCAAATACTCACCAAAGCCAGACATAATACCGCCTTCGTCAACATTCACGGTATTTTCTGGTTTAATCCATCCATACTCCTTTTCCTGATATCGAAGAACCAGTGAACCGCCCGAGGCGTAAAAGCATTAAATCGGTTAGCTTCCTGACGTCTCCCACGCTTGTTCTTGATGTCCGGATGGCGATTGATGAATTTAGAGACCCAGTTGCGCCCCACTGTCCGCTCGTTGTTCGGTTGCTTCATAAGAGCCTCCACACATGCGCGGATCTGACTGTGGGAGGAGCATAGCCGAGAGACTCTTGGCGGAGGATCCAAGAAACCAAGCGAGCTTCCTGAGACTTACTCAAGAGTTGACGAGGCTGGATCTGATCAGCCAGGGCTACCTGGCCTTTGAGTCTGTCGGAAATAGACTGCTGAGGTATGTCATACTTTTGGGCGGCGCGGTACTGCGACAAGCAGTTTTTTGACATCAATTATCGCATTAGCCATAATATCATCCGTATAAATACTCGAGGCCGCTTTAAGGTCATTTTGGCCATGTGGTGGAGGAATAACGAGAAGAATCATCGTCAGGAGGCGGAAGGAGATTAGGGGTTGGATGGTAATTTCGCGTGCAAGGTACGCACAGGCCACAGACCCTGTACAAACATTCAACCATCGAAAAGTAGAATTCAATCAATCCTCTATCTACTCCAAGTGACGGCTTGTGAATATCTTCAAAGCTGGCTGGAATCGGTGTAAGTGAAATTGATGGTTTTTGGTGGGGATATTTTCTAATGCGCTACCGAAAGGTGGGTGTTACCGAAAGGGGGGTGGGGCATGGTAGCTAACCAGCGTTATTGATGTCAATCATACCGCACAGTATTGAACAAGAATTGACTCCGTGGTAATCTCGCGATGGCTCTTCTAGAAAATACGGAATCTCGACGTTACCTTAAGCTAATACATTTTAAGAATTGGATTTGCATTGGCGGTTCTGGAGTCCCCAGCGCTGTGCATTGGACTGGACTGGATTCGACCTCGAAATCCAGTCCAGTCCAGTCCAACAAGATCACTGGTTATTTCTTCTTCCTAGACCACTGAGGGGTCCGGAGGATCTCCTATTCGAACGGGGGCCCTTTGAGGAGTCCGGCATAGCTATTACTGGCTCGGGGACCTTGAGAGACTGAACTATCGATCTAATAGCTAGAAGAGCTATTCGATCGGGGAGATGGAGCCGATGTTGCTGACGTAGATGACTTACGTGGCCTTCAGTAAGTGGCAAGTGTGATGGGTTCTAATAGTGTAAATTACAGCTATGTAGTCCTCATGCGTTTTACATTCGAGCTGAGGAAAGAAGAAGGAAAGGAAAATAGAAGGACAGAAATCCTCCAATAAAATAGACTAAGCCGTTACTGGAGCAACAGTGCTTAGACCGACAAGGCACTGCCTTGTCCAGCAGGGCCTAGCCCGTTACAGCAAGAAGTGCCCTCTTCCTGGTAGAATGTATACTATACCTGAAAACGGGATATAACTTGGGAGAAGCTTGGAGGGATACAAAAGGGGCTGTTTGGACGGGAAAAGGGCAACCGGGGGTAGAGCAATCAACACATGCACGTCACAGACCTTCTGATCATATGAGAACCTACCTGCGAAAAGTCCTTTCGTACACTTTCATGCCCTATTTTGATATCTCCTTCGCGAGAATACCCTCCTCCTAATCCATCCACGTAACAGTCTTCGAGACGAGGAATTCCTCGAGCCCCTGCGCGGCGTTGAAGCGGCCCCAGCCACTGTTCTTGACGCCGCCGTGAGGTAAGACCGGCTCGTCATGGATGGTCATACTGTTGATGTGCACGGCGCTGTGGTCACACACAGTCAGCACATATCCCAAATGCCTCTGCTCGGAAAAGGACAGGGTGGAGGTAAACAAGAGAAAAAGGTGAAGGAAGATAACTCACCCCGACTCAAGCCTTTTCGCAATCTTCAGCCCCTTTCTCAGGTCCTCTGTAAAGACGGCAGCAGACAACCCGTAACCACCAAGCTTTGTTGGGTTGCTGGAAGCGGCGTGCCTAGCACGACGTGAGGCTGGCTGGTGCGCTCTGTAAGGGGCTACGCCCCGATGTGTAGATCTGGCATGGCCAGACTAGTCACGTGCGAGCGCCACGGACACGACTCCTAAAGGGAGCGATGTAGACACGTCTCCCCTTTACACTCTTTGTAGCTCAATTTACATCAATTACGCCCAGCACCTGTGCCAACAGTGCTGACCCTGTAACATATTGAGCTACCAGTTAACAAAAGACAGGACAGACAGAAGGACAGACAGCAGGACAGACAGCAGGACAGACAGCAGGACAGACAGCAGGACAGACAGCAGGACAGTCAGCAGGACAGACAGCAAGACAGGCGATAGGCTAAACGACGAGACGGACGATCGATCGGACGACGAGACGGACGAACAAGATGGAGGACAATAGTAGTTATGCAGGGCACCGCGACCGGCGGCGCAACGAGCCGATGGAGGAAGGAGCAAGAGCTCTTGCAGATCTTATCTGGGATCGCGGGAGACGAAGAACTGCGGAAGATGTTCACCGGGCTAGGCCTAGCAGCGCCACCGTTGACACCCAGCCCGGGGGTGCTCAGTACCCCGGCGATCTTACCCGTCGAACCGAGGCCGGAAGCAGCCCAGGAAATGGACCGTGGCAAGAAGCGCAAGCCGATGACTTGGCCGAAGTGGAACGGTCAACCCGAGTCCTTCCACTTCTACCTCGACCGTCTGGTATTTAAGTACAATACCGACGAAGAGGAGGGCCTAAACGGCAATAACAACGTCGTGTGGTACGAGATCCTGCAGACCTTGCCGGATCAGATGATGAGGAGAGTCGAGGGTTTTTGGAGGCAAGAGAGCGCGAAGGGCAACCCAGACCCCCGGAAATTCTTCTCGCACCTAGCCCAGACGTTCGGCAGCGTGCAGCAGACAGAGAGGGCGCAGGACAGGCTGCGCACCTCATTCAACGAGACAGCCAAGAGTTTGGGAAGTTCCCCCTGAATTCGAGGAAACATTGACCAAAGCGGGCGGCGCGAGCTGGGATAATGCTTCCAAGCTCGCATGGCTACGGAACTCGATCTCTCCTGCTCTCCGTGAGCAACTAGTCCCGGTTATCATGCCGAAGGACTACAACGAGTACATCCAACGTCTACACCCGATTGCTTGGGCGTTCGAGCACACCGCGAAGTTTAAGGCGTTGCAGAGGAAGCAGGGCTCCCGCGGGCAACGTGACCAAGGGCAGGCATCAGGCATCGGCAACATCCAGGTCGCCGGTAACGACAACACCCCGGCACCGTCAGCAACGTTACCCGCCGAGCAGAACGCACGTGACGCACGCGACCATGACGGCGACGTAATAATGACGGTTACACGCACTCAGGGCAGGGTCAGAGAGGACGGGCGAACGGCCAGGGGTCAAGTGGAACGAGCAAGACGGTTCGCTTCCAGCCTAGGTCAGGACGGAAGCAACGGGCGAGGTGGGTATCCGAGGACGAACGGAATAAACGCCGTGACGAGGGTCGTTGTCTCCGCTGCGGCGACAACACCCATTTCATTGCCGCTTGCCCTACTCGCCAGGACAGGACCCTAGCCGGTCGAGGGATGTAAAGTCCGCACCGCTAGGATCATGCCCTTTCTGGAAGATGATGGTAACGACTCTAGTGAGGAAGAGTCAGGACTTAGCGAGACCCCATCCTCTCGGAAATGCGTAGCCTCGAAACAAAGACGGGTCTCGAGGCCAAAGAACGGAGCAGTGGCAAAGAAGAGAAGTTCTCAGGAAAAATGGAAGTTGGTCCTACAATAATTCGAAGCATTATCAATAGGACCAATCTCTTCTCCTCACTCGTAGACGAGGGATGCCAGTGCTACGCCGCGGTTGACGAAGAAGTCGTCGAAAAGTTGGAAGTTCCTATAGTGGAAATAGCACCGCGAGCTATTACAGGAGCATCAGGGGCAATGGAAGGAGCAACGATTAGGGCCTCGTATGGCTATCAATGGAGGTCAACGGCCACATACAGACGATCTGTGCCTACGTGGTGCCCCGATTGGAATTCCCCCTAATCCTAGGAAAACCCTGGTTATGCCACACAAAGTCGTACTCAGTGCCCCACGAGAAACGACTATGGCATGAACCTACACAAGACTGGGTAGATCACCTCGGGAAGGAGAATATTCTGCGAAAGCCAAGGAGTTCGAAGAAGCAAAGCACGTACTAGCCAGTACCTTTGTGGGTTACTTTGAAAGGATCCGCAAGCAGGAAGGAAGAGAGGCAGCTGCCACGGCGATTTTCGCTATCAGCATGAAGGATATCGAAAGGGCGTTATCACCAAAGAAACCCATGTCAGAAGCAGAGCTACGCCGAACGATACCCCAGCGGTTCCACGATTTACTGCCTCTATTTATGAAGAAGGAAGCTGATAAGCTGAATCCTCATAAGCCAGGCATAGACCACGAAATCAGAATCAAGGAGGACCCGAATGGCCAGCAGTTACCACTACCGTATGGAGCACTATACGGTATGTCACGAGAGGAACTCCTGGTTCTTAAGAAGACTCTACGAGACCTAGTGGATAAAGGATTTATCCGTGCAAGCAGTTCAGAAGCAGCAGCTCCAGTCCTGTTTGTGAGGAAACCAGGTGGCGGGCTGCGATTCTGTTGTGACTACAGAGCGTTGAACGCAATCACTAAGTCGGACCGTTACCCCTTCCTCTAATAGGGACACACTTCGCAACCTAAAAGATGCGAAGTGGTTCACTAAGGTCGACGTGGTACAAGCGTTCCATAAAGTACGGGTTGCAGAAGGAGACGAGTGGAAGACAGCGTTCCGCACCCGGTACGGTCTCTTCGAATGGATGGTTACCCCGTTCGGGCTAAGTGGCGCGCCAGCAACCTTCCAGCGGTATATTAACGGTATCCTACGAGACTACCTCGACGAGTTCGCCTCTGCTTATATGGACGATATACTTATCTATTCGAGCGGGAGCAGAGAAGACCATTTCCGGAAGGTACGGTTAGTTTTAGAACGCCTCGCCGAGCATGGACTACACCTAGACCCGGAGAAATGCGAATTTGGAGTCAAGCGGATTAAGTACCTAGGATTCATTATTCACGCAGGAATTGGCATTCAGGCAGATCCCGACAAGATACGAGCAATAGTCGAGTGGGCAGTCCCCGTTACCCAGAAGGGGGTGCGCAGTTTTCTAGGATTCGTTAACTACTACCGGATATTTATACCGCAAGCCTCGGAAATAACTGCACCCCTAACAGCACTAACAGGAAAGGGGACTAAGTTCAAGTGGACGGACGAGCACGATATGGCGTTCCAGACACTAAAGACGCTATTTACGAACGCCCCTATTCTTACTCAATGGGATTTCGAGAGGCCAACCTTCGTAGAAGCAGACTGTAGCGGCTGGGCGCTTGGGGCACTTACGCAGGAAGTCGACGGACAACGCAAGCCAGTAGCGTTCCACTCGCAGAAGCTATCACCGGCTGAGCGCAACTACCCAATCCATGATAAGGAAATGCTCGCTATTATTCGTTGTCTCGAACAATGGTCAGCCGAGCTACGAAGCTGTGATAACTTCGTTATCCTTACCGACCATAAGAACCTCGAGTATTTCATGACGCGCCAACAGCTCTCGGAAAGGCAGGCACGTTGGGCTGAATATCTCTCGCGTTTTAACTTCCAGCTCCAGTACCGTCCGGGACGGGAAGCAGTGGTGCCAGACGCGCTCTCTCGCCGCGAACAGGACCGACCAAACGAAGCGGATCACGAAGCACGAGATATGCAGCTTATTCCAGAAGCAGCCCTACGTACCTACGTCGGAGTAACGTCGACTCAAGCGGGAGAAGGCGAAGAAGAACACACGGTTTTCCACGACCCAGAGCTACAACAATTATGGCAGCAAACGGCAAACCAGGATCCAGTCTTTACAAGCGTTTATAACGCGGTACGAAACGGATCTCGGTCCTCGACCCCAAGCTTAAGCTGAAGGTACAAGTCGCCGAGTGCTTTATTGATCCTCGGGGCACCTACGACTACGTGGCCGCTTATGGGTGCCAGGCGCACCGATCACGACAGAAGCAGCAGCCAAGGCAGCACCGCTAGAGCAGGAGTCGCTAAACGAATTACGGGCTCCTTAATCCAGAAGGTTCATGACTCCCATGTAGTAGGCCACCCGGGACGGAAGGGACGATAGAAGCCGTATCCAGGGACTTCTACTGGCCGCTAATGCAACAGCATATCCGACGTTTCTTGCGTAACTGCGATGTCTGCGGCCGTACGAAGATATGGCGCGAGCATAAAGGGGTACTTAGACCGCTACCCGTACCGGACCGCTTCTTCCGCCAGATACAGATGGACTTTATTACGGACCTCCCCTTGCGAACGGTAACCGCTGCCTCTGGGTTATCAAGGACCGGCTAAGTAAGGAAGTTATACTCGAACCGATGCCAACGATGGAAGCGGAAGCATGTGCAGAGCGTTTTCTATGGTGCTTCGCCCGCTACCACTGGTGGCCCGACGCTATAACGAGCGATAGGGGCTCGAATTGGGTAGGCCGCTTTGGAGGCACATGTGCAAGTTACTGGGGATCGACCAGCAGCTAAGCACGGCGTACCACCCCAAACCGACGGAGGCCCTGAGAGGATGAACCAAGAAGTACAGGCATACCTCCGCGCCGTGATTAACCAGAACCAGAACGACTGGGATAAGTGGGTTCCGCGGCTCAGATGGCGTTAAACGGTCGGGTCAATACCTCTATAGGGATGTCCCCATTCTTCGCTATACACGGCTATGAGCCGAAGTCACCAGTTCCCCTCGTTACGGAAGCATATGCGGAAGAGTATCCTCAGCATTCGCCAGAAACCAGGGCAAAGAAATTTGTTACCAAACTACAACAGATTACGGACCTCTGCCAAGCATCAATGGCGACAGCTACGCAGCAACAAGAACGCTTCGCTAACAGACGACGGAACGCGGCAGAACGCTTCGAAGTAGGCGATAAGGTTTGGCTTGACTTACGGAACTACGCGTCAGAGCGACCTAAGAAGAAGTTCGACTGGCTGCACGCTAAGTATACGATAAGCAAGGTACTCGACCCGTACACGGTTGAACTAGCAGACCTCCCGAGGGCTGCTATAATAGGTTCCACGTCGACCAACTCCGGAGAGCGGGGACGGACCCAATGCCTGGTCAGCAACGCACAGACGCTCAACCCCATCTATCCAAGTAGACGGGGAGGCTCACCAAGTAGTAGAGGAAATACTATGCGCTAGGTGGAAGAGAACCGGCCGCGGCCGTAGGCGGAAGTCCTTGTACGCTGGCAAGGTTGGCAAGACCCGACCTGGACCTCTTTAGACAATATGCAACAGACAGCGGCCTTGGATAAGTACGAACAGAGATACGGCCCGGCTCTCGAAAACGATGGACCATACCAGCACCGACGAGTGGCAACGGAAGCACAGCCGGCCCAAATCCAGGGCAAGTCGAAGGAATACAACCACAGCTGCAGATACAGGGCAAGAGAATACGCGGACCACTACGGGCTAGGACTAATGGCGACGCCCCGTCGATAGTAACGGCACCAGACCCTATAGACGACGGCCCTACGATCGTTGTAGAGGGGACCAGGAACAGGAAAAGGGCACCAGCGCCAGAGAGGAGTAGGGGCTAATGTGGGCTACGCCCCGATGTGTAGATCTGGCATGGCCAGACTAGTCACGTGCGAGCGCCACGGACACGACTCCTAAAGGGAGCGATGTAGACACGTCTCCCCTTTACACTCTTTGTAGCTCAATTTACATCAATTACGCCCAGCACCTGTGCCAACAGTGCTGACCCCGTAACACGCTCTCCGTATAAGCTGCTGACTACAGAAGGTTGTTGCAGTACTATTGGAAATTGCTCCACGGATGAATTGGCCCATCGAGGCAAGAAACCCCTCTGGCACCTGGCTATCGACTGCGGCGCCAGGGTACGCATTCCACCGCCGGGTGCCTCCGGTATCGTTGCCCGCCTCGTGCTGTTAATGTGTTGCAAAATTGGTTCGTCCACGTGTAGAAACAAGTGACCATCTCACGTTAAGGGGCAAGAGATCGCGCCGGCAAGGTAGCAGAGGAAAGGGGCCATTATACATGTAACCTCGAGCAGTACCAGGCTCGACTTGGCACGCTTACACACGCCGTCCTCACAGACATCTCGCCCTTTGGTGTCCCGCCGGAACTCGGTCCTCCGGGCGAGAGGGGAGTGGCCGCCATGGCAGGGGGGGAGGGTAGGACGCGAACCCCGTTGTCCTGCAACCTTGTTTACCGAATATATTGGGCTTCTGCTGCGTGCCTGGGGCACGGCACGATGTTCTCCACCTGTGAAGCGAGCATGGGATAGCCGAGCCGAGAGCGGCGAGCTGGTGATCCACAAGGTGGAAGACGTCGGATGCCGACCTTTGCATATACAGTACGTATCGTGATGAGCAATGGCTCCCATGTGCCGAGACGGGAAAGGAAAGGAGAACTCACGTATCCAACATCTCCAAATTCCCCGTGTGACTGGCCGGGGCACGCCTTTGTGCCCCGACAGATTCCCCTCGGGCGCTATCTCGTGGGCCGGTTGTACGATTACTCTCCTGAACTACCACCGCGCATCCCCAAGCTGGGTGTGGCGGCTGTTGTGCCTGATCTGCCGCTCACATGCTGTCACTCGCCTTTGAGATACCCGTCGATATAGTTCCCCTCTTTCAACTCATCTCCCCCCGGATCCGGGAGAACCTCCAGGCATACGTGAGGCTGCAACGGGTGTGAATACGTGCGAGCACCGTGTATGGAAGCACGGCATCCATGAAAGGGTGTGCGGCGCTGCAGAAACAGTCCAAGGAGGACAATCGTGTACAACATGGTCGATTGCCAAGGCCGTCAAACGGACAGCGCCCGGCCTCTGAGCGTCTATAATAATGCCCTCTCCTCACGGTATTCCGTGAGAAACAAGTCTATGTATGTGTATTGGGCCTATCGTGCCGGCACGCACCAGAGGGCCGTCTTCCCAATCTTCCCATCCCGCCGTCGGACGGCCTCGACACGGCTCTATATTCAATGGCCGTGGCAGGGTCCTGGTCTCGGCCCACAAGAGGCCTGCACAGGGTGCATGTGCATGTTTCTAGGTACGTCGTGGGAGAAAAACGGCAAATCACCCTTGCTTGTAGCGCCAGCGCCGGGTGTTTTCCTCGACCAGCCAACTGGTCACGACGGCAGCCTCGCTCGCCCACTTGGCGGCCTCAATGCTGTGCCCCCTTACCAGCTTCTTGTAGAGCGTGTTGAAGTCAAACGACACGGTCGTGTTGGTCTCGTGAGGATCCAAAGCCAGGTCGGTGAAGCGCCACTCGGTGTTGTCGACTATGGGCACAATCAGGCGCCAGTCTGGCCGCCGGGCATCGCGCACAGCGAGCATGGCGCCGCCCGGGTTGATGAGCGAAAACTGCCAGCTGCCCTGGGCCTTGTCGTCGGGAAAGAGGCGCGCAGGCCGGATGAAAGACTGGCCCTCGTAATTGCGGACCAGATCGTGGGCTGCCTGGCTTTCCGACTGCGACAGGGAACCGCTCGCCAGGAGGAGGTCGAGGATTGTGGGCAGCACCTGAACCGAGATGACGGCGTCGTTGACATCAATGTGCGGCAATTTCGGGTGAGAGATGACAAGGGGCACATGGAAATTGCCAATGTTGCCGTTGGCGTACGTCGAAACGCTTCCCTGCTCCGCAATCGACAGCCCGTGGTCGCCTAGAAAGACGACCAGGGTATCGTTGGCGGCACCCTCGGATTCGAGGATGTTGAGGACTCGGCCCAGCCAGCGGTCGACGTAGCCAACAACGTTGGTGTAGCGGGAGAGGTCCTCGAGGTCCTTCTCGTCCGTCAGCGAGACGTACTGCTCGCCCTTGGGCAGGCTGAAGTCGTGGTGGGTGGTGCTCGTCAGGTGGGTAAGAAAGACTCGCTCGTTGTTCTTCTTGGCCGACGCAAACTCGTCCCGAATGTATTCCTCGAGGGCGATTTCGGGCAAGCCAAAGTAATTGATGTCGGTGTGGTTGGAGGCGCCAAACTTGGCAGAGTCGCTCTTGAGGTACTCCTTTGTGATGATGCGGTCCTTGGAGAACCCCATTGTGGGCATAAGGGCGCCTTGCTTGTCGAAAGTGTTAGTGACGGACTGCATAAACGACGATTTCCACTTAAAGGTGGTAAAGTCGTCTTGTGCGGCGGCCTTTGTGCTGTCGTTGTGGGCCAGCGCGTTGAATGCCTCAAAAATGTGCGGCAAGCACGGCTGGTAGATGTGGTTGCTCAGCTCAAGATTGAAGTCGGCAATGAGGGGGGTGAGGCCGCAGATGGTGCCCGTCAGGCTCTTGAGCGTGTAGGTGCTGCTGGTGTGCGCATTGTTGAAGTTGAGGCCGCCGCGCCGGGGCCGGTCCTTGTGCTCGAAGCCGTCGTCGTAGTCGCCCGTGAGGAAGTTTGCCGTCGACGTGAGCGTGGCGAAGCGCTTCTGCGCGTCGGCGGGCAGCGACTTGGACTTGAACGAGTTGCTCAGCTTGTCCCAAATTAGACCGTTCTTCTTGATGGGAAAAACATCCTTCCTCGTGGCCTCGAGCTTGATGAGCACAACGTGGCGAATGTCAATGTCGCGTAGCGTGTCACGCAGAGCAGGCAGCAGCTGGTCGTCGAGGTTGGAAATCCTCAGCGGGTCCTTGTCGCCGCTGTAGTGCTTGGTGCCGTGCCCGTACCAGTCCTCAAAGCCAGGGAGCGGCCGGTCCATGGGTAGCCAGGGGAACGAAGGGGGCTCGGCGAGGGCGGTGCGGTTGTCCCAGTCGACGCTGGCGCTTTCGGAGCCGGGGGTGGCGAGCAGGCGGGCCAGCGAGGGCGACGAGTGGGTAAAGTCGACAAAGGGCAGCAAGGGCAGGGTCCAGGACATGAAGACAAAGGAGCTCTCGGAGGGTCGGAAGACGGAGGTGACGAGCTGGACGAGCAGGACGAGGCCGAGGGTCAGGTACAGAACAAGCATGACCTGTTTGGAGGGCAACGGGGGCGCGTCCGGGGCGCCGACGTCGGGCGAATCATCGACGGCAAATGCCTGCTCGGCGGCGCCGTCTGCGTCCTGCTGCGGGAGGTGCTTGTACTCGGTGTCGTACGAGGCGGACGAGGAGCGGTGGATGGGTAACAGCGAGAGGGGCCACTTGAGGATGTCGAGGGCCATGCCGGCGAGCAGATAGCAGAGGCCATGGACGACGCCGGCGAGGACGACCATGCCGGCGAGGACGACGACAAAGGACACGAGGCCCGTCAGCAGCATGCGCCAGGCCGAGGAGTCGCCGGCGGTGCCAATGTTGCGCCAGTGGAGCTCGAGGCCGGCGACGAAGAAGAAGGAGATGCTAATGGTTGCGGTGAGGGCGACGAAGCCGACGAGGACGGAGGCGAGCACCTTTGCCGCGAGGCGCAGCCATCGCGCTGAGACGTGCAACTGGGCGTCGAGGAGCAGCCGCAGGGCGACGAGGAAAAGGGTGTCCTGGGCAAAGAAGGAGCTGCCCCATTGTATCAGATCAGGGGCGGGGATGGCATCGAGATGGGCGTAGACGTGGACAAGCTTTGCGGCGAGGACGGAGACGGCGGCGAAGGCGAAGGCGAAGCGGCGGTCGGCGAATCTGGAGACGAGGGCGAAGACGATGCGGCGGGTGAAAAAGCGGGTCGACAAGAGGGTGCCGCCGAGGGAAGCCATGGCGTTGGAAGACGAGAATCCAGACGGTCTTGGACGGTCGGCGAGGGACAGGAGGCGGCAGACAGGAGGCGGCGGACGGACATGAGAGGCGGGCGAGAGACGGCAAGGGGAAGTGAGGTGGAAGGCGTCGGGTTAAAAGGAGGCGGCGAGGATGCAAGAAGAATCATGACCAAAAGTTGAAGAAGCGCGACCAGGCACGCATGCCAAGCACGGGATAAGACAAGCTTACCCTGGGCGTCCCGCGAATCATATCTGCGGCAACATCTCCACTGTACCGGGGCAGTACCGGGGAGGGGCGGCGCCACGAGGTACCGTAGAAATTCAACAAATTCGTTTCACCTTTAGCGCGTGGGCCGGGGGGCTCCCCACAGGTTTCAGCCCCACCAAATTTGTATACGAAAGGTACCTGGCCGTGCCGGCGTTGTGCGCTGAGTTGTCAGACTGGCAGAGGCGGGCCCGGCTAGATGTACATTTTGTATACAAATTTGGTGGCGCTGAGACCTGTGGGGAACCCCCCGGTCCAGGCGCTAAAAGTCGAACGAATTTGCTGAATTTCTACGGTACAGTGGGTCTACAAAAGTTTCGATCAAATTCGCGTCCTCCACCTTACACGCGACATCGCTAAAACACGCGTTTCAACTTCAACTGGCCATAACTTTACCAATTTAGCCCGCAATGGGCCAACGACAGAATTATTCGCCTCATAAACGAACGAGGATTGTAATGATGTATAACTCGGGTACCCCAGCCCGCCTTATTGCCCTAAAAGAGGGTATATCCCCCGGAAGCGTCTCTGGCATCGCGTCGCGCTACGCGTCACAGATCAGTGCGAAGGATAACCCTCGCTCTGAACGTCCAAAGAAGCTATCAGACCGCGATAAAAGAGCTATTTTTCGATGCATCGCGAATGACCCTTTCATATCAGCCCGTCAGATTGTTATAGACACCGGAATTGACTGCGCACCGGTCACTTTAGTACGATACCTCAAACAAGAGGGCGTCATGCACTTCAAAGCACTCGGACGGCCTAAATTGACCCCAGAAGTGGCTGAAAAGAGGCTCCTCTTCGCGATACGCCATATCAACTTACCCCTAGGGGCGTGGAAAAGCTGGGTCTTCTCAGATGAAACTTCAATTGCCCAAGGGGAAGGAGAGCGTCAAGCGTGGGTGTTCTGCAAATAACGTAATCTACCCCCTTCCTGGTCACACCCCCTACCTGCTCAAAAATTCCCCACCCAAGCGACCCGCACCTCATGGCGAGACAGGCCGACCACCATGACGGAAATTCGAGACCAATCGATTCCACGCGAAGAACGGGTCCTGCTCGCCGTGAAGGCCTATCAGCAAGGCCAATTCGACAGCGCCCACAAGGCCGCGACGGCATACGATGTCCTCAATCGACAGTCTCTGCTCGACTGCGCGGTGCCCGGCCCCGACGCGACGCGCAGATGAACAACCGGAAGTTGACGGCGACGGAAGAGACTGCCCTCGTACAATGGGTCTTGTCGATGGACGAGCGAGGATGCCGCCGACAGTGGTCTACACTCGCCGCATGGCCAACTTGTTGCTTTCGGAGCGCGGCCAAGAAACTGTCGGCGAAAATTGGGTGCGGAAGTTCGTTGGCCGCCACGACGAAATCAAGGCGAAATACTCGTCGATACGATTACCAACGTGCCAAATGCGAAGACCCGAAGATGATGCAAGAATGGTACGATCGGGTGGCAATGGCGAAACAGAAATGGGGGATTCTTGATGAGGATGTCTACAACTTCGATGAGACGGGTTTTCAAATGGGAGTCATTGCGACAGCAAGAGTCCTTACTCGGTCTGACCGGCGAGGTCGGCCTATGGTCATGCAGCCAGGAAATCGAGAATGGGTTACCGTAATTGAATCTATTAATTGCCAAGGTTGGGCTTTGCCGGCGATGGTCATCTTCCAGGGCAAGGTGCACCAAGCAAGCTGGTACGAGGCAGATGTGCCCAAGGACTGGCAGATTGCCGTGAGCGACAAAGGTTGGACTTCCGACGACCTTGGATTGTATTGGTTGAAGGCAGTTTTCGACCCATACACACGGCGCCTTACCGTTGGAACACGCCGACTTCTCATTCTCGACGGGCACGGCAGCCATGTTACGCCGGAGTTCGACAAGTACTGTACGGACAATGCCATCGTGGTACTCCAAATGCCAGCTCATTCCTCACATCTCTTACAGCCTCTGGATGTCGGGTGCTTTCGCCTTTGAAAACGATATATGGGCGGAATGTTCAAGAGAAGATGCTCGCAGGGTCAACCACATCGATAAAGAGGACTTCCTGCTTCTGTACATCGAGGCCCGCCGACAAGCGCTCTCCCGTCGAACATCCGAAGTGGATTCATGGCCACAGGCCTTTCCCATTCAATCCGACCCGGGTTCTGTCACGGTTACTAGTTCAGGTTGACAGGAATGGCAACGACAATGCCAACGATGACGGCGACAAGCACACCCCAAGCCCCCAGAAAGCTTGGAAGCCCACAAGACACCTTGCAATGTTAGCCAGCTTACCACTCACGTGGAAGGACTTCTTCAGCGCCGGCCACAAAATGCGGGCACGCCGGTCTCACAAGCCATAAACCAGCTCATCAAAGGATGTCAAATGGCCATGCATAGTGCCGCGCTGCTCGCCGACGAAAACAGACATCTTCGGTCAGAAAACCAGCGGCGAAAGAGGAAGAGAGCAACGACGCGAGTATATTGGTGATGGCGGTGCTCTGTCTGTCGCAGAAGGCACGGCTAGGATAAAGCGACGGCGAGAAAGGAAGAGGAACGTGCTAGGCGACTGAGGGCAAGGGAGGATGAGCAGGCAGGGCAACAACTTATCGAGGAGCAGGCCCGACGGCAGACAGAAGAAGAGCTGTGCGTCCCAAGACGGCGTGCACCACCACGGTGTAAGGGGTTTTCCGATGATCTGCCGGATCCGGGGATCCGCCGCCACTTACACCGACATTTGTGCCTCCATGGCGTAGTGGTGACACGTCTGGAGCCTCTGCGTCCGTCGCAGAGGGGTCGGTTCGAAGCCGGCTGGAGGCACCCCTGGTGAAACAGGGTACACCCGGGTTCCCCGCTCGTCAAAGGGGGCAGCGTCATGAGAGAACATCAGTTCACAACGTCACGTTCAATGAAGACCAATTCGGTAATTCGGTGATAGAAGAATTCGTCAAGTACAATCGGCGTACCAACCACCATCAACAATAACACATCCAGCTTCGTCTTCGACAAATCGCGCTTCAGTTGCTGAGAATAGGATGCTGAACACTTGGAGAAATTGACCTTCAAGCAGGTCTGTCAGGAAGCAAACAGTGGAATGGTTGGCGCAGCGTAAGCAGATCCGTGGGGCTTGGGGTGTCATGCATCAGTGTATCGAAGCGTCAATAGTCAGAAGGTCTAGGCCCTATTAGAGTCATTCTCCGGGCGTAATAAACACACACACACACCGACATTTGTCTCAACGTCAATCCGGGACAGCTCAACAACAATGGCGCCGATTGACAAGGCTCTTGATTTTCTGAAATCTTCGGAATCAGTGAATTATGCCGATACTGCACGGAAATTCAACTGTGACGAGACTACGTTGCGACGGCGACATCAAGGCAAACAGCGGTCAAGACGTGATGCCGACTCATTGTATAAATCACGGCTGTCAAAGCAGCAAGAACGAGATCTTATTGCTTATATTCACAAGCTTTCAGCACGCGGCATTCCGCCTACCTTGTCTATGATCAAGAATTTCGCTCAGGATATCGCGAAAGTGGAGGTCGGAAAGCATTGGTCATACAGCTTTGTTCATCGCAACCGCAATGAGCTAGGTTGCAGCTGGTTCGATGGATTTGACATTGCACGGAAAAGAGCCGATAATACCTCTAGGTATAAGGCATATTTTGAGCTTGTAAGTTTGTGTACAAAATCTCAGATTCGTTATTAATCGTGGAAGATCCGAGCGAAAATCGAGAAATACGACATTGTCCCTTGCAACACGTATAACATGGATGAAAAAGGCTTTCTCTTGGGTGTGATCAATCGAACTAAGAGAGTCTTCACCCTTGATCTCAAAAAGCAAGGCAAATTGCTCGGCGCATTGCAAGACGGCAATCGATCCTGGATTACGTTCGTGGCTTGCATCTGCCAGGACATGACTTCATTGCCTCCTTTTCTCATCTACCAAGGCAAGCCAGGACAAGTCCAAGATTCTTGGCTTACGGACTTTGACCCAGAGCATCAATCAGCATTCTTCACAACCTCAGAGACGGGCTGGACTAACCACGAGCTTGGAAAAGAGTGGCTCGTCGGCGTTTTTGATCGGTTTACCAAGGCAAAAGCACGAAACGGACGTGATTATCGCCTTCTTATTACCGACGGACACTCCAGCCATATTAATATGGGCTTTCTGGAGTGGTGCGACCAGCATCGGATCATCGTGGCGGTGTTTCCTCCCCACTCTACCCATCGGCTCCAACCCCTGGACGTATCCCTATTCAGCCCTCTGTCAACGGCATACACAAATCAGCTTATCCGGTGGACGGCAAAGACTCAAGGTCTCGTTGGGCTGTCCAAGCGCGAGTTCTGGACTTTGTTTTGGAATGCATTCGAGGCGTCTTTCTCACCGGAGAACGTTGAAAGTGGGTGGATGCGGACCGGGCTCCTTCCTTTCGATCCCGCAGTCGTCCTATCACAGATTGTGAAAGACAAAATCGACGATTCCGATGTAGGCAGTGGTTCGGAAGACTCCCTAGCATTGCAACAGCCTACTGCTCGAGAATTACGACGACTTGTGGACAAAGTAGTCGACAAATCCGCCGCAGATTCGGAAGTCAATGCTCGGAAGCTGAAGAGCACTCTCGAAAGCCTTCAATCCGAGGTTGAGCTCCTTAGATATGAGAACAAGGGACTCCGTGAGGCAATCATTCATGAGAAGCAGCGCAGGCAGCGTGGTACAGCTCTGAAAGATTATCTCTTTGACCGTACGGATCCTAACTCTGCTCAGGTCTTCAGCCCGCAAAAAGTGGCCCAAGCTCGAGTGAAGAAAGCTGCGATGGAGGTCAAAAGAAAGATAAGGCTCTCAAAAGGAATCCCAGAAGGTTCAGCGACAGCAGAAGGCGGAAGAACAAAAAGAGGTCGTGTTGGAGAGGAAGAGGCAGCGAGAGGAGAAAAGGGAGCGAAAATTGCAGGAAAAAGAAGCCAGAAAGCAAGAGAAAGAGGCTAACCGGCAGCTTCGTGACGACCTCAGGCATCTTAACCGGGAAAGGCCGCAACAGGGGCAGCAAAGCCGGCGGGTGCCTTTTGATGCACGAGAGGAGAGTCCAGGGATTCTAGACGAAATAATCGTCACTCCTCCGTCACCACCAGAGCTTCCGGTAACATCGCAAGCGCCAGATAGGCCAGAGAATGACTTAGCAAAGAAGGCAAGGATTCCGCCCGGCCGAACGCCTCGTGCCCAAAGACCTTTTCTGGCTGTTGAGAGTGATCGGGAGATGGTAGTGGTGTACCGGAGCTCGGGACGGCCGCAGCGGAATAGCAAGCGACCACAATGGCTTGATGACTGCGAAACAGGATGATGCACATCTCGCAGTCTCTCTTTCATCACATTTTAAGTTGGAGAAATTTTGGCCCCGTTGCTGTGGAGTTATTGTGGATTGATGTCTAACTTGCAGTCGCGTGTAAGTCCGGCGGGTCACGGGATCCGGCAGATCATCGGAAAATCCCTTACGTATCTATACACCTCCTTTTATTAACTGTACACCAAAAAGTGGATCAACTGTGGCTGGGTCAGGCGCAGTGCCGATGCCGCTAATTTTGGTGCGCCCATTCCCGGCCGGCCAGCTGGCCAGTTCGTGATGCTTGCGTAACAACATCCTGTAACCGTAACTATCAGCAATACCATCAAAACTGAAGCTATTCGCACCGCGTTTTCTGCCCTTACGAGCCCGAATCATGGAGTCGCTTACGAAGACACTATTCCCGACCTTCCAGGCCGCGATGGAAGCCGCCGATACCGTTGCTGAGGCTGAGGGCTACGCCCTACACATTCGAACATCGAAGCGGGATAACGCTGGCCAACGCAAGTCTGCACTTGTTCGTTGTATCAAGGCCGGCCCCTACGAAAATCGGAAGGATAAAGCTGCTCATATCTCTCGTCGTCGCCTCAATACAGCAACCCAGAAAACAGACTGTGAGTTTCGCCTCTCGTTGAAGGAAAAACGCGGTTACTGGACTATCTCTTATCTTCACGATGTTCACAATCATCGCCTTGTTGATGACCCGATGGTCTTTCCGAAGTACCGGGCGCTTGTTATCCAGAAGTATCGCGACGACATTATCCGGAAGTTTAATAACAATACCCGGCCGACCGATATTGCTGGCGAGCTTCGTGACCTGGTTCACGACGATCCTCGTTTAGCCGGTATCACGGCTCAAGACGTGAGTAACGCCTTGGCTAGGCACCGTCAGGAAGAACTAGCTGGCCGTACGCCTCTTCAGTTTCTCTACGACCGGCTAGATAAGTCCGACTTCTTTCATCGAGATAGTCGTGATCCCCAGGGCCGGCTAACTGGGCTATTTCTCGCGCCTCGTGCTACCTTCCATCGATGGCGTCAGCATCACGATGTCCTCGTCCTCGACTGTACCTACAAGACGAACCGATTCAATATGCCGTTATTGAATATCTGCGCGGCCACTCGAGATAACAAAACGTTCTCTATTGCCTCTATCTTCTTGAACGGCGAGACCGAGTCCCATTACTATTGGGCTATCTCGTTGCTGCTAGTCCTTTGCGAGAAGGAGTCGATCCCATTTCAAGGGTCACTGTCACGGACCGAGATACTGCGTTGCTTAAGGCGTTAGATAGCTTTCGCGAGCTTCAAAACAGTACTAACCTTCTCTGCACGTGGCATATTAACCAGAATGTCGTTGCGAAATGCAAGCAATTTTTCCTAAGGCATCAAAAATCGGCAATCGAGTCGTACGGGCCCCGGCATTCCAAGCGTTTCTACAAGAGTGGAACGAGATCGTCAAGTCACAAGATGTGAATAGCTTCAACGAACGTTTACGCCAATTTGAGACACCAGGCCGCCACCCGCTTGCAGCTATACAATACTGTTGCAATACGTGGCTAACGCCTTGGAAGGAGAAGTTTGTATCTTGTTTCGTTAATCAATATCGCCACTTCGGGCGTACAACGACCTCGATCGTCGAGGGACTTCACTCTCATATGAAGAAGTTCCTTTGGTCCTGTACGGGCGATTTGACGACCGTTTTCCAACGATTCGAACGCTTCTGGGGCCATCAGGCTGCTCAGATCACAGCGATAGAGAATCGAAACCTCCACAAGATATCAACGTTCTCCCTACAGGCGCCGTATATGCCGATCCGCGAGCGAGTATCGTCATATGCGTTAAAGCTACTAATAGATGAGCATCGCAAGATCCCTCTAGACCCCCGAAGTCAACGGGCCAAACCGCCGCCAGGTCAATGTCCTTGTAATTGGTTATCCATACCGTCCTGGAACCTCCTTAGCAGTCGGGTACAGTCCAGGCTAACGCAGAGCGAGGTTGACAGCTTCAGGGCCGCTTTGCGGGTGTATTCTACCAGGGCCCGGGTCAACGAATACAATTACGAGCATATGGTGCATCTCAACGCCCCGGCAATACAGGTGGAGGCAAAGAGTCAGGGCAAGGGCGCGGGGCAGGCACCAAGCGACAATGCTGGCAATCTATCTAACAAGTTCCCTGTTGCTAAGGGCGCCAGGGTAATGCTCACTACTAACCTATGGCAGCCAGCTGGCCTAGTTAACGGTGCCCAGGGTACTGTATACGATATCGCCTGGAACCCAGGCGCCGAACCATTGGAAGATCCCCCGGCCGTTATTATGGTGGACTTTGATAGCTACGATGGACCGCCATATCTAATAACTAACGAGGGCAGGAAAATCTCACCCATCCTCCCAGTCAGGCGTGATTTCCTTATGGGCAACGAGACCTGCGCTCGCACGCAGTTTCCCCTGATGGTGGCGTTTGCTATCACTGTTCACAAATGCCAGAGCCTAACGAAGGAGCAAATAGTTACTGATCTCGCTACACGCGACTTCCAGGCCGGTATTAGCTATGTTGCTGTGTCACGGGTTACGTCGCTGCAAGGCTTACTCCTTGAGGCGCCTTTCGATCGTCAGAGCCTCTATAACCACACGCCGACAGAAGGTTTATAAGCCTGTCTCCCTACGTGCTGCGTTTACGGCTAACTACAAAGGCTAAAGCAGGGATGAAGATGCGCCTCGCTGACCAACAACGGCGTCAGGGTCAACAGCTGAGCGATGCACCGTATCCACCACTCTACCTTGACTAAACGACGTCTTCCTATAAGCTACAGGAAGGGGAGGTTCGATATAGGGTATATAGTTAGATTGGGCCAGTCAAGGAGCGGTTTAAACAGCTGGATGGCCGCCGCAGGCGAAAGGGGGGTTCTAGGGGGTCCCCCCCTAGGAAAGTTGAATTGCAGGAATACGATGTTCACCCTTCGGGCTGGATATTCAGCCGTTAAGCCCCTTGCCTTGGCAACTTAACGGGTGTTCGAAGTATTTTAGAAGTACCAACAATCCTTCTTGGTACAAAATTGTTACATTGCATTTAGTTTGTCTGCGTTGGCCTTGTCCGCACAACCAGCTTGAGCGTTCGGGTCAACCTCTCGCAATGCAGGCCGAATTGAGCTACGTGTTGAAGCGTTTCCCACTTCATCACCCTTGAACGCCTTGCAAGGTGCGTATTTCTCCGATTTGATGTTGAATCCACGCTAGATTGAGCTGATCGTTCGTAAATCCCGTTTCCGTAACACCAATAAGGGTATCGCCATCTAGCTCCTTGATGCCGTACCACTGTTCGAGGTGGACCTTGCCGGATAGGATCAAAAACGCAGGGATGTATCGACCATCGGCAGAAATCGCTTCAACGGCTGTTGCCGACTCCCTGTTTTCCTCAATACCAAAGTATTGCGATCGCCTTGATTTCGTGACGACAACTTGGTCCCTGCCAATACCAATACGGAAGCCCGTCTCGTCCATATTCCAGATATCAGCCGGGTTAATCCCGTACGAGGCAATCGTCTCGTGGAGCTTCTTGAAGTACTCGGTAACGTGCGGGACTGATTCGGCAAGCTTGCGTTGGTTATCGAGTACCTTTTGCTTCATAATATGATATCCCTTGCGTTTAATAAAACGGGATATCCAGTTTTTGCCAACAAAGCATTGGGAGTCGAAGGGTTCGTTGCGGGTACCATCAGGGCCGACCGTGGAGCTTAGAACCCGATTTGCTGCATCGCGTAATAAGTCCTTCCGCACCGCAAGTCCTATACGCTCAAGACGATCGATATACAGATCGATTGAGTCCTCTTGAGCTGGCGATAGCCTCGTATGCGTTGCTTTATGGCCGCTGCGAGGTTGGATGCCGTGAAATCGCAAGCGGAGTCGTTCGCGTGGAACCCCAAATTCCTTAGCCGCAGCGCGAAGGACATATTGGGATTTGCCTCAATGGCTTTAATAGCCTCGGCTACGCGCCTTTCAAGCGTAAGCTCTTTATTCTTCATAATGTGCCGTTGTTGAGGTCAAGATAGAGGCTTGAAGCGGTGAAGTGACACAGCCAGGTGGTTGACACAGACAGGTGGTGAGGACCCACTTTACGTGGGTCTGTGGGACGAGTATTTTGCCTAAAAGGCCCAAGTTATCTATCCACCCACTTTCATTAACTGTACACCCAAAAAGTGGATTAACTGTGGCTGACGGCCGAAGAGGGCCGATACCGCCAATTTGTATGCACACATTCTCTACGATAAGTAGAGCCAGGTAGTAACAGTTCTCCTTCAACGATAAGGCACCCAAAATTGAAGCTATTCGTACTGCGCTTTCTATGCTGATGAGACTATTCTTTGGTGTTTACAACAGGCCTCCTTCTTCGAGTGCACTACGTGCCTGATCCGCTTCATCTAACTGTGATTCCAATTGATCCCATACATCCTCAAGGGCGGCATCGTCCGTGAGGCCAGCGACGAAGATGCAGTCTTGGGTCTCCCGCCTAGGGCTGATATTTGAAGATTTTGAAGTCGAATCGGCCTCGGGACCCTTGAATTGAATGAAGCCGAATCGGGTAAGGTCTTCAAATTCGACGAATCAAAAATCAGGAGTCTTCATTCAATTCATTCATAAAAATTGTGAATGAATGGCGATATGGTCGAAACGTAAGGCGAAAAAAAATTATCACCCGCTTCGCGGCCAAGGGACATACAGGAGGAAAGGGTCAATACCCGAAGCCACCCACCAAGGGCCTCTTCCTGTTCTTCCTCGGCAGGCTCACATACACATCAATAAACAAGCTGCTTTGACCCCATCATTAAGGGTTTGCCCGCGCGGACACGGTAACTTCGAGTTCGGCCGCGCTTGTGATGACGCTCTGCGTATTTAAAAGTCTGTTGTGCGTGTTTCAGTTGGATTCCACCGTCCACACTCCACTGGCAAAATCCTAGTCCCGCGCCGCCCGCGTCTGGCGGGGGCGTCGCTGGGGAAATCGAGGCGAAGGACGGCAGTTAGGGCGTCCATATATTGTGGTATAACGACCCTAACAGTGCCTGATACGCCACCGTTTCAGCAATCTTGCCACCCTATACGGAGTATTAAAAAACACCATGAAGCTCATGAACAGTGCCATTTTATAATGCACATGATTTAAATGTAGTGCCGCTCGAATGTTCTGGATTTTCTCGTTCGGATGATATAACCCTCGATAGTTACATGTCGTTAACATTTGCTCAAGAAATGCCACATCATCTTGAAGGCAATCAATGGATAGCCCATTTTTTGGTTGGAATACTACATTTCAAGCACATATTAAGCTCGGCAACCCATATTCTGGATATATAATATAATAATTATACCGCTGTACAGCCCCAGCAAGCTGATTCGAAAAACGCGTTCAGATCCTCAACATCTCAATACTGCGCGAACAATTGGAAGTGACACGAATCGAGTCAGCTCGCGATTTGGAGGCTGTTAGGGACTTATCTACTCCTCGAGCCCAATATGACTGCTACTTGTTTGTCCATACAAATTAGCCGATCAGGAAGTACCCGAAAATCTGCATGATAAGGATATATTGTGCCAACTAGCCGCGTTCAGACGCGTTATTTCCGCTCAGTTGACCACCTGTTAATTCTACTGCTGTCGGAAAGACAGGGTCGTCAGCCCATCCACCTTTGCCTGCGTGGCGCAACGGTCTTCGCGACAACTGCCACGACATTATTTTACCACGACCTCGCCTAATTCCTGCTTCGATATTCCGACAGCGGCTTCGGATCAGCCCCCGAATCAACGCCCTGACCGACGACCTATCCTACCCGTTCAACCCCGACTCCTTGACACTTTATTGTGGTTTATTTGGTGTCGTTCCGACTACCTGTGTCGCGTCCATTCTCGAGCCTTTCAGCCAAGATCAGGTAAAACTTCATTACTCTCAATCTACCCTCCTTATTTAATTACCTTACGAGTGGATAGCTAATTATAACATGATACGTAGTATGGCCCTGCTGAAACAAAAACATCTGCCGCAGCGAATTTCTTTGCTCCAAGGACCCGGCGTAAATTGCCAACGCAGAATTATGCCCGCATCGAACGTCCTCAATTCAACCTCGGAATCCCGCGCGCGCGCTGATTCTAAACCGGCTCCTTCCTCTCCTCTTCCAACTGGCGAAGATACAATTGTCTGCGCGCCCCCGGGTCATCCTGACTGTGAGTCAGATGATGACATGCCCGACGCGGATACACCAGAGCCGCCATTGAACAGTAGTCATATGACGCTCGCAGAGAAAGCCGGACTTATCAAGAAGTGGGCCGACAACAAACAAAAGCATGTTCGCAAGAAGAGAGACAAGAACAGCCACGTCTATTGGTATATGCAGAGGAAGCTATAGACAGAAGCTTTTACTCAGAGGATAAGGATGGGCCGAAGATCTTCCAAGAGTTCCGGTGGACTTGTATAGAGTGCCTTCAAAATCCCAATACTCTTCGGAAGAGATTCCAGGTCCTCGAATCGAACCGCCGAGGGTTACCTCTGGCATGGGAGACCATTTAAAAATCCACGGTATTACGAAGGAATCTCACCACGCTCGAATTAATGGATACGGCCGCGCCATTGGTGGAGGAGATTATACAGAGGCAGACGCATGGAGCGGTCGACCTAGGCAGAGAGCAAGACTCACGGCAAAGGAGTCTATCCGCCGGTGGTTTGTAAAACACCGACAACCCTTCTCTGTTGTCGAGACTCCTGCTTTTCAAGAGATGTTCTTGGCTCACAACACAACATGTGTGTACAGGAGTCGTATAACGTTACGCAATCATATATATACAGACTTTGTCGAACGCAGGAGAAGCTGAAGATTGAGCTTGAGTACAATTGTGCCACCATCTCGTTCACCCTTGATATCTGGACAGCACCGAATCGGGTGCCCATTTTCGCCATTATTGCGCACTGGATTACACCGGAGTTTGAGGAGAGAGAAGTTATTGAGTTTATTGAGCTCAAAAGATCTCACACTGGCAAACAATTAGCTGAGATAGTTGAGAGGACGCTTGAGGAGCTCAGGCTCAAGCCTAAGCTTCTCGCCATTACGGGAGACAACGCCGGCAATAACGGCACGCTCTGTCAGTCTTTGTACGATTCTCTCAAGACCAAATTCGACGACAAGGTGAGCCCAATAGGGAGGCCCCGCATGCGCTTTCACGGCAGGAAGAGTTGGATCCGCTGTCTAGCTCATATTACCTCGCTCATTTGTGAGGGCGTCTTGCAAGATCTCAAAGCAGGCACAGCGAAGGAAGCCAAGAAGATGCTTGACAAGTGGGACGAAGAGAATAAAAGCAACAACTACACCATTCCGGGAGACTCTAGTCGAAGTGGGATTGCCAAAATCCGCCTCCTCAATCTCTGGATGTTGAGATCCGGGTCTAGGGAGCAAGACTTCAAAAGCATGCCGCGCACGCACTACCGGAAGCCAACCTACGATGTCGACACTCGCTGGAATTCGGCCTACGACATGATTGACCAATTCCTCGAGCTTGAGGCAGAGTATACTGAGTTCGTTGATACTCACCCGCAAGTCAAGTGCCTCCTGCCCTTATCAGAAGAGATTGTCGCTCTCTATCAACTGCGGAAGGTTCTGAAGCCGTTTAAAGACCACACTCTGAAAGTCTCCGAAGTTATGCCGCCGATCTCACAAAGTCTCGATATCTATTGGGATTTGGAAGCTCTCCTGATGATGTAGTCGAAGGAGTTGGCGACTTTACAGACCTTGATATGTCCATTCGAGACGCCTTCTCGAAGGGCAAAGCAAAACACGTTACTTATATGAAGAAGCTTGACGATCAAATGATGCTATTCGCAGCTCACATCCTGGATCCGCGTTATAAAACTCACCAATTGGAAATGATGATACCGGATCAATACTCTGAGATTATGGCTAAAGTCAAGAAGTATTTCAAAACGGAGTGGCCGGAGCTAGCAGCATTGAATGCCACAAACTCAACTATGAGCCAATCCAGACCAGCTGAGCGTCCTCAAGGAGTCTCCATTGCGCAATGGAGAGCCATCCAAATGAAGAAGGCGAGGAGGCGGAGACGGGCGCGGCGATCCCTATTTCGGAGCTTGAACGGTGGCTTGCAGCTCCTCGAATAGAGTTCGACGAGTCTATTGCAAAGTCTCCAGACTTCCTACTGAAGTGGTGGAAAGAACACAAGGTCGAGTGGCCACTTTTGGCTGCGGCGGCGCGTGATCTTCTCTCTGTCTCTGGCTCTGAAGTTGACGTGGAACGCCTCTTCAGCGGTTGTAGAGACGAATTCGGTATCCGCCGTCACGCCTTGAAGGCAGATACGGTGCAGTACTAACACTTTTACGGAGTGCTTATACTCAGGAAGATAAGATCGATCAGGCGTTGATCAAGGCGGCCATGGAGTATGACATCCTGCCCTTTGCCAATAGTATTATTTGGAGACCAGACCACATTCCGGGCAAGCTGGAAGATGGTATGTATGGATATACCCTCATTATATATGTAGGTATATGCTAATCTGTGTTCAGGCGAGAATCCTCCTCAACCTCTTCCTCCCACCGAGGCTCCCACTGAACCCCTACCCCAAACCTCCTGCATCCCAAGCCGATAAGTCTGCGATATCAACCCCCTGTCTAGATACAATGGAGGCTTCGGAGGATTGGGGCTCTAAGAGTGTAGCCGTGTACAGTGGCGGATTCGAACGCGTTGTACCGACGTATTTTGAGGATTCGGCAGAGCTTTGAAAGTGCTTATTTTCAGTCGATTTGCCTAGGACAGGCGGATCAGTATTTATGTAAGTTAATTTTTGTAGTATTCGGGATTATCGACTTCTTAGAAGGCTATAACTTAAAACTATATACTACTTATTGGCGTTTTGAGGCATCTTTGCAATCGCTCAGGTACACACCAAATTCACTTCGTTTAGGGATCCCTTCAAACCATTCATGAATGGCCTGAATTGGCCCAAACCCAACTTGAATCGCGAAAATTGGAGCTTGAAGATTTTGAATCAAGATCCAAAAAATTCAATTCATTTGATTCATCCTTCATTCAAAATCTTCAAAATCTTCACCTTCGTCTATCACCCCTACTCCCGCCGTACCGGCTGATCGTCATCATCAGAGACTGGCGTTTGACGCCCGGCTTGTTGATACGCCCGTTGCATCCGTGTGCCTGCCTCGTACGTATCGCCGTTTTCCTCGATGTGCCGCAGCCCTCGTTCCGTTGAAGTCATCGCGGCCGTTACCGTACCCGTCATCGCCGCTGGTGCCGTTGAGGAGGAGGCAGTCGTATAGCCTCAGCCCGCTCATGCCGTTCAGCGATCTCGTGATGTGACGGATCCCGCCGCGTTGATCTTGACCGCCGTGACTCTTCGAGGTTGAGTGAGCCCTTGGGGCGGCCCTTAGCCCTGATAACTTGTGGCTCGTATGGTGCCCGAGTAGGGCTTGTGCCCTGAGCGCTTGTATCGATCGGAATATACCAAAATGGGTCGAAGTCGTCGAGTGTAAGGGAGGTATTGGTGTTGATAGACTCGAAGATTCGATGGCAGCACGGTAGCCCTCGACTAGTAGCCCAATTACAAGGACATTGACCTGGCGGCGGTTTGGCCCGTTGACTTCGGGGTCTAGAGGATCTTGCGATGCTCATCTATTAGTAGCTTTAACGCATATGACGATACTCGCTCGCGGATCGGCATATACGGCGCCTGTAGGAGAACGTTGATATCTTGTGGAGGTTTCGATTCTCTATCGCTGTGATCTGAGCAGCCTGATGGCCCCAGAAGCGTTCGAATCGTTGGAAAACGGTCGTCAAATCGCCCGTACAGGACCAAAGGAACTTCTTCATATGAGAGTGAAGTCCCTCGACGATCGAGGTCGTTGTACGCCCGAAGTGGCGATATTGATTAACGAAACAAGATACAAACTTCTCCTTCCAAGGCGTTAGCCACGTATTGCAACAGTATTGTATAGCTGCAAGCGGGTGGCGGCCTGGTGTCTCAAATTGGCGTAAACGTTCGTTGAAGCTATTCACATCTTGTGACTTGACGATCTCGTTCCACTCTTGTAGAAACGCTTGGAATGCCGGGGCCCGTACGACTCGATTGCCGATTTTTGATGCCTTAGGGAAAAATTGCTTGCATTTCGCAACGACATTCTGGTTAATATGCCACGTGCAGAGAAGGTTAGTACTGTTTTGAAGCTCGCGAAAGCTATCTAACGCCTTAAGCAACGCAGTATCTCGGTCCGTGACAGTGACCCTTGAAATGGGATCGACTCCTTCTCGCAAAGGACTAGCAGCAACGAGATAGCCCAATAGTAATGGGACTCGGTCTCGCCGTTCAAGAAGATAGAGGCAATAGAGAACGTTTTGTTATCTCGAGTGGCCGCGCAGATATTCAATAACGGCATATTGAATCGGTTCGTCTTGTAGGTACAGTCGAGGACGAGGACATCGTGATGCTGACGCCATCGATGGAAGGTAGCACGAGGCGCGAGAAATAGCCCAGTTAGCCGGCCCTGGGGATCACGACTATCTCGATGAAAGAAGTCGGACTTATCTAGCCGGTCGTAGAGAAACTGAAGAGGCGTACGGCCAGCTAGTTCTTCCTGACGGTGCCTAGCCAAGGCGTTACTCACGTCTTGAGCCGTGATACCGGCTAAACGAGGATCGTCGTGAACCAGGTCACGAAGCTCGCCAGCAATATCGGTCGGCCGGGTATTGTTATTAAACTTCCGGATAATGTCGTCGCGATACTTCTGGATAACAAGCGCCCGGTACTTCGGAAAGACCATCGGGTCATCAACAAGGCGATGATTGTGAACATCGTGAAGATAAGAGATAGTCCAGTAACCGCGTTTTTCCTTCAACGAGAGGCGAAACTCACAGTCTGTTTTCTGGGTTGCTGTATTGAGGCGACGACGAGAGATATGAGCAGCTTTATCCTTCCGATTTTCGTAGGGGCCGGCCTTGATACAACGAACAAGTGCAGACTTGCGTTGGCCAGCGTTATCCCGCTTCGATGTTCGAATGTGTAGGGCGTAGCCTCAGCCTCAGCAACGGTATCGGCGGCTTCCATCGCGGCCTGGAAGGTCGGGAATAGTGTCTTCGTAAGCGACTCCATGATTCGGGCTCGTAAGGGCAGAAAACGCGGTGCGAATAGCTTCAGTTTTGATGGTATTGCTGATAGTTACGGTTACAGGATGTTGTTACGCAAGCATCACGAACTGGCCAGCTGGCCGGCCGGGAATGGGCGCACCAAAATTAGCGGCATCGGCACTGCGCCTGACCCAGCCACAGTTGATCCACTTTTTGGTGTACAGTTAATAAAAGGAGGTGTATAGATAATTGGGCCCTATAAAAGGGGCTGCTTGAACGGGGGAGAGAGAGCAATCAACACATGCATTCTCGCATACCATCTGATCATATGATACTCGACCTTCGAAAAGTCCCCTTATCCACTTCTATGCCCACTTTTGCTCTCTCCTTCGCGAGACGACCTGCAACGGTGCTCTTGAGGTACACATAAGTTATGAAAAAAAAAAGACTCTTTTGCGATACGGGCTTTTCCGGCTCCTTGTCCGCCAAGCCATGTCCAAGATTATGGCATCCAAATTATCAACAAGCAAAAGCTCTGCAGCTCGACAAACAACAGCAGGTACGGCACAGTAAGCTGGTGTGTTGAGGTCGTTGACATGCGACTCTACTCCGGACTCCAAGGGGGGGCTAATGGTCGCCAACGTGCCCCTTTGTTGTCCCAACTGGCTTATTATGTTGAAGCACATATTCCCGTTTGAGTTGGTTTGCTGCCGTAAGGCGGAAGGATTCAGCTCCTAAAGAAATGAGTACTCCGTTTGGGGAGAATTTTGATACCGGGCAGAGCCTTTGTATGACGAGTTTATGCATGTCTTGTGGGATTATCGATCACAGAGCTTGTCCAGGGTCCACTTCGCGATTTAGAGCTTGTGAACAGGCTCTTCCCATAATGAACGACTCTGGCCAATGAGAACTGAAGCTTAGAACATTATTGACTCTGAATTGAGAGTATGATTGGTTCAGTGTCGCTAAGACTCATCAGACGCTGTGCAAGAGACAAGCCCAACAGAAACCTTTGCATTAGCCGGCGGTGATGGAGTCACCTAGTGCCGCAACCACCACAAAAACCTTCAAATAGATGACTCCCTCTCCAACGTCATTTCATGTTAACTCAATCCTCCAACTTTCGTTCCGAAAGGCTCTTTGCGCAACCCCCGTTGGGTTGCCTCTCCTGTTCCTCTTTGCCCCCCTCCTGGCCCTTGACCTGTCTGTGCTCCTTTTACGTCGGTAGCTACGGCAAGCCCGCTAGCCTAGAGCCGGCTGGCCTGTGAAGTCTAAATCTCCGCCTTTGCGGTCCGTCTATATTAGACACGCACCCGTCGATGTCCATTAACTACCTTGAGATTGTTGCTCTTATTTCTATCTATCTACGTTGCGCCTTCCTATACTTTTGCTATCTTCGCCCCCTGAAGATGTGCTAGGATAGTCGTCCTAGGGGCAGGATCTCCTCCGCTGCGAGCGAGACGCCTACGCCGCCCGCGTTACCCGCGGAGCCGGTCGGCCGCCTCCCGCGTCGTCTGCCTGCTAAGCTCCTCTAGCCGGGCCTGCGCTGCCGTCATCTCCTCGGGCACCCGGTTCCCGACTAGATCCCGCTCCCGCACCTCCGATACGAGCATGATGCCGTCGAGCGTCGGGCACCGCGACAACTGCACGTACAGGCTGTACGGGTCGCACGGCGACGGCACCGCCCTCCCCTCGACCGTCGTCATCCTCGCCCCCCGCAGCTCCAGCGCCACGCGCTCCAGCGTCCCGCCCTGCACCTTGTAGTCGGTGCAGGTGAAAGCCGCCGCGCACGGCAGGCCCCTCCGGCTGACGTTGTTGCGCTGCCACGGCCGCTTCCGCTGCGCCGTGATCTTGACGCTGATGGGCGTCAGCAGGATCGTCCCGGCCGGCATCCCGACGAAGTGGAAGTCCCTCGTCGTCTCCGAAGCCAGCACGATGCCCGCCGGCGGCCCGAAGTGCATCGTCAGCTCGGCCGAGACCCAGTGGCCGGGGAAGGCCCGGTCGGGGATGACGTCTACCGCCGTGTAGCCGGCCCCGTTCACCAGCTTCAGCCCCTGGTGCGTGTTCTGGTTCACGACGACTGGCATGCCCGGCACGAAAACGAAGACGGCCGGCACCGGCGTCGCGCTGTCGTCGCCCTGGCACAGCATTAACACCGCCTCCTCCTCCGTCGGCAGGCCCTCCCTCCACTTGTGCTCGGACAGGAATATGCGCGCCGCCGTCCGCGCCGCGCCCGGAACGCGAGCGCCGCCTCTAGGTTGAGGTTCCAGCGGTTGCGGTTGAGAGGCGTGACCACCGTCAGGCCCGTCTCCCACGGGATCCGCCTGCCCGGCCGGTGGCACCTCGAGTTGAGCAGCTCTAGGTCCGACCGGTCCTGCTCCCCCCCCGGCGGATGCGCCCGAGCAGCCGCCGCAGCTCCGGGTCGCCGGCGGCCCGCATCTGCTCGTCCAGCATGACGACCGTCGTGAACCGCCGCCACAGCGCGTGCGCCTTGTCGTGCTGCCGCCGCTGCTCGGCCGCGAACGCCCCGTCCTCGTCCCACGCCACCGCCGCGCTCGGCGGCAGGATCGACCGCTCCTGCACCGGCCGGAACTGGTGGAAGTCGCCACAGAAGATCACCACCGGGATGCCGCCGAAGTCTCGCGCCGACCCCCGCAGCCTGCACAGCTGCTCGTTGGCGGCGTGCAGCGTCCGCGCCCCGAGCATGCTGACCTCGTCGATCACCAGCACCTCCTTCTCCTGCCAGTCCATCCGCGACCGGCCGTCGACGAAGCGCTCGCCCTGGCCCGGCAGCCGTACGCCGTCTACGTCCCTCGTCGCCCCTCCCGCCTGGCCGCCCTGGCCGACCGTAAGGCCGCAGGCCGAGTGTAGTGTGATGCCGTTGATCCGTGCTGCCGCCGTGCCCGACGTCGCCGTCACCAGCAGCCGGCTCGATAGGTCCCTCCGGGCGAGCAGCTCGACGAGCGCCTCGATGACGCGCGACTTGCCGGTGCCGCCCTCGCCGCCGATTAACAGGCAGAGCTGGCCGCCGCCATCGCCGCCTGCGTCGTCGCCCTGCCGGATTCGGTCGAGCTGCCGGCATACGATTAGGAGAGCGATGGCCTGCTTCTCGTTGAGCGTTAGCTGCCCCGCCAGCTTCCTGCCCGCGGCGACGAACGAGCTCGACGGGCCGAGCCGCACGCGCATCCCCGCCGCCGTGCCAGCGTCTACGTCGCCGTCGGCCGCCGTTACGTCCATGTCGTCCTCGCCGAAGCCCCCCATCACCCCGCGAAGAGCCGAGCCGCGGTCGGCCCCGACGCCCGCCGCCGCCCCACCGCCCTGGATGCCCTGGATGGCTCGCTCCCGCTCCCGCGCCGCGCTCCTCTGCTGCGACTTGATGGCCCGCACCTCTTCTTGCCGTGGCAGCGCCGCCCCCGAGAGCTCCGAGCCCGGTAGGTTCACCCGCCTGCCTGCCCTCTCCTCCGCCACTACCGTCGCCGCGAGCTCGGCCGCCGACCCCAGCGCCGACTGCTGGAACCGGCAGAGCTGCTGCGTCATCGCTAGCAGCTCTGTTGACTGCGCCGTGACTTGTCCCGCGCCGGCGGCATTCCGGACGACGTCGATGAGCCGGGCCGCGTCGCCCGCCCCGCCGGCGCGGTACGCCTCCTCGCCCCCCTCGGCCACCCCCCTGCCTTCGTCGCCGGCCTGCGGCGCCGTCATACCGCCCTCCTCGGCCGTGGCGGCCCACTGCTTGGCGTCGCGCTTCGCGTCCTCCGCCGACCGCCGGAGGAGCTGCACGTTGTCTGCGAGCCGCGCGACCCTCGGCGCCAGCGACTCCCGCGCCCGCGCCCAGATGTCGTTGATGTCGCCTGCCTCCTCGCCGAGGAAGGACTCCCACGGCACGAATAGGGCCAGGTGCTGTACCGCCGCCCTAGGCGCTGTTAGCCGATGCCCCTAGCCGCGCTGCCTTCCCCTTGGGCGCTCCCCGTCTTATGGTGCGCACCTTCGGTGGCACGACTCGTCGTCTCCCTCGCTAAACTCCTTGCTGAGGTATCCGTCGAGGCATACGGTCGCCCGCTACCCGGCCGCCTAAGCGCCTGCACCCAGCCCTTCCCCGACGCCCAGCTCTCCGCGAAGGGTACCTCGCCCCAGCCCGTCCCACCGTCGGCACCGCGGCCGTTTCGCTTTAGCCTTACGAGCGATGCGTAGTCATAAAGGCAGAGGCCCCGTAGGAGCTCGCCCCTATGCCGGTAGGCCTCAACGAGGGGGATCCTCGGGCCGGCCTCCTCGACGACGACCGTCTCGTCCGGCGCGTCGCCCGTCGCCTCCGCGCCGCTCGCCCGTCGGAGGTGCCGCCACCGGCGGAAGACGGCCCAGTAGAGCTGGTTCGCGTTTACGTACGCCCACGCCGAGCCGCTGCTAAATTCTGCCGGGTACCCTAGGAGGTGCGCAATCACCTCGACCTGCGACAGCGGCCGCTCCGTAAATACTCGGTTCGCCGCCTTGAGCAGGAATGTTCTCGTCTTGTTCCCCCCTATGGCCTATGGGGTCCGCCGCCGTCGCCACCCCTTCGGCCCCGCTCCCTCGACCGGCGTCGCGGTCGGCGTCGCGGTCGGCGCCACTTCCGTTGCCCTCTCCCGTCGGCTCTAGCGCGGGAAGGAACTCGGCCGCGGCGGCCACACGCTTCCACACGGGGTCCTCTACCTTCGTCGCATAGTTGGTAATGTAGTAGATTAGGGCCATGGTCTTGCGCTGCGTCGCGATGAACGAGATGTCGTGGTTGTGCCGTAGCCTTACTGCCATCGCCCGGTTCCACCGGTTCACCATGCTATGCGTCCGCCGGATCTCGAGCACCCCGTCCGCCGTCAGCGCCGTCCTCTCCACCAGCCTCCACGGCGCCTTGAACCGGCAGAGGTCCCCCTTCCGCGCCCCGCGCCGAGCGAGTATTTTACGCAGGTCGCGCTATGCGTGTGGATCTGCGTCGCGCCGGCGCAGAAGTTGGCCTCCTCGTCGAAGGTGTCCGTGAAGCGCGCGACGTCGTCGAGCCGCGACGATATGTCCGCCGTGGCCGACCGCTCCGCTTGCACGGCGCAGTAACCTTCTGCGTCTAGCTCCTGCCGCCTCGGTTTAGCTCGGGCCCTTCGGCCTGCCTCGGATAGGGGCTTAGGGGTTTGGGGGGGGGCGTCTTAAGGCGGCCGCCTTACCTCGGAGAAGACGCTGTCTACGTAGCGGACGATGCGATCCCGGTACGCCGCCTGCTCATCCGTATCGGGGCCGGCGAGCGCCTCGCCGAGGCCAGCATTGCCCCTTAGCCAGAGGAGCCCGTGGATGTGGAGAGCGCCTCGCTCGTTCGTCTCAACCGCGCCGTAGTACGCGCTGACGTGCCCGAACACCGACTCCTCCTCGACGTTGACGTAGTGCTCGAAGAAGAGCGTCATCTCCCGGTGGAAGAAGACGGCCGAGCTCATCGGGTCCGATATGGCCAGCCGCGTCCGCTTATACGCGGTCCCTAGGTCTCGTAGGAAGGCCTCGGCCTCGTCCGGGTCGCGGCCGCGGTGTGCCGCTAGCCGCAACTTTACCAGGTTTGTAATGTCGTTCGGGTTCAGCGTGAACCAGATGGCCGGCACCCCGTGCCTTATGATGAGGGATAGTATCTTCTTCCGCATACTAAGCCGGCTCTCCCTCGACATCGGCTGCCGGTAACCGAACACGGAGAGGGACCGGAGGAGCTCCTTTACCCCGTCGTGCTAGTCATGCCCGTGGCCTCGAGCTCGACCCTCGCCGCCTCGAGCCTCTGCGCCGTTAACGACTTTAACAGGCCCTCGACCCTTGCGAAGTTCTTCCTCGTGACGCCTAGCATGCTGGCCTGGCGGTTCCTAGACCGTACGCCCATGTTAAAGACGAGGAAGGCGAAGATAGGGTGCGTCGCGAACCGGCCGCCGTGGCGCCGCAGCACGACGTCGGCCCATGCTTGGAGCTTCATGTTCCGCGTCGACATAAGGCCCTCCGCGACCCGCTCCGCCTGCGTGCCCTGGTTCCCGACGCTAGGGCCCGCGCTCTCCCCAGTGGCGTCCTCGTCGGCGAGCCTCGGCCCGCCTAAGCCAAAGGGGAACAGGGTCGGAAAGGCCTTTGCGAAGAAGGAGGCGTCCGCCGAGTCGGCGAAATCCTCGCCGCGCCGCACCTGTATGTACGGCTCGACGTCGCCGCCATCGCCCTCCGCCTCTCGGGCCGCAGTCCCTACCCACGTCCTCGGGCCGGCGCGCGCTCCCTCGGGCCCGACGGCACCGCGGGCGAAGCGAATCTTCTCAGCATCGGCCACCTCTGGCGCCCCGTCCAACGGGAACATGCCGGAAGACGTCACCTCGTTGATTACGTCCCCGTCCTCTTCGGGCCTAGCGCCGTCCCCGTCGTCGTCCTCGCACGTGAGCCCGACGTCACTGCTCCCCTCGGTGGGGTCCCGCCCTTGCCTCAGCATCGTGAGGACCTCCTCGATCTCGACCGCACCCTCGTCGTCCATGGCCCGCTCCGACGGCGGCACCACCTGCGCCGTCCGCGTCCTCTCCCGCGCCGACGGCTCGCTTCGCTCTAGCCGCTCGCACACCACTGGCGGCACCCCGTGCGGCGGCGCCCCCCAGCTGGCCATCTCCGCCGCGTCGATGTCGACCTCGCCGTAGAGCGGATTGTTCTCCTTGAGCCAGGCTAGCGCCCTCTCCACCGCCGACCGCCTTACCGACAGCAGGCCCGATAGGTCGCGCGGCCCGGGCCTCTCGGCACCCTGCCACGAGACGTGGATCTCGTCCATGACCCGGAGCAGCGGGTGCGGCAGCACCTTAGCGGCTAGGCCCTGCACATCGTTTGGGAACACGGTAATGTGGCCCTTGACGTGCCTCGGGTACCTCACGCTCTGCCTCTGACCGCCCGGGATGCTGTACTTCGTCACGAAGCCGTAGCACGAGTTGAGTGAGATGAGCTTCTCCTCGAGCGGCGTGAGGTCCTTCAGCTCGTCGGGGTACGCGTGCTCGCAGCCGAGCCGCCCGTGGAGGTGCATGGCCGGCGACGCCCCCCTCGCGCCCGGCCCATCGCGCGCACTCTACGCAGACCGGCACCGGCCTGCCCTCCGGGAAGCAGCTTCGGCATCCGAACCGGGACCGCCCGCCCCCCGCAACGCTGCTCCGCGACCACCCCTCCCACGCCATCTCCCTCAGCTCCCCCTTGGCTCGCTTCTGGTAGCATAGCGTGCAGGTCGCGATCGGCAGCGTGCCTGCGTCGTGGAACGCCCGGTAGAACCTCCGCACCGTCCTCACCTGCCTCTCGCGCGGCACCGGCGCGCACCACGTCTGCTCGTTGGCCAGCCTCTCGCCCGCCTCGAACTCCTCGTCGAGGTGCCGCAGCGCGCTGGCCAGGTCCTCGGCCTGCAGCTCCCTTCGTCTCGGCATCTTTTCACCCACCCTGGCGCGTTTCCGCCCGGCCTGCCCACTACTAAGATGGCGTTTCCTCTTCTGCTTTTCTCTCGCCTGGCGTCTTATCGCCGCTCTACCTGCGTCCGGTTAGCTATCACCGTCACACGCCTTCACCTCGCTCTACGACCGTACCTGCCAGTGCGCTATCTCTGCCGCTAACAAGCGGCCCGGCTGCGGGGGGAGTTGTGGCGGGGGCCTCGCCCCTGCTAGCCGGCCGAGACTGGATGGCTCGCGGCACGTGCTGGCTTCCGGCCGAGACTACGGCCGGGCTGGTCCCGCTCGACGGCGGCGAAGGCCCGGCGGCCCTCCATGTCGGCTGGGGCCAGGTATCCTGCGGAGCCCCCTTGCTTCCGGCCGAGGCTGCAGCCAAACCTATCCCGTTCGACGGCAGTGAAGGACCGGCGGCCCTCCATGTCGGCTGGGGCCGAATGTCCCGTGGAGCGTCCGAACTTCTCGTCTGCGGCGGCGAGGGCCCGGCGGTCTTCGCCGTCGGCAGAGACCGGATTTCTCTCGGTGCGCGCTGGCCTTTCCCTGAGGCCGAGACGGCGCTGGGCCCGCCCAGCGGCAGCCAGTGCCCCGCCGCCCTCGGTGTAGGCGGCAGCCAAGTTGCCGCCGCACTCGGTGTCGGCTGAGGCTGGATATCCCGCGGCGCGACTCGGGCTTCTGGCGCCGGGCTTGCCCTGTCACCCGCTCCGGACTGGACCCTCCCGTTAGCTGGCTTCATCGCGACACCGGTCTACCGAGGCCCCCGCGGACCTCTTGTCTTCCTCGCTTGCGCTGCCCTCTCCGGCCCCGCCTACTTGCGGTGCTACTGGGCTCCCGGCGTAAATCCTCGTAAGTGTAAGTGTAATAACGGCGTATAAGTCCTTGCCTCGACCATTCATCCTGCACTTGTCTTGCTGACTGGCACCCCTCCTGTGCGTACAGGATCCTCTAGGAAAGTCTATATATCTTATTCGGAAAGCCTTTGGTGTTGGGAAATGGGCAGCAAGGAGGGATAGAACGATTGGCGTAAGCAAGCAGACAAAAGCGGCAGGGTTTGTATCCCCTGAGTGATGTGTGCGTGTGGCGATAGGCACCGTGCGAGCTATCTTGCACGATGGTCGGAATCAGCTATGATGAGCGCCTAAGTGCTACCGGGTGTCACGGGCTGTGCCCGGCTGGTGGACCCGGTTGTACCGGGTCCGGTGGGTCGTGCTCCGGTGGCAACACCGGCCCCGCTCCGCGGACCCAGAAGCTGCGAGAACATTCCGAGAAGGGCAATATAAGCTCGCACTCGAAGCTACGCCTCGAGTTCAGCTTCTTTTCCTCCTTAGCTCTAGATAGACAACACCTAGGCACCTGCTTGTTGAATAAACTCCGGGCCAGCCTTTCACATATCTAGAGCTCCTTCTAAATACCGCAAGCTGCAGACTGCTCGTCAGGATGGACCAGCAGAGTGAGAGCCCAAGTCTCCAGCAGCAATGGATTGACCAACGCATTCAAGAAGCGGTCAATGCGACTCTCAGCCCTCTACAGGACCAACTTTCCTTGCTGATGGAGCAACTCGGGCGAGCGCAGCCGCAGAGCGCCGACTTGCAATCGCCGCCAGTGGCACGAGGAATGGGCGAGAGCACGCCTGGCTTGGGCACGCCCCTCCCCAAAACCTGCGGTACTGGAATGCGGAAACCGTTGCCCAACCCACCCAAGTATGACGGCTCACGGAAGAGCTACTCCGCCTGGGCCAGGCAGATGCGAGACAAGCTGGACCTTGATGCACACTACTACAGTGGAAATCGCGAACTTTGGTACCTCATCAACTCATGTTTGGACGAGCGACCACAGCAAGTGGTCGCTACCTTTTACGCCGCGGGAGGCCCTGGGGTAGCTACGACCCCAAGAGTTCATGCGATACCTCGACCGAACCTACCAGGACAGCAACATCCAATCCCGCGCTGCTGCCACGCTGAGAACTATGCGGCAGCGCGAAGACCAACCTCTCGCGTCCTTCCTTCCCGATTCGAACAGGCATTAGCTGAAGCCGGGGGAGCAGACTGGCCGGACAGTGCAAAGATCGTATTTCTAGAGAACGCAATAAATGCACGGCTCCAAGAGAGTTTGGTCACAGCCGTCCTACCCGACGACTACCAGGGATGGCTTGCGAGAGTTCAGGAAATTGCGGGCAGATTGGAGAGACTGAAACCCGGTAGGCAGCCGACGTCGACTGAGCGGACGCCTCAACAGCTACCAAGGCAACGACCCAAGGAGGAACCGGAGGACCCCGACGGAGATGTTAAGATGACGGACATCAACCGTATTGGCCACGAGTCGAAGGGTCGTCGACATGTCGATAAGAAGCCGAAGGATGAGCGCCGCTGCTATCGCTGTGGTCGGACGGATCATCTTATCGTGGACTGCCCAGCCCAGGTGGTCTTTCCTGGCGAAGGGAAGCAACAGCGACCTAAAGCTGCGCGCATGAAGAAGCCCGATGCCGCAGATGATTCGGAATCAACCGCAGCATCCAGTGAGGACGAGTCGGCGGGAAAGACTAGCCCCGGGCGAAAGCGGGCGCCGGGGCCTGCAAAGGCAGACATCCGGGACTGGGAAGCGTTCAAGCCACGAATGAATAGTCGGACTGTATTAGTCAACGCGCGGGTAAACCGAGGCTATCGAATACGCGCCCTTGTCGACTGTGGATGTGACTGCTATGCCGTGATCGACGAAGCCCTTGTTCGGAAGCTGCGGATACCCTTCGTCGACTCGAAACCACGAGAAATTGGGGATTCTCAGAGTCAGCGAAGAGTGTCATATCCCCAGGGTCGTGGCTGTTGTGGTCGAGACAGCTGGATTTGACGAACGTGTCTTTGCATACGTGATCCCAAGCCTGGGCCAGGACATGTTCCTCGGCCGGCCTTGGATGGAGAGAAATCACGTCGTGTACGATGCTGCCAAGCAGCGAATGTACCATGGGAGGGCAGGTGTGACGATACGCCTCATTGGGCAGGAAGAGCCCGCCAAGATACGCGCGATTCGAAGCGCAAGACTCGTGTCGGCAGCCGTATTCACGGCGGAGTGTCGACGCTCAAAGAGACGCAAGAAGTGCAACGCGATCTCGATTCATGCAATCAGTTTGTCGGATATAGAGAGGGCGCTTCAGCCGAAGCCGCCAGTCGATCCGAGCGAGAAGGTCCCGGCAGAAGTGCTGAAAGAATTCCGCGACCTATTCTCACCAGAAGAGGCAATGAAGCTGCCGCCACATCGACCGGGTGTGGATCATGAAGTCAACCTGCAGCCTGACAAGAACGGCAACGAGCCACCCCTTCCGTGGGGCCCACTACAACATGTCACGAGAAGAGCTGTTGGTCTTGCGAAAGACCCTGAAAGACCTGCTGGACAGAGGATTCATCCGAGCGAGTAGCTCAGCGGCTGCCGCGCCGGTGCTGTTCGTGCGGAAGCCGAATGGAGGGCTGCGATTTTGTTGCGACTACCGAGCGCTGAATGCAATCACCAAGCGCGACCGATACCCACTGCCCTCATCGCGGAGACCCTGCAGAATCTGGCCAAGGCTAAGTGGTTCACCAAGTTGGACGTGGTGGCCGCTTTCCATAAGATCCGCATGGCTCCGGGACATGAGGAAAGACTGCATTTCGCACGAGGTTTGGGCTCTACGAGTGGCTCGTGTGCCCTTTCGGCCTGAGCGGCGCCCCGGCATCCTTCCAACGATACATGAACAGTGTATTGCGCGAATGGCTGGACGACTTTGTCACAGCGTACCTGGATGATGTACTGATCTACTCGAGCGGTTCGAAGGCGGATCATGAGGCTAAGGTGCGACGAGTTCTCCAAGCACTCGCCGACGCTGGGCTGCACCTAGACCCAGCGAAGTGCGAGTTTTCGGTACAAGAGGTCAAATACCTTGGGTTCATCGTCAACGCAGGAAAGGAATCGCCTGCGACCCCGAAAAGCAGCGCGCCATCCGCGAATGGGAGGCCCCGACCACGGTGAAGGGTGTCAGAAGCTTTCTGGGCTTCGCCAACTATTACCGGATCTTCATCCCCGACTATGCCAAGATCACGCAGTCTCTGGATGCCCTGCTTAAGAAAGGAACTGCCTTTCATTGGGGACGAGCGGAGAACGAGGCGTTTCAGGAGCTGAAGCGACGATTTTGCGAGTCACCGGTGCTCAAGCAGTGGGACCCGAGCCTCCCGACCTTTTTGGAGACGGATTGCTCAGGCTACGCATTGGGAGGCGTCCTGTCGCAGGAAGGCCCAGACGGACGTCGACACTCATGCGCCTTCTTCTCGAAGCGACTTTCGCCAGCGGAGTACAACTATCCCATTCACGACAAGGAGATGCTTGCCATCATGAGATGTCTCGACAACTGGAACGCCGAACTTAGGAGCTGCGGCCCATTTACAATCCTTACCGATCACCGCAACCTGGAGTATTTCATGACACGCCAGAAGCTCACGGAACGGCAGAGCCGTTGGGCAGCCGAATTGTCCCAGTTCGACTTCAAGCTCGAGTATCGACCGGGAAGCGAGGCTGTCGTGCCTGATGCGTTGTCCCGCCGTGAACAAGACAAGCCACAGGGCATTGACGACGAGCGGGAACAAGGAAGAATGATACAGTTGATACCGGATAGTGCCATTCCATCATCGACAAGAGCATGTATCAACGCGATGAGTTCTGACTGTTCAGAGGCATCCACCCTGCCGAAGATGAAGGTCTTCGAGGTAGCGGACCTGCAGCAACTCTGGGACGAAACGGTGGCGAAGGACTCGATATTCCGGGCAGCCTATAAGGCAGTCCGCGATCGCGAGCGTGCCTTCCCGCCCTCGCTGGGCCTGAAGATCCAGATTTCAGAATGTGCGATCGACGCAGGCAAAAGGCTGACATTCAGAGACCGTATTTGGGTGCCGGGTGGATCCGGAGAGGAGGGTAACCAGGAGGAAGCTGAGAAAGACCAGTTGAGAACCCGCATTGTGCAGCAGTCGCATGACTCTGTTGCGACCGGTCATCCCGGCAGGGAAGGTACGCTGGCTATTGTGGCTCGGCGATTCTACTGGCCTGGGCAGTCCCAGCTGGTTCGCCGGTACGTAGCCAATTGCGACACCTGCGGCAGAGCACATCTGGCGCCAGTCGAAAGGGATTTCTCAAGCCTCTGCCGATTCCAGATCGACCCCGAAGCCATTTGTCCATGGACTTCATCACAGATCTGCCGCCTACTGGACCGAGCAAGGCAAGGTACCTGTGGGTGATTGTGGACAGACTGACAAAGGCTGTGACCCTCGAGGTGATGGACAACATGGAAGCTGAGCCGTGTGCAAACCGTTTTCTCCAGTGTCATTACCGATTTCACGGAATGCCACGGTCCATCGTCAGCGACCGCGGGAGCAACTGGCTAAGTAGGTTCTGGAAGAGGTTCTGCCGTCTTGCAGGTGTCACGCAGAAATTGAGCACGGCCTATCATCCTCAGACGGACGGAGGGCCAGAGAGAATGAACCAGGAGATCGAGGCCTACCTGAGAGCCTACGTGTCGTACGTGCAGGATGACTGGGGAGAACTGCTCCCTGCCGCGCAGCTGGCACTCAACAATCGTGAATCCGCAGCGACCAAGATCAGCCCCTTTTCGCTGAGCATGGTTACCACGTCGATCCCATCAGCGTCGAGGAATCGGAAGAGCCACCGAGGCATAGAGAGGAAAGCAGAGCTGATAGCCTACTCAGTCGCCTGCAGGAGGTCAATGAGTACATGCAAGCAGTAATGGCCTCCTCACAGCAACAACAAGAAGAGGCTGCCAACGCAAAGCGACAGCCTGCGGAGCGATTTGAAGTTGGTGACAAGGTGTGGCTCTCGATGGCAAACTACAGATCGCCACGACCGTGCAAGAAGCTCGACTGGCTGCATCACAAGTACACAGTCACGAAGGTAATTAGTTCGCACGTTGTTGAGCTCGATGTTCGTGGCTCAATTTACCCGCGATTTCATGTTGACCTTTGCGGCGGGCGCATCAAGATCCGGCTCCTGCCAAAAGGTAGATGACGCACAGCCACCACCGGTACAAGATGAGTCCGGCACGGATCTGTGGGATGTCGACGAGATTCTCTGCGCGAGATGGAAGAAGCGCGGACGAGGGGAATTCAGGCAAGCACTAGTGCGATGGACGGGCTACGCAGAGCCGACTTGGGAGCCAGTTGAGTGGTTGCAAGGAACAATTGCGATGAAGGCATTCGAGGACAAGTACGGGCCAATCAAGACCAATGATGGCCCTAGGGAGAGGTACGAGACGCTGGCAGGAACGCAAGAACCCCGCAGACGCCGACCTGGTCGGAGGGGACAAGGGGTAATGTCACGGGCTGTGCCCGGCTGGTGGACCCGGTTGTACCGGGTCCGGTGGGTCGTGCCCGGTGGCAACACCGGCCGCTCCGCGGACCCAGAAGCTGCGAGAACATTCCGAGAAGGGCAATATAAGCTCGCACTCGAAGCTACGCCTCGAGTTCAGCTTCTTTTCCTCCTTAGCTCTAGATAGACAACACCTAGGCACCTGCTTGTTGAATAAACTCCGGGCCAGCCTTTCACACCGGGCTCATAACTGTCAGACATTTGGCTCCACACGGGTCAGAGATGGCATCAGGCAATTGATGAGAATTATCTAAAGAACAAGAAGTGAACGAACGAACGCACGGAGTTGTGCAGCTCTTTATACGCAAATGAAAGGTCCGTCGCGTGATTACGCAGTAGTGGTTGCCTAGCAGGCAACAGCGGCGTTGCGAGTAACATCGCCACTTCATGAATAATCATCCTAGGCAGGCTTGATATGCGACAGGGACGCTACCTTGGACTATGACGGCAATGATATCGACATATCTAAACACGCACTTTCGATGGTGGGGAAGGGACGACGCTCCGATTAATGTCGTCTCTTGGACAAGCTCTTGGCTTTTTGCACTTCAGTACATCTTTTATCTACACAGGAGCACCAAAGATTCGTCCAGCTTTGACGACATTATGGTTTGCGTCATAGACACGACCAAGTTTCCAAGAGGATGTTTTGTCAGAGACATGGACCTTATTGACGCATATGGACAATATGATCCCAGTCACCGAGGTCTCCAAGACCTCGGCCGTCTCCGTTCTCGATTGTACTACTTCGGCGAGTACGTATCACAAGGGGCGTTGAAAGTGGAAGGGAAATGCGCAATTGTATCAGCCAGATCAATCTTGGATAGCGGCCTTTACACCGTGCAACCCGAATTCCGAGCATACGAAGGGTCGCCGGCCGCACCCACTCCTCCATGGGCCAATGAGGTGATACGCCTGAGGAACACTTTCAGAAACGCACGCCCCGAACAGCTTCTTGCATCACCCTCAGAAATCGATGCAGCTGTTGCCATCGGAGACCTATTTGGATCTGATTTCAGAGTATCAGTAACTGCGGGGGTACTTGGAATCCTCCCGCGCCGGGATGGAGATGTACTCATACGCCAAGCATTTCGAGCAGAAAAGTTTACTAGAACAAAAATTGCGCGAGAACGAGGAGAGGAACGCGATGCTCCAGCAACAGATTGTCACATATCACCGATATATACAGGAACAAGATAACGGACTGGCCCAGGTCATTGCAACCATATGCTCGGCTTTTGAGAATTATCGAGAGGCAGTAGTGAAAGCGACTCGTGACGCTGCTTCCGGGGAGGATCAGCTTAAGGCCCTTAGTGTGAGAATGGATGACGAGACTGACGAAATGCACGGTGCGTGTTTAACTTAAAGAAGCTTTATTTTAAATATAAGGTCACCGAGATAAATACCGACTTGAAATTTATTGGTTATAAAGGAGCCCATTCACGCTACGTCGTTGTCATTCCTTTCAAACACACATCATTTTGCTTAAGCCTTGAAAAATGACGTTCATCAAGCTATCAGCAGCGCTCGCTTGTGCTTACGCTGCCACAAAATTGTAAGTTGTAATACTACCTTTACTTAACAACGCCGTAAGGCGACTGCTAACATTAACCTCTTTAACTAGTTTATCTCTTAGGAAATACTAATCGTTATAAGAAGGAAATAAAGGCAGATGTAAGTTTAAGATGTAACTAATAAGATATAAGCCGAAAGTAGAGATAGGCATATAAGGATCCCTAGCTAATAACAGTTAAGGGCCGAAGAAGGGTAAAGGCAGGCACGAATTAAAGGGGGCGATTTATAGCTAGCAAATTTCTAGGTGGGTCCTTGCAAGGCAAGAAGTCCTTTCATTCCTCGAGGCACAGTAACTGTCAGACGCCAAAATGAACATACGGGACCCACGGAGGAGCCTTTAATACCCCGTCGTCGTCCATGGTTATGTCTCGCTTCCTGAGAGCCTCTGCAGCACTCTGCTCACGCCGCCATCTCTCGCGCAGGGCCCGAGTGGCATGGTGCAGGCCCAGGCTCACAGCCCCGTCGTTGATTCCGTTGACGCCCAGGGACTCGTATATCATGGTGGCCATGTCGACGCAGACCTGGTCGTCGACGTCCCAGAGGGTGCCGACGACGTGTCGGAAGCCAGCCAGCTGGAACATGCCCGCCAGATGAACGCTCTCGTCGGCCGAATCATGCTCGCTGTTTTTTCCCGTGCCGCAAGCCGAGAGGTAGGCGAGGAATGGCAGGCTTGAGCTGAAATCTGTCTCGATGAGTCGTTCCACCGTCAAGGGGCGGGTTTTCCAATCCTGCAGACACAAGCGACTCTGGAGTGGATCCTTTGCAGCCCAGCCATGGCCGGCAAAGTGAAAGATGCCGCAGGTCTGCAGTGCCGAGGATACCTCATCTCGAAGTGGCTCTGGCGAGAGGACGGATAGGCTTAGAGGGGGTGCAGTACATACTTGCCGCACGGCGTTGATCTCGTCGTCGGTGTGGATCAGAGGGCCCATATCAGGCGTCTCCTGCATTGAGACGGCAACGACATAGCCTTTCATGTTAGCGGCGGGCAGCCAGGTTTGCTGACGGTACAGGCTGTTAATTATGGAAAATAAAGAAGTGCTGTAAGACGACACGACCCTGTCGAGAGCGGTCCTGTTCCCGGCCTCTAGATGATAGCCGGCCGCATGCAGAGGGAACATGGTCAAGGGACCGGTAGGAATCCACCAGACGTGCGGCCAAGGTCCGGCTAACGGGGTACCGGTATAGCCCAAGGCGTCGAGGACTGGTTCGACAATGTCGTCCCAGAGCCATTCTAGCGTTGTCATGGACTGAATGTCGTTGATCCGAGCCCAGATGGATCCAAGACTTAGGTTAAGTAACGGCAGATCTTTTACAGCAGATGGTTGGATTATGAGGGCATCGCATCTGTGGACGCTCACGTTGAGCATCACAACGGGTCCCCGAGCAGCCACTTGGTATACGCCATCGATCTTCATGCCCTGAAAGAGGACATCAGTATCATCCTTTTTGCGAATCTCATCGAGGAGTTGGGTCAGGTAGCGGATATCAAGGTGTCGCTGGTCCATCAGAGACGATACGGAATGAGCATCGACTTGATCATGTTGCGAAACGGGCTCGGCGAGGCGGCGCGAGACGGACTCCCATTTGGCGGCGAGTTCCGGATGCTTGTCCCGCAACGATGTGATATCACCCCTCATGTTACGAATAAAACTGGCGATTCTCCCACGACCTTGCTCGAGGAAGCCAACGGCTAACAAGGGACCTCTTCCAAAGTGCAGAGCGATGGCGGTAGCGTCAGCAGCGATTCCCGAGGTCTGTGAAGCCCAATACTTCTTGTCGGACGTTGAGGTCAAAATGAAGTTTGTCGAGACGAGATCTATGGCCGTTGCTGCGTCTCTGAGCGACTGGGGACCGCGTTCGAGGGCATCCGGCCTGGAGAGGAGCTCACGGGCAGCTCTGACACGATCATGGATTCCGCCGGAGCATCGGAGAGCCAGATGGAAGCACTCGGTCGATCGGTCGCGGTCCTTGATGGCATGAGTCAGACGGAAGCGTTTGTCGAAATGCTGTCCGAGATGGCGGTAAGCCTCCGGTTGCTCACCACCATCGTCGGGGATGGCTGCGATGACTTCCATGGTTAGGCTTATTGCTTCTTCGAGGGCTTCGACCGCCTTGGTCCGCTCGTAGTAGGTGGCCAGAAGCTGCTCCAGATAGATCACGGCTGTCCATCGGAGGTGGCTGTCCGGGTCAGCTATCGCCACGGCCCTCCTGCCAAGGGCGACGGCTTCTTCCAGGTCTTGTACTGCTCCCAGGCGGCAATATCGAAGACGAAGGACTTCTCCCAGACTGCGCAATATCGTCGTTTCCTCCCCCTCGTCCCGAAGAGCCTCGACGACGCATTGTCTCAGAATATTAATGGCTTCTTCCAGGTCCATCAGCATATCAGTGAGCTCATAAAGACCGGTCAGAAGGTTTCCTTCCATGCCCAACATTCTCCATCGGAACGAGTACAGGGGGTGACCGGCTGGAGTAGCGTCGATGGCCTGTCTGACTAGCTTGATGGCCTGCTGAAGGTCCTCCATCGCACTAGTTTCGCCATAACGCGTCGCCAAGGTGCCTGCTAAGACGTATAACCATGCCGGTCGATGCTGATGATGGAGTGGCATCGCGTTTATAGCCAGTCTAACCTTATAGATGAGTTCCTCTTTCCCGGCAACTGTTCCTGCCGAGACAGCCTCTGCCAGTTGGTTAACCGACAATTCTGCATTTTCGAACGTAGCTCGTCCGAGGTCCCGTCTAGTAGCAGAATGTCTGCTGCTTCGTCGCAGCATTATCTCATCGCAACAGTCGGACTTTTGCCAGTCACTGTGATGCTTGATCTGGACCTCCATCATGACCACCGAGTTCTTCCAGCCTTTGTATCGCGCCAGGGGAAAGATTCCTATCTCTTGAGCCGGAGGGCACGCCAGGGACTCCAGGAATCCATCCAGCAGGCTTTCATCGTCGACGTCTTCTCCCGCTCCAGGGGCTCCTATTCTCCACTCGTTGGTGTGGCACGCAAGCGAGTCCGAGGCCCGTACGTTGGTCTGGAAGTCGAATAGATGCTCGTCGAGGACTTTGCCGTCTTCAGACACTACACCCAAGGCGAACCAGGTCCAAGAATTCTCATAGGGGTCGCCGACATTGTTTGGTCCACTGCACCATCCTACAAGATGCAGTCAGTGAGTGGTCTTTCCTCGGGGTGCTTTCGGACTCGCCCTGATCATGAGACCATATCTTGATCACCAAGTGCTCGAAATCGCCGGGCGTCGTCTGAAAGGTCATGTAGGGGCGGCGTGGAGTGTCCTCGTCGAACTCTTCGGGCGATATTTTCCAGAAGACGCCGGGCTCGTCAAGTTCGGCGTCTGTGATGGGCTCGTTGAGCTCGGTCTTTGCCATGAGCTCGGCCAGCGATGAGGCATCAAAGATTGCATCCATATCTCTGTTGTAATGCTAGACAGTGGTTTGTTTCTAATCAAGATCTTGCGTGTGTGTGTGTGCTTAAGATCTCATACGTAGGAAAATAATATACTACTCCTCTTCTGCTACATTCTCTTCCATCGAGGGGAGGGGAGGGGGCGCAGTCGGGGGCTAAGTTGCTGCCTAGTGCTTACGGTAGCTTAGGGGCTGAGAGGCTGAGATGCCCCGCACAGGAGACCGGCCCCTTGCAGGGTCCGCCAATGCCTTGAGGAACGGGACTGAATTTGGTTCCACACTGGCAGGTCTGCTGAGACGATGAGGCTTGCTCCCGGTAGTGTGGCTGCTTGGACGCCATTTTACCCCGCCACAACAAGGTGGGTTGAGGGCGGGCGGGGTAAGAACGCGGAGGTAACTTGTAAGGGGCCATCATCTCGAAGGGCAAAGGAGTCTGAACTGTTCGCGAATCATGCAGTAAAGTGTAACAGTTTGTTAAGAATCGACTCAATGCCTCCGATTGATTACTCAAAGTGGGACAACATCGACACCGATTCGGAGCCAGAGGCATCGCCCCAGCAAGCGCCAGCAGCAAAACCCACCCCGCCGCCCACGCATGCCTCCCCGCCGATGGGTACATCAGGTTTGAGGGAAACGCACAGCAAGTCGGGGCATGTCGAAGCTGTCATTGTCCGATGTGAGGCCGAGAAACGCAAGTTTCCCCTTTGGTCTGCCACTACAATCCCTGCGAATCATGTCGTGTTTTCGCAGTCGGTGCCCTCCGTCCCAGGGCTCATCGAGGTCCCGCTGGTCCTGGATCGGACGGGGACTCAGTCCGTCAACGAGGCAGACCTCGACAACCAGATTGCTACGTACCTCAATATTGATGCCAACTCCGGGTTTGCACCTCCAGACTGGCAGTCACAAGTTGGCACCGTCGTGGTCGCGCGCAAGGACAGGAAGCCATTTTATCCGCAGCATCTCGAAGGAGTGTGGATGTTCTGCGACCATATCCTGGACCTGTTCGGGGAAGGAAACGGGCCGCCGAGGTGGCTTTACAGCCGCCAGGCGTTCGAGGAATGGTGGGTAAATTATTGTGAGGAGCAAAAGCGCTTACGTCCTGGGAAGGGAGGGGAGCGAGATCCGGACGACTGGCGTGCGGTCCGGTCACCTTATGAAGTGTAGGACGTCTACGTGCCGCGTTACGACGTGCGAAAGGTCAAACTATAAGGATGGTTAGTATACTAGCACTACTTTTCGAAACCTTGGTCCTTGTATAACCGTCTCGTTTCCGCGGCCAAGTTCTTGAGTCTCTGCATTCCATCAAGAATGGCCTGATCGAGCCCATTGCCAATGAAGTCATGGTGTCTCACGGGATTAAGAAGCTTGATGCCCCGAAGCGAGGTGCACCTGGATAGTTGCACATAGAGGCTCGTAAAATCGCACTTGGAGGGTTCACCATTGGTCACACGATTTCCACGCAGCTCCAACAGTACTTCGACGAATGTTTTACCCTGGGCTTTGTAATCAGTGAGAACGAACGCTGGTACAGCGGGCAGTCCACGTCGCGTGCATCTTGCGGATAAGAACTTGAAGTGAGAGTTAGTCGAATCAAGTGTATGCGACATGGGCCGGATAAGTACTGTCCCCACCGGGAGGGACGGTATCGCCAAGGTCTTCGTCTCCTCGGACTGCAGAAGAATGCCGAGCGGTGGCCCGAAGTGGATGGTCACGTCATCTGCCAAGCAGTATCCCGGGTGATTGGGATCGATTATCACGTCCACGGCAGTAAAGTCAGCCCCATTCACCACCTTCAGGCCAGTGTAGATGTTCTTGTTCACAACCACGGGCATGCCCTGGGCGTAGAAGAAGACGCCGGGGACTTTGCAGGCAGAGTCGTCGCCTTGTCCGATGGTTCGCGCTATGAGGTTTGGAGACAGCGTGCCGTTGCGCCAGGTGTGAGTCGAGACAAAGATACGGATGTGCCGCTTGTTGAAGCGCGCCCAGCCCACAACAGCTTCCATGTTGAGGGCCCACCGGGTGCGGTTCAGCGGCGTTATAGCACGCAAACCATCGTGAAAGGTGATTTGCGAGCGTCCTACAATGTTGGCATTGAGCAAGCTCAGATCTTCATGGGTCTGGCGCCCGTTACGAACTCGATCCAGGAGTGCACGGAGCTGGGGATCGTTGCGTGCGCGGACTTGGTCTTCGAGGAGCACCACGGTTTTGAACAGATGCCACAATCTGCAGCCGCTGTGGTGAGATATGGTCGCTTGTCGCGGGGTCTCTGTTCGGTCCGGCGGTCTGATGATCAGTAGGCTTGTCCCGCACGGGGCGAACTGGTAGAAGTCTCCCATCAGTAGAACGACGGGCATGCCGCCAAACGGTTCGTCCGGACAGTCACGGAGTGCCTGCAGGTAATGACTGACGTTGTGCAGAGTGGCTCCTCCCAGCATACTGACCTCGTCAATCACGAGTACCAGCTTCTGTTTCCAGATCCACTTCTTCGCCTCCGAGAAGGGGGGAGGCGGTTTGTTTGGATCGCGATGGGAATCTAACCCACAGGCCGAGTGGATCGTCGTGCCGCCAATCTGGGCCGCCGAACTGCCCGACGTGCCGGTTATCTGCAGAAGATGCGGCTGGTTCCTCGCCGCGAACACGTCCTTCAGGGCATCGATAATCATCGACTTTCCGTGCCACCCGGCCCGCCGGTGTATTGAAGATGCTGACCCGCTGAGTCCGGATTAGCAGTATACTTGTCCAGAAACAGGCAAACGAGTTGAAGGGCCATGGTCTGTAGATAGTTCAGTGTAAAGCTGGCCGCGGCGGTGTGTCCCATCTCCGCGAAGCTAGTTGCCGGACTGACGTCGACAAGCATCCGAGGGCCTCGTTCATTGAGGTCGCTGCCCGGGAGCGCAGCAGGGGACTCCGTATCGCCGTAGCGAGCTAGCGTATCGTCGATGTCGGCGCCATCCGCGGAAAGCATGGTCCCCTGGGAACCACCCTCAATGTCGTCTAGCATCCGAAGATGCAATAGTTGTTGGGCCTTGGCCGCTGCCTGGACATCGTCTCGAGATATGGGGAGTTGACACAAGGCGTCACCTTGATCATGGGGCATATTCCGGTACAGATCCTCTTGACGTTGGACAAAAGGTTGCTCTTCTCCAGCCGGGTTCTCTTCGCACAGATCGTGTATTAAACCTCCAAGGACGGCTGAGTCTTTTGTGGCGTCCGTGTCCTGCACGGCATTTCGCAAAATCTGGAGTAGAGCTCTGTAGGCCTGACGATGAGCCATCGCTGGAGGCTCTTCTTCGTATCGGCCATCGTCAAGCGGGTACTCAACGTCAATTGTGTCGTCGCCCTCCGACCGACTGGCCCAGAGCTTCGCGTCCTTACGCGCGTCTTCGGCAGACTTTCTCAAAAGACAAATGTTAGAGACGTAGAAACGGAGGCGGGGACAAAGGCCCGCTCGATGCGTCGTCCATATGTCGGTTATATCACCTAGGCTCTCAGAAGTGAAGTTTTCCCAAGGGACGAATAACGCCAAATGTAGGACAGAGTTTCTACACAGAGTGTCAGACGGAGCCAAAACGGTGCCGGGGGTTAGAGCGTACCGCTTAATATAGACTGGGTGATCGTCCTCGTGGTCGTCGCTGATGTATCCTTGGAAGATCGGGACGGCGTACTGGTCGGGCCGTCGAAGCTTTGCATCCAGCCTTCACAGTCTGAATCCTGGCCATCGAGAAAATGTGAGAGTCATCTTCACTCCGACCATTTCGACGCACCAAGTGAATCATTGACATGTAGTCATACAGGCATAAGTCTTGTAGAACATGACCGCGGTAGGCGTACGCCTCCAGGCATAATAGGGTTCGCCCTCCTTGCCTCAGAGGGATTGTCTCTGGGGGCTGTTCGGCGTCCGTGAGCTCGCCGGCCTGATGGCGGAGATGCGCCCATAGCCGAAAGATTGTCCAGTATAGGGCCGTCAAGTTCAAGAAGGACCAATGCGGCACGTTGGTAAAGTCGGTGTCATATCCAAGGAGGTGGTAACAAACCTCGACAGCCGAGAGTTGTCGCTCGGAGAAGATGCGATTTGCCGTTCTCATCAGGAATTGACGGCTTTCGTTCAATACCGCCTGCTGCCTGCCGTCGGGCAGGGCGGGACCTGGCGCGCGAGACGTCGGACGACCGGCCTCGCGAAGTTGGCGGGCAACCTCGGTGGCGAGAGCAATGCGCTTCCACATCGGCGTATCCAGTTTGGTGGCGTAGTTCGTGATGTAGTACACCATGGCCAGGCCCTTGGTCTTGGTCAAGATCATCGAGACGTCGTGATTGTGGCGAAGGCCGACCGCCAACGACTTGTTGTACCGGTTGACGAGTGGATGGTTGCGCTGAATCTGAAGCAAGCCATCCTCTGTGAACCCTGTCTCCTCGACGATTTTCCACGGTGCCTTGAAGCGGCAGGCTGTCCGTCTCTGTTGATCTGCCCCCCGGTCGATGACCCCCTTCAGAGAATACTTGAGGCAGGTGTATGTGTGGGAGTGCACTTGGCAACAGTATGCGATGAAATTGGATTCGTCTTCAAAGGCCGCAGTGAGAGCCGAGGTGCTAGTCATGACCTCCTCCACGGGATCGATGGGCTTCCTCTGCTGTCGCACGGCTTTTCCGGCATCTTCATCTAGACACTCATGAAAGACGGAGTCTGCGTATCGGATCACCTGGGCACGATATGATTCTTCCGCGGGATTGGCCATGTCGTCTATCAGGTTCGGTAACCGCATGTTGCCGTCCAGCCAGAGGAGTCCATGCAAGTGGAGGCTGCCTCGCTCGTTCGTTTCCACGGTGGCGTAGTAGTGGCTGATCTTCCCGAAGATCGATTCCCGGCCTGTATTCACATACTTTTCAAAGAATAGGGATATTTCTCGGTGGAAGAAGATGGCCGAGCTGACCGGATCCATGGTGCTCAGGGCGATCCTGTCGTATTTTCACGGAGATCGGCCAAAAGCTCCTTCGCAGACTCATAATCGTGGAGCCTATGAATGGCAAGCTTCATCTTTACCGGGTTATTGATGTCGTTGGGACTGATGGTAATCCAGATTGCAGGCATACCGGCGCGGATGTCCAGAGCTTGTATCTTCCTCCGCATAAGCAAACGGGATTCGTTCGAGAGCGGCTGTGCATGGCCAAAGATCGACAGCTCGCGAAGCAAGAGCGATATGTCGGGGTCCGACGTAGTCCTCGTCTCCCGCATCTCCGCCTCGGCCCTCTTCAGTCGGTCCTCGGTCAAGTTCGCATAGGCCTGCTCAAGTCTGTGGAAGGAATCTTTAGCGACACGGACCATGCTGATGCGGCGGTTGGAGGAGCGAAGGAGGTGTTGAATACTAAGAAACAAAAGACAGGATGGGTGGCGAATCGGCCACCATGCCGTTGCAATACGTATCTGGCCCAGTATTGAAGAGAGTGATTCGGACGACGGTCGGCAGCGTCGCTTTGTCGGCCATGACTCGAGTCGCCCTTCGATTTCGGGCCGCCCCTTCCCACGGGAAAAGCTTCGGAAATGTTCGAGGGAAGAAATCTTCGTGCAGGTTGTCTGCAAAATCCGCACCACGCTCTACTCGGACAAACGGCTGGTCTCCTGTAGTTCGGACCTGCATAACGCATGGCACAGAGGTACCCTGTTGGTCCGGATTGGCGTTGACGATGTCGGCCAGAAACGACAGTTTATCGGTCTCGGCGAAGGCAGCCGGACCATCGAGAGGAAACATGCCGGACGTAGACGTCTCGTAGACAGGATCAACTTCCTGGCCGATGGCGGCCGAGTCGGGGACAAGAGTCGCCGGCTCACCAGGGGAAGGTTGAGTCTGCTCAGTCGACAGAGCACAGTCCAAATCGCAAGATTCAGCGATGAAGATAGGATCGATGGAGTTTACGAGTTCATCGATGCTTGTAAAGCTGTTTTCCGCCAAGCCTCGATCAGTGTTCGGGACTATATGGTCCGTTTGTGTCCTCTCAACGGTCGACGGTTCCTCTCTTTGCATGCGGTCCATGATGACGGTCGGAACACTGAACCCATCGGCATACTGCCAGCCGTCCATCTCTGCTTGGTTGATTGAGATATTCTCGTAAAGCGGGTTGTTCCTCTGGAGCCATGCCAGGGCGGCTGCCACTCGAGATTTGCGCACCCGAAGCAGGTGTCCGACGTCTGCGGAGCCAGGCTTAGCCGAGCCGCTCCAAGAGACGTGGATATTCTCAATGGCTTGCAGCAAGGGATGGGGAAGAACGGTGGCAACAAGATCGTCCACCTTGTTCGGAAAGACGACAATATGTCCTTTCACGTGCTTGCGGTAGCTGATTCCCGAACGGGTCTTGTTGTCCACTGTGAACTTGGTGATATAGCCAAAAGGCGCATGTAGGGCAATGAGTCTCTCTTCGACGGGAGAGGTCATCAAGCTCGTCGGGGTACCGATGCTCACAACCGATGGCCATGTTGTTGACAGAGCAGGCCTTGGGCAGCCGTCCACTGTCGAAGCTGACGCGACACTCGCGGCACACGTCAGCTCCGGCGCCCTGGTGTGACGGAAGGCACGCACCACACTCTTGGATGGTCCTGGTCGCCCACATCATGGAGGGCGACAAGCGATCCCTCCACTGCATGGTGGCGAGTTCGCAAGGCGGTGTCTTCCTGTAGCAGAAGACGCAGTGGGACACCGGCAACGTCCGTTCCTCGGTAAACGCTTGGTAGAAAGATTTAGCAGCTTCTACCTGGAGGGCAACTGGAACTTCGTTGCACCAGGATCTTGTCGATGATGCCTGCTCTTTAGAGCGGAAACAGGCGTCATAGTGATGTAGCGTAGACTTGACGGAGTCTCGTTGGAGCTGAACGGTTTCTCGCGTAGGCCCGGGCCTCGTGGGAAGCGCCCGCCCGTGTGAGCGATGAAGGGCGAAGCGGTTGTTCCGCACTGGATCGACTCGGTGATGGAGAGGCCGGCGTCTGCGTGTGTCTTTTGGAGGAGCGCCTTGGCTGCGTGGGGGGTGGAGTGGGAGGTGTCTCCTCTTCTCTGAGTCGTTTCGGTGATGGAGCGGCCGGCGGCTGCGTGTGTCTTTTGAAGGAGCGCCTTAGCTGCGTGGGAGGTGGAGGGGGGGGTGATTGCCCCTCTCTAGGTCGTCTCGGTGATGCAGTCGCTGGCAGCTGCGTGTGACTTGTACGGGAGTGTTTTGGCTGCGTTGGGGGTGGAGAGGAGGGCGCTTGCTCTTCTCGGGGTCGTCTCGGGGATGGGTTGTTCGGCTGTTGCGTGTGTGCGGTATATTGGAATTGAGCTTTCACGGCGGCGGGTTCGTTCTTCGGCGCGCTGGCGGTCCATATCGTGCAAGACGCGGAGGATCTCGTCGTGGGGAACCCTAATAAGCGGTGAAGGTCGTTGACAGGAACGGCGCTGCTGGGATCTCTGCGATTCAAGATCACCCAAAGTGCGGCGAACTTCCTCGGGCGAGACCGTGACGGGGTGTTCTCGTGGCATGGTGCACGGTGATGGCTGTAAAAGGTGAGTTGGCCCCGGGGAGTGGGACCGGAGCAGGAGCGGGACGGGAACGGGACGGGAACGGGCAGCAGGAACAGGAAGTTGGTGGGGAAAGAAACAGGTGGCGGTGAAGAGTGGCTGGTGGGCACGGAGCGGCATGCGGTCCGTGCGTAAGGGGTAGAGGATGTGGAGGTGTGGCGAAGGGCGCGGAAGAAGGATCCTTTCGTCTCTTCGTTCCTCAAGGCAAAAAAGCAGGGCAAAGGGCATAATTATTTTGGGGTGCATGTGTGTTCCTTCTTCCTTTCTGTCATAGGCCCTTTATTTATCCCCTTGTCCTGCTTCTTCCTCCGTCTTCCATCTTCTTCCTTGCGGACTTACTAATCCATAGGCACCCATCTCTCCGCGTCAGCGTGCCACGTCCTCCCCGTTTCATCCTGTCTCGCCCCTACACCTTCAGCTAGCTATCAGGCTTCAGGACCGAGTCTTAGACCCTTCTTCTCGACACTAACGGTCGACCTATTAAGATGCATGCATAGCTTTTTTTCATGCAAAACGTTAACGCTTGCTAAGTTAAGGGCGAAGGTTAACAGCACAGCGAGCAACGCCTTGCAACGCTTTGTGTATAAAGCAAGCAGGGCAGAAAGGTTACTGCTGCAAGAGAATCTGCCGTTTAAATAGTAACAGTTTGTTATGCCTAGCTATTAGCTAGCCCTAGTTAGTTAGCTGCACCCGGCCTGTGCGCACACTTTATATAAGTGCGCTGTACACGTCTAGCCTAGTCTGTATGTATGTGTATTTCACCCGGAGGATTTCTCCTATAGGGCCTAGACGTAAAAGCTACTGACATTTCAATACATTAATGCGTAACACCTTAAGCCCCACGGGTCAGCATACGCTACACCAACCTCGCCGCTACTCGCTCCGTGACAGGCCTGCTTGAAGGCCAATTTCTCCAAGTGTTCAGCGTCCTACCTTCAGCAGCTGAAGCGCGGTCTGTCGAAATCCGAAGTCGAATACCTGTGTGTTAGTATTGTTGAAGGTTAGTGCCATAATCGATCCTAAGTGGATTCTCACTTCCGCTGCTTAGCCCGAAGGGCCAGACGCTGCCTGCGTCTCATCCCCAGGGTTCCGCGCCCGACAGTTCCGGCTGTACGATTCGTGTGGTCCACCGCAGGGCACGCACTTTGGCACTGTCTCCTTGCATTCTCTGTGGTGATGTTCTGCTTTCGCGCATCTGCCACATCTTTGCGGCTTCTTGCATGAAAACGCCTTGTGTCCCATCTCTTGACAGTTGAAGCACTGAATCGGTCCTACGCGGCGTTCAAAAACATTGGTGCAGGCGGACTCTCCCGCAACATCGAACCACACGCCGTCCAGAAGTCTTTGCGCGTCACTCTCTTTAGTGACATAGATCACCATTGACCCGTACGCTTTGGCTTTTCTCTGTTGCTAAGCCAGGTGATCTTGGCAATCGTGACGTAATTCTCGGCTCCGAGCGCCTCAGCTGCGCCCGGCAGAACGTTGCCTTCGGCGTCCAGCACTGCGGTACGCTTGGTGTTGTCGACTTTGACAGGGTAAAGCTGATCTCTCAGTACCCTGGCTCCCGAAGTTACCGTCTTCTGCGCTGCTTCCTTGACCTGCTTCAACTCGGTTTGGTCTCTGCATAAAATTTTGATCCGGTCGGGGTTTCGAGCGTCTGTCACGACCGCTGCGCATTTCCAAGTCTCCTGCCTCTGACTCTTTCTCATGTCGCTCTCTATGGCCTTTCGGATGTTGCCGATCTGCGTCTGGCACCTGTTCGCTTCTTCGACTCGTGATGTGTCCACCGTACAGTAGAGACTATCGCTGACGGCTGTTCGTGCCGATTTAGCTGCTGGTACGGTGCCCCGGTTCATTGTCTAGATCGTCGGCGATGACCCTGCAGCGCTCGCATACGACATCTGCGGACTGCTCTGCAGAGAAGATGCGGGCGTAGCCAGGGTCTCTAACTGCGCTCGGATGTGACGAAGCTCATCTCTCATCTCTTTCCCTTGTTGATCCATTTCCTGGATCATCTGCTGTTGCTTGGATATGATCTCGTTTTGCGCATCTATCGCTCGGCTGAGCTTTTGCGTTTCTTGACGTGACTCGCTCAAGAGTTCGAGAACTTTCTGGAGCATGGCTCGGCCTTCGTTCGCGCCACTGCTGCTGCTGGCAACTTTGCGCCGCTCAGTCGCGTCACTGATGGCGACATCGTCCGAGGCAATGCGCGTTGCAAGCCTAGTTGCGCGTGTTGTCTTCTCCGCCAGATCGTCGGGCTGTCGCGCGGCTTCTCGAATTTTGGTGCTTGGCCTCACGACGCGTGTCGATCTTTTCGCGGGTGTCGACGCAGGCGACGCGCTTCGCCCCACCATGATTACGGCCTCAGCCGGCGTCTCCATGATGAGGCCCCTCAATGCCTAGCTGGCGTTCGCTTCAGGCTTCTTGTCGAGTTCGTCGGATCCCCCGTCTCCTTTCGACCGTAAGGTGGATGCGCGTTGCTGCCTTACCACTTTTAATCACCACGGTTTAGGAGTTCCAAAGATTGGGTGAATCTGTCACACAATGCGTCCGCACCAGCTTATGGAGCTGGTGAGGAACGAACGCGAGATTAAGTGGGGCGTGGCACGGGTATACCCACAGGGATAATTATACGTCGCACGTACCTATGTACCGCATCTCCTCCAAAATATGCCTGACTAGCTGGCCATTGCCTGAATAGATATTACCACCTCTCAGCATGTCAGTAACCCAATAGTCAATGTTCTCCAACACACGGTCTGCACAGCAAGACAAAGACAAGACAAGAGGGTCCGCAAAAAAAGTGCCGGGAACCGATCCAAGTGAAGACTTCAATCTCGAGCACTCTTCGACGGTCAAGGCCCTAGCGTGGGGGCCAAACCACAAGACCAGGGTGTGGGAATACACATTACCCTCTTCACGCTGCATGGCGTAGTGCTCAAACGAACTCCAACGCAGACAATCCTGCAGTCTCCCGACCAGAAAATCACTTGACATGTAGCAAGCGGTCACCAAATGAACCGCATAGAGTCGCCGACACCACTGGTCCGCCCGAAGAGGAGCGCAGCTCACATGACTGCAACAACAACAATAGTGCCTGGCCCTGGCCGCAGAATCAGGGAGACGCTCGGTGTCGACTGTTCCAAACGATGAAAGTGGCAAACCCATGCCGCGCGGGCAAGAAATAAAGGAAGACGCTTCTGTCGAGGCTCCGCCAATGATCGAGGTCCGGAGCAGCTATGTTGATCCTAGCAACACCGAAGATAGGGCTGCATGTCCCACGGTGCTGACTGCTCGTGAAAAACCCTCTAAGTGGAGATGGCAATCTGCTTCGCAGACAATAGTCGGCTCGAGTCGCTTGCCGGTGCAATTTCTCTCGAAATACAAATCCTCCACGGTGTGGGAATTGAATCACTTTTTCCGTGATGACAACGGCAGGAGGGTAATCCACCCAGAATTGTGTAGGTAGGAGTCCGCTGAGCGACGATGCGCTCCGTAATTTTCCCCAGAAAGGGTGCTGAAAAGAGTCTTAAGTTGTCTCCAACGATCGCTCCGCTGGCATCAGTCCTGAAGTGGTGCCTGCCGGGCCTTTTAAGCCATCTCCGTCCCTGTCGATGACCGAACCCGCAAACGGTTGAATGTGAAGACATGCAAGTTTACAAGCCGTCTCCCATGGGCCGACATGGTCACTCCCTTCCCATTTCGTTAGTACGCGCTGCACTCCCGCCCGTCGTTTCGCTTTATGACCGCATGCAATCACGTGCCGTATGTCACTCTGATGGTACTCCGTAGAGTTCTATGGTCAGGCAGGGGTTATTCTCCGAAAGAACTTCGACACGTGCAAGCCCAACAAACTTGCGTGATCATGGACTGAGGTCAGGGGCTCTCAGCCGCCGTGTGCCTGAACATACTAAAATGCTACCACCACGGGCTACAAGACCAGCTGTGCGTAGCGATAGTGGCACAGGCCATAACGAGGCATTTCCGACGGCGTCAATGGTGCTGAGGCCGATGCAAGCATCTAGCCAGTGGACGCCCTGGCGTGTTTGGCCTGAGGCATCTCCATCACTGACCGAATGAATTTCGGCCCGATGTCCAGCTACGCCACCCTTCGCGCTTTCACACATTCCTACTTCAGGCCCCCAATCCTCATTCTTGCAGCATCCCCGGGATCGTGATATCTAGTCGATACCTTACCTTACTGGTGATGTCTGCTGAGCCTGTCGACTGTACCTCAGTGCAGCATCGTTGCGCTTTCTACGTGTTCCCGGATTAAATGGCTACTCTATCGGAACACGATCGCGACATAATCGCGCGCCACCCCCTGGGCAGCTCTCTGTGCACCTGAGGAAGTCACTTCAGGATGCAGAGCAGTCCTATGTGTCAATCTCTGGTCCTCATGGTGACGCCACTGATGACTCCGAAGAAGGCTGCAAAAAGGCGATATGGCGACTACTGACTGCTTTGATGGGGCAAGAGACAACCCTTGATCTCCACTCGCCTTTCAACAATCGAAACGTGGCATCCGAACTCGCGACTATTTTAGGCCATCTTCGTCAAGGCCACCACGACTACGGTCACTTCTTTCCACTGGTTAAGCTCGTCACTCAAAAGGCGTCCGACGCCAAGATCTGGAACGCAGTGCTTGATCTTGTCGCCACTCTCACCCGAGTAACGCCTCCTGCAAGCGTTCCTGCGACATTCGACAGCACGCCCATTACCCATTCCTCCGCTTCGCAGCAAGGTACCGAACAGACACGAGAGGTGGTGAAAAGAAAGGTCTTTGAGGAGATCAGATTTTGCACATACCGCGACGTGGGAGGATTCTTTGAGAAATACTTCGAGGGGAAAACTTGGACAAGCCGTGCCTTGGGCATCTATGAGGCGATGAAGGACCAACACGTCGATGGCGCGTGGGCCGGCCTTCCGAATCCGCCCGTGCAGGATGGAGTTCTGGACTGGTGGTTCCGATTCCAGGATGACTTCCTCTCGGAGGAATGACGCCGCTACTATTCGACCACGAACCCGAAGGATCATGTCGGTGCCGAAGCTCAGCGACAGATCGATCTCTTTGTCAAGCGAACGAATGGGCAGCCGCCAGATGCCGCGCACGACTGGAGGGATGTCGAAGTGATTGGCGAGCTCAAGGCGTCCAATAACAACAAAAAGGCGACGCTTCTCCAGATCGGCCGATACGTGCGAGATGTTTTCTCCTGCCAGCCGACACGTCGGTATGTTCACGCGTTTACAATCTGCGGGCGCGAGATGGAGGTTTGGGTATTTGACCGCTCGGGATGTTACAGTCCTGGCGCGTTCGATATCCATGAGAAGCCCAAACGGTTCATACAGGTGATCGCCGGTTACGCAATGATGGATGACGAAGAACTGGGGTTGGACACATTTACAGAGCTGGATGGCAACAGTCGCTTGATACACGTTGACCAAGACGGGACTTCAGGCAGGAAGAGGCTGCGGTTGGAGTCGCAGCCTTTCACCCGTCAACAGGCAGTCGTCTGCCGTGGGACGTCTTGCTATCTCACGAAGCCTCCGGACTTCGAGGATTGGAGTTATGTCGTCAAGTTCTCGTGGACGTCCGACAGGCGAAAGCCAGAGGCAGACCTGCTCAGATTGGCCCGTCAGAGAGGAGTTGAGGGCATTGCTGAGTTGATCGGCCATCGTCGAATAATTAGCATCAATGAGATGCGATCAGGTCTGACATTTACGAAGCCCTACTCCTTCCGAGGTCTTCCACGCACTGCATCGACTTTTTCGCAGTCCTTCTCCCGGTCTCAGCCTCCCGCTGCCCTTTTGTCGGGAACAGTCATTGGATATGTGTCAATTGCAGCGCACCTGTTGGAGCGCGTTCCACTTTTGCCTGCGTGGCGCGACGGTCTTCGCGACACCTTTCTCGGTCATTCAGCGAGCTTCATGGCTTAAGCGTCGCTGACAGGCCGTTAAGAAAGCGCAAGTCAGTTGATGTCAGTCAGAACCCGTTCAAGCGATCAAAATCCAACAGTCAAAGGTCGAGCCAAAGACAAAACGAGGTTACGTACGATGTGGAAGGAGCCCAAGGAACGAGTCTGCTCGCTCCCAACAACGGACCGTATGATAATTGAGTCTTTCGATGTCTAGTGATCTCTCCAGCTGGCCGGGCGATCCACAAGTACGAAACGAAATCGGAGCTTCTAGGGGCGCTTCGCGATGCCATCAAGGCACACAAGTCCCTACACCTCAAAGGCAACATCCTGCACCGGGACATTTCCGAGAACAACATCATCATAACCGACCGCAAAACGACTGGCCACATGGGCATGCTGATCGACCTGGACCTTGCCAAGGAGCTGGGCAACGGGCGCAGCGGGGCGCGATGTCGCACTGGCACGATGGAGTTCATGGCTATCGAGGTGCTGCGTGGGATCTCACATACCTACCGACACGATTTGGAGTCGTTCTTTTATGTGCTTCTCTGGCTGTTTGGTCGACGTGGTTGGGAACTTGTGAACAGGGCAAGAGATCATCCTACAGACAGCATGTTCACAGATTGGTACACTGGCAGCTTCCGGAAGATCGCGAGCGCCAAACGAGGGCATATGGATGCGAATGGATTTGAAGATATCCTGGAGGAGTTTCCACAACCGGAGTTCGACTGTGTCAAGCCTCTTTGCAGAGACTTGCGGGGGATCTTGTTCCCTTACAGGGACGGGCTCTTTATCGGGACACCGAAGGATCCTGAGATTCTCTATGGGCCAATCATCAAAGCATTTGACAAGGCTATTGATGATATCAAGGCGTTGGAAGGATAGGGTGGTGTCTACTGTTCTGTACATATTGCGATACACCTGCTAATACATGATCGCTGCTCGATTTCGGAGTTTTGTCGATCAAGCAGGTGGTGCTGTTCCCGTCTGCATTTATACCATCACAAACGATCACGCAGGACAGCCACGGTCCCGAGGCGGACCGCCCAGTGGTCTTGCATTACCACAAACAGGTCCCTCGCCTCCCGGTCTGAGCCCCGTATAGCCCATCCAGTCTTCACCCGGGCGATCTGCGGCATGCGTTCTATCCCTAGGTTGAGGGTCTTAGCCACATGAGCTCTGATGGCATGTCCCTGTTGTGACGGGCACGGAAAATCCTGCTGAGGTGCGATACGTAGAGGCAGGTTGCGGTATCGGCGCTCCAACGCGAAAGCCACACTGACCCACTTTCTGTTGTGCAACTAGCGTGAGGTGTTGTGTATAATATTAAGTCCGATCACGGAACAATGCCGCGGAAGAGCAAGAACAGCACCAAGCGCAACTCGAACCAATTCGAGTTGCTCGATGACGAGGAAGACGGTACGAACGACAATGTGGCCTGTAGCATCGGGGCCAATTCGACAAGCGCGACCGACGCGACAAGGACCAGCGCCCGCGGTCGCCCTCTGAAACCGACGCTGCAATTCGACCCTGAACCGCGCCCATCACGAAAGAAATCCGCCGTGCCGAAAGCGAAACCGACGAATGCCGACCCCAATGCCAACGAGGATTCATTGGCGCGAATCGAAGCTCTCCTGAAACGCGTCGAGGAGCGGGCCGAAAGGGCGGAGAAACGCGTCGAGTCTCTGGAAGAGTTCATTCGAAACGAGCTCTTCCCACGCGTCGCTAGCCCTCCGGAGTCCGCCACTCCAAGTGCGCCTCATCAGCAACAGCAACAGCACCTGCCACTTTCGCCACCACCCTCTCGGTCCCAGGGCCACTGCCTGGCATTGGCTTAGACGTGAGTCGGGTCCTAGACAGCGACATAAAGGAAGGCAACGCCGGCACTATTCGTCGGCGCGCGAACGCTGCCCTCGAAGTTGGGTGTGACCTGTCTGGGCGTCAATTCTAAGGGAAAAGGGCGTTTTCGGCTTCTCTTTCGAGAGACGGACGTCGATAAAGTACGGCAGAACGACACCTGGATAAAGACACACTTCGACAAGGGAACGCTATATGGGGAACAGTGGTACCCTCTACGGGTTGATAGAGCCCATCGTGGGGTTGCGACGGATGATATCGGATGCGCCGTGTTTGAGCGGATGAACGGGGTGAAAGTGCACAAGATGCGATGGCTCGGGACAGCGTCTGTCGACAAGGAATACCGCTCTCTGGTGGTACACCTGGATAAGAAAGAGGAGGTGGACAGGTTGCTTGCACAACGAACGGTTGAGATGGCGAATGGCGAGTGTGCATACACGCGACCATTTGTTCAGGGACTTCAACCAGCGAGATGCTACCGTTGCCACCTCTACGGACACTTGCATTATCGCTGCAAGGCGCCAGCTCCGATCTGTGGACAGTGCGCCCAACCGGGCCATTCTGCGTCGACTTGCACCTCGGACGTTTTTAAGTGTGCAGCGTGCGGTGGAAAAGGAGCACACAAGGCTACAGATCCTGGGTGCCCGGTATATCGCCGGGAACTCGCCAAGTTACGACCGTCGCCCTACTAACATACATCCTCTGTCTTAACCTTTTCTTTTCAGCACAAACCCTCTACCTATACCTGTGGTTGCCCCACAGCTGGTAGGTTAGCTACACCGGACGGCTAAAGGCAGGTGGACTCTTCGTCAAATGCGGCGGAGGAGAGTGGTCTGTACCTCATCAGACAGGCTCCAGAATTGGAAAGGGACAGGTCAAGTGAGCAAGAGACGGATTGAAGGATGTAAGAGAAATTCAGGGATTAGATCGGGACGAATTCCTTGGGCTCGGAACCGAGTATTGGACAGCTCTAGATTAGGCTTAGCGAGTCTGACGCAGTGCCTCTGACTATCGTCAATGGCGGAATATATTAAAAAAAAATATTAAGTCCGCCTTCCCCCTCACTCTGTTTCCCCTCTCTTCAATCAGCCATAACCTGTCTCTCTCAAGTGTAGTCGTCTTCGAAATATCCCACGCAATTATCTTTTCAAACTCACAGCCATGCCATCCTACGAGTACAAGAGCTCTGGCACCAACAGCAAGGTTGGCCCCCCCTTTCCTCCCCCATCCACATCCGACACACCTAGAGCGCGATATCGACGTACTGACGCGGAACAGGGCAACCACTACTGCTCTCGCGACTACGGCAGCGGCGCTTCCAACGGCAACTCTTATCACTACTCCAACTCGCACGTCCCCCTTGCCTTGACCCCTCTGAACCCATTCCCAGCCATCTACTAACACGCCGACGATAACACAGCAACGGTTCCTACTACTACTCCAACCCCAACGGAAGCTCCTACTACAACGACGGCCAAGGCGGCTCTACCTACAAGTCTTCAGGCGGTGGCAGCGGCAGTGGCGGAAGCAAGAGCTCCAAGGGCGGCAAATAGCTTTGCCAATGAGACGTGGTCATCTTTTGCCCGGCTTGTCGGCAGAGGATTTCGTCAAAGATGCTCGCCATATACTGCTTGGCGTAGTCAAAGATGCCAAGACAGACATAAAGACAAGCCCCAGGATGAAAGATATAGGCAGAGTTGCAGACAATTTGCAGAGCCACTAGTCATCCTTCCTGCGCCAGTTTCGAGATGCCGTGGACTTGCTATTCGACGGCACCGCGTTCCCAGCATGACGCCCGGGATCCTCCTCCTCGTTATTCGCGCGGCGACCGCCGTATCTGGCATTTGTTTGGCATCCCATCAGCTTCTTGGTGTCACAGGCTGTGCCCGGCTTGGTGGACCCGGTTGTACCGGGTCCAATGGATCATGCCCCGGCACCGGCACCGGCCCCGCTCCGCGGTGCCGGGTGCTGCGAGAACATTCTACGATGAGCGATATGCCGCTGCTTCGTCCTTCGCACGAAACTCCACAAACCCCTCAACATCACGTTTCCAGCACTTCAGCATATTCCACGAGCAGAAAATGCTCCCGCGACGACTTGTTGCCGCGGTCAGTTTTGGACTTGAATCCATTGCTGTTGTATGCCGGCACAAAGGGTCGTAGCAGGTGCAGCTCTGTTGAGGTATGTCGCTGAGGTCCCACGAGACCCAGGCGAGGTCTATCGTGCTGTCACGCGTGCCCGGTCCACCAAGGCGAGTGATTTCGCCCTCGGGCGTAGGTAGCGAGTGCGAGGTTCCATCGGCTTGCCAACTCTAGTATGTCGTCACAATTGTCCGACGTCCGGTTATGGATGTCCCAGAGCGGGATGGTGGATATTGAAGTCTCCGACGAAGGCGGCTCTATGGCACGGCGTGCTCGATGCGAAGGCGGGCAGCGGGCTCCTATTAGGCTCCCTGACATAGATCGGGGAGTAGACAGAGAATATCGTAGTGTTAGGCTTGATGGAGGTGACGCTGCACCAGTCGACGCCTCCATCGCTGGTCCACGACCCGATGTCGTGTCGTTTGTGAACGTAGAGCGCCGCGCGGCCGGCGGTAAAGACGAGACGGTAGCTGCTCCTGCTCGGGCATATAGGATAGCCAGCCTTAGCGTTCTTAGCTCTTGGCCAGCTTGGCAAACACAGGTATGGTCATGTCTGCAGACCCTTCTGACTGTTGCAGACCTTCGGCGGCTTTCTCTCGATCTTCTGGTTGCGCTGCAAAATATCCCAGCTGCCTGGTGCCTTCGAGGACGGGACCTGGCACTGTTGATGTTGCGAAACCGCTCGTAGGACCTCTAGAGGTTCCCTGCTTGCTGATGCTCCTGCTGAGACAGTCAGCGAGGACGTCAGGCCTGCTTTCTGATGCGCCGGCTGAGACAGTCAGCCCGGCCGTCAGGACCAGTGCTCCTAATAGTGTGGCCAGTGCGTTTGGACCCCTCAAACTGCTCATTCAGTGCGTGTGACTTGGCCGCACTACACTACCAGTGTGCCTGAGATGTTCAAACTGAGCTATTAGTCTGTTCGTCACGGCCAAACTGAACTACAGTGCAAACTGTGGTCTACACTATTAGTGTGAACATATAGTCTGACATTTGGCATTGCACCCGTCGCACCTGCAAGGTTGCCTTCAAGTTTTCCAGCGCCCTCACCGAATTGCCTGCCTTACGTGCAGCTTTCCTCGCCCTTTCCTGAATCAGAGGCTCAGACCCGGTACCGGTGGCTTCCGGATCGATATAGCGACACTGGAATCCATAATTAGACAATCTTCATCTGACGAAACAGAAATCTTACCTCGGATGGGAGTATCAGAGCGCTCCGGTCCCAGGATCGTAGGCATTCCAAGAGATTTAAAGTTTCAATGTTCATAGATCCTCGCTGGTCGGTTACCGAAAGTTTGGCTTTGGAGAAGAGCCGCTCTGTCTCAGTAGACATAGGCGCAATCGATAGAAGGTCAATGGCCATCAAAGATAAGTTAGGGAACCGTCGCCGCTGCGCTGACTCTAACCACCATTTCAACGGATCCGATACCGTCCTGACTCAGGACGGTGTCCTGGGAAAAAGTGGGGGGGCGCAGCCACCCCCGAGATCTGTCGCGAAGCACGTCTGAGATCTTGAGCTCGGGGTGACGTGACCATAAGGGGTATACAGCTAAGGGCCCCGACGGGCTAGACAAAAAGGCAGCCTGCAGAGAGTTCTGAGGCTGCAGAAGACTATTGGGAGACTGCATTAGGCAGCCACACAGGCTGTAGAGAGAGTATTTCCTCCCTTAAACACTCCTCTTCCTCCATCTCCTCGTCCATCATATCAAAATCGGCTAGGGGGTCATCTTCATCCTCTGTATCCTCTTCTTTGTGACCGCGATGGGTTGAAGGCATCGTAATCCGCTGCGTATTCCACTGCGTAGCCTGCTGCGTGGCCTGATAACAGTGAATTGTGCCCTGCGTCTCGCCTGCGCCGGCAAGCTCATTGTCAGAGTCAGGCGTGCGGTGCCGCTGATATGCCCGTGGCATCTCTGTGCCTGGCTCGTATGAGTCGCCATTAGCGTAAATGTATTCCAACGCCTGCCTCGTCACATCGGCGGCGTTAACAGTGGTGCTGCTGCCCCCTGTCAGCCTCGTGTTTTTTCGTGCTTGTGAGTGCCGCCGGCGCTGTTGACAGCGGTGGCCTTATAGCCTCGGCACGCTCGATCCTCTCAACGATCTCATGTGCAGAGGGTTTACGCCTTGTGCTGCAGGCACCTTTCTCGAGGTTGGATGAGCCCTTTGGCCGGCCTTTACCGCGTACGGGTAGTGAATCGAGTGGAGCGTCGTTAGGGCTCGAGCCCCGAAGCTGGGGGCAAGGCTGGAGGGAAAGCTGCTGCTGCTACCGTCAACACCGCCGGCAGCGCTGCTGATGTGACCAAACGGGGGTTGGAATACCTTCAAGCCAATGGCGATTCGTACGAGCCTGGCACAGCGATGCCACGAGCGTATCAGCGTGCCGTACGCCGCACGCCTGACTCTGACGATGAGCTTACTCATGACAACTCCCCTATTTCTCAGATAGGCCGCTGTTGCGTTCGAAAACTCCCAGTATGCTGCCGGGAGGTCCATTTCGTGGCGCATAGCAGACCCCCTCTCTGATATGGTTCTCATGCTCCTCTCAGAGATACTATTCCCCTCCGGGTGGTAGCCCACTGTTGGTTCGGTCCGAATAGCTCTCCCCGTGCAAAATACCTTCATTGCCTCGTTTAGAAACTCCTTCCCGCGATCAAAGCGCATCGCCTTGACCTTTTCGCCTTTTCCGTACTCGCGACACTCTGCCTCTGCAACAACTACCCAGGCTTTGATCTTGTCGGTAATTCTCGTTTTGTCTCTAGAGAAATAAACCCAAACTCGCCCGGTAGCCTGATCGGTGATTGTCAGCATGTACTTCATTCCTTGAAGTGATAGCTCAACTGGCCCCCAAAGATCTATATGGACTCTCTCTAGCTTTTCTGTCACCGCAGACATTGGCTCCCTTGAGACCTTTCTTGTCATTTTGGCCTCAGTGCAGCTTGAGCAGAATGACGGGCAGAATGAGTTGTCTCCGAGATCATCCATTACGGCGTTCAATTTGCCCTCCATATGCTTTCCAGGGTGTCCCAGCCTAGCATGTAGTAGTCTTTCCGGCATCTTCAGGATTGACTTCAGCGCTACCCCGTTATCGCCATCCTTTTCTTGGATTGTATGGGCTCGGTGCCCTCTTGTCTGGCTCAAGCGCCACCTTTTTATGTCTGTGGCCAAACAGCACCTCCTCCTGATTTCTTGTCACCGTAACTGTCTTCCCGGAGAGTCCACGACAATACATGCTCCCCTGTCTTCCAGTTCACCGACTGATAGCAGGCTGCTCGTCGCCTCCGGGATGTAGTGCACCCACGTACTATTGTCGACCTTGCTCTTCCTTTCTGTGAGACGTAAAGATCCTCACATCCCCTTTCCCTCTTGAACGAACCTCGGAGCCGTCTGCAATCTCAACACTTGTCTTTGTAGGGGACAACTTTGAGATAAATTGGTCTTCCCTTGGGGTGATATGGACGGAAGCACAGCTGTCGAGATACCATTGTGGAGGGGCTGTTACTTTTGTGTTCGGAAGCAAGTAGGTAGATCTCTCAGATTCACTACCACTGTCTTCAAGGATCCTGACCGCGTTTGCCTTTTCTTTGCTATCCATGGCCTCTCTCGCCTTCGCTTTTTCAGAGGCTAGCCAGGTCTTCCCTGCTTTGGTTTGGTGCCAAATTGCACAATCATGCTTGAAATGCATACCGCCACAAGACCAGCACCCCCCTGCCTTCTTCAGATACTCCTCCTTGCTATCATCGCCACCATCCTGTGCTTTGGACCTGTTGTTCCCTTTGTTCCATGCACTGCGGCCACGACCCGCGAATTGTGCGGTTTCTCCCTTGATTGTAGTATCGACGAGTTCCAACTCTTTGCTTTCCAGAGAGCTCTGCACCTTTTCCATTGTCAACGTCTCTGTCGAGGCGTTCAAGATCTCGATCGTAGTGTTAAAAGAGTCGTCCATGCTCATTTGCAAGAAGCAAATCAATAGCTGTTCATGAATAACAATGTCCTTGTCTTGGCTATTAATCTGAGCTCGAAGTCGCTTTAGGTCGTCAACCTTCTCCTGCACAGTTTTATTCGTCTGCGTACTAACGTCGTATAGCGTTCGGATCAGCTGTCGAAGGCGCGCTTTGTTCGATGTCGCATATCGCTTAACGAGGGATTGATAAATTGCTCGTGGATCGGTGAGATGGTTGACTGAGTTCTTGTGGATCTGGTCAATACTCTGTCGTATTTTCATTCTCGCAAGAGAGACATTTTTAACGTCCGCAGCATTCTCTCCTGGCGTTGATAAATCTGACGATTCCGCTGTTGCCATACCGGTGACGCAGCTCATAAGATCGTCACTCAACAAGTTATCTTCAAGATCCATCTTCCAGCTGTCAAAGGAGTCTCTTCCATCAAGGATGGTTCCTTTGTAGTCTTTCTTGCCCATAGTGCCGGGTCTTTGCTGTCAACCGTCGATTCTTGACGAAAAAGTGTTCTCATATGCCGAGTTCAATCGTGCAGTGGAAGCATAATAAAAGCAACCGGGTGCATAACCTGTTGCGATTGAACTTGCTTCTATTCTATTCTGTCTGACAGCTCTCAACATACATATATACATAGCGGCACGTCCGTGCCACTATCCAGTGACTCACCACTTGTAGGTGCTGCCTAAACATGTCTTGGTCCATGTCTCAACAAAAGGAGCCCAGCCTCCTAGATATTGTACCTATACAACTGAAAAGGGGATATCAATAGGGAACCAAGGGATATAAATAGGGAGCCTAGAAGAGGGCATTGAAAGAGGGACAGACACAACGGAATACAACAAAACACACCTATTATTAAAACAATCAATGCCCACTTGCATGCTCTCTTCGTGAGAGGTGCATGGTAGTTCAAATGGTAGACTTTTGGAGGAGATTTTTACAAATGCGCTACCGAAAGGGGGGTGTTACCGAAAGGGGGGTGGGCCCGGTGGGGTATGGTACCGAATAGATATAAGTAAAGAGTTATCCATTCCTACTTCATGTTCTCTACCGTCTACTTACGCCGGGAAAGATGAACCAGCCCGCCGTCATCAGTCTCAGCCTGATTTCCTTCGCGACGAGAAATGTGCACCAAGCCCGAGCTATCAGCCTTCGGCTGTCCATCTTGACGCCGGGATAAGTGAACTAAGGCCGGATCGGAAGTCTCAGCCTTCTCACCCTCACGTCGGGAAAGGTGTACGAGACCAGACTCGTTGATATCTCCCTCAGTCTCCGCCCTGGCAGAGAGGGCCCCCGTAAAGCCGTCTTGGCCACTCGGGTCCAGGGAGTTGTTAGATCCATCAAAAGTTGAAGGCGGGCCGGAGAGTCCAGCTTCTTGGCCTCCGGGTTGCAATGAACCGCCTCCAATTGATGGGCCCAGAGGTGGTCCGCGACCCGAGTCCTGGGGACCTCCTGGAGAGAATGATGAGTCGGGGGGACCTTGGCTACCAGGGCCCTGGTCACCGAGGGGGAAGCCTTGGTTGCCCCCCGAGTTTGTAGGAAAGACTTGTACCGGGGGTGATGGGGAGCCCTGGAATGGATCATTGCCAGGTCCGGAGGGGTCTGAAGGGTCCCTATTGCCGGTTTCTGTGGGAGGTTGAAGATTTGGCCCTGGAACGCTTCCCTGTTTAGGACGGCCGGAACCAATTCCGGTGTTAGGTAGGCCTCCGGTGTTTCCCCCTCCGCCTTTGTTGTTGCCGTTGCTTCCGTTGCTTCCGTCTCCATTGGGAGACTGGGGAGGGCTCGGGTTCTGAGGACTGTTGGGGCCCTTGCTTCCGTTGGGGCTGTCGGGAGACTGGGGAGAGCTGGGCTTCTGAGGACTGTTGGGGCCCTTGCCGCCCGATGGACCCTTTTGACCAGTTGAGGGATTCTTGGGACCTTTGTTCGGAGAGCCATTGCCAATGCCGCCTCCACCAGTGCCGCCGCCGCCGCCTTCTTGGCTACCCTTCTGCGTAACGGGAACCTTTTGATCTTTGATTCGGCTCATAGCAACCTGTCGCATTCGGTTGCACTGCTCTTGGTTAAAGAGTACTGCTTGCCCGGTCTATGAGATTTGCCATGTTAGTTGTCTCGGCGGTGTTGGAACAGGTGGTAAGGAAGAGACATACTGCGAGACGGGCTCCATGATGTTTCCCGCATTTTGGCGTTTAGTAAATACGCCCCCACCACCAGCGGAGCCGCCAAAAGGGCCACCAACGGGGCCGCCGCCCTGGCCACCCCCTTGGCCACCGCCCTGCCCAAAGTGAACTTCTCCGAACCAGTGTCCCGCTTCGTGCGTAGAAGTAGTCGCGGCTCCGCTGGCGTCACCGTCACCACCGCCGCCGCCGCCTCTGCCGCCATTGTCTTTTTGACGTCTGAATAGACGGCCGAATAACCTGCCCGCCCCCTTCTTGGCTCCTCCGCCGCCATCGGCATCGTTGCCTCCGTTGTGCTTCGGTAGCGTGTCAGTGGCAACAACGCAGCCATCCTTGCTGCCAACTGCTTGGGCAATGTTGGTTTGGGGTTGTGGAATAACGCAGACGCCTTTGACGCCAGCGCCCTGATTGGTATTTACGTAGACAATGTTGAGGGTGCTCGTGTTGCCTGTGTGAACCTGGGATTTGAGGTTGTCCATGGCAGCGTTATCTTGCAAGCCCGCCTGGCAGCGTTGATCTTGGGTTTGGGAGACGTTCTGAAGATTGAATTGGATATTGCACATCTTATAGAAGGAGTTCATCTGGTCCACGGCGTTTTGAGCAACGTTGTCCTGCAAATAACACGTCAGCATCGCCAGTTATGTGGCAAGAAGCCCCGACGGGGTTTGTTCTCACAGAAGGGCAGTTGGCGCCCGAACAGCAAAAGGTCATGGCCGCGCCAAGCTCAATTAGCTGATTGTCATCGGGCTGCGGCCGCTGACGCTTGAACATCATGCGCTCCTCCGGGCTGAGATCCCGGGTCCCGCACGAATGTCCGGGCTGGCTACGGTGTCAATGGTACCAGCCATAGTGACCGAAGCCATGACGCCCGTCACGATAAGTGGCAGCATGGCCATGGCGGCGACGAAAGAAGATGCAGCTAAGCGCGCGTGCGCGAAAACAAGGAGTCTTGGTAAGAAAGGAATGTAGAAGATAAGCGAAAGGAAAAGTTCGAAAACGGCAGTGTTGTCGAGACCTGCTTGATTCTAGCCTTGCACGCTGCGATCGGGGACTCGGGGAGGCTATCCGGTTAAATACACCATGCAAACTTGCCGCGGAACAATGTAGTAGACCACACATGATAGCCCCGGTCCTGGCAGTTTCGGTTCCGGTCCATCGATCCTGGGGACAAGGGACATACGCTGGCTTCATGACACAAGTCCACAAGACTCAGATCGTGCCGGCAAGCCACGATCTCCACTTTATTTCGCCCTCGTTCGCCGGCCCTGAGCTGCAAGGCCGCACTCGGTGGATCGGGGGCGGGTTCGGCGCACAAAGTGAAAGTCAGGACCCCGGTTGGGCGGAGCCGAGGACCGAATCACGGAGGGCTGTTGCATTGTTTTAATCACGTTGATGTGGTTCTGGGCTGGCTGAAACTTGGCATATCCCGAGAGGATAGAGAAGTGGGTTATCGTTTGGGCGTTGCATAAAGACCTACCTTGCTACGTTAGTCACGCTGGCAACGGTGCAGGGAAGCGGCCCCTCCATGTAGCAGTAATCATCCAGCCGATGCGGCTGCGCATTACGCTGGCGAAGGCACGCTGAATCAAGAACGTAAAACTAGCGGCAGCTAGTCCGGTATTTACCGAACGCCGATTGGACTCGGTGCTTGAAACATAGGTTTGCTGCGCCTGCAATTCTATTTTCTTAGGACGTTTGATAGACGTGGGGGACAGCTATATAACGGAGGGGGGGTTATGCTCACCCACAGTTTACACAGTTTTCTGTAGCTGCGTAGTAAATTTGGGTTACTAGGGGGGACTAAAATTCGTCCCTCACCCCCCTCCGGGACGAATTTTAGTCCCCCCTAGTACTGTGAACGACCACGAGCAATGAACGACCCCATCACGAAACTGGTAGCCGATAAGACGCGGCAGCAGCTACATACATATCTACTATGCAATAGCGGCTGGTAATATGCACCGGCAATGCTAGCATCTTTGATAGTGCTGCGCTTATAGCAGTGTAATGATGGTGGGAGGGTGATGAGTAGTAGTAGTAGTAGTAGTAGTTTAAAATACTACGTCACACCTTGCACTTTAGAGCTGTGGTGCAAGGCGTACAATCAGCCAAAGGCTGCGAGTCAGGCCAACAGTTAAGCAGTCACCGAACAATCAGTACAGTATCTCCAATCATACATTCATTACGTTATCCGCGCCCTGAAACTGTCGTTCTTGTCGCGGGTAGCATCAAGTAGAGTTACGTAGGCCCGTGGCCTATCTTGTACGGATTATGGACGAGAACCTGTCGTTTGCGAAGTTGCTGATCCCTCATTTTCATCTTAATTCCTTCCGGCGGCGACGCGTAAGTCAGATGATTGCGGTCAAACGGCGCATCCAGCATCAGACCCTGCAGCGTCTTCACACGCGAGACGGCCACGTAGCTCAAACCGGTCTGAAAGTCACGGCAGGACAGATCTGTCACGATCATGTCTTCGGTGATGCTCTGCGACTTGTGAACCGTAATGGCGTAGCATACGATCAGGGGAAACTGCGTGCGAGTGCAGAGTGTGGATCCGACGAGGAAGTCCCTGTTTACTGGCAGAATTGGGACAATCTTCCTGCCATCTGAGGTGGTCAGGAATACTGGCCCCGTGTACTTGTCAAACTCCATCATAATCACGCAAGGAGGGTCTTGCATGGGGTCAGCTCCAGGCGCCCAGGCGATATCGTACACTGTACCACGTGCACCGTTGCAGAGGCCAACCGGCTGCCAAAGGTTGGACGTCAGCATCAGACGGGCGCCAATGTATACGGGAATCTGCTTCGCAAGGTTGCCTGCCTTGTCGTCAGGAGCAGCAGCAGCATCGGGGCCAACGTTCTTAGCCATGACCTGAATGACAGGCCGGCCTAGGCGGTCGAGGTGGTAGTGGTTATATTCGTTCACCCTGTCTTTCGTGGCGTATACTCGCAGGGAATTGACGAACCTGGCAACCTCCTGATCGTCCAGCTTCGCCTGCACGCGGCTGGAGAGGAGCTTCCAGGACTCCATAGATAGTTGGAGCAACCGCAATTCCTCAAGAGCTGAGCGAAACGCTCCCTGATCGTCGCCGCGCTGACGCTGGGCAACCTTCAAGAAAACCGTCTTGTCGAAGCGCCGATATGCGTTCCTGCCCTTGATCTCTACTCCCTGCACCTCCTTGTCGTAATAAAGAGGCTTCTGCAGTACGGGGGGAAGCTGAAAGAAGTCGCCAACCAGGAGGATATTAAGACCACCAAAGAACTCCTCATTCCTATTCGGAAACGCCTCACGGAGACGGTCATCAATCCATGACAGCTGTCGCAGACCCAGCATGCTCTTCTCATCGACGATCAGGTACTTGACATTCTTCAGCTTCTTCTGGAGCTGAGCTTTGTCGATCGCTGACAGGGGCTTGAAGTCCTTGTTGATGGGGAGGTGCAGCAGGGAGTGCAAGGTGGTGCCCGATATCTGATTTCCCGCAACGCCCGTGGGCGCGGCACGCCAAACGGGCGTGCCTCTTCCTCCCGAGGCGGCTTGGAGGTGCTCCGAGAGCAGATTGATAAGGTACGATTTGCCCGTGCCACCGCCACCGTCCACATGGAGTAACAACTGGGAGCAGGCCTGGGTCAGAAAGTGGCCCATCACCGTATCGTACACTAGGCGCTGCTCCGGATTCAGGGAATCGCGAGCCTCCAGCGGCTGATGATCCACATCAAGGTGAAGGGGGTTTTCGGCTTTGCGTTGCTTCCAGAAGTCGCCGTGGAGAATGCCGTCATCGGTATACCGTCCAACGTGGGAAGTCCAGTCATAATTGACGTCGACATCTCGCCGGCCCAGCACGTCGATATCGTCCTCCTCCAGCGGATGGTCTGGCAGCATACGGGCGAGTTCATGCCAATCTTCCTCCACGACAGGCTCTTCGTGCTCCTCCCGCTCAAACTCATCGTCCTCTGCCTGCAGCTCATTTGCTCCCACCCCGTAATGGTCGTCCTCATGGAAATGGTGTCGCTGCCGGCAGCACTGGTACGCCGCCGCAAATGATTCAAACCGCTGCCCGTCCACAGCAAGCAGCTCCTCCGGAGAGCGATGCGGATGGGCCATCATCAATTTGACACGGCAGAAGTCATGAAATTGGGGTGACGCCTCCGCTGACCTGTACCGAGGGAAGTAGGACAGGACCCTCTTCTTCGCGTTCGCACCGAGTCTCCTCCACCTCTTGAGATTGTAGGACTGCAGGTACTCGAGATAGGTTATACTCTCATGTTGGTCATTTCTCTGCAGATATTTCCGGTAGCTGCCGACAGCCTCACTGACATCCTCGTCGACGCGGTACGACCGCGCATGCTGCTCCAACGGGCGGCAGTCGACGTACACAACCATCCGAGTGCCTTCCTGCAGAGGGATGTTGAGCAGCAAGTGGGAAATTTCCTGCGCTGAATAATCTCGCTCGGCAATCAACTTATTCATAAGGCGAGAGGAGAAGGACAACAGGGGCTGGTGGTGTGCTGTATGCGGCAAGACCTGATCTGCGAGCTTGCAGTAAGGCTCCGTCTTCTTCTCCGATTTGCTGCAATACTTGGCAGCATACGTAATGACTGCCTGTAAGCAGGACTTATCGTGGGGTCGATTTGCGGAGTAATTTCGGGAAATCGTATGCGATTACACATCTACCATCTGATAAGTGCCCGGCGGCGCGCACGCGAATATCTCCACGGCCAGCAGCCCAATCCAGGCCATTCCGGGGCCTGGGGGACTACTACACTCCGGCGGCGCGTTTGGTCGAGGAGCACTCCGTATAGGCTACTGCCCGTCGAGATATTTGCGTTGCAGCGCCGCGAATGGGTAATGGGGGGCTAGGCTCGGCCACAGGAACTGTGAGATAGTAATGCACTGATCCTACGGCCCTTTGATCCTCAAAAATATGTCTAGTTACATGGATATAAATATGTGTAAAGACTCTACGAGGCGGCTGGCTTACGTCGACGAGGGGCGGTCCGCTTTCCCAGCCGGGTCCTCCGCCCCCGACGGCCCTGACCTCGAGTTGGACCTGGTCCCGGGCCTGGACCTGGGTCATCGGGCACGGGGGTCCCTACCTGTACCCGTATCTGGCCCTGGCCCTGGCCCCGATCCTGGCCCCGCCGTCGGCGCTGTTTGAGTTCGTCGACGAGTCGGTTCAAGCTTCGGCCGGCGCGTAACAGCTCTAGCTCTGCAACGGCCGCCTCCTTGCATTTGCCGGACGCCATACGGGCCAACAGCTCGTCCCAGATCACCTTCCGGCGACAGAACTGCACTCTGACCCCGTTCCCCGGGCGCCAGCGGCTTCCCACGTCTCTTCCAGCTCCCGTACGGCCTTCTGACCTGCAAACCCTTCCTCCCACTCCTTCCAGACGTCCCCACCGTAAAGACCCTTGCCAGGGCTGTGACGATAGGCATGCCTGGTACCAGAGGCTCTGGGTCGGGGCCGGGGCCAGGCTGTATTGAGATTCAAGGTAGGTACTGTTGACGGCGCCGGGGCCGGGGCCGGCGCCAGCGCCTCTGCTGACCCGGCTCCGAAGTAACCGGTAAAGGTGATAGGGACCTTGCCTTGGAGGAGGGCATCGAGGCCGCCCTGAATCCCGTCAGCCGGGCCTCAAGCCGGATGGCGAGCCGCTGACTATTCTGTAACAGGGCCTCCCGCGTGCTCTCTATGACGCCGCTTAGTTCCGGCAGCGCGCGTCGTACGAGCAGGCTTACCGGCTCCATAGCCCCTACCGCGGTGGACCGCACGGCGACGGCGAACTCGTCCCACTCGGGCCCGCTAAAGGGGCGTAGGCGAAGAACGGTAGCGACGGGTAGCGGAGCTGTAGGACGGCCAGGTCCTGCAGAAGTACTATACGCAGGCGCCGCATAAGCTTAAGGAAGCCGTCGGCGGCTAAGTCGTCGTCGTCGAGACCGCCTTCTGCCCAGCATTGCCGGCGCGCCCGCGCCTCAAAGCGGGTTCCCACTCCTCGATCCACGGCCACAGCTGCTTTTGTAAGACGTACGGGGTTCGTGAGCCGCACGCGCGAAGTAGTCCCCGGGAGGCCGAGAAGCCGGCGACGATACGCATGAACTGCCGCGGTAGGTGCGTAAGATATGCCTGGCAGAGCACGCTCTGGTTCCAGCGGCCGGCCTGCGAGATCTGGGCGAGCGACGTGCCATGGGTCTCCGCGTCCTGGGCGCCCACCCTGCGCGGGAGGTGCGTCTTCTTCGACGCGATAAGGCCGGCAGCGCCGAAGATACGCCAGGTCTCTTGTAGCTGCGTCGGGTACGAGAGCTCCTGCTCGCGGTCCCGCCCGACGAGGACCTTGATCCGATACCAGTCCTGACGGCGCCGGAAGGACGGGGCGGTTCGCCGGCGACGTGCCAGCGCCAAAGAAGAGCTGTGCTAGGGCCCCTTGCGTACAGAATAAGGGTCCTTGTGCCGGAGCGCGCCCATAAACTCCTTCCTCGCCGTCTTATTTAGCTTGCCGTCCCGTAAAAGGCTTACCAGGCAACCACAGGCGGTCGGCCCTTCCGAAGGCGGATAGTCGAGTAGGGACAGGTCTGCAAGCTCCATCTTGCGGCGGTTCTCCCCCCGTAAGAGGTAGTAGTGGCCGAAGAGGAGGTCGACTCGCGTACGGAGGTTTTGCGGCGTATACGCGGCGCCAGTGAGAAGGAGATCCTGGATCCGAAGCCATTCATCGGGGAGGTAGCCGGCCTGGATCCCGTCGCTCCGCGGTCTTTAAAGGAGGCTCGGTCGTGCTTCCCCGCTGCCGGCCCCGTTGCTCAAGGAATCCTCGTACGGCGGCGCCCCGGGGATTCTCCGTATTCGAGTTGCCGTGAGCCACCTGGAGCCTCCATAGCTCGATAACGGCCGCGATATAGGCGTCGATAGTGCCCCTCGTAAGCAAAGACCCTTCGGTAAGGTCTACTGCAGCCGTCGCGAGGCCTGTGGGTGGCACGTAACCCTCGCGGTCGTCAGCGAGCAGCTCAGCGGCCTCGGCCAGGGGACCTCAAAGCTTCGGCCAGGCTTTCGGCCTCTGCCATGGCCGCGGCCTCGAGCTGCTCCTGTTCGCGCTGTTGCCGTACCTGTACGGCCTCGCCGTTGCCGTCGCCCTAACCTTACCCCGCGCGCGCGGCTTCTTCTTCTGCGGCGGCACAACGCGTCGTAACAGGATATCCTCTTTGAGCCACGCCGCCAGCTTGTCCGGCGTTACGAGCTCGCCGTCGGGCCAGCTATAGAGCGAGCCGTCTGCTGCAGCCCGAGGCGTATGGCACCAGGCCTATACGTATTTGTCTGTTAGCCGCCTAGGGGGGCCGTACGTGACAGGGATCGAAGTGGAGGACCGGCCGGGGGACGCGCCTTCCACTCCCGCTGCTTCGCCGCGTAACTCCGCGCCGTGTTCGCCGGCTGTTCGTCCTTCTTCGCCTGGATGCCCGCCCTCCGGGCGGCACGGGCGCGCTCGTCAGCTGCCGTGTACGAGTCGTCCGCGGCCATCTCGGTCGATCGGGCAACGTTCCTACAGGGCGAATGTCTGGGCTGGTGTTGGCCGGAAACCCGATAAGTTGGGTGGGAACTTATCAAATGCACTTATCAGGCGTCCTGCACACGATTTCACGGGCGGCGTTTTGCGGGCGATAAGTGGTCACGTGGCCTAAGTGAATTACGACGCAATTGCGGGCACCACCGATAAGCTGGTGCAGGGCGATATGTCGATATTGGCCAGCCAGCCCAGAATGATGGCAGGATTGAAGTGGTTCATGAGGCTGTCGTTGCGGGCTGCCTCGAAGATGTAATAGGACTTGCCTTCTTTCCTGATGACTGCGGCTAGCTCCCGCAAGGCACGGGGGAAGTTGAAACGACACTCCCTCTCCGGATCGGCGACATTGGCCGCCTCGATATCGGCTGCAGCCCCTTCCATATCGTTCGCCAGGTCCCCACTTCTCTTTCGGACGCGCAAGCAGTAAGCGGTATTGCATCTGTGGCGCTGGCAGCGGTTGACGATTTGCGAAAGCCGCAGGAATGTCATCTCTACGCCCAGCGGATCCACACTCAGGGGATTCCCTTCACCCTGGGGCATTGTCCTGCTCGGCTCCGGGTTAATGGCAGTGATGTGGAACCCCCACGTGCGTGCAAAAAGGTCTCGAGCGGCTTCGTCCCCCATGTCGGCTACCGGGCCATTCTCCATCCAGTACAGGCCGTGGTTGTGTGGACTCCCACGCCCTTGCCATTCATACCGATCCCAGTAATCCGTCACGTTAAACTTCGTTCTCAACACGACATCCCGAAAGAGACAGTATCGGCGGTGAAAGTGGAAAGCAGCAATGTGAGGATTCTGCCGCAATAAGTACCGCGACAATGCCATCCTTTCCGGCTCGGACGCTCGCAGCCATTCCCCATATCGGGGCATGTGTTGGTAGAGGCTCCGCCAGTGCAAATCGGCCGGGCTAAATGTGATAAATGCGCCAGGACAGCCCAGGACATAGGCATACGCCTCGAGGTCCTGCCTCTTTCTGTTCCAAAAGGGACGCGTACCGCGAATCGACACCGCTTGCCTTGTGATCGAGTTAATCAGGGCCTGCGCCTCGGGATCCTCGCTGTGTTCGAGTGCCTGAAGAAGCTGCTCTCGCGTGAGCGGTTCGCGAGTGCCATCATGTTGCTTCACAAAGAATTTCGACCGCGCACGTGCTTGGGACCGCATCAGGGTGTTGAATGCGACAAAACGGAAGGTCGGGTGCCGCGCAAAACGGCCGTCGTGCCACCGCATCGCGTGCTCGATGTAATCCTTGTACTCAATGGACCGCAAGCGAGGCTCCACAAAGTCGGCTCTGCCGTCTGGAAAGAGGCAGGGGAATGCCAAGGAGAGCAGGGCATGAGAGGCGAGAATAGACCGCAGAGCATCGAGCTCCGTGTCCTTGGCCAACAGGTCAGGCACCGCAGCCGCATCCTCTAGGTCAGGCTCTGCCTCCTGATCTTCCTCCGGTCCCACATCAGCAGCCTCCACCTGACTTTGGGGGATGGTGTCCACCACATTGCCGTCCTCGGGCAGTTGGCTCAGTCGCTCGTCGTCGATGGCGATGGATCGATAGGGGTGATAGACGAAGGTGAATTTTTTGAAGATTTTGAATGAAGGATGAATCAAATGAATTGAATTTTTTGGATCTTGATTCAAAATCTTCAAGCTCCAATTTTCGCGATTCAAGTTGGGTTTGGGCCAATTCAGGCCATTCATGAATAGTTTGAAGGAATCCCTAAACGAAGTGAATTTGGTGTGTACCTAAGCGATTGCAAAGATACCTCGAAAACGCCAATAAGTAGTATATGGTTTTATAGCCTTCTGGGAAGTCTCTCGATAATCTCGAATATTACAAAATTAACTTACATAAATACTGATCCGCCCGTCCTAGGCAAATGGACCGAAAATAAGCACTTTCAAAAGCTCTGCCGAATCCTCAAAATATATCGGTCCAACGCGTTCGAATCCGCGATTGTACACAGTTACACACTTGTAGAGCCTCAATCCTCCGAAGCCTCCATTGTATCTGGACAGGGGGTTGATATCGCAGACTTATCGGCTTGGGAGGCAGGAGGTTTGGGGGTAGGAGGTTCGTTGGGAGCCTCAGCCTCGGTGGGAACTTCCGCCGGAGCAGGGGGTTGAGGAGGAGGATTCTCGCCTGAACGCAGATTAGCATATACACAAACAATGAGGGTATATTCACACCATCTACCAGCTTGCCCGGAAATTGGAATGTGGTCTGGTCTTCAAATAATAGAGCGTGCCGTTGTTGGCGGCGTTGTCTCCCGTAATGGCGAGAAGCTTTGGCTTGAGCCTGAGCTCCTCAAGTGTCTTCTCAACTATCTCGTGTTTGCCAGTGTGAGATTTTTTGAGCTCGATAAACTCAATAACCTCCTCTCTCTCCTCAAACTCCGGCGTAATCCAGTGCGTAATAATGGCGAAAATAGGCACCCGATTCGGTGCTGTCCAGATATCAAGGGTGAGCGAGATGGTAGCACAATTGTACTGAAGCTCGATCTTCAGCTTCTCTCTGCGTTCCACAAAGTCTGTGTAGATGTGATTGCGTAAGGTTATACGGCTCCTGTACACACAGGTTGTATTGTGAGCCAAGAACATCTCTTGGAAAGCAGGAGTCTCAAGTTCTCAACAACAGAGAAGGGTTGTCGGTGTTTTACAAACCACTGGCGGATAGACTCCTTTGCCGTGAGCCTTGCTCTTTGCCTGGGTCGACCGCTCCATGCATCTACCTCTGTATAATCTCCTCCACCAATGGCGCGGCCGTATCCATTGATTCGACCGTGGTGAGACTCCTTCGTAATACTGTGGGATTTTAAATGGTCTCCCATGCCAGAGGTAACCCCTCGGCGGTTCGATTCAAGGACCTGGAATATCTTCCGAAGAGTAGAAGGATTTTGAAGGCACTCTATACAAGTCCACCGGAACTCTTGGAATATTTTCGGTCCATCCTTGTACTCCGAGTAAAAGCTTCTGTCTATGGCTTCCCTCTGCATGTACCAATAAACGTGGCTATTCTTGTCTCTCTTCTTGCGAACATGCTTCTGTTTGTTGTCGGCCCACTTCTTGATAAGTCTGGCTTTCTCTGCGAGCGTCATGTGACTACCGGTACTGTTCAATGGCGGCTCTGATGTATCCGCGTCAGGCATGTCATCATCTGACTCACAGTCAGGATGGCCCGGGGGCGCGCAGACAATCGTATCTTTGCCAGTCGGAGGGAAAGAAATTCGCTGCGGCAGCTGTTTTCGATTCAGCAGGGGCCATACTATGTATCATGTTATAATTAGCTATCGGTTGGACAGTAATGAAGTTTTACCTGGTCTAGGCTAAAAGGCTCGAGAATGGACGTGAGACAGGTAGTCGGGACGACACCAAATAACCCACAATAAAGTATAACGGAGTCGAGGTTGAACGGGTGGGATAGGTCGTCGGGCAGGACGTTGATTCGGGGGCCGACCCGAAGCCGCTGTCGGAAACATCGAAGCAGGAATTAGGCGAGATCGTCGTAAAATAATGTCGTGACAGTTGTCGCGAAGACCGTTGCCCAATGCAGGCAAAAAAATGTGGGATGGGCTGACGACCGTGTCTTTCCGACAGTAGAATTAACAGGTGGTCAATTGAGCGCGAATAACGCGTCTAAACGCGGCTAGTTGGCACAACATATCCTTATCATGCAGATGTTTCGGTACTTTCTGATCGGGCTAGTTTGTGTGGACAAGCAAGTAGCAGTCATATTGGGCTCGATGAGTAGATAAGTCCCTAACAGTCTCCAAATCGCGAGATGACGCAATTCGTGTCACGTCAATTGTTCGCGCAGTATTGAGACGTTGAGGATCTGAACGCGTTTTCTAATCAGTTTGCCGGAGGCTGTTTAACGGTATAAGTCTTGTATTATATTTCAAAAATTTGGGCTGCCGAGCTTAATCTGTGCTTGAGATGTAGTTTTGCAAGTAGCAAATGACCGATCTATTTATTGCCTTCAGGATGATGTGGCATTTCTTGAGCAAATGTTAAGCACAGATATCGAGAGTTATATCACCCGAACCAGAAAATCCAGAACATTCGAGTGATACTACATTTAAATGGTGTGCATTATAAAATGGCACTGTTCATAAGCTTCATGGTTTTTGATACTCCGTATGGGTGGCAAGACTGCTGAAACGGTGGGCGTATCAGGCACTGTTAGGGTCGTTATACCAACATATATGGACGCCCTAACTACCCCACTTCCAACCCACTGGGATTTTCCCAGTGGAGTGTGAACGGCGGAATCCAACTGAAACACGCACAACAGACTTTTAAATACGCAGTGCGTCATCGCATGGGCGGCCGATTTCGAAGTTACCATGTCCGCGCGGGCGAACCCTTGCTCCTGTCAGAACGGTGGTTCTGTGGCGTGCCTAATGGGAAAGTGCATTGTGGAATCTATTGGTATTGTGGGAATCATGCTCGTCAATTGTATCTAGATCACACGGTCAGCATGTGGCCTTAGGGTCACGTGTGCGGCTGAGGCTTGCGTGGCTATATCTTCCACGCTGGCCTCTCCTCCTAGATAGAAGACAATCCTCATAGCATAATACGACACACCGGTTGAACGACGTTCCCAGTTTGTCTCATGCTCGAGCCCTGCCAACAGGTATGATGGGGTCAAAGCAGCTTGTTTCTTGATGTGTACGTGTGTCTGCTTGTTGGAACGGCGCAGCAGGAAGGGCGGCATGGGTCACCTGCCAGGTCACGTGGGGCATTCAGCCGAGATTTCTGCGGGCCCAAAGGGGCACATTCCTAGCCGGAAGGGGCAACACACACATCGCCTTTACACACACACAGCCGTGCATATAGCTCAATTGACCTCTTCTGTGTGCCCACTATCGTTGCCACCTTCCTCATTCGGACGAGCCGCAGAACCGCTGTTTCTGACACTGCTCAGAAAGAAAGGAGGCCCTTGGTGGGTGGCTTTGGGCATTAGCCCATTCCTCCCTGTATGCCCCCTTGGCTGGCAGCTGCGAAGCGGGGTGATCCTTTTTTTCACCGTATATTTCGACCATATCGCCATTCATTCAAGATTTTGATGAATGAATTGAATAAAGACTCCTGATTTTTGATTCATCGAATTTGAAGACCTTACCCGATTCGGCTTCATTCAATTCAAGGGTCCCGAGGCCGATTCGACTTCAAAATCTTCAAATATCAGCCCTATGGATCGATAGCCAGGATGATGATGGCGGAGGTAGTCAAGCCATATCGTAACCGCCTGGCGGCGCACACGGAACTGGCGGGTAAATTGCCGGCTGAGATTGGCGTGTGACGACGTGTTGGCAGGACGCAGCAACACCGTGTTCAGCTCCCGTGGCAGAAGCGGGAGCTGGTTATACACCAAGCCAACCTCGCGAAGAAAGTGAACGACATGCCCACGATACTTGTACTGCTGCCCTCTCACCAGCATGATGTTCACATGGACGTGAACGCGAGCAATCAATGACTCCTCGGTAGGCGTGAGCTCAGGCAATCTGGTCGGTACGGGGCCAAAGTCAAGTTGATTTTCCGCAGAGAAAAAGAAGGGCTCGTCGGGGCCACGCTTGTCATCCTTTCGATAGCAACGCGAGCAAATGCCGTCATGATCTATTTCCATCTGAAACCAACACTCATGGCATCGGCTGCAGTATTCCATCTGATCATTGTCGAGCTTGGTCCAGAATTCGCGCAGAGTGGCCTTATCACGGTCCGTCAAGGCGCAAGCATCGAGATCGCCATTCCACACCGGACCTTGTGTATGGAAGACCGCCGATTCTTCTGGTGGAATAATCACTGGACTTCGTACACGCCGTGGCGGCCGCGACGGTCGAGCTTGCCGTCGAGGTTGTCTCTGGATTCGCCTTCCCGGTTGTCTCGGCCGCCCTCCCGTGCCAGGGGCAGGACCACGGCGGCCGCGTCTTGGCTGCGCAGACGGCTGCTGCAAGCGACTACGAACAGGGCTTTCATACACGGAATCGTTGTCGCTGTTCTCGCCTTCGTTCTCGGCATCGGAGTCACAACCCGCCCCTAATTGTTCACGGTAGTGACGCGGTCGAACGGGGGAAAGCAGCAGGTTGAAATAGTCCTCGGCGTCCATATCGGGATCGGAAAACTGGTCTCTATCGCCCCCTTCCTTGGCTACCTGATCCCCATCTAGAAGCCCGCTCGGCTGCGGTCGATGTCGACTCGCATCTACTTTCCCTGTTAGCCCGAAAAAACCGCTGCAACGAAAACACAAGGATATCTGTGACGGTCACGGACTGAGCCAGAAGGCTGTGGACTCTATTACGAAGATTCTGCTCTGAAGAAGAGAAAGGAGAACAGAACAATACAACTGGGTGTCCTCTCCCTAAATATGCCTTCCGTACGTGTGGGCCGTTGGCTCAGCAACATGTGGGTCATGTATGCAAAGGGTGTGACGGTGCTAGGCCGTCACACTACCCCTAAAGCCGTCGAACACCAACGGTGGAGATGGCTCCTCACGAGTGTCGTCGCAGTCGCCGTCGCTCATGCCCGGCCGACAGCCTTGTTGTCATCGTTGTGACTCTCTGCCCACCTGTCTTCCGCAGCGGCTGGCAGCCATTCTGCCAATCGTACAGGCGGTCCAGGTGCCTCGGGATATTCGTCGTGGAACCGCCTGAGAGCTGCGGCACCATTCTTGAACCCTTCAGCGTCGTAGTATAGCTCGTCAGGGTCCTGTCCTGCCCACTCGGCTCGGTACTGTAATTTCCCTTGAGATCCTTGACGACAATATTTTCGCCACCTCGTACTCTGGCTCGCCGTTAATCATCTCGGCCGGCGGAGCTTCCACCTGCTGTCCCGGCAGCGGGTCTCGCGCAGCCCTTCTCAACCGGTCGGCATGCAGCACCTTTGCCACCCTCATGCCTTTGGGTAGGTCCAGCTCGAATGAGTGACCCCTTTTTGCCACGATTCTGAACGGACCCGCGTTCTTAGAATCTAGCCGCGTTGTTGGCCTGTCAGTTGATCAGCCCTTTTCGAAACAAACACCCAGTCACCGACATCAAAATCGGGCACTCTTCTCTTCAAATTGGCTGATCGTTCCTGGCGCCTTTGAGCCGCTTCCACGTTCCTTTTTGCCAGCGAACAAACTTTCTTGGCTCGATTCACAAAGTCCTTGGCTGCCTTTTGGGCGTCGGTCCAATCCCCGACCTGCTTGTCGGTCGCTATATGAACGAAAGCCGCGTGGGGTGCTCGCCCTTGGGAGGCCTCGATCGGAGTCATGCCTGTTGAGTCGTGCGGCGTGGAGTTATGCGCGAAGTCTAACGCCGCCAGATGCTCACTCCAATCGTCTTGAAAATACGACACGTAAAACGTCAAGCGTTGGTCAAGATACTGGTTGGTAATCTCCACGCCTCCTTGAGTCTGCGCATGGTAGGCACTGCCGAATTTGTGCTCTGTTCCCGTCATCTCGTTGACCTTGGCCATGAATTTCGAAATGAACTGTGGTCCGTTGTCCGAGAGCCAAATCTTCGGTAGACCGAGGTGACCAAACACGCGGCGGTAATATCGCTTGGCCAGTCTTTCGGCGGTGTCTGTCTTTTTCCCCGGAATCGTGAGAATCAGCTTGCTCAGCTTGCAGATGAACGTCCAAACGTAGTCGAATCCATTTCGATCATTCGGCATGTCCTTTCCGTCCACCAGCACGGTATGCCAAGGTTCCTCTGGGACGGGCAACGAATGGAGCAATCCAGGTGACTTATCTTTCCACACCTTGTTCCTACGGCATGCCTGGCAATTGCGTGCGTAGCGCGCGAGATCCTCATCCATACGTGGCCAGTAATAGAACGGCCGCAGCATCGCCTTCATCTTGTTCTTCCGGATGACCCCTTGATTTGGGTTCGTGGACTTCCGGATTAAGGCAGTTCGCAGTGCGAGCCCTTCTGACGAGTACTCCGGCACCCAGATACGATCTCCCTTCCGCCGGTCCTCCTTGGGAATCTGTTTCTCATTTTCCCGGACAATCAGCTCCACAAGGAACACTCCGGCTGGTGCCTCCCCAGGTACTGCTGGGCCGCGGTCCTCAGAATTTGCCGCGATGTCTGGGAGCAGCTTCGACATGTGTCTCCTCGAGAACTTCTGCGGGTACCCGATCGTTCGGGACCAGTTCCATGGTGCGGGAATCCAGGTCTCTGGCTCTGACGGTCTCGAAGTTCTCGCTTTTCCGGGACAGGGCATCTGCAATTATGTTCTCCTTCCCGGGTCGGTATGTCATCTTGTAGTCAAATTCCGACAGAATCTGTGCCCAACAGGCTTGTCGAGATGATAAAACCCGCTTTGTCGCAAAGTACTTGAGAGCTTCATGGTCCGTTACTACTTCAAAGGGCCCCAACCAGCTCTGGCCTCCACTCTTCTAGGGCGCGGATGATGGCGAGAATTCTCGGTCTTGGATAGGCCATACCGTCTCTGTTGACGACAAGGTCTTGGAGAAGTAGGCCACCGGCTTCCATGAGTTGTCGTTCTGTTGTTGTAAAGCGGTGGCGCCTACCGAATGCTTTGACGCATCAGTCTCTATCCGAGTCAGGGCGCCTATCTTCCAGAAGCCCATTCCGGAGCTCGGACCAGGGCTTCCTTGAGTGCTTCAAAGCCGCTTCCTCTTGCTTGCCGATCTTGAAGATTGCCCTTTTAGGAGCTCGTTGAGCGGGTGCGCCAGCTCGCTTACTTTCGAGAAGCGTCGGACAAAGTTAACCAATCCGAGGAAAGATCGGATGGCTTTCGTAGATTTTAGGTCCGACAGCCTCCACTCAAGGATGGCCTGTTTCTTCTTAGGGTCAAGGGCGATACCTTCCCCCGCCTTAATCACCAGCCCGAGGTAATCCACCTCGGTGACGCAAAAGGAGCTCTTCTTGATGTCGCCCTGTAGGCCTGCCGCTGCCAGTCGTCGAATGACTTCCTCGGTCTGGCGCACGTTTTCCTCGGCCGACTCTGAATAGATCAGGATGTCGTCGGCGTACGAACTGCAGTAGATGTCCAGGATATCCCTCAGGCAGTCGTTGATAAAGCATTGAAAGATTGCTGGGCCGTTCGTCAGCCCAAAGGGCATCACCTTCAACGGAAAGTTCCCAGCCGGCACCGAAATGCCGTCAGATCCATACTTTCGAGGGCCATTCGCAACCTATGGAAGGCTTGACGGATGTCGATTTTTGTAAAAACTTGGCGCTTGCTAGTTTTACCAGGGTATCTTCTAACAGAGGCATGGGGTACTTCATCTTTGCACTGGCGTCGTTGAGGTCCCGGTAGTCGATCACGAATCTCAATCCATGCCCATGTCACCCTTGGGCACAAAGAAGGCTGGTGAGGCAAATCCAGGCCAGCAGCTCTCGATGAAACCCTTGTCCAGGTAATCTTGAATCGTCTTTCGGAGTAGTTCGTCTAGATGATGTGGGTTGCGGTAGACACCTCTCGAACGCTCTGGCAATGGCTTGGTCAGGTAGATCTTCATGTCCCTCCTGGGCCGCGGAGAGGAGGCAACTGGTTAGACTCCTTCTTCGAGAAAAATCCAGCCAGATGGCCCAGCGGGGTCGGGAGTTTCTCTTTGATCAGGCGGACCGTCTCGTCATCCTCACCCCGTGGAAGTGGGATAACTGGGCGGGTGTCCTTCGGTGGTACCTTAGGCATCTCTGGCGTTTGCGGGTTCACGTGAGCCACCGTAACACTTCTTCGAGCCAATTCTCCGAGGCGCGATGCACTCTGAATTCCCTTAAGGCGGGCTGTCAGCAGCCCTGAAGTTCCCGGTCCTGTTGCGGGTTTAGAAAGCTGGCAACCACCCCGTCGGCCTGCAGAGTCGTGGTCGTGGGGTGGTCCATCCTGTGGCAATTGACTCTGGTCGACTTGGGTCCCCTTTGCTCCCGGAGACGCTAGTTCATGAATTCTTGGGGCTTGCGCTTGTGCCGAACACGTTGGCGGCCCGCCGGCATTGCTCTCCTGGCCGGCCAGACGCTGGTCGGTAGCAAGGCGACCACAGTCACGGATGACGTCCTCTTGGTCGTCCGTTTTCCCCCTTCCTTGGATAGGCTCCGTACCGGAAACAGCGCGGATTTGCTGCGGATTATCGGCGTCGACTCGCGTGGTTGGAATCGTCGGGTTTCGCCAGGACGGCTTCCCAGACTGTCTCGTCTTCGGCCCGATAATCTCGTCGCGCCTTCCCGTCCTGATGACCAGAGAAGTTTCCTGAGTCCAGGCGCAACGGCGACCCTGTGTTGTTCAAACCATTTCCTGCCAATGATGATGTCGTAGTCCATCCGGACGACCAAGAATGGTAAGTTCTTTAGGAGTCGTCCATCAATCTCGAAGTCCATAAAAAAAAAACCTCCTTGATCGGGTGTTTGTGCTTGACTCCCGCGTAATCCTTTAGGTGAATTGGCTGATCAAGCCTCTTCCTCTGGGCCCCAAGTTGTGAGGCCGCTCTTCTCGCTAACCTATGGTTAATGGCGAGATACATACTCGCTCCGGTGTCTGCAAGGGCACGAATGAGAATAGACATGTTGTTCAATTTAAGGCGAGATGAGATTGTCAGCTGTTTGCCCCCCTATGAGTCTGTCCAAATCCGCCGCTCCAATCACAGACACCAAGTCGGCCAGGAACGAGACTTTGTCCTGGCCTACTCGTTTTCCGACTCCGAACTGCTCGAGTCTGGGTCGCAAACCTTGCCCTTGCCCGTGGCGGTGTTGGTTGTCGCTGCGCTGACTGGGGCCGCCTGCTCTCCACGGTCTTCGTGGTTGCCTTTCCGGGTGTTGTTGTTGCGGGTGCGACAGAATGGGGCGATATGCCCAGATTCTCCGCACCGGTAGCACAGGTTATTGATGCGGCGACGTTCCTCTCTTCCTCGGAGATACGGTTCCCTCCAGCTTCCCGGCTAGCCCCTTCGTTGCCAGTTTGTTCCCGGTGGCGACCACGGGCATTGTTACGGTTGCCGCCATTGTTCCGAACCCCTCGGGCACCACTACTACTAGAGTGGTTGCGCTTTTGCGCTTCGGAAAAGTTGTGGCGGGCCACGAACACCTGGTGCTGTGCTGACTCACAGAAGTCCTCGTAGCGCACTTTCGTATCGTAGACCCTCTCGACCACCGCTTGGTTGACCGGAGCAGGAAGAGAGTCCCACAGGGTCTGTTTCTGCATTGAAGGTTGGTACCCCGCCGCCTCGTACATGGAGTTGAATTCCCCCAAGAAAATATTGAAGTCCTTCTTCCAATCGTATTTGCAGACACGCAGCTGGGCGCGGGCGTCGGCGCCTTTGTTTGGGTTTGTGTGCGCTGTCTGGAGGACCTGGATTAGTTCGGCCAATGTTGTGAAAGGCCGAGTCAGCGAGTGGTGGCGTCCTTCTACGGTCTTATACGCGGTGCCCTCGAGACGCGTAATCACGAAGTTGATCCGCGTCTTCTCAGAGGCGAAAGTATCGTTGTCCTCCTCGAACTTGCCCTCTACTTGCTTAATCCAGCTTTCAAACGAGGAGTCCTTCGCCGGAGAACATGGTGGGTTTCTCTCCCGACGTTTCCGTCCCTCTCTATAGTTTGGGTTGGTGCCATCCATCGACTCATATCTCCGGAAGGCTAAAAGGGCCGCATATCCTGACGGCCGGAATTCTTCGCGGTCGTCAAAGGCTGTTCCTTCCCGTTGGCCTGGTGTGCTGACTTCATCTTCACCATATTGGCTGTCTCTTGGCTCGGTCACTCGTACTTGGGCGACCAAACGGGCCACTTCTCGGCTGATGTGGTCGGTTAATTGCTGTCTCTGCTCGGGAGACAATTCGGTGAACAAGCCGCTGCTGCCCTCCTGATTGGTTCTGTCAGCCATTTTAGGTCCCTGTCCTTCCTGGATGGTTATGTGCGATTCGATGGTCCCTGAACTGTTTCTTTGGTCTTGATCTCGGTCTTGATCTTGGTCTTGGTCTTGGTCTTGGTCTTGGTCTTGGTATTGATCTTGATCTTGGTCTTGGTCTTGGTCTTGGTCTTGGTCTTGGTCTTGGTCTTGGTCTTGGTCTTGATCTTCGATGCTTGGTAAGACGGGTCGTGGGAGCTGCGATCTATGGAGGGCCGTGTCCTGTTCAAGTGGGCCGGCCGAGCGCAGTCTTGGCATGGGGTAAAGTCGTGGCGTTCTTATGAATCGCTCGGCAGCGATGGCGTGGTAGAGAGCAGAATAGTGTGACGGTCACGGACTGAGCCAGAAGGCTGTGGACTCTATTACGAAGATTCTGCTCTGAAGAAGAGAAAGGAGAACAGAACAATACAACTGGGTGTCCTCTCCCTAAATATGCCTTCCGTACGTGTGGGCCGCTGGCTCAGCAACATGTGGGTCATGTATGCAAAGGGGGTGTGACGGTGCTAGGCCGTCACAATATCTTATCCAGGACACCCGAACCTGAAGAGTCGACGAGTTGAGATATGGGAGGGGTCAGTGACACAGTCTCCCCTGCACGACGTCGTGATCGATGGTCGCGCTGGATAGCGGCCCGCTTGGCCCTCGCCCCGGCCCTGGCCAAATCGTCTTGCGAGTCCTTCCCGCCTCTGTGTAATCTAGCAGCCAAGCAACTGTAATCTATACTAACTGTGCTGCTTGGGACAGGAGATGGATCAGAGTGTGAGACGGTTGGATGGCTCGTTCGCTGCACAGGAGGTGAGGGAGCCAGAGCCCGGGAGAGCCCTGAACTTTGTTGGGTTGGCGGAAATGGCGTCCCCAGCACTACACGCGGCTGGCTAATCGACGACTCGAATAACGCCCTCGCTATATGGTGTTGCCGTAGCCTCTCTGGCGATGTAGGCTGGGTTCCGAGTCTGTCATTAGGAGGCGATAGAGCAGCATCTCGTTCAGTTCTCTTGGGAGCGGGAGTCTCAGTTGAGGAAGGACCGACGGCGAAGTTTCTCAACGTCAGAATCGCGTCCCTGGATCTGGAACGCTTCATTTAGTCAGTGTCGGATGTCTTGCGGAGGGGGGAGGGAACAGAGCTGACATGAGAATTGCACTGGTTACGACATTCAAAGCACGTCTTGGTGGTACCAGCAAATTTCCGTTTGCTTATGAAGTCACCCGCCGGTTTCTTCTCGCCACAGCGGGCACAGACAATAGAAACCAAATCATCTCGAACTCCTGAATAAGTAGACCTAGGGCTCATTATTTATTGAAGCAAGACGTGAAAAGGGGTTGCGTGAATGAAGTTTCCATGTGAGGCACATGCCTTGTAATAATAAACAAACCAGGGGCTGCTGGCTAGGTCCCACTTTTTAAGAGCCGTCGTCCAGTTGCTCCTCGTTTTGCGGCCGTGCATACAAATTTGGGACCAATCAGAGCCCAAGAAACTTATTAACCCCTGTCTGGACCAAACCCTCATACGAGAGGAAGGCTCGCCAGCCGCGGCTCGCGCAAAGAAGCCTTTCGGAACGAAATTTGGCGACAAGAGAACCGGAGAAGAGTTGGCTACAGAAGAGAGAGAGAGAGTTGGCGACAGTAGATTGGAGACAGGAAGAAGAGTGAGGTCGAGATACGAGACACGGCGAGAGACGTAGAGCATTATCGTGAGTGAAACCGAGACAGAGCGTCGGGGAGGCAGGCTAGGCCGCTGGAGGGAGATTTTGTTTAAAAGGCGCAAACTCAAAGGGCGTGGAGAGACGGCAGGGTTGAAGAGAGATGTGAGTGGGTAATGCACGTCTGGGCGAGTGGAAGGCTCGGAAAATTTACATGTGCTACCGGTATAAGTCGTAGGTATAAACAGAATAAGGAGTATATTGGGAAGTTTTGACTTGATCGTCTTCATGAAAGGGAGAACAAGAAGAGAAGAGAATGTGCTATTCGAGCCTTTGGCAGTTGATTTTGAGGATGATGAGACATGTTGTCATGTTGTATTGTTTCGTTTGATGCTTTAAAGTTTAGAGAATATTCTTGGGCGGACGTCGGGCGCGCAGTGGTCGGGAAGATATCGACGCGGGAGGTCTGATAGAGCCAGAGGCGGATGTGTCTTGGTGATTGACCTGTTCGGTGTCCGTCTCTGACTCTGCGGGGTCTTCCGGGGACAGAAAGGAGGAGGTATCGGATTTGGGAGTCTTGACCGTCACAGTCGGTGATTATGGTGGAAGTTTCGGGAGAAAGTCGCGGTCTCTTGGTTGGGGTTTGGTAGGGATCGGGCAATGACCGACTTGATGCCAGCATAAGGGGATCGACTGGGCCAGAAGCATGCGGCGTGGGGGAGGCGGGGCTTTGGGCGGCCTTGGGTTTCTTCGTAGAGGTAAACCTGGCCAACGCAACGCTATAGTCCGAGGGATTGCCGACCGCGCTCTTGGGTGTCGTCGGCAGTAGTTGTGTTGCAGAAGCCTGGTCGGACATGGCCTTGTCGTGGAAAGTCCACGTGTCGGGGACGACGATGAAGATATAGTCTTGGTCGAAAGCCGGGGCATGTTTCATGATCTGGTGATCCAGTAAGCCGGCGATTTTGCCCGTACAGGTGAAGAGAGTGTTCGACTGGAACTGGCTGTCGCGCCTCTCGGTCATCTTCTTGCATAGGGAGGTCCAAGGATTAGCGTGAATGGGGAAGATGACGAAAACTTGGAAGGGGTGAAAGCCCTTGAAGGGGGTTTTGCCGGGAATCCCAGGACAAATAAAGGTGGAGAGCTGGACAAAGCCGCAGCAGCTCAGCTGGGTGTCGTCAAGGGCCGCAGCCGAGTTTCCATGCAGGAGGTCGCGGCCGGAGCCGATGACAGGTCCCGTGAAGGAGACAATGGGTTGTATCGTTGGGAAAGTATCCACCGAGCTGAGGTGCGAGTGACAATTCTATGGATATCGTCAGGGAGGGCAGTGGCGACAGAGAGATTTGGAGCATAGACTCACGGTTGGTAGCTGTGATCGCGGACTATAAGCGCGGGGACGGTGTATTCTGTGATGTTATCATCGTCCGACTCCAAGCCATCACGTCGCTCGATTTCCCACGTCAGGGCAAAGGGATGAACACGGCCGACCATGAAGAACCATTGCTCGGTCCATTCCGAGGAGATTATCTGTTGGTTGTATATGGAAATATTAAGGCTGAAGAAGATGCAGGTTGATGGATTGCCAGTATCTGACCGGATTGCTGCATACCCGGAGTCGACAGCCATGAGGGCGTGGGAAGGAAGACCCTCGCTAGGGTTTCTGCGTTGAGCCCTTTGACACGATGCTCATTCTGGTAGGCGAACCTAGCCGGGCAGCCGGGCTGGACAAAGGCCATCATGGACATGTCGGCGCCAGCATTTTCTGGCTGTCAAGAGGTTGCCGCGGGAGGACGAGGTATCGACGTTGAGCTGGGAGGCCGACATCGTGAGAACATGGCAGATGTAGTCACCGTGGAAGTGTAAATGAGGGGTTACGCAGAGTGGAGGTGGGCATCCTATAAAGCAGGTTTTCTTGCTGCTCGAAAGAGGGCTCGCGGCTAGGGTCGGGGAGACTTAAGAGTCAGAGAATGCTACCTAGGTGATAGATCAGAAGCGGGGGTATGCGGGAATGAGCTGGCGAGGTTCTTGAACAGTCTCGACCATCTGGTTCTATGGTCGTGAGTGAAGTAGGGAGCCGGGGGTTGGAAGTTGAGTAGGGGTGATGACTATGTCGCGAGAAGTTGGAGGTCGGCGAACAGTAAGGTTAGTGTGGGTAAGTCTGCGGAGAAAGAAAGTCCAGCAGTACCCTTCGGTGTCATCGTTGCATGGAGTAGATAGCAAAGGCGACAATAACGAATGAGAGTGAAGGAAAGAAAGAGGTTATGGTAGTATTGCAGGGTCCCTTTTGACGGTCGTCGGTAGTTGGATGGGCATTGCGTGCGGCTGAGCGAGGCGGGTGCCGACCGTGTCGAGTCCACTATTGGGACACGGTGAAGTCGGATATAGGGGACGACCTGAGGAGGAGGATGCGAGTTGGTCACGAGAACTCTCCAAGAGGGTTTGCAAGTCGAAACTCCGGTGGCTAGTGACTACAAGAGGACAGGCAGGGGGATCCTGGCTGTCGCTTTAGCATGAAGGCCGTTGATGCGACGTTGGTGGTGGCGAGGGAGCAAACCTAGCCGGGTAGTCCGGTTGCACGAGGACACCGTGGACATGTTATCGCCGGCAGCCTTTTGGCTGTTGCTCGACGAGGTGGAGTGGCAGATATTGATGGAGCAACTGATGCGCAAGGTGGGTGGGACGGCGTTGGAAGGGCCGGAGAGTATGGTTGAAGTGTGCGGCGGGCGGTTGGCGCGGCCACCCCATGTGCCGGAGGTCGGCAGTAGCCAGGGATTCGCTGGAGTGCGCAAAGAGAGCACGGCGATGGAAGGGCCGCTTTGGCAAAGCTGGGGTAGCAGGTCGCACGTGGAGACCAGCCGAGGGCCGGGACGGTGGACGCACATAGGGAGGGTAAATGGGGATTACAAAGGGTAGTAGTATTGCATCGCTTCGGTACCATAGGCAAGCATTATAAGGAAGAAATGCCACGGCCATGAGAGTAGTGATCGTTAGGAAGCTTCCCACTCGGAAAGAAATAGTGTACGCCAAGAAGCGAGATTATCCAAGTGGAAGTGCTCCGAGCCAAAACTTTCTAGCCTGTTGCCAATCCACGCTAGTCGACGTCGAGGAGGCAGTAGCATGGCGGACAGTCCTGCAGGGAAGCTAGGCGAGGCGGCCGCTCACCGTGGAGCCTGTTCGTTGTCAGTCGAGGATGGAGAAGAGGGTAGGAACGGGGGAGTGCCTGTTTCGGGGTGCGGAGATGATACAGGGCAACTCCGAGAAGGGCACGGAGCACGGGAGACAAGGTTGGGGCGGTTCGGGAGATACAGATCAGTGGCGAATGAAGCATTAACGTTCCGGCTGATTCAGCCTAAGCAGTCTGCGGTCGAAGAAACCGCATGGAGAAAGCATGCAGGGGCGATCGCAAAGTCACTGCCGAGAAGACCGCCGCGAGGCGGTTTGCGGTCAAGCAGAGCACGGAAGTCCTGTAATTTGGTCAGCAGCGGAAATTCCGCGCAACGTCAGTCACCGAGTCCGCTTCCGAGGTTCGTGTTGCCTACAGAACGTGGAGACCAGGGGCAGTGGGCTCTGACAGTCCGCCCTTCATCGGCCGTTTTGCCCCAGGAGAGGGTCCTGAAGGTGACGGGCAGGGAGATAAGGCGGCGACCGGCGGTGTCCCGGGTGTTCGTTCGAAAAGGGACCGACGCTCCGACCTATCCAGCCCAAGGATACGACTTTCCAAGACCTAAGACGAACGGCGCAATTTGCAGCATCGATTGCATGGGGTTTGCCCAAGCTCCGTCGGGGACCGGTTCGGCGGCCAAGGGCACAGGTGGGTGTGGACGATGGCGCAGCAGAGGCAGCGGACGGCTCGCTGCGCGGACAGAGGCAGTCCCGGAGGCGGGAGAAGAGAGCCCGTCTTCCTAGCCGGGATGGGCGCCCGATAAAACAGGTCCGAAGTGGAATCGGAAGGCATAGGAGACGGAGCTGCAGGCCGAAGACCTGGCGAGTGTGCTGCGCTTTTGGAGGAAGACTTTGCCTTGAAGGAGAGATTGTCTAACGATCAGACGTGGTGCACGCCAATACCGCTCGAGAGGAAGGTGTCGACGGTGCGAGACTTCTATCAGGCGTTCCACGATGCGAGCACGTTGCCGATACGGACCATGGTGTGCTACCGCAAGTGTACGAGAGGAGAGTTGAGGAGATTACATGGGATCATTGGCTGTCAAGTTGCGTACCAAAGGGCGGCCGCTCACCATTTTCATGCCGGAGTTGCTTTCCTGAGGGCGAGTCCGTGTCGGTGTGCGCCGAGTGTGGCCGATGCCTGGCGCGCAGGAGCCTGTCGCCGGCGATCCACCTTCACAGTCGCCTTGGCTGCGAGCACATGTTCCCGATGAGCTCGGGACTGACGCCGGTCGAAGAGAAGCTCATCTCGCTGAACTCATGTTACGGGTTTGTCACGAGATATAGCATTCCGGGCGGGCAGAGGCAGAGCGTGAAGTATCCGAGGCATGTCAGGGCCACATCACAGTGTTTCCGAACAATGTGCAGGAGCTGGCCAAAGTGCTCCCGCACCCCTTTGCAAGCACTGGACGAGATCCACATCTCGTGGCAGGGCGCGGAGAAGCCGGCACCGAGCGACCTGTCGAGTCTCTTGTCGGTGAGGCGGCGGGTGGTCGAGAGGGCCCTTGTCTGGCTGAAGCGGAACAACCCCCACTACGCCGAGATCGAGATCGACGCGGCGGAGATGGAGAGCTGGGGAGACTCGATACACGGGGTACCGTCGTCGGTGTGCGATCGTATGGAGCGGAACGAGCCGTCTGGGTGGGAGAAAGCGCGGACGGCGCACGTTGTGCCGCCCACGGAACGCGCCGTGGACGAGGAGGGGCCGGTGGAGATCGAGGAGCTCTTCGCCCTGCTCAACCAAGGACAAGAAGCCGGCGGCCAGGGTGAAGGTCACGGGCCCAACGGAGAAGGCGCGGTTCGCGATGGAAGTGACGCCTGCCCCGACCAGAACGTTCCAGCGATCAACGAGGTGACGTCTTCTGGCATGTTCGCGCTCGACGGACCGCCAGACGTCGCGGACGTGGAGAAGCTGCAGTTTGCCTGTGACGCTGTTGGTGAAGGTGCCGACGACGGCCGTGCGGGCCCGAGAGCGTGGGTCGGGTCCCTAGCCGGGGGGGTTCGGGGGCGTGGCGACGGTGGTTGTGAGCCATACATCCGGGTTTCGCGGGGGGGTGAGTTTACCGATTCCTTTGAGGCGTCCTTCTTTGCCAGGACGTTCCCGACCCTGTTCCCATTTGGCGTTGGGGACCAAGGCTGGTTGAAGAGACCATGGTCGACGCGGGAAGGTCACGGCCAACTTGCGAGGCAGGGCTGTCGAGGCAGAGGCGGCCGCGGAGACCCGTATCGTCTCGAAGCTTGAACCTTCAGGCGTGGGCCGAGATCGTGCTCCGGCGCCATGGTGGTCGATTTGCACTGCACCACATCTTCGCATTTCTCGTCTTCAACATGGGGTGCGGTCGAGGAACCGCCGGGTCAGCATGTTGAGTGTGGGAGGAAGAACTTCCGCAAGGTAGAGCGCATCGTGCGTTCGATGACCACAGAAAGGCTAGCGGCGGCGAGGGTCGAGTTGGAGAGCTCGGGTAAGACGACCGATGGTGACGTGAAGGAGCTTCTCAGGAGCCTCTCGCTTTACGGCCACCGGCAGCCCATGTCGAGAGAGGTCCGTCTCAATATGCGGCGGAAAATCCAGTCGCTCATCGTCGGATATGGCGTGCCGGCCATCTGGTTCACCATCAACCCGAACGACATTACGAACCCGGTGAAGCTGCGACTGGCGGCATACCGCACACGCGATCCCGACGCGGCCGAGGAGTTCTTAGAAGGCCTTGGGGATGCGTATAAGCGGGCACGGCTGGCGATATCGGATCCCATGAGCTCGGCCGTGTTCTTCCACCGCGAGATGAAGCTGTTCTTCGATCATTACGTGAAGGTCGGTGAAGAGTCGGTATTCGGGCGCATCGGCAAATACTATGGCGCCGTGGAGACGAACGAACGAGGGGCGCTTCATGTTCACGGCTTGCTCTGGCTGCACGGGAACGCGCATCTCAGCTCGATGCTTGCCGACATCCACGGGGAGGATCAGGCGGCGTATCGCGAGCGAATCGTCCGATACATCGATAGCGTCTTCTCAGAGGTAAGAATGCCTACCTAAGATGTGCCACCGGGAGCCTGAAGTACTCTTCTGATGGCCAAGTGGGGCCGGGTTGACGTGCAAGGCAGGATCTGGACCAGGAAAGTTTTGCGCCGTGCAAGCGGAGCGATCTGTGACGGGCGGTATTGGTTCCCTGCTGGACAACGCCGCGCAGTTCTCGGCCGCGTTTATCGAGGAGGCCAACTTCTGTGCCGGCGCGACGCAGGTGCACACGCATAGCCCGACCTGTGTGAAGTACTCCTTGGGCAAAGGAGGGCGGAAAGGGACCTCTGCCGGTTCAAGGCGCCATGGAGGTTAGTCGACAAGACCGCCCTCACGGCAGACGGGGTGCTGCAGATCCGGAGGACACACAGCATGGTCAATCGATGGAACGAGGCTATTGCTGTCGGGCTCCGGCACAACCATGATATTTCCTTCATTGCGACGCAGCGCAAGACAATGGCCCTCATCTATTATGTCACGAACTACGCGACCAAGGTGGAGGACCCGGTGTGGAAGCGTGTGGCGGCCGCGGCCGAGCTCCTGGCCGCCTCAACAGGTGATGGCACGGCAAACGGAGGGCGGGACGGTGGCGGAGACGCTGCCACCGATGACCCTGTCAAGGGGAACAGGACGCGACAGTTCCTGATGAGAGTGGCGAACCGCGTGTTCACGGAGCGTCCGCTATCACAGGTCGAGGTCGTCGCTCACCTTCTCGGATATCCGGCCGAGTTCACCGACAGCAGCGCGTGGGCGTACCTGAACTGTTCTCTGCTGTACTGGGAAGTCTTTCGGCGATGGCGGCATCTCCGAGAAGCCAGTGGCGCTGCGGCTACGGATGACACCTTGGATGAGTCGGTCGTCGTCGAAGAAGAAGGCCTGAGAATCTCCCACGTCGAGGCGTACCAGCACCGGGGAGAGCTGCTGAAAGGCCTATGCCTGTATGACTACATATCGATCGTCAGACTGAAACGCATCGGCAACGACGAGAGCTGGGCGGCTTGGGGAGATGTCTTTCGAGGATGGATGGGCGCCGGGACGACGCTGGGTTCAGGTGCTCAGGCGGCCGGGCAAGCACGCTACCGTCTGCCTCGACGGCTACCTGAGCAAGGACTTCACCTACGATGACGAGTCGTGCTACCGGAGGTGTGTATGGCAACTGCTCTGTCAGCGGGCATTATCGGAGAGGCTAACCCACCCCTGAAGGGCAGCCGTGCAGCATCTTGCGCTGTTCGTGCCGTGGAGTCCTTCCTGGGCGAAGGAACAGGTGAGATCAACAGCATCTGGGCGCGGGCTCGAGACGCTATGGCCCCGAGAATATCATGTCTGGTCGACAACGTGCAGCTGCTTCGACGATCCGCCGAAGACGCAAAACGCGACGCCAAGCAATGGGCAGCCTCGTCCGGCGATGGCGACCCGACGGTCGCACACGTCGAGGAGGGTGGAGCAGGCGAGGCGGGCGCGGAGTCTGCAGCGACATATCAGCCCAACAGCATCGGAGACGCAACGCGGCTCATCGACGTCGTCCGAGGTGCAGTGGGAGCGAATCAGGTGACGGCCAAGTCGCCGGAGCTCATGGCAATGATACAGCAGCTCTGTCGGTTTCAGCATCGGCGCTGCGCTCGACGGCCGAGCTCGAGGCCACGGCGCTGATCGAACGAGGGAGAGGCGGTTAAGCATGCCAGGGCGGGTATTTTCCGGGGCCGCACTACCGCCGCAGGATCAGGTCAAGGCTATCAAGTCGCAGCAGGTAAGTGCCTCGAAGGAGAGGAGAGGATGATCCAGGGATACAAAGCACGCCCGCCGCCTGGGAAAGCGATCGCCGCGCAGCGTTGCGAAGGGTGATGACCGGTTTCGGGAGGACGAGGTCGAAATGACGATGGCCGACTCCGACGAGACCGCTATCGACGCAGGGGCGGGAATGGACGTTCAGTTTGGCCCATCAACCTCCTTCCTCGCGGCGGGCAAGGTGTTGGCAACACGGCTGACGCTGAACAAGAGGCAGTCCATCGCTTTTCTGATAATATGCCGCCAGCTCGATTTGATGCAGCAGGCCGACGGGGCGATGCCTGCCAGCTGCGCCAGTTCGTCGGTGGCGAGGGCGGTACCGGCAAGTCGCGAATCATCGAGGCACTCGTCGAGCTGTTCAGTAAAAGAGCCTTCGAATCGTCTGCTGATCACGGCGACGTCGGGGACTGCGGCGGCGCGGATCAACGGCATCACGATCCACCCGCCTGCGGGTTCACTAAAGACCAAGGGGCGGGGCGCGAACATGGTCAAAGACCTTGACGGGGTGCGGCTGCCGAAACAGGCGGAGCGGTTCATCCACGGCCAGTCTCGAATGGATTGGCAGGAGAAGGATGTGCTCGTCATCGACGAGGTGAGCATGCTCGGGGCGCGGACGCTGCACGCCGTGAACGAGCGGCTTCGCCGGCTTCGCGGATCGCGGCAAGATTTCGGGGGGATCCCCATCGTCCTCTTCTGCGGAGATTTTCAGCAGTTCCGGCCGGTCCAAGAGAGGTCGATCGTCCTGCCTAGCGCGGCCATCTCGTGGGACGTAGACAACTCGTTCAAGGCCGAGCAGCGTCACCAGCACGACAAAGCGCACGCACTGTGGAAGAGGTTCACGACGGTCGTCATGCTGGACGAGCAGATGCGCGCCGCCGGCGACCCGGAGCTGCAGAGGCTGCTGAAGCGGATCCGTCTAGGCGTGCAGGATCGGACGGATCTAAACCTCCTCAACTCAAGGTGCTACCGGGAGGAAGGCGGATCCTTGGGAGACGGGCATCACCGTGGTGACGCCGCTCAATAGGAATCGGTGGAACCTGAACATGGAGGCGAGCCTGGCGTTCCGGGTCCAGCAGCGGTCGACGATGCGCATTTTCATCTCCGAGCACAAGTGGAAGGAGGAGCTGCCGACGGAGGAAGAGGCGATCATGATACTCAACCAGGGCGACGATAGCGCGATCCCGGTGCCGGCCGTCTTCATGTTCGTGGCCGGGATGCCCATCGTCGTGAACCACAACACCCACCAGGGGCTGAAGCTAGTGAACGGCGCGAGCTACTCGGCGGTGGAGGTCATTGTCGACAAGGCGTACCCGGGGCATCGGATCTCGGCCGATATGACGATCCACTTCGGCCGCCGGCGGGATCATTCTCGAATCGGAGACGACGAGATATCTCCACTTCGTCGGGATGCCGCCGGGCACGATCTTGTTGACACCCATGACCGTTAAGATACAGTGCCAGCGAAAAAGGCCGTGGCAACGCAACGACGTCAGCCGAAAGGGTTTGCCGTGCGCAGCAGCGTTCGCGTGCACGGACTACAAGGTGCAGGGCAAAACGCTGGAGCGCGTGGCCCTCGAGCTGCGAGGGACACGGACGACGAAGATGGATGGAACGGTGGTGCCTCGCAGTGCGACCCGTACGGCCTGTACGTGCAGCTATCGCGCTGCCGAACTCTAGACGGCATCATGCTCGTATCCAAGGTGCGGGACAGAGACTTGGTGGGCAACCGGGTCCCCGAGGAGATGACTGCCGCACAGGCCAGGCTCGAGGTACTGAGCGAGAGGACCGTTGAGGAGGCGTTGCGCTGGCTGGACGGTGATGCTGAAGAGTCAAGGCGGCCGCGCTAGGTGACGCGATGAAGAGTTCGGCAGGCGGGAAGAGTCGGCAGGCGGCAGACAGGGTGGGAGGCGCCTAGTGGTGGGATAAGGCACGCGAAAAGGCAACAGAAGCCGGGGGAAGGGCAGCGACCAACGAGGAGGGAGGCAAGGAGGGACCAATCACAAGGGACCAATCAAGGGGCGGAGAACTTTTGGGGGGAGAGGGCGGGGTCTGCGGGGCACGTTAGACGAGGGGAAGGCTCGCCAGCCGCGGCTCGCGCAAAGAGGCCTTTCGGAACGAAAGTTGGCGATGGCGACAGGAGAAAGTCGGAGAGGAGAGAGTTGGCGACAGGAGATAGGAGACAGGGGAAGTGAGAGGAAGACAGGAAGAAGAGTGAGATATGAGATATGAGATGGAGATCCGGCGAGAGACGTAGAGCATTATCGTGAGTGAAATCGAGACAGAGCGTCAGAGAGGCAGCCTAGGCCGCTGCAAGGAGATTTTGCTTTGCAAAGGCGCAAAGGGCGTGGAGAGGCGGCAGGGGTGAAGAGAGTTGTGGGTGGGTAATGCATGTGTGGGCGAGTGGAAGGCTCTGAGGATTTACAGGTGCTATAAGTGGTGGATATAAACAGAATAAGGAGTATATTGGAGAAGTTTTGACTGGATTGTCTTTGTGAAAAGGAGAGCAAGAGGAGAAGGAAATATCCCATTAGGGCCTTTCGCACTTGAGTTTGAGGATGATGAAACATGTTCCTTGTCATGTTGTGTTGTTTCGTTCGTTGCTTTACAGAATATTCTTGGCGGATGTCGGGCGCGGTGCGGTCGGGAAGAGATTGACGCCGGAGGTCTGATAGGGCCAGAGGCGGATGTGGCTGGGTGATTGACTGGCTCGGTGTCCGTCTCTGAGTCTCCGGGGTCTTCGTGGGACAGAAGGGAGGAAGTGTCGGATTTGGCGGGGCCTCGACTATCACAGGCGGCGACTATGGTGGAAATTTCTGGAGAAAGTCGCGGTCTCTTGGTTGGGGTTTGGTCGGGATCGGGCAATGACCGCTTTGATGTCATCATAAGGATCGACTGACCTAGATGCAGGCGGCGTGGGGAGGCGCCGCTTGGGGCGGCATTGCGTTTTTGGTAGAGGTAAACCTGGCCAACGCATCGCTATAGTCCGAGGGTTGCCGACTGAGCCCTTGGGTGTCGTCGGCAGTAGCTGTGTCGCAGAAGCCTGGTTGGACATGGCCCTGTCAAGGAAAGTCCATGTATCGGGGACGACGATGAAGATATAGTCTTGCTCGAAGGCCGGGGCATGTGTCATGATCTGGTGATCGAGTAAGCCGGCGATTTTGCCCGTGCAGGTGAGGAGAGCGTTCGGCTGGAACTGGCTATCGCGCCTCTCGGTCATCTTCTTGCATAGGAGGTCCAAGGATTGGCGGAATGGGGAAGATGACGAAAAGTTGAAAGGGATGAAAGCCCTTGAAGGGTGTTTTGCCCGGAATCCCAGGACAGATAAAGGTCGAGAGCTGGACAAAGCCGCAACAGCTCAGCTGGGTGTCGTCAAGGGCCGCAGCCGAGTTTCCATGCAGAAGGTCGCGGCCGGAACCGATGACAGGTCCCGTGAAGGAGACAATGGGTTGTATCGCTGGGAAGGCATCCGCCGAGCCGAGGGTGCGAGGATGACTCTGTGGCCATCGTCAGAGATGGTAGTGGTGACGGAGGTCTGGAGCATACACCTACGGCTGGTAGCTGTGGTCGCGGACGATGAGAGCCGGGATGGTGTATTCTGTAATGTTGTCATCCTCCGACTCGAAGCTATCACGTCGCTCGATTTCCACGTCAGGGCAAAGGGATGAACACGGCCGACCATAAAGAACCACTGCTCGGTCCATTCCGAGGGGATTATCTGTTGGTTGTATATGGAAATATTAAGGCTCAAGAAGATGCAGGTCGATGGATTGTCAGGATCTGACCGGATTGCTGCATACTCTGGAGTCGACAGCCATGAGGGCGTTGGAAGGAAGACCTCGCTAGGGTTTCTGCGTTGAGCCCTTTGACACGATGCTCATTCTGGTAGGCGAACCTAGACGGGCAGCCGGGCTGGACAAAGGCCATCATGGACATGTCGGCGCCAGCATTTTTCTGGCTGTCAAGAGGTTGCCGCGGGGAGGACGAGGTATCGACGTTGAGCTGGGAGGCCGACATCGTGAGAACATGGCAGATGTGGTCACCGTGGAAGTGTAAAGGAGGGTTAGGCAGAGTAGAGGTAGGCATCCTATAAAGCAGGTTTTCTTGCTGCTCGAAAGAGGGCTCGTGGCTCGGGTCGGGAGACTTGAGAGTCAGTGAATGCTACCTAGGTGATAGATCAGAAGCGGGGGTATGCGGGAATGAGCTGGCGAGGTTCTCGAGCAGTCTCGACCATCTGGTTCTGTGGTCGTGAGTGAAGTAGGGAGCCGGGGGTTGGAAGTTGAGTAGGGGTGATGGCTATGTTGCGAGAAGTTGGAGGTCGGCGAACGGTAAGGTTAGTGTGGGTAAGACTGCGGAGAAAGAAAGTCCAGTAGTCCCCTTCGGTGTCATCGTTGCATGGAGTAGATAGCAAAGGGGGCAATAACGAATGAGAGTGAAGGAAAGAAAGAGGTTATGGTAGTATTGCAGGACTCCCTTTGACGGTCGTCGGTAGTTGGATGGGCATTGCGTGCGGCTGAGCGAGGCGGGTGCCGACCGTGTCGAGTCTACTATTGGGACACGGTGAAGTCGGATATATGGGTCGACCTGAGGAGGAGGATGCGAGTTGGTCACGAGAACTTTCCAAGAGGGTTTGCAAGTCGAGACTCCGGTGGCTAGCGACTACAAGAGGACAGGCAGGGGGGTCCTGGCTATCGCTTTAGCATTAAGGCCGTTGATGCGACATTGGTGCTGGCGAGGGAGCAAATCTAGAAGGGTAGTCCGGCTGCATGAGGGACGTCATGGACATGTTATCGCCGGCAGCCTTGTGGCTGTTGCTCGACGAGGCGGATTGGCGGGTATTGATGGTGAACTGATGCGCAAGGTTGGTAGGATGGTGTTGGAAGGGCTGAAGAGTATGGTTTGAAGTGTGCGGCAGGCGGTTGTCGCGGCCATCTCCATGTGCCGGAGGTCGGCAGTGGCCAGGGATTCGCTGGAGTGCGCAAAAGAGAGCACGGCGATGGAAGGGTCGCTTTTGGCAAAGCCGGGGTAGCAGGTCGCACGTGGAGACCAGGCGAGGCCGGGACGGTGGACGCACATAGATAGGCATGGTAACGGGGAATATAGAGGGGTAGTATTGCATCGCCTCGGTACCATAGGGAAGCATTTTATAGGGAAGCTATAAGGGAAGAAACGCCACGGCCATGAGGGAAGTGATGGCTAGGGAGCTTCCCATTCGGGAGAAGTAGCGTCGTCAACAAGCGAGACTGTCCAAGTGGAGGTGCTCCGGAGCCAAAGCTTTATAGCCTGTTGCCAATTTACGGCAGTCGACGTCGAGGAGGCAGCAGCATGGCGGACAGTCCTGCAGTGAAGTTAAGCGAGGCGGTTGCTCACCCTGAAGCCTGTTCGTTGTCAGTCGGGGATGGAGAAGAGGTGAGAACGTGAGCGGGTCGGGTTCGGGGCTCGGAGATGGTGCGACAGGAGCCGGTGTAGATGTGGTGGCAGCTTCTGAGGGGCCGCAGAGCACGGGGGGAGAGCCTGGGACGGTTACGAAGATACGAATCACGGGCGAATGCGGCATCAACGTTCCGGCCGATTCAGCCTAGGAAACCTGTGGTTGAAGACACCGCATGGAGACAGCACGCAGAAGCAATTGCGAGGTCGTTGCCGAGAAGACCGCCGCGAGGCGGTTTGCGGTCAAACAGAGCACGGAAGTTCCATAATATGGTTAGCAGCGGAAGTTCCGCGCAACATCAGTCACCGGGTCAGCTTCCGAGGCCCTGTTGCCTAGGGAACGTGGAGATATGGGGTAGCGGACTCTGATCGTCCGCCCTCATCGGCACTTTCTGCCTCAGGAGGAGATCCTGAAGATGAGGAGCAACGTGTTACGGCGGCGGCGGGCGATGTCCCGAGTGTTCATTCGAAGGAGGTACCGAAGCTTCGATCCATCCAGCCTAGGGAACCGGTATTCGACAACTTAAGAGAAAACGGGCAATTAGCAGCAGCGATTGCGTCTGGTTTGCCCAAGCGCCGTCGGGGACGGAGTTGGCGGGTAAAGGGAGTACCAGGCCGCAGGGGTGTCTCCAACGCAGCAGGTACGGCGCAGCATCCGGGGCCGTCTCCTGTGGGGGTGGGCGACGCCGCGGCAGAGCCAGCGGACGCTTCGCTGAGCGGGCGGAGGCTGCAGCAAAGGGAGGTGGGCGGCTCATCGCGGGTGGCGGCTGGGGAGCCCGTGCAGTTTGATCGGCAGCAAGAACGAGGAGAGTGCTGGAAAGGGCAAGGACTGAGGTCAAGGTTCGGCGTGGAAAACGTTCGCCAGCACGGCCCGGTGCCTGTCCAGTGCAAAGGGCCGGATGGCGTGTCAGGGGATGCGCACGTAGTCGGGCAGTCGTCGCCAAAGCTGCCGCATCCGACGGCTTGCGAAGAAGCGAATCAGCCACGGAGAGAAGAAATCATGGATCGGAGGCGGCCCCGGAGGCGGCCCCGGAGGCGGGAGAAGAGAAAACGTCTTCCTGGTCCGGACGAGCGCCCGAGAAAACAGATTCGGAGTGGAATCGGAAGGCAGAGGAGTCGGGAGCTGCGGGCCGAAGACCTGGCGAGTGTGCTGCGTTTTTTGGAGGAAGACTTCGCCATGAAGGAGAGGCTGTCTAACGATCAGACGTGGTGTACGCCAATACCGCACGACAGGAAGGTGTCGACGGTGCGGGATTTTTATCAGGCGTTCCACGATGCGAGCACGTTGCCGATACGGACCTGCATGACAGCTACCGCAAGCGTACGAGAAAAGAGCTGAGGGAGATCAGATGGGATCAATGGCTGTCAAGCTGCGTGCCAGAGGGCGGCCGCTCACCATTTTCATGCCGGAGCTGCTTTCCCGAAGGCGAGCCCGTGTCGGTGTGTGCGGAGTGTGCCCGATGCCTGGCGCGCGGGAGTCTGTCGCCGGCGGTCCATCTTCACACTCGCCTTGGCTGTGAGCACATGTTCCTGACGAGCTCAAGGGACTCACGCTGGTCGAAGAGAAGCTCGTCTCGCTCAACTCCTGCTATGGGTTTGTCACGAGATATAGCATTCCGGGCGGGCAGAGGCAGGCCGTGAGGTATCCGAGGCACGTCAAGGGCCACATCACAGTGTTTCCCAACAACGTGCAGGAGCTGGCGACCAGGTGCTCCCGCACCCCTTTGCAAGCACTGGACGAGATCCACGTTTCGTGGCAGGGCGTGGAGAAGCCGGCACCGAGCGACCTGTCGAGTCTCTTGTCGGTGAGGCGGCGGGTCGTCGAGAGGGCTCTTGTTTGGCTGAAGAGGAGCAACCCCCACTACGCCGAGATCGAGATCGACGTGGCGGAGATGGAGAGTTGGGGAGACCCGATAGACGGGGTGCCGGCCTTGGTGTATGATCGCATGGAGCGGAACGAGCCGTCCGCATGGGAGAAAACGCGGACGGCGCACGTTGTGCCGCCCACGGAGCGCGCCATGGACGACGAGGGGTCGGTGGAGATCGAGGAACTCTTCGCTCTGCTCAACCAAAGGCAGGAAACGGGAGGCGAGGCTGAAGGGCACGGGCCCAACGAAGAAGGCGCGGGTCGTGATGGAGTTGGTGCTAGCCCCGATCAGAACGTTCGACCAATCAACGAGGTGACGTCTTCCGGCATGTTTGCTGGACGGACCGCCAGACGTGGCGGATGTCGAGAAGCTGCGGTTTGCCTGTGACGCTGTTGGCGCAGGTGCCGACGACGGCCGCGCGGGCCCGAGAACGTGGGTCGGATCCTCGGTGGGGTCGAGGGCGTGGCGACGATGGCAGTGAGCCATACATTCGAGTCTCGCGGGGATGAGTTTGCCGACTCCTTTGAGACGTCCTTCTTCGCCAGAACGTTCCCGACCCTGTTCCCATTTGGCGTTGGGGACCAAGGCTGGCCGAAGAGGCCATAGCCGAGGCGGGAAGGCCCTTACCAACTTGCGAGGCACCGGTAGAGCTGCTGAGGCAGGCGGCAGCGGGAGACATCGTATCCTCCCGAAGCTTGAACCTCCGGATTTGGGCCGACATCGTGCTCCGGCGCCATGGTGGCCGGTTTGCGTTGCACCACATATTTGCATTTCTCGTCTTCAACATGGGGGTGCGGTCGAGGAACCGCCGCGTCAGCATGCTGAGTGTGGCGAGGAAGGACTTCGGCAAGGTCGAGCGCGTTGCCCGCTCGATGACCGCGCAAAGGTTAGCGGCGGCGAGGGTCGAGTTGAGAGCTCGGGCAAGACGACCGATGAGGGCGTGAAGGAGCTTCTCAGGAGCCTCTCGCTGTACGGCCACCGGCAACCCATGTCGAGAGGTTCGGCTCAATATGCGGCGGAAAATCCAGTCGCTCATCGTTGGCTACGGCGTTCCGGCCATCTGGTTCACCATCAACCCAAACGACATTACGAACCCGGTGAAGCTGCGACTGGCGGCATATCGGACACGCGATCCCGGCGCGGCCGAGGAGTTCCTAGAAGGCCTTGGGAGTGCGTACAAGCGGACAAGGCTGGCCATGTCCGATCCGATGAGCGCCGCCGTATTCTTCCACCGGGAGATGAAGCTGTTCTTCGATCATTACGTGAAGGTCGGAGAAGAGTCGGTATTCGGGCGCATCGGCAAGTACTATGGCGCTGTGGAGACCAACGAACGAGGGGCGCTTCATGTTCACGGCTTGCTCTGGTTGCACGGAAACGCGCATCTCAGCTCGATGCTTGCCGACATCCACGGGGAGGATCAGGCGGCGTATCGCGAGCGAATCATACGATACGTCGATAGTGTCTTCTCCGAGGTAAGAATAGCTAAGACGTGTCACTGAGAACCTGAATTGCTCGTCCGATGGACAAACGGGGCCAGGCTGACGTGCAAGATAGGATCTGGATCAGGAAGGGTTCTGCGCCGTGCAAGCGGAGCGATCTGTGACGTCCGATATTTCCTCCTGCTGGACAACACCGAGCAGTTTTCGGCCGCATTTGACGAGGAGGCCAACTTCTGTGCCGGCGCTACACAGGTTCACACGCATAGCCCGACCTGTGTCAAGTATTCCTTGGGCAAAGGAGCGCGGAAAGGGAATCCATGCCGGTTTAAGTCTCCATGGAGGTTGGTCGACAAGACCGCCATCACGGCAGACGGGGTGTTGCAGATCCGGAGGACTCACAGCATGGTCAATCGATGGAACAAGGCTATCGCTGTTGGGCTCCGGCACAACCACGACATTTCCTTCATTGCGACGCAGCGCAAGACCATGGCCCTTATGTATTATGTCACGAACTACGCGACGAAGGTGGAGGACCCGGTGTGGAAGTGTGGCGGCCGCGGCCGATCTCCTGGCCGCCTCAACGGGTGACGGCACGGCCAACGGAGGACAGGACGACGGTGGAGGTGCTGTTGGCGATGACGCCGCCAAGGGAACAGGACGCGACAGTTCTTGATGAGGGTGGCGAATCGTGTGTTCACGGAGCGTCCGCTATCTCAGGTCGAGGTCGTCGCTCATCTTCTTGGATATCCGGCCGAGTTCACCAACAGCAGCGCCTGGGCGTACCTGAACACATCTCTGCTGTACTGGGAAGTCTTTCGACGGTGGCCGTATCTCCGACGAGCAAGTGGCGCGGCGGCCATAGATGATACTCTGGATGAGTCGGTCGTTGTCGAAGAAGCAGGCCTGAGGATCTCCCACGTTGAGGCGTACCAGCACCGGGAGAGCTCCTGCGAGGGCTATGCTTATACGACTACATATCGCTCGTTAGACTAAAACGCACCAGTAAGGATGAGAGCTGTGCGGCCTGGGGGGAGGTGCCCTTCGAGGATGGATGGGCGCCAGGGAGACGCTGGGTCCAGGTGCTCAGGCGGCCGGGCAAGCATGCTACCGTCTGCCTCGATGGCTACCTGAGCAAGGACTTCGGCCACAACGACGACGAGGAGTCGTGCCACCGGAGGTGTGTATAGCAACCGCCCTGCCGGCAGGCATCATCAGAGTGGCTAACCTCCCCTCCCCTTAAAGGGCAGCCGTGCAGCATCTTGCGCTATTTGTGCCGTGGGAGTCCTTTCTGTGCGAAGAAACAGGTGAGATCAATAGCATCTGGGAGCGGGCGCGAGAGGCGCTGGCCCCGAGAATATCATGTCTCGTCGACAACGTGCAGCTGCTTCGACGATCAGCCGAAGACGCAAAGCGCGACGCCAAGCAATGGGCGGCCTCATCCGGCGATGGCGATTCCACGGTCGCCCACGTCGAGGAGGGCGAGACAGGCGAGGCGGGCGCAGAATTTGCAGCGACGTATCGGTCCAACAACATCGGAGACGCAACGCGCCTGATCGACGTCGTCCGAGGCGCAGTGGGCACGAATCAGGTGACGGCCAAGTCGCCGGAGCTCATGGCAATGATGCGGCAGCTCTGTCGATTCCAGCAATCGGCGCTCTGCTCAACGGCCGAGCTCGAGGCCATCGCGATTCCCGAACAAGGGTTGAGGTGCATAAGCATGCCAGGGCGGGTATTTTCCGGGGCCGCACTACCGCCGCAGGATCAGGTCAAGGCTATCAAGTCGCAGCAGATAAGTGCGTCGAGGGAAAGGAGAGAATGATCCAAAGCGTACAAACCACAGTCGCAGTCCGGGAAAGCGATCGCCGAGCTGCGTTGCGGAGGGGGATGACCGGCTTCGGGAGGACGACGTCGAAATGACGACAGCCGACTCCGACGAGACGGCTAGCGACGCAGAAGCGGGAATGCGCGTCCAGCTTGGCCCATCGACCTCCTTCTTCGCGGCGGGCAAGGAGTTGTCAACACGGCTAACGCTGAACAAGAGGCAGTCGATCGCTTTCCTAATAATATGCCGCCAGCTCGATTTGATGCGACAAACGAATAGGGCGATGCCGGCCAGCTCTGCCAGTTCGTCGGCGGCGAGGGGGCACCGGCAAGTCGCGGATCATTGGGGCACTCGTCGAGCTGTTCAGTGGGAAGAGCCTTTCGAATCGTCTGCTGATCACGGCGACGTCAGGACTGCCGCGGCGCAGATCAACGGCATCACGATCCACCCGCCTGCGGGTTCACTAAAGACCAAGGGGCGGGCGGCGCGAACACAGCCAAGGACCTTGACGGGGTGCGGCTGACAAAACGGGCGGAGCGGTTCATCCACGGCCAGTCTCGGATGGACTGGCAGGAGAAGGACGTGCTTGTCATCGACGAGGTGAGCATGCTCGGAGCGCGGACGCTGCACGCCATAAACGAGCGACTCTGTCGGCTTCGCGGATCGCAGAAAGATTTCGGGGGGATCCCCATCGTCCTCTTCTGCGGAGACTTTCAGCAGTTCCGGCCGGTCCAAGAGAGGTCGATCGTCCTGCCGAGCGCGGCCATCTCGTGGGACGTAGACAACTCGTTCAAGGCCGAGCAGCGGCACCAGCACGACAAAGCGCACGCGCTGTGGAAGAGATTCACGACGGTCGTCATGTTGAACGAGCAAATGCGCGCCGCCGGGGATCCGGAATTGCAGGGCTGCTGAAGCGGATCCGGCAGGGTGTGCAGGACCGCACGGATCTGGACCTCCTCAACTCAAGGTGCTACCGCGAGGGCAGGCGGATCCCTTGGGAGACTGGCATCACCGTGGTGACGCCGCTGAACAGGAATCGGTGGAACCTAAACATGGAGGCAAGCTTGGCGTTCCGGGTCCAGCAGCGGTCGACGATGCGCATCTTCATCTCCGAGCACAAGTGGAAGGAGGGCCTGCCGACCGAGGAAGAAGCGATCATGATACTCAATCAAGGCGACGATAGCGCGATCCCCGTGCCGGCCGTCTTCATGTTCGTGGCCGGGATGCCGGTCGTCGTGAACCACAACACCCATCAGGGGCTGAAGCTGGTGAACGGCGCCGGCTACTCGGCGGTGGAGGTCATTGTCGACAAGGCGTCCCCAGGGCATCGAATCTCGTCCGACATGACGATCCACTTCGGCCGCCGGCGGGGATATTACTGGAATCGGCGACGACAAAGGACCTCCACTTCGTCGGGATGCCGCCGGGCACGATCTTGTTAACGCCGATGAGCGTCAGGATACACTGCCAACGAAAGCGGCCGTGGCAGCAGAACGACGTCAGCCGGAAGGGATTGCCGTGCGCAGCAGCCTTCGCCTGCACGGACTACAAGGTGCAGGGCAGAACGCTAGAGCGCGTGGCCCTGGAGCTGCGGGGGACACGGACGACGAAAGTCGATGGAAGGGCCGTGCCTCGCAATGCGACCCGTACAGCTTATATGTGCAGCTATCGCGCTGTCGAACGCTAGACGGCATCACGCTCGTGTCCAAGGTGCGGGAGAGACTTGGTGGGCAACCGAGTCCCCGAAGAGATGACCGCCGCGCAGGCCAGGCTGGAGGTGCTAAGCGAGAGGACTGTCGAGGAAGCTTTGCGTCGGTCGGATGGCGACGCTGAAGAGTCAAGGAGAGTTGTCAGGGTGAGGTGACGAGGGGAGAAGACGGAGGAGCGCCGGCGGGCAAGAAGACAAGGGCACTGGGCAGCAGCGATCAACGAGGGGCGACTTTTAGACTTGAAGGAAGAACCCGCTAGAAAGGCATGAACGAAAAGGGCAAAGACAAAAGACGCAAGTTTTAGACACAATAAGAAAACCGGCGGACGAAAGGAAAAAGGTTGGCATTGGCATTGGCATTGGCAAGGGTAAACAGGAGTATAAACGGGGGAAACAGGGCAAGGCATGAGGGGCAAGAGAAGGCGGCAGCGACCAATGATGAGGAGGGACGGAAGGGTCGGCGACCAATCACACGGGATCTTTTATTCCGAAAGAGGAAATAAATCAGCCAATCAGAGGCGGAGGATGTGGGGGTGAAGCAGTCTGGGGCCTTTTTTCCCCGCGCGCTAATGAAGTCCTTTCGTTCCTCAAGGCAAGGCCTTTCGTTCCTCAAGGCATTGGGAAACTTATTCTGATTAATGTAAAGTCAGCCTTCGGCTGAATTAGTTGAAGTCTGACAGCTCTAGGGGAGTGTTGACTTGGTATGAGACATGGACCAAGACATGTTTAGGCAGCACTTACAAGTGGTGAGTCACTGGATAGTGGCACGGACGTGCCACTATGTATATATATGTTGAGAGCTGTCAGACAGAATTGAATAGAAGTAAGTTCAATCGCAACAGGAAGAGTCTCGAGAACTCCTCTGCCTGCTGCCCGCCGAGACTCCCCTGTACTTGAACGACCTCCAATCCCGATTGAAGAACCATGTTCCTACCACCATCTTGGTAACGGTCCCCTGGGTTTTCTGCGTCTTCAGGAGCTGCCTGCTTTTCATAAGACATGGTCCAGCTGCGTACCACCGCAGGACCGTCGAGCAACCAGCGTGGATGGAGGAGATTGAGTGGGATAGCCCAGGACCTAACAACAGCCTCGTACAGCCAGTGTCGACAGGGCAGGCTATATCTGAGTGGAAACTCACACGGGAATGGACATCCGGGCTCGTTCAGAGCGCCCAATACCTCGCGTTCCTTCTCGATCTCGGTGTTTTGCCCCCACCTTAGGGCTTTTGCTGCCTCCCACTCCGGAGCTAGTTTGCTCAGGAGTCCGTCCCCCCTAGGAAAGTTGAATTGCAGGTATACGATGTTCACCCTTCGGGCTGAATATTCAGCCGTGAAGCCCCTTGCATTGGCAACTTAACGGGTGTTCCAAGTATTTTAGTCTACGCCACAGTTTGCACTTAGGAGCACTGATCCACAAGCCTGGGCTGCCTGCCCATGACTGGGTTCGCCTGATCTGACTCGCGCATGATTCAGACCGAAGGGCGTTTATAAAAGTTCCTGGTGTAACGGGCTAGGCCCTGCTGGACAAGGCAGTGCCTTGTCGGTCTAAGCACTGTTGCTCCAGTAACGGCTTAGTCTATTTTGTTGGAGGATTTCTGTCCTTCTATTTTCCTTTCCTTCTTCTTTCCTCAGCTCGAATGTAAAACGCACGAGGACTACATAGCTGTAATTTACACTATTAGAACCCATCACACCTGGGAGTACCATCATCGAGGCATAAGCACATCTAGAAGAGCTACAAGTACGGAGTTCCCGTTGGGGTCCAACGGCTCCACCAGCTAGTCATAATGTCATTAAATATCGCAATGCCGCTGCACCAGGCAAAGGTGGATTGCACACTCCAACTGTCGCGAAGCAGATATACGTGTCAATTGACGTATGCACCTACAACAATAGGTGGCTTGATTTTTCGTGACACCAACAGGTGCACTGATGCATTGGCTGATATGTCTGTGCTGCTATGCGTTTGCAACATTAAAACTCTCACGACTTGTGTCTCTACCCACATGAACTTGATTGAAGACTCGAGATCGATAGCGTTAACCATGAGAAGCTGAAATTCACGAATCAGCTCTACAAGGCCCCACCGTGAATACAACTAGCACTAAAGATAACATCCGCTAGTTAATAACCTCTGAGACGAACTACTCAGCTGAACCGGCCTGGCTCCTTTGCCCCTTGGAAATTTGGCTACACAATGCAGCCTCTCTGGATGTTCTCCGCTTTCATCTCGAGTTGCCAGGCACTGGGAGCAAGCTGGCAGCAGCGGGCTCAGCAGGCGTAGGTATCACGGGGCAGACCCTGGATACCAGGGAAGATCTATGTTGTGTGTGAGGAGGGCAAACTATGGAGGTGAAACAGAGTCCAGACTAAGTACCGTACAGGAAGGCACGTGACCGAAGCGGCGGCGAAGCCAGGTTGGTGCCGTGACAGTAGGAGCCCGGGTGGGGGAGATGGGACGAGCACGTATGAATTCTGGGCTCCTCCTCATGCCCGAGTGGCTGGTTGACTTAGCGTTTGTTCTTCAGCGGGAGAGTTGAGATGGCAGAACCTTGTGTCTACAGGCAGGATGCCCTGCTGTAGAGTAGAGCTGCCGCCCCCCTGTACGACCGGGCTCCACGCTGCATGAACGAACGCCATTGTGATTTGTAGGGACGGCGTTGCTCGGCTAGGATCTGACTTGCATCTTTTGATTAAGGACGGGACGTAACCTCGATGTTATGTATGTGTATTTCACCCGGAGGATTTCTCCTATAGGGCCTAGACGTAAAAGCTACTGACATTTCAATACATTAATGCGTAACACCTTAAGCCCCACGGGAACCTCGATGTTGGGATCTTCATTTTGGTAAATGTACAACAAAAAGCGGGGTAGTCGTGGCGCCACCTTTTTCTATTGGCTGGTTCTCTACGCCACAGTCCGCCACAGTCAATTGTATAGAAGGTACTTAGTACGCGCGCATCGCCCGCCTACTGGCGTAATAAGACATGACACAGGCAAGCTGTAGCCTTGTGAGGCTGCAAGCCGCCTGCTTTGTATGGCCTCTGCTTGTGTGCCCTCTTCTTGTATAGCCTTGCAACACTCTTCAGGCTTCACAACGTCTGCCTGTTATGGCCTTGCAACGTCTGCCTGTGTGGCCTTGTGTAAGTGCTATTGCCTGCGTGCCTACGACCTTTGGCCATGTATTGGGCACACCCAAGCCACGTTTACCCCACTTTCTGTTGTACATTTACCAAAATGTGTTGTACGGATAACCACCCCCTGCATCCATGACCCACATAGCCAGCCCACACGTACGCAAGACATATTTAGCTAGAGGACACCCAGTTGTTTTTTTCTGTTCTCGTTCCTCCTCAGAGCAGAATCTTCGTAATAGAGTCCACAGCCTTCTGGCTCAGTCCGTGACCGTCACACTTACTTTACAACATCACCAATTCAAGTAGAAGGAGCACAAGCACGGAAAACCAGAGAGTGAAGAACGGAGGGCGACTGATTCAACTGTTAATCTCTAAAGAACACACGCAGAAAACTGTCGCTATCTCTTATTCCTTATACCTGACAAGAGGGCAGCTCCTGCCAACGCATGCGATCCTTTACTTCGGTCTGACTCCGTGATTTCAACCAGAATTCCCCATGTTCGCAAGAGCTGTTCGATTATGAGGATTACCGCTATGGTCTAGATCGTTTTGATCCTGGGCTCCAGGCGGGTGACGCCAAGCGTTGAGGACAATCTGGTTCTTTATCTGTACCGTCACAGGCAATAATGGCGACGCCATTACCTTGCCCATCACGACCATCCAACGGGCCACTAAACAAACCGCTTCCCGCCCTGCCTGTAGCTAAATCTCGGGCATGCGCTCGAACCACGCTCGCCTTAAGCTCCGCTAAATTCAAGTCGCCGGAAAGCAGCCTTCGAGATTCATCCACCGCCATGGCGAACCCTGCTCAGCCGCCGGCTTCGGCCTTGCCTCAAACTAGGCCTTCACCGAGCATCAATGACAAGACGATTAAGAAAACTATTAACTCTTTCCCGCATCCGCCTGAGGATGGCAATCAGTCCGGCATCAAATCACCCAATGGCCCTCTACCAAACGAAAATCCTCAATCTTGCAAGTCCAGAAGATTAAAGGGGTTGACACATGTTTGTTTCAGCTCATCGACTTCGAGACCGTTAAATAGGACGGGGGAGGCCAAATCCGCCAACAGGACATCGACTCTGCCCCAAAGCCGCAGTTCTTCGGCTCAAGATTCGAATTTGATGTTGGCACCGATGCATAAGGACCACGGCCCAGGCTTGGCTCAAGAAGCAGTTACAGCTAGCAATTCAACATCTGATAAACGTTCACCTAAAACCGAGGGCAGAGTCATTGTGAGCGTGAGAGTACGACCTAATAACAAGGCCGACCAGCAAAGCGCCGAGGAGAAGTGGACGGTAGACGGGCCGAAGTCACTTATTGAGTACAGAGGAAATGGGAGCGGCCATTATTATTACGGTATGCGGGCACTCTGGGGCTCTCTGTCCCTCTGGATTCCATTTTACTAACTCGGCTGCTAGACAACGTTTTTACCACTCATGACAACAACGCACATGTATATAACCATGTTGCGAAGCAATTAGTCCGTCAGGTCATGGAGGGATACCATGGGACGGCATTTACCTACGGTATGAGCGGCACCGGAAAGACGTTTTCTATGCAGGGAACCGCGTCCACTCCTGGTATTATTCCACTCGCT